ATCCTACTGGTTGCTGAAGAGCCTGTGTTGGTAGTATCCATTGTTGATAATGATATCCAAGACTTGTCCTATGTTGATGCTTGAGTGTCTATGTTGCCTCAAGTCTTGTTGCTGCTTGGATACTGATGTCCAAGTCTGATGCTGACTAGTGATCCTCTCTTGATCTAATAGTCCTTAGTCTCCAATGCTAAGAGACTATCCTTGTTACTGACCAGTAATATGAACCTGTCCAACTATGTCCAGTGATATCCTCTTGATGATCCTGATAGATGAGGTTGTTCCTTTGTGAGCTAAGTCTAAGTGTAGATTAGGCCACAACTACTGGGCTCATAACCTGTTGTGAAGTAACAACTAGATCCACCAAGGTTGGTTACTTGATGTACCTAGGCAATAGTAATGGTGTGTTACTAGTGCTGATCTTGTCTTGTTGTGAAGATGAATCAATGTTGCTTGCATAAAAGTAAAGTAGTACATGAGAGGGGAAAGAGAAATCAGACCCAAATGGCCAGCTATATATACTTTTCTGGGAAGGGGCAAATGGAGGCAAAAGGCTGCGGTTTGCGGTTTGCGGTTTGCGGTTTGCGGTTTGCGGTTTGCAGTTTGCGGTTTGCGGATTGCGGTTTGCGGATTGCGGATTGCGGTTTGCGGTTTGCGGTTTGCGGTTTGCCAATTGCAAATTGCCCTTTTGCTTCCTGCTGTTTACTTTGTGGTTGAGATTGCTTCCATGTGCTGATGTCCAATCATCACATGCCTATTTCCAACATATCAGAGGAACAGCGACACCATTAGCTTAGGCTGATATCACAACATAGACTAGTCTGGCATCACTCACTTTGTACATTCATTTTGACATTTTGTATAGATCTCAACGGACTGTGTCACGAACCTCATCACTTTCAAGGTTCTACCCAGTCATTACAGACTGACGCAAAACCTGCAGAATAATCACAAGAACTGAAACTTAGTAGAAACAGCCGTACAGTCACAATAAGATCTCCAAACTAGTTATGGAATCAAGATTCTGGTCTGTATACCTCACAAAAACAACAAGCCCAGGAGATCCGTCTGCATTGCTGTCATGTGACTAGAAGAGCACGTGAGTTGCGCCTATGCCTATAGAATAGCAAAAATACGTTCAAACTGTGTTGTGATATCTGATGAAGATTGGCATGTTATGGCATCTTGAGTAATGCTCACGGTGCAATCTCAAGCACAAAGGATCAATATGTGACCGAGATCAAATGTTGTAACTGCAGACACATCATCTGTGATTGGGGACACATATCTGTGATTGGAGTCACACCTATGCGCCTGGAGTTGCATATTGGTATGTCATTTGTGACTGGAGTCACAAAGGCATAACTGCGGCTGCAAGTGGTGGCTTGGGTTGCAATTGTACAATTAAGGAGCTGCAAGTTTATAAGAGGAACATGCTCATCAGGATAGCATATATAGCAGACCATCTGGGTCTGATTTCTCTTTGCCCTCTCATGTAGTAACTTACTCTTATGCGAGGAACTAGATACATAGTCATTCACACAAGAGATAGCATTCAACAACACTATTGATAGAACAGCCACAACATCAGCTTAGGCTGATATCACAACATCATGGGTGTCACCCAGCCTTTGTGTCAACCTCCCACCAAGCTGTTCCCACAACCATTTGTACAACGGCAAAGAGGCAGTCAGGGGAGAGAGAGATGATAATGCATTCTAACTATGTACAAGTGTGAAGAGGTGGGGAGAACTGTATGCTGATGTAGGTCTTGCGCTTGTGTGCGCAACGGTCAGTCCAAGGTTTTGCTGGTAGACGTTTCCCCAACTCTGCAATGTTCAACCAGATAATGGGAACACTTGCAAGCTGTAGTGCCAATGACTTTGGATGTGCAGCTCACAAAAGTAGGCAGGGTACAGCATGTCACCCAAGAAATCTTTCTTGACATCCTCAGTGCAAGGTGGCGAAGACATTCACTTTCTGGAATGCAATTTCTGCCTTGCTCCACCCGCTCAGATCTGGTGTTCTTTCAATGTGTCATTTTGTGAGGCATCAAGAAGGCTCTGAGAATACTGGGTCAATATATACCTGTGAGGACACATCCAGGATTTATGTGGAACGCAAGGCTAAGGTATATTATGTTAGATTACAATATGACATATTATAATATTATGTACATATCCTTAACATGTTGCTGCCAACAACAGAGGTCATAATCAGGCCAAAACACCTTTGGGTCGGGGCCACACCAATATCTAGACAGACTCCATGTCTTGTTTAGTGTACATTGCGTCCATTGGTGACCGGCACCTAGCTGTGCACTTCCTCTGCAGCAGTAAGCTCGAATTGTGTAACTAGATCCGCTTGGACACATTCGTTCCTGCTTCCTTGCTATGCTGGGACACATTGAACAGCTCACCCTTTTTTTGAACCCTCGGTTGGCCTGCTGAGTTTGGACAGATATGGTATCCAGTTGTTGGGGCTGATGTGAGACGTCTGGAGTCGTGCTTATTCCAACAATTACCAAAGAAATCACGTTCAAGTCAAACAGCCTATTGACAGTCTCACACAGCTGCTGCTCCAATATCTTGTCCGTGCACAACAAGACGTGGTAAAGTCCTGAGATCTCCCCCTTGGTAATAGCCGGTTTAGATCCAAGAAACCCGAAAAGTGTGCAGTCTGACCCAACCAGTGTGCCCTCGGACCCAACGAGTGTGTCATTGGAAGTTGTTACGTCCGGGCCTAGCGAATTGTGTCGGTCCGTAACAGAAGTAGAGGTAAAAAAAACTTCAGGGACCCAAGCTGATGTTTGATTGTCTGGTTGTGTCAAACGGGTTCAGGTGAGTCCATCCCTCAGTTTGATAAAGGTGCCATTGACAACCCATTCATGGTCCTCCCAAGGGACAAGCTTGGTCACAGCTATCAATGTGCCTAATGGCCAGGTGAAATGCAAACAGAGTTACCAGGCCCCAGTGCGATGACCTCCATGCCATCAGCTTTGGGGTTGTTGGCTTGGATGGCAAGAGGGGTACAACATTATATTCTCAGTAGTCTCCCTCCAGTGTAGTGTACTAGGAAAATCTCCTTGCCTTGACATGTCCTGGAACAGATCGAAGCTGAATTGAGACACCTCTTTTTGGACCTGAAGAGGTAAGCTGGATGTGACACTGGGCCAATTTGAGGGGTTCTCTGATTGGAACATGTCTGCACCTTGAACCTATAGCGGGAATAGCGGTGTGAGTCACTGCGTAGATGTAAACTTGCACATCACGGCACTCACCTTTATGGAATAAAGACCGGCAGCCAAATGATCAAGTTTCTGGCCTGTAGCCCTTGGCCAGCAGCATCAAGGGTATTTATCTCTGTCTTGTCAGGCGATGAGGGTCAGTATGGAAGGGGACAAAGAACAGCTGCGCCAAGGTAGCAGCGTCAAGGTAGCACTAGTCCTTGGGAGCCCGCTCTGTCATACTATCTCCGTGTATGTAGCACCAATCTTCTCCCTAGCAATTGATCTAGCTGGTTCATTCTCTTGACCTGTTAAGATTGCAGAGGGTCTCTATGCAGCTGTGTCTGCTCTCGCTGTATAGCCCATACCTGTACGGCATAAACCTATCAATCAAAGGCCAACATCAAGATGCCCCCTGCAGCTAGTCAACTTTGTAACAGATTTACAGTGGTGGCATCAAATATTGGTTGTACTCTGTCCTCCTCCTCATTGTGATCCTTCTTTCCATCCATCTCAGCATCTCTGTGAAGCAAAGTGTTGGCCTCCTCCTCCGCTCCTTCCCCAACCACAGGAGACCACAATAACAACCCTGCTCCAAACAACAGCAATAATCCCTCGGACCATATGTCCTGATAGATGACAAGGATGATTAAAGTGTAAGCAAGCGTTGCGCAAGTCAAATGATGAGATGGTGTTGTTACTAGTGAATCACTAGGGAACAACAGGTGTCATGAAACAAAAATTCTACTGTAAATGTGTTGATATCTGTTAATGTAGGGGGTGTAGGTGGCAAACCAACGCGTAGTCATGTGACTCATAACAGATGGTAGTACGCAAAAGAGAATAACAGAGTGACAACATCATGATTAGCGGCAAAAAGATGAGAGAATGCGTAAGAGAGAGAGAGCGACCCGCAACTCCCACATCCCCATTTGCTTGCCCTGATCTCAATCTTGTTACATCAGATGCCCCTGACCCATCAACCCCAAATGATCCTGATCCAGCTCCAAACAATGACAACGACGACTGAAATTGACCAAAAGTGACCAGTATCCATCATGGTCCGCAAGGAGCACTTGTTGCTTGGTTGACTGGTTCAGATCCAACGCAAACCATCCTGAACACCGTATGATCCTGCGCATACATGGGAAGAGGGATTATGCCCCTATGATTTCCCAAATAACCGATAAGTCATGTAAACTACTCTAAATCAATTGAAGGTAATTAAGGTAACACACCTATTATTGTTACCATTAAAATTACTAGGAAAACAATAGGCTCTATGGGAAACAATTAAGCATTGATGCTAGGAGAGTTTGTGAGTTGTTATCACGGCAGACTCATCAGTCCACATATACCATCATCATATGAAAATTACATATACAAAAATACGGCCAAGTCTGTTTGGTAACTATGGCAGTATCCTCTTGCAATCAGCAAAAAACCAAGTTGAATGTCCAATTATCAATCTCGAAGGAAGGGAAGCGATCTCTTGTGGAAAGCTATTACATCGAATGAGAAATTGATGTAACTCACCAGCTGAACTTCACCCACTCATCCTGGAAAGCCTGCAGGTAAATCGGTCAGGAGCATTTCTTCGTGGGGTACTTTTGGAGAATCAGGAAGGCTTTACGATCTATCGCATCGAGCTAAGCAGCGTCATTTCCTCAAAGCCTATCAACTGGACGAATGGCCAAGCCAGACTAGGGGTCCCTGAATGGGGGTTATTGCAACACATCTTCATTCTACCTTATGTCGTGAGAAGCTGCAACTCCGCCCCCGCAGTTACATGTCTCATGTGTACGTTGCTGTCAACACTAGACGCTTGACGTTTTCTGAAACTAATCAGCGAGGTGTTTCCGCTCGATTGTTGCCATCGCCTGCATCGGCTTTGGATAGAAGCACAGCACACGAATCTTATTGAGCACAACCTTGCGCGGAGATACCTCTATCCCATTCTGGAATCGAGAGAATGCAGCGCAATTCAGGACGTTCGTCTTGATCCGGGTCCCGTAAAGCATTGACAATCAGGAGCCGCCATGACCTGGATCATTTCGCAGGATTCTATACTAGAGCTTGCGCTCTACCGTGTCGTCCAACTTAAACATGTTTTGTCCTATTATGGCATGGTATAGAAGCATCATTCATCTCGATGAAGTAGCGAGTCTTTCCGTTGTTCACTAAATCAAGCGAATTCCACGATAGTCCGGCAGCGCCCAACGTTGACCTGAACCGTTGCCATCTTGAAACCTCTCACTTGATTTCACTATTTTGTCAACCGATCCCACATCTCCCCGGTATTTGCCTTCGGTATCGACACCTCGACCTAGGAGAAAGAAGATGAGAACATGATAGCGGATATTTCGAGACATGGCCAACTTTGGCTACCCACTTTTTTCTTGAATATCGACGTGCTGGTACCTTCCGCATTGAAAGGCCCGAATAAGGGGGATAAATCAATCTCCATGTCACCGTCAAGGCAGATTTGAATCTAGCACCACATGCCGAGCGTTGATCAGCTCGAGGCCTGCTCGTGAACTGATCGCGCGATTACTCACCCCTTCTTTAGCAAATTTCAAATCAACGGTTTCAACCTTTTTCTTGGGAATGACGATAACGACCGTTGTTTCGGTCTGTGTAAAATCGTAATTGTGTCTGTAATGCCGGTTGTGTGAGGACAGGCTCCCATAAAGGACTGCGCTTGCGACTTACGTCTGAGCGGGTACGGAGACGTCTCCGCTTGGACTAGCCTCGGGATTTGCCGTTTGACCGTGATCCTGTCCTAAGACGGATCCAGTAGTCGGCGTCAGGTGAACATCCGATGGTATATCCGCCTCATTGGCAGCATTTCCATTCTCGGAACGCGTCGAATCGGGAGTCGAAGGCTTCGCCGGCGACATGTCCGAGGTTTTCACGAAACCCTTTTGGTTTGCCACTGAGTCGCTCGCGCCCGAGCTGGACACGGTCATCCGCTGGGAATGGTCCGGACCTGGAGCATCTCCCGTAGGCGAAATCGTGCCACTTTGACCACCGATCGCAATGGTGTCCGCGGGCTCGGGAGGCTCACGGTTATCCGACAGCCATCGCTCAAGTGCAGCTTGTGATTCACCTAGACTTGCGCCGTCGGCGTCCCGCTCGTGACTCGGCGAATACACGACGTTCTGCATCGCAGATAGAAGGAAGGGGAACATGACACCGAGCATTGCATCAGCTGCGGCTACCAAGACTCGGCGGGATTCCAGTATCCGAGCTTTGTCTTGCTCCAAAAGTTGTCCTTGATTGGAAATGCTGGTGTTTCGTCTCATTGAATCAGGCCTTTTAAATGAGGGTTTGAGGCGTTCTTCCGTGACGGCTCGAGCGTAATCGAGGAAGCGTGTCGTCGACTGGGCGAGCGATCTGGCAAGTGCCTGAGTTGCCTTGTATCGGCTCTTTGTAGGCGCGAGCAACCGTAACGAGTTCAGAATACCAAGACCGTGATTCAGGTATATCGCAAGAGGAGGGAAGAAAGCCAGATAAGCAGGTGGGATGGTCGACGATTGGAGAGCCGGACGATCCGGTGGGGAAGAAATATCCGCCAGGATAACCGCCTTCCCCTCTTCCGACGCTAACCATGACCCGGGACGCAGTTCCAGACGAGTCGCTTCGTCGAACTTGTCTGTCAATTGATCAGTAGCCAGGACCCACCCTGTCGCCACGAGCGACTCGACAGCGGTTTCGAACGGGTTGCGAAGCAGGGCCGTGAAATCGCTGCCCATTCTGGCAAAAGACATCGTGCTGTATCCTAGTTGGGTCAACAACGATGACAACGAAGATGAATCCTGTATGCCATCCAGGTTCTCATGAATGACGACGGTCAACTGCTGGACGTTATGTTGGACATAACGAGCAACCAGGTCGAGTGCCCCCTCTTCCTGGTGTCGATCAGAAGCAGCCATTCCGAGGTTCATGAAGATAGAGTTATACTGAGAGACGGTTTCGTATACGACTTCGCGAAACAAGTCGATGTACCGGCGTAGGTACCGGATTTTGTCGTTCTTCTCGTTATGTAGCCCTTCTACTGCACTACGCATGTGATCGACCCGGCTTTTTAGGAATACCATCCGCAATTCTTCTTCTGACAACCGGTCCATGCGCCGAAGGAATCCGATCGTCTTGGCCATGGCGGGCAGCTTGATCGATTCGCGGAGGAGTCCCAGTAGTTGGGACAACTGCATATCCATGACTGACTCCATGGATCGGGCGACGGATCGCACGATCGCAAGGTCCGGGTACCGCCGTGCGACCTGGTTGATGTGGGCAGCCAACTCCATTGCCTCTTGATAGTACCCGTTTCTCACGCATGTGTCAACCAATTGAGGCACTTCCAAAATGTCAAGTAGGGGGTCCTGTTGCTCCAAAATGACCGAAGCTCTCTCCCGATCGATCTGTATTCCCCGGGTAGACTTTGCGAACGACAGGCATTCATCCTCGAGCTCGGGAATGGCCTCGAAGAGGTCGTCCAGCGAAGCGGTAAAGTCGTCCAGTGCAGTCGAAATGGAGGACGAACATGCGTGTACGTCGATGAAGATCTTGTTTTCTCGAGCACATAGCCCGGTCAACTCTCTCTGCACGAAATCCGCTTCATCTGCGATCCGAGTAGGCTCAGAGGTAAGGGATGCTAAGGAGTATCCCGCCAGCCGCGTTAGGTATTCGTTGGAAGCCCGAGAGTTCGGATGATCATCCCGACTGTCGGATGGGCCGGACTGGAGGATCTCGTAGAAGCGATTTCCATATTCTACCTTGCAGATATCGCAACGATGTCAGTCATACGATGTTTGATGGATGTCAAGATAGAGGTCCGTACCCGTCATCGCGTAGGCGGGAAACTTGTTCGAGTCGTCTCGAACTAGCGACTCTTTGGTATTCTTGAGCTCTGGAACTAGGGAGGGGGTCCTGATGATGAATTGATATATCTTGTATTTGGGGAGTAGACGTGACGATATTAGACGTTCGACTAAGCTATACAAGTAGGTAGTAGGTGCTGGACCCCCCGGCCGTATTTACTTCCGAGATTTGACTACTTCCGCCCTTCGGAAGCATATCCTGGCGGCGGGAGACCTGCTGCTAGACCTGAGGTAACTGCGTCTCTGCTGGTCTCCAATGATCTGCAACGATGATAGCGACAGAACAGCCATCCTGCACTCAGCGGGATGGATAACAGAGGTCTAAACTCGCCAACCATCTTCAGTTCTTGTGGTAGTATCTGCAAATGTCATGTCTGGCCACTTACAGAAACGCCAAGGCACCGATGCTTACATCTTCCTCATCCGCGCTCATGATGGTCGCTGGCAGGATCGGGGTCCAGATCACTGCCAGGGTCAATGTGACGGCCGGTGGGATGACAGAAAAGTAGGTGTATCGTTTCTTCTTTTGAGGATCAACCTCGGTCGAAATATGATTTGCCACAAACCCTCGGAGCCAAATGATAAGGGTGCAAAGCAAGCAACCCAGTCCCACTGTTCGCGGTATCACAACTTAGTGGGGACCAACGAAACGACAAACAACCAACACATACGCATGGCCGAGATGAAGGCGAATACGGGCCCCAGTCTCAATCTTGACGAAACTTTGATCGATTCCTGAGGCTGGTTCCATGGTGGGCCGATAACGCACCTACTAGTACGCATTGACAGACGCCGGGGGATCAGCAGCGTTCGTACATGAGCAGTTTCGCTCGACTCGCCTGCGCCCTCCATCCACCTGGGAACAGGATTCCCATACTCCTACGACATCTGATCCGACGCTCCATAGCGGCGAATCGCTCCGGCTGAACAATGGCAAGGATAGGCTCGCGATCGCGAAGAAGCAGAGGATATACAAGCTAACGCTGTAATGAAGGGTCTTACGCTCCGACGGCATGATTGGTTTCGTCGAATCCAACAATTCGACTGGACCACAATGAACATGTCTCGAGATACAATCTGCTCTTATCTATTCACGGAGACCCGGGATCTTGCATGTTTGGCCCTGGTTGTTTTGACAGCGTCTCAGACGTGAAACCGGAATCGCTTGTTTCATAAAGGAAATATAAAGGAAGTACATACGGAATCCTCGAGACGCGACCGTGGTTCCTCGTCATATAGCTGTGCCCCATTCTATGGGACTAAGAGCGTCTATGGGGATATCGGGAAGCACAAAGCAGCTTTCCTCTTTCGGTGAAAGCAAGATGCCAGCGATGCCGGCAAGGCCGTGTTGGAAACGAAGGTCCAAGTCGTAGTCGCCTAGGCTGTCATCTTCTTTCGAAGGAGTATCATTTGCGGATGGCCAAAAAGTCTTCAGGCAGAAGTCTCCAGTCGTCACTGGGGTCAAAAGACTAAAGCTTTGGCTTGAGCGTGAGCTCGTGGACGATGGAGTCGTGCTGCCATCGCGTCCATATGCCAGATGCAGTGGCGGACTGATTCTGTCTGTGACCGCTTCGCCGCCACAGAACAGAACCGGCCCTTGAACGTTCCGCGATGAATGATTGTCGGATGGTTCGAAGTAGCGGCGATTGAGCTCAAGCTGAGGTGGTGTCGGGAAATCATATTGATCAAGGGATAGCTCTGAATAGAGGCTGGAGATGGATGTGCGACGCTGGCTTTGGGTCTGGGCGGTGGACTGCTCCGCGGGCGCCATCTTTGTGGTCGACAAGCGAGGCGAACCATGTCCTGCTTCAAGCAGAGTTGTCGAATTGTTTTCGAGCGATACCGTGGTGCAGGAGGGGTTCCGCGTTTTGCATCGCTCTGTACTCGGCTCCGAATGTGAACGAACCATGTGGTTGGTAGGCTTGGTCCCGCGAGCCGTCGGTGCACTACATGCTACACGTCTGTGGTGATGGCACGTAGCAACCCCAGGGGAAGCAGGTTGCGCGACAGGACAAGGCGATCGGCGACGGTCGCGGGAATATATCGTGCTCGCTACGTTGTCATTCTCTGACTCTGGTCGACATCCACACCATCCCATGATCTGCCTGCGTTCGCTACCGGCTCCGGCTGGACCGGCTGGCTTCATCGATCCGTATATGCCTCTTGCCCTCTCGATTTCAGGGGACTTGACTCGGCCGGGTAGAGGTAAAGCGTGGTTGGACTCCGGAAGGGACGCTATCCTGTTAGCACTGCTGTCGAGGTCAGCGGAAGCTCACGGACGATCGGCGTGTGGCCCACTCACCGTGAACGTGATATTGATCCGCTGGCTCTTGGAAGTCCTTCACTGCACAGATAACCATCCAGAGATGTCTTTCTTGTCGATATCGGTCGAATCGCCTTGATCCCGGACGACACCGACGATTCACCGAGGCTGTTGACCAGATATGGGTTCCTTCTCGTTCCCCAAATGACGCCTTGACGAGACATGCCTTCCTGACTGTAGTCGAGCATTGGCATTGGCAACGGAGCTGGGCTTCCGGTGGCCCCAGGTGTGAAAGCAACACGGCCGGCATCCGAAGGCACCGGTCGGCCCCTCAACGCAATATTCAAACCGACTCTGGAAGTGTTGCCTATCGTGGATCGTCGATATTTGATGGGCTCGAGATTCGGCAAGCCCAGATCAGCTGATATGGAAGCCTCTGTGGATTGTCCCGCCACCAGTCGGATGGAAGGTATGCCGTAGTCCATGGTATTTGCTACCTCCATGTCGTATTGTCACGGTACTGAAGCAGATCCGGGTGGTTTCCCTCGTTATGGAAACGCTGCTGTTGTCATCGACTGGATAGTGGCATATTTGTCCACGACGTTGATCTATTTGAGGGGACACGAGGTAGCGGGCTGTTGAGGACCTCGTCAGAGCGATCATGGTTGAGTTGCCGGCGTACAACTGGTCTTTTGTTTGTTGCTTCAGAACTATGGCCCGGCGGTCCGACCCTCGAGAAATCGAATATCGATCGAACGAAGCTTGGCGGGTGTGCACATGTGTGTCGATCAGTCGATGATGGGCGATCACTTCATCTCGCGTTTCCGTGCCTGAGGCAGGGAGGGTATAACGCCACCTCATGCCAGCCACCTATGCGACGCGTCCTTTCATCTGCCACACCGTGCTCGACAGTACCCGACATCGAATGGCTTGATAAACCGTATGCGTTCGTCGTTCACAACATGGCGGGAGGCGCCGCGGACGCATCCGTCGATCTTCGTTCGATCGATCATCATATCACCACGTACAAGGCGGCCTGCCGTAATCAGTCCCACTGTATAGCAGCCAACTGATTCTCCACCCATCCCCAGGTACGATCCTGAGCATGTTTCTCACTGGCCAAGAGCTCTGTCCCCCCAGAGTCGCCCGCCTTACTGGCTCCATACATCAAGGCCGAATCCGTAGCCGGAATTTCCCAACCGCTTGCTAGCGTAGACGCCCACCGATGACATATATATGTATAGGTCTCATCTCCGACGCCATGAACTGACCATTCGGAACGGTCGTTGGAATGGTCGAGTTGCGGTTCAACTTGTCCTGCTACCTCCTTGTTCTTTTCGAGCTGAACGAGCAAAGGCTGAACCCGGAAGTAGCGGCCCAGCGCATGAAAGAAGGGCTCCTCAAACTCGAGCGAACGCGTTTTGTCTGCTCTTACACCAAAAACAAACATATCATTCGCTGAGTGAATGGATCCGGAACCATGTAACAGATAGATTGTACTCACAGGAAAGTATGACCTCTGGGCCACCGACCGTGTCATCCCTCGATTCGGACGCTTTGCCGAAAGGAGGCATCGTGACTTGAAGCAGGGAACGAAGTAGTAGCGGATACAGATGTGGGAAATAGACCTGTCGACGTTCCAGGATCAACTGTTTGTGGTGTACGAGGTATGCACCGCGCCGAGAAGAACCTACCAGGTCGATCAGGAGCACGTGTGTCAGAGATCTCTTCTCCGACGCTAGCTGTCGTGCAAGTTGACCGCCCATTTCTAGATCTCCCCATGCCAAGGGTACGACGTCTACCTCGACTTGCGCGACTCCTGCTTGTCGCTCGTGTTGATCTCGCCATTTTTGTACGTTCCGTCGACAGAGCGGTATGACATCTGGGAGGTCGCTCAGGAAGACTTTGGGAAGAGACTGCCCATCGGCTGGAGGCGGGTTGTCTTGTCCTCCCGCAAACTGATTCAGAAGATGTAGTGTAGCCATGGACTGGCCAGAGCCTAGTTCCAAAATCGTCACAGGACTTTCGTCATCCGCCAATGGGCTGTCCGATTGCGCAAAAATCGTCGATGCGGGAGAGAATTGGTTGATTACGAGAGCGCTTGGTCTGCTCAGATATGGCAAAATGGGATAAGAAGCATCCCTGTTTGAAGACAGTACTTCTTAACAATCCACACGCTCGATCCCTTCGCACCGATTGCGCAACAGGGGTGTAAAGGCTCACCAGATCCTGCCAGCTATTCCATAGGATTGAATCGCGTCATCCTGCTCGAAATCGTCTACGCTTTGTTCTGCTTTAGCGTGTCTCGATGGTCCGATCGACAAGTTGGCGGGGAAGTTTGGGTGTCTCGAAGGGTCCGACATGCTTTCGATCTGCGAATCGACGGACGTTTGTGATGGGAAGTGATTATTTCTTTTAGCTCTAATCGCAGATCGCCTTGCTTAGCCTCGAAACAGCTGAGACTTGTCGAGCTTGAGCGAGATGATGTCATCATCGACTTGGTTCGGCGATCTCCGAGCAATCCGCTGGTGTGTCGTTGCTTTGATCAGCGAAGGGGAAACAGCATAAAGGAACTCTTAATACAAGATCAGAGCTCCTTCTCGGAATGTCAACTCATCTTGCCACCTCTATTCAAATTATCACCAGACGATCATACAATACGATGGGTGAGTACACGTCTGCAGTAACGTTCGACCCGAACAATCAAGAAGGGAAGTTCCGGTGTTGATAATGGTCTGCCCGTATCTAGCCGAATACTACGTCAAGTACAAGAGCGCCGACGATGCCGACAAGATCAGAGCTTTCCGAGAGAACGTGGAGAAGAACGGCAAGTCGACCAGAATCCGTTATCCATCTTTGAGATCACCCACTAACAATACGGCGGGGAATACAGGGGGAACGATCGTATCTGAAAGCCTTTCCAAATGTATGTGATTCCCCCAAGACATCTTCTCCGTTGCCAAGATTAACGATCAGACATACTGACCTCTGGCCCCATATGATCAAAAAGTTGCCCCTCACGCCGTGATCAAAGTCAAAGACGGTGAAGGGTTTGCATCGGACCTCGCATCGAACCCAAACTCCTTGACTGAAAAGCACCCCGAGATCGTCCAATACGTTGGTAAGTCCGGGCGAGGCACAAATTGGTGACCGAACATGCTGGCTAACCGACACATTACATATCAGAGCCCAACGGCGAGATGAAGACTCAGTAGATTGTTCAACGCAACTGAATCTGTGAGGATAGTGTCATATGTCGAATGTATGACCAAGTTATGAATGCCATCGGTTCGGTCAAAGCACAGTACGAGGCGATGCCTCTAATCGACACCGTATGTCACAGTGATGTGCGGTGCCCGTGGAGATCTACAACGTGATTTGGCTGCATGCACCAAGCGAGTTCCTCTATACCATTCTACTGTTCTTGATAACATGGCTTCACCTGTACATGGGCCTGCAGTACGTTTGCGTATGAACGGTATACAACTATCTTCGGGTGTATTATAGATGCCCCTCTCACTTGGGTGCGTTGACTTGACTCGGAGAGCCTTTCGAAGCGTTACTCGTGCCGGTTGTTCCAGATGTTGTGCTTAAACTCAGCGGACGAAGGTTGGCGAATTTTGGGTCCGGTTTAACCGGTTTAGGCTGCTGCCAGCTGGCCAGCTTGGATCCAAAGAAGCTACCAATCCCTCCTATCGTAGACCGGACATCTGGCAAGGACGAAGCCACTGGCGAAGCCGATGTAGGTGTCGGGTTGTCCGGACTCGGTTGACCTTCCCTCTCCCGCAGCCGATTCGTGACCTCCGACCGAACCCCATCGAAGGCGCGGAACAGGCTGGAAGACCCGGCGGCGAGTGCCGAACCGATCGCCTCTTTTGTCGGTCCAAGCTGATCAGGAATGTGCAGATCATATAGTCCCTCTATAGGGTTGTGAATTCACTTAGTATAGTTCAGTTGGAGGACGCATATTGACAAACTCACCGGTCAGTCGAATACCAATATCCGAGATGGCATTCGCTTTCCCTTCGCAAGGATGCCTATTTGCGCGCGACGTTAGGATTATGCAGTGTTCGTCTCATCAATGTAACTCACCTAGGTTCACAGATATCGAACAGAAGCTCATCGGTTGACTTGTACCACGTCTTACATGCGCTGGTCTCCTTCAATGCTAGCAGCCACTTTTCGGAGAAAGGTGCCGAAACGTTCAGAGGTAACTCTTCACATGGTATAGACGTCAGCGGACAACACATAGTAGGATATGATGAATAAAAACTCACCTCCTGGCATGGGTATCGAAGTCTGCCCGCTGACGATGTAGTCTGCGTACTTCATGGTCGACAGCGCGCTACATATATACTCCTCGAATTTGCTGCGCAGATCGTCGTCGCTGCCCCTAAATCTGTGTTGGACATCAGTTCGGTACTTTTACGGCGTTAAGCACGCTATACTCACGACATTCCCATAGGCCGCGTTGGATCGCTCTGCGGTACCGCAATCTGTCAGCATGCGCTCATAACCTGATAAAGCAAAACCACTCACTGGGTTCCAGGTCTCCTCGACGCTCTTTACTACCTGGTCCATCCATACCCTGTCGCTTGGTGTCAGGCTAACAAGTTTCTCAAGCTCCTTGTCCTGGAACTCGAAAGTGTTTTGATCGATCTGTATAATGTCCGCGACGTCAGCACTCGATGCGCCGCATTCCAGTTGAAATTTGAGCTCACATTGATCAGCAGATCCCATTGACAATCCCTCTGCTGAGTCACGATGCTATTTGTTGTTCCCACCAGCCATGATCCCGCCGTAAGCATCTCGATCTGCTGTAGAGGCAGGTATGGCTGGAAGAAGGCATTCTAAGGCGCAATCAAAAGGGCTTCAGTGAGCAGGCGCACGCGATCTTCCTGTACATCTCATGAACTACTCACGGCACCGAAAGTATGCAACGGCAGCCCCATATACCGCAGGAGACTGTTCCGATCACTCGTCCGTAACGACGTAGGACGCTTAGCCTTCTCTGACCGGAAGTCGAGATCCGGTCCTCCAGCATCAGCTAGGTTCATCAAGAGACCTGTGAATTAAATGACGAGATTATGGTAAACTCGAAAAAACCTTGCATGATTTCCTACCAGAATTACCTGGCATCAGGGAGATTAACGAATACTGATACGTGCATAGCCGTTCAACGGGATACCCGTACAGCATTATCTAAGCGGGAGAAAGCAGTATCGTTGTCGGACCTTGATGCTTGTGGCGAGGAAGTCGAGACGGGTTACGTACTCGCTTTTGCAGCATTAGCAGCTTGACGATAGTAAGCGTCCGGTGGCGGAATTTGTGTAGTAGTTCTCTCAAACTCGTTCCTATGCATGGACGACTCAGCTTATAGCGCACAGCATGGAGCTCTACGGGAGGATTGATTCACTCACCGATATACATGCTAGACTCGTTCCCCTTGTCCCGCAAGCTAACTTCGATACTATTATAAAACTGCGGCAGCAATTCTGTGCTGGAAAAGTCTCTGTCAAACGGCAAAACCCGGGCTCGCTAAGTGCCAGGGCTCTGGAGAGGGAGTCTGGAGATATGATCACTGACCGTTGTGCAAAGAAAGCCCGCGTAACCACACCCAGCTTATCCCTAAAGTAAGAACTACAATTCAGTGTCATCTCTTCCTTCTTCTCGACAAGTGACATCGTCCGTACCGTAATGGCCCCTGTAGAAACCCTAGGGTCTTAGCGAAAGTATCCAGTTTCATCAAATTGTGAGACACTCACAAATACCGGCCGAGAAGCCAAGACGACAACCGCCTTCTGCACGGTACTCCTCGTTACATCTTCCCCCTTTACAAGCAGATCCGCAGCCAATATCTGACGGTTGCATCTAACAACACAAACGTCCGCTTGGGATTTAGCGTTGATATTTATCGAAGTGCTGAAAGAAGCGAGTGCACTGACGATATTCCGAAGATGGTCTGGTTCTGGGGCAATTCGTCCTCTTCGGCGATCTCATCTGTGGTGCCTGTCGAGTTGGGAATCGGAGCGTATACGCAATGCTGTTCACATCGATCTCTGAACCAGGTCAGACATCGCTCAGACGTCTCTACAATTATCCTTCACTTACGAAGTACGAATAGTCTTCTTCGCTCTACACAAGCAAGAAAATCAAACCAGTCAGACAGACTGTCTGATATGCAGGCAAAGCTAGGACGCTGGCACTGACGAGATGAGCTCCATCTGGTAGGGCCAAGAACGGTAGTAACCGGTTCAACTCCTCGTCCTTCTCCAAAGCCCTGGTAAGAGCGGGCGGATGACTCCATTCGACCGTAGGTCCAACCTACTGACCCAAGCCCCGTCAGCCTGCCGTCTTCACATGAAGCAACGAATCCATCGAAGGACTTGCCAAGTGATTGAAATCCACGACTGCGAGACCTAGCACGATCTCCGCTTTAGGCTGCCACGAATACGTGAGCGGTCCATCTAATCCCGGAGAGCTCAATGGAGTCTCCGCTCTAGACTCTCCTGCAGGAGTCGGTGCTAGCCTGACCTGGCTGTTCTTCTTCGGCGTCTCCAACGTCCTCAAAGCAGAAGTCCTAGGTGCGTTGAATGGGTTCGCAGCCGATGGCGGGTAGGTGGTCCCGCTGCCCGACTCCCACGGTGATGGATCGGATTCCTCTGAGAGATCTACCGGTTTGGCCGGGGGAAATGTCGGGGATAGCGAGGGCTCTTGATAAGACAAGCGGTTGCTGGAGACGTCTTTGAGCTCTTTGGCTGGTGATGCTGCTCCCCAAGGGTTATCGACGTTCATCTTCGGTTGTGAGCTCTTGACGAGGATTATGAGGGCGGGTATTGGATCAGACCGCTAGCTGTAAGCCTTATGCCTTTATGTATCGCAAGAGACGTCTTCGAAGATACGCTTTACCAGGACTTCAGCTTGTTAGGTGTTGTCTGAACGACATGAATCGGGCAACCACTTGATCGAGATGAGCGTCATTGCATCGTCGGAACCAGATAATTACTTCCGCAAATACGAAACGCCGAGGGCTTCATTCACAAGTTCACAGACTCGATGCGGATTTCGATTACATGAATTACATGCTACATTTTGGAGCATACACACACCACTAGATATACCACAACGTCCTACAAGACAAAGTTCTATCGATATCTCCCTTCTTTTCGCTACATATTATGGATCCATCTGGTCACGGTCCCTGCTCTAATTCCGAAGCAAAGCGGCCTGTCGAATCTCATTGAGGTCGATGTTCGACTTTTCACACATCTCGGCGAACGCTCCACCCTGAAGGAAAAGGTTCTCCGGTGTATCGAATTCGGCAATCTCTCCGGCCGACATGACGAGGACTCGGTCGTAATAGAGGATCGTTCGAAGTCGGTCTATGAACAGCAGAAGGAGAGTCAGCCGGGGTGCTTTGTCCAGTGCGCAACTGATGTCTGTGGCTCACGAGCAATGCACAGCAAAGTCTTGTCTTTGAACTCATGTCTGATGGTCTGCTGGATCTTAGCGTCGGTGGCGAGATCGACAGCCTGATGAACGACGAGCGGGCAAAAAATGTCAGCCGATGTCCATAGCCGATATCTGTTCATCCTCGAGTATACGCACAGCAGTGGCCTCATCCAACACGACGATCTTGGCATCCCGCACCAGAGCACGGGCCAAGCTGACAAGACTACGTTCCCCAGCCGAAAAGTTGCTTCCATCCTCATCGACCTGGGTATCCAACGTGAAACGGGAGACCGGCGTCGGGGCCGAATCCGGGGACGCGGTGCCGGTGGTGCCGTCCAAGGTCATGCTCTTCCTGATAGCCAGATCGCTCGTTTGAGAGTCGACCAAGTGAGCTCGTCGAAGAGCGTCCCAGAGCTCGGCGTCGGTCTGCAGTGTGAGTGAATGGAAGTCAGCTTCGAGCGCGATATCAGGGTTGGAAGATGGATGCAGACCTTTTCGCTAAAGGGATCAATGTTGGAACGGATAGTTCCACTGAAGAGCACAGCTTCTTGCGGGATGATCGAGAGCGCTCCTCTGAGGTCGGAGAGACCCAATGTCGAGATATCGACTGCGTCGGAGCAAGATATTAGCGTTAGTTAAGCTCCTACAAGAAAGGCACGGATCGAACTTACGACCATCGATCTTGATTGATCCAGAACGCAGCTCGACCAGTCTATACAAAGTACTCATGATCGTGGACTTTCCAGCTCCGGTCCTTCCTACGACCGCAATCTTTTCGGCGTTGCCAATGTCCATTGACAGGTCCTTGAGTACAGCGGGAAGCTCGGGTCGGTAGCCCATAGTAACATGGTCAAACGTGATCCTACCCTCCGACGGCCAGGTAGCAGGAGGCTTGGCGTCAGGGATGTCGTGAGGGGCTTCTTGGTCCAAGTCGTTGGTGTACTCCAAGACACGCTCGGCGGACGCCATGTCGTTGATGACTTCGGCGACCTGTCGACACAACCAGGAAAAGTTTTGTTGAACAGTGATCATGTAGGACAAGATCAATCCTCCTTGAGCTGGCGAGATTCGGTCCGTCCCAACGACAACGATGATTCCGACGATAAACGTCAAGGTGCTGCCCAAAAAGTCGAGCCTGATCGCCAACCATCTCTGGTTGACGACGGTCAAATAGTACGCTCGGTTCTCGATGGACATATAACGACAATTGTCTTCGATGAATCGCTTCGAGGCGTCGAAACTCCTGATGACAGCGACTCCCGCGAGGGATTCCGAAAAGTGCGCATATAGAGGACTCCTCAAGACACCGTCGATACGCTTGAAAGCGAGGGCACTCTTCTGATACCACCAGGCGAGCTGGAAGTAGATCGTAAAGATGCCACAGACGGCGATCAAGAAGTAAGGTTCGACGATGGCGATCAAGACGATCGCTCCGATAATGCTGGCTCCAGTCGTGATTGCCATTCGCATGGCGTCTCCAAGAGTGTTGTCCAGGGTGTCGATATCCTTTGTCAGTCGGTTCAAGATTCGTCCAAGAGGGGTGGTGTCGTACCACGAGCTAGGAGCGTGCATGATCCGCGTGATCATGCCGTCATGCAAGGCAACACTGGCTCGGAAGACTGCCAAGGCCTGCACGACTCCCATCAAGAAGAGCGAAAAGGCTGAGCCGAGACCGAGAAGGACGTAGAGACCTTCGTAGAAAGAGTAAGGTCGGTTGAACTGATCCTCTTGCCAGTATACAAGCCAGTATGAGGTGATGATCGTCAGAGCCTGAGAGATGGTTACCGCTATCAGGAGTAACGGGACCGTCACCCAACCATTGGCGGCCTTGAGCCATCCTCCGTAAGTTTTGGAGCCCATGTTGCCGGTGTGAACGACCTCGGTAGACATCAGCGTGCTACCGAGACTCGCCGTCATCCTCTCACGAGGCAAGGATACCCTGCCGGGAGTAGCCTCCTCGATAGCCTCCTGCTCGATTTCCTCATTGACCTCTTCAGTGACTTCCTTCTTCTCATCATTGGCGAATTCTCGCATGAGCTGAGCGAAAGCGCCGTTGGCAGTCTTAAGTTCCTCGTAAGTTCCCCGCTCCGCGATCTCGCCGTCATGCATGGTAATGATGTAATCGCAAGCCGGCACAAGATGGATAGCATGGGTAACCAGAATCCTGGTTCCGCTCATGTTGGCAATCGCTTCGAAAAGTAGAGAAGCGATACCAGGGTCGACTATGGCCATCAAAGAGGATCAGCGAAATGCTATCGCTATATACGACAACCTTCAGCTTACCGGCAGCGAGCGGATCATCGAACGCGGTAATGTCGGCCTGGTGGTAGATGGCACGTGCAATGTTGACTCGTGCCTTTTGTCCTCCGGAGAGGTTGACACCCTTTTCTCCGATTGTCTCGGCATCACCGTTAGGCAGCAGATCCAGATCGGTCTCCAGACAAGCTTGATGGATGACGTCCCAGTATCGCTCCTCGTCGAAAGGCCTTCCAAACAGAATGTTCTCTCGGACGGTCGCGTTGCAGATCCAGGGTACTTGCGAGCAAGAAGCCGAGCTACCTCCAAACATGACTTTACCCTCGGTACGCCTCATTTCGCCAAAGAGCGCACTCAACAGCGACGATTTTCCTGAGCCAATTTCTCCAACAACGGCGATGAAGCAATTCCTAGGAATCTCGAGATTGACGTCCTTGAGCTGGAATACCCGCTCGACGGCTTCGACTTCGCCATCCGCCTCTGCTTCTGCATCCGGACTGAGACCCGGCTGTGCAGCCGTCTCACCGCCAGCGGCTTCTGCGATACCAGGTTTTCCAGCCGCGATCTCGGCGTGCATTTCTTGTGCGACCTCGACTTTGCCAGTCTTCCTGTTCCTGATCCATCGGAAAGGCTTCTTGGCCCTGTCACCGAATCGCTGGCGCTTTCCGGCTTGACCGTTCTTGCCTGCTCCTCCGAATCCGCCCTTCTTCGCTTTGGGGTCGTCCGGTACGGGCTTTTCGGAAGAGTCCCACGTGAAGGTGGCAGACTCGATTTTGACGGCATAGTCGGAGTTCTCGTCGACAATCCTTTCAAGATGGACAAAGCAGTAAAATCAGATACTCGATGGAGGACCGCCACATTCGATATCTACTCACCTGGTCTCGGCAAAGACCTCGGCCATGAAAACGTTCGATAATCGTCCCAACGCGTTGTATGCATCGGTGATGGCGCTCAAGGTCATCGGGTAAATCATCAAGGGCAGTCGCAACAGCTGGAACAGCGTCAAGACGGTAAAGAGCGTGGCCGGGTCAAGGTCTCCTCCGGTCGATGCGTAGGTCACGAAAGATAAGATGGCGGCGATGACGGGGACTGAACGATCAGAGCAAGTGGTGTTCAGCGAGTATTCGCGCGGTTATGCGAACGAGGTTGCAACTTACTACTCATGGCGATGGCCATGTTCGCACTCCTAGTGACCATCAACTTCCTGATATACTTCAACTCGTTCTGCCTGATCCCGTCGAGTCGCTTGAGGAACGGTTTCTCCCACGCCATGAGCTTGACGACCTTCATCCCGGCCAAAAGCTCCTGCAACAGCCTGGCTCGTTTGTCGGTCCAGACCATGGCCTTTCGACGGATCACAAAGAGGTGCTTGATGATAGAGGTCTGACCGGGAGACAAGATGAGGAGGAAGGCTGCGTAAGGGGGTGGGGATCAGCTACGGATCAGATTGCCGGATGGGGACGCGCTATACATACCGATACCGACGAGCGCGCTCGCCTTGATCTGAACGAGCAAGATGATAACGACGACGACGAATTGGACTGCGAAAGCCGGTTCATCAGCACGTGGGCAGAAGGGCGCATGCCAGACTTTTTCGACCTACTCGGTGCAGTCCAGACCATGTGGAACATTCCCGCGGCGAAGTCGATACGCGAGATATCGGTACTGATATGGTTGACCAGCTTTCCGTTGGGATGTTGAATTCTAGATCGGTTGGTCAGGTTGATCGCACCTGCGCATTTCAAAGCACGTAGCAAACAGCCCGTCAATCTCATTTTGAAATTCTCCGGTGTGCCTAAACCACAGAAGTGACTCACGTTCATACAAAGCCGAAATCAACGCGGCCCTGGCCAACACACCCGTCCCAGCCGACCTCATAAAAAAGTGATTAACACACAGGGTCGCCAGCATCAACAGGCAGAACAACCCGATACACATTCCCACGCCCCGTCCGACACTGGGCGCATCGGTTCCAGCCCTCCGAGCGTTGGTGTGTTCGGTAGAGAATCGAATGATGGCCTTGACCAAGAGGGACGTCATGACCTGCGACAAGTCACCTACAACCTAAAGTGCGTGACCGAAAAAAAAGCAGGTAGAAATGATTTAGCCCGTGTACCTGTCACTGCCACAATCACGTCATCGCGCCAGCCAAGCCGACCCACCTTGATAGCTCCGGCCGACCAGAAGTACCACCCAAACACGTCCGTCAGAGCCCAAGCGAGGTTAGGCTTCTGCTTCCCCGTCCTATTCTTCCAATCCTCTTCCTTCTCCGCCCTCGTCTTTCCCTTTTCCTCCCCCTTTCCGAAAGCCCACTTGATCCGTTTCTTCAGTGGAGGCTTGATCTCGCCCTTCTCGAGTTTGATATTGTACTCGTCGGCATCGTTCCACCGCTTCTGAAAGTTGGCTTGGAGTTTCCTCGAGAGGGCATCGGCTTCCCTATCGGGTGGTAAGCGGTACAAGTCTTCCGGAGCCAACTGTCGAGACGCTCCCAGGGCCATGATATTGGTGATCCAGGAAAAGGTGATGAGGGAAAAGATGTTGGCCTTAGCATCTGGTAAGGGTTTAGCATCGTCCAGGGAGTCCGGCGGAGGAGGGGGCGGGTGTTTAGGTTTCATGAACGGGAGGGGCAAAGAATGGTGATATCGAGGTTCGGTATAAGGTCCTCCGGACAAGACCATCTTGTCCTTGATGATCGCCTTCCCCGTCAGAGCTTCGGTCCCTAGGAAGACCTTGTCCCCGTCGAGCTCGACGACGTTGCCATTATCATCAACGGCCTTTTTCTCATTATCGCCGTCCCGCTCACCACTCGGTAGACGGACGCTGACGGGTCGAGCCGTCTGCTTTTCGTTCAACTCGAGCGGCTTGCTTCGAGGCGTCTCTTGTCGACTGACGGTGGTAGAGTCAAAGTCCTTGACCTTGGTGGACTGGGAAGACGAGCCATTGTTGCTGTCCGAACCTCGTACAGTGGATTCGTCAGCGAAATCGGCATCCTCCTTTTTCGACCCGAGGTCGACGTCTTGCAATTCCTCTTCAGTCTGCTCAGGCACTGGTTCTTCTTGCATTGGCAATGTTGATGACACGGGTATTATGGTCGAGGTCGTTGTCGTTGTAGGTGCGACGTTCGACGTCGTCGAGACGGGTGGCCCGAGGATGTATGGCTGAACCACGGCTCGATCGTTCGCGGGATCGGCATCACGATCGCGATCGTCGTAAGACATGGTTGAGTCTCTCTGTCTGCTTTCGTCCTAGATGGACAGTGGCGGCTAGACGTCCTCTTTCGACACTGTTGGGTATGATTATGAAGGAAGAGGAAAGAGTTGGTATCGAGACGAACGAATTGAAGAGGCGGGAATATGTGGGAAGGAGGAGGGGTGCGGGGAGGGAAGGGGAGTTCTAAATTCGATCCTCGTGTGCCGCGACTTATAAAGAAAAAGCTCTCCCTCCTCTGCGATTCACGGCCAAATCCGACGAGAGGACGGCGATCGCTACCTGCTGCTCCTGCTGTATCTCTCTCTGGCCGAGGTGTGGACGGTATGTGCCTCGGAAGGGGGCCGGGACGATTGCGTGTGTTCGAGTTGCACAGAGGGATCTCTGACCTCTGGCCTCTGGAATACTTCGAGATGTGGTTGCTGTAGGAAACCGATTATCAAGCAAAAAAGGAAGGAGGCAAGACGCGAAGACGCGAGTCGCTTTTGAAAGGAATCCCAATTTCCGAGATCCTTCGATGGCCACGCTCTTCCACTCAAAATCTCGATATCACCCTCGGTCTCGCGAACGCATCATCATTCGTTGTAACAACGTGCCATCCCCGCAGCCTTCGGGGAGTTGCAACTCAAGAGGAATTACCGAAATACACTCTGCAGCTGCAGAGAACCGGGTCCGACCAGCCCGTCCCTAGCCTCGGCCAGGGATTCCCCCTTGATGACCAAGCGGCGCGAAATCGCGTTCGGTCAGATCCGATGGCCGAAGAAGAAGAAAGGAGGATCGTCGGCATTCGGTGAAACCCAGCCTTCTGCGCCTTGTGCATTTGAAGTTGAGTATCTTGAGATCCAGAATCAAGACAGAGATAGAGCAACGATCGAGTCATTATCGAATGACCTGGCTGCAAGGAAAGAGTTGTACGTTACGAGACACGACCGAGACCTCGATAGCGTCAAATCGCTAGCAGCGAAACAACCTGATAGGCCGCCGGATGCCCGTGTCCATACTCCTGCGGTCATCCGTCGGGATCGCTCTCGCATCCCAAATTTCACAGATTACCTGCCGAAGAGCATGTTACGAAACGCTTGGCCTGCCTCATGCCTAGATCGTTCCAGACTTCCTTGCAATCTATCGGGGTCTCGTGTGACCTGATCAGGGCCATCCATCACACCTGCGCCTGAACAAAGAAGTCCCTTGCCGACGACCCTCTCGGCGATCTCCGTAGCTGAGGGGTAAGATGCATGATCGCAAGATCGGCAAGGTCCGACGTTTCACCTTCCGGCTCGAATGCATCAGATAGCACCATCGATACCTCGATAAGTGACATGATAGGCATGGTATACGACCAGCACTAGTGACATCACAGCTGAATTTCTGGTCTGGTCCAGCGCCTCACGTAGCGTTTCTGATGGCGAACAAGTCCTTCTTGAGCGCAAACGTTTTTCTTGGCTTGCGAGAACAAGAACTCGTGCTCCGACCTCTTCGTTCGGGACTGCACCAGGGTTTCATAGCCGTCCTAGGCTTTCCGGATGACAGGCTTGTATACTCTATCCTTGCTTCTGTCCTGCAGGGAATTCTACACTTCGCTTGTCCAAGACAGCCCAATCAGTAATAAGGCAGAAGAGAAAGGTGCCGTTAAAGCAGTCATCCCCCACGTTGCCAGAGATCTTTTGCCCCAATCTTGAAGTTCACACCCATTCATTGAGACTTCTAGCACAGCCCTGCACACCGACTATGCGGACTTGCGGAAGCATCTGACTGTGGACTATTGCAATAAGGACGACGCATATGTTGCGGTGAAATATTTCACCCCTTGATCCGTTTACGATCACCCCTTAACCGGTTCCGCTTGACGGTTCCGCGACGGCCGCTGAGCTGCGTACACTCGGGAATCGTAGTTGAGGGAATCAGGCGAATATGTTCCTGTCATCGCATACAGCATGCCACAAGGAGTGGCGATCGAGAGAGCTCGTATGAGACTTGGGAACCACTCGTGTAGCTCGAATTTCTTTTATGCGGTTGTTATCATCGTGGAAACGATATCGACGGTGATCCCCTCCAGACAGACTGTATCAATCATCGATCACCCATCAGACCGTCGTGTCGTCTTGAGTGCAAGCGCCCTTTTCATTCGGAAGCGCTTGGCCCAAGAGCAGATCTCTAATCCTGCTCTATGTGATGACATAACGGCCTAACCCTTGGTGAGACGACGATCTGACTGGTACCCATGGAACGTCTCGGCGGCGGGACACAAGAAGAGCAATCGGCTCGTCGACAAAAATGATTGTGCCGAGACAGCGTTGGACTGCATATCACTGTGTAGACACTTGTTTCTGCGGGAAGCTGGTGCAGCGCTGCATTTGGGAGGTCTCGATCCGCACAATGAACTCGGCTACTTTGTCATGATCGAGCAAACAGGGTCATCTGCGGATCGACATTTCACCGGAAGGCTGTTCTCCCAAACATTCATTGAGGGGTATGCAAGGCAAGAGATCACTAATGGGGGTCTGTGTGTGCTGGGTCTTTGCCGCAGCCACCTTCCACATTGAACCTCATGCACCCCGGTCATTCTTGTTCATTGACGGCCCGAGTCACAGTCTCGATTCGCCGGCTTTCCCGCGCCTTTGATGTATCTAACAATGAGGGCAAGGCGACGGCTGGCTTCAATGCGAGACAAAACCCGTACTTAGGAGAAGACATATGCCAGCGGGATTTCATGATGCTCTTGCTACTACAGCGACAACCTTCCGCGCGACGACCAATCGCGAAGAGTCGGGGAATGAGGCGACACTCGTGAGAACCTCTCCTATCTACCCCTCTCAGATTCGAAGGCTCCTTATGGTATCATCTCTTCAGACATGACAGAAACAGAGTCTAGTGATATATGTCCGCCAGGCTCTACCGGCTATTCGTATCGATGAGCTGAAACGCGACCCTCCCTGGAAGCTAGATACGCGACGCCCATACAGATGCCGTAAGTGATGGAGTGGAATGATGGGTGAGGGCGGGGGAGGGAATAACCGGTAACCGGTCGGATCAGCACAGGCTCGGGGGGCAGCCAAGCGTTCCGTCCTTATAACTACTACGAGCACTTTACTTGGATGTCTAGGCCACCTCTGTCTCTAGATCTCTAGCCTTCGATTGAACAACATCTCCTGAATACCATCCAAAGATCTTGAACAAATCACTTGTCGAACCAGCCGCCATCCGAGAGCCATCTTCGCTACGAGCTACAAGTCGAACCATAGGAACCAATCCCTACCCCTCACATAATTGCATATCGACCTTGAACAACAATCGGACAAGATGTCGGGTCAGGTCAAGTACGATGGCCAGGTAGCACTGATTACCGGAGCAGGTAGCGGTCTCGGACGATCGTAAGCCGTCTCACTTCAATCCCACTCCGGATAGTAGTCTAAAGAAGAGGACGTCCTCGCAGATACGCCTTGTACTTCGGATCGAGGGGCGCCAAGGTGGTCGTCAACGACGTATCACAAGAAGCCGCTCAGAAGGTCGTCGACGAGATCAAGCAAGGTGAGCCTCTGTCCCCCTCATCTCCCTGTTTTCCGGCTCCGAGAAATCAGATACGAACGCAGGCTGAACTCTGACTCTGATATACTGTACGACTCTCCTTGTAGCCGGAGGTCAAGCGATCGCCGCACCGGGGAGCGTGACCGAAGGTAAACCCATCGTGGACCAAGCCGTCAAAGCGTTCGGTACTGTACACATTCTTATCAACAATGCTGGGATTCTCCGTGAGTCCTCCTATGCACCCGACTTTCCTCGCCCCCTCCCCCCGCCATACTGCGTTTTCTCCCTCCATCCCTTGAGTAACGGTGCCCATGCTGACAGCGAATCGCATTGATCTTGGTGTCGATGTTGATGGACATTAGGTGACAAGTCGATCAAGAACATGGACGACAAGGAATGGGACCTCGTCGTTGCCGTCCACCTGAAGGGGGCTTACGAGATGACGAAAGCGTGCTGGCCGTTGTTCAGGGGACAGAAGGTGGGTTGTCTGTCCCACATTTTTGTGTTCCTGATGATGTCCAGCGTCCAACGATTCTGATCGGCTCGGTGTCGTGTCGGGCATAGTACGGACGAGTGATCAACACCTCCTCAGCCGCAGGGTTGTACGGTAACCTAGGTCAGATCAACTATTCGGCCTGTAAAGGTAAGTCTCACCCCTTGACAGCATCAGACCCTGAGATCGAATTTACCTGCTGATTGCGAGTGCTTGGTCTGGTTTTAGCCGGTCTGATCGCTTTCACCATGACTTTGGCCAAGGAGGGTATCAAGTACAACATAAAGTCGAATGTCATCGCACCTGTGAGTCATCTCATCACAACCGCAAAGATTCCTGCCAAGCTGTTCTGACCAGGTTCGATTCGTGTAATATTTGTTAGATCGCCGCCTCAGCCATGACCGCTACCATCATGCCTCCCGATATCCTCAAACACCTCACCCCCGAGTTTATCGCTCCCGTAGTCGGTGTGCTTACAGCTCCCAACGTAAGTCGTCCCGTGATTTGCTTGATGTGAGTCTAGCTGACGAGAGGCACACGCTGTTATCGACGAATTAGGGACCGGACGTGAACGGCCGGATCTTCGAGCTGGGTGCCGGTTTCGTCTCTGAGATCAGGCGACAACGGGCAAAGGGTGCGTCATACTGTCCCTGACATTATGCTAGGAAAAACATCGCTCACTTTGAGCTAATATGCAGGTGCCAACTTCAAGCCCGACGAATCGTTTACCCCTTCGGCGGTCGCTGCCAAGTGGCAGGAGATCACCGATTTTTCGTCCGGCTCTGAATACCCTGTTGGGATGGAGGGCAAGAACCCTATGGTCAGTCTGAGTTCCTGACCTTCGACGTGAGTATGCCCTGGTGTCCTGACGGTTGTTCCGCTCAATTATCATAGGACCTGCTCAAAGTCAGCAAATCGCTCAGCTCAAACCCCAAGGGTCCCGAGATCGACTTCAAGGGCAAGACCGTTATCATCACGGGAGCCGGAGCCGGTCTTGGAAGGATTTACGCCCTGATGTTCGGAAAGATGGGCGCCAACGTCGTCGTCAACGATGTCAGCAAGGATGGAGCCGAGAGCGTTGTGCAAGAGGTCGTCAAGGCCGGAGGCAAGGCTGTCGCTGCGCCCTTCTCGGCCGAGGACGGCGAGGGGATTGTCAAGCTTGCGCTCGAAAAGTATGGCAGTGTCCACGTCTTGATCGCTAACGCCGGTATCCTCAGGGACAAGAGTTTCCAAGCCATGTCCCCTGCCGAGTGGGACGCCGTTATCGCCGTCCACCTCAAGGGAACCTACAAGTGTATCAAGGCGGTCTGGCCGATCTTCCAGAAGCAAAAGTACGGTCGAATCATCACAACCGCCTCGGGTGTCGGTCTGTACGGCAACTTTGGACAGGCTAACTACTCGACTGCCAAGTCGGGTATCATCGGGATGACCAAGACTGCTGCCATCGAGGGAGCGCGTTACAACATCAAGGCCAACAGTATCGCTCCGAGCGCTGGGACCGCCATGACCAAGACCATCTGGCCTCAAGAGATGGTCGACATGTTCAAGCCCGACTTTATCGCACCGGTCGTAGGTTTCTTGAGTAGCGACGCTTGCCCCGTCAGCGGATCCGTACACGAGGTCATGGCCGGATGGGCTGCCGAAGTCCGATGGGAGAGGACCGAGGGATTCTGTTTCCCCAACGACAAGAAGCTCCAACCGGAAGACGTATTGTCCAAGTGGAAGCAGATCACCGACTTTAGCAAGGCGACCCACCCCCAGACAGCTCAGGAGGCTCAAGAACAGATGTTCAAGAACTTTGGAAACGTTTCTGGGTCTAATTCGGAATCGACTTCCAAGTCGAGCGGTGGTGGAGAGGACACCGAGGCCATCAAGAAGGCCAAGGCTCGCAAGGGCGAAGAGACGGAGTACACCTTTGACGAGAGGGACGTCATGCTCTACAACCTCGGTATCGGGGCCAAGGCTAGCGAGCTTCCTCTGGTCTTCGAGGGGGCCGATGGCTTCCAGGTAAGCAGGGACCGTATTCTGTTCCGGCCGAGGTCGGAATCTCATCTCTGTCATTTGTAGGCTCTCCCTACTTTCGGAGTCATCCCTCAGTTTGGCGCAACAAGCGGGATGAGCTACGACTTTGTTCCCAATTTCAACCCGGTAAGCGCTACTCGCGTCTCGGTTCCAGTCAGGGCTTGTACTTACGGAACCCAACACCGTTCATCAGGCCAAGCTGTTACATGGAGAACAGTACCTAAAGATTCACGGACCGATTCCTACTTCTGGTACCCTCGTGAACCGACCCAAGCTGCTCGAGGTCCTCGACAAGGTAAGCATAAAATGAACTGGTCTGTCTTGGACGACGACCGCTTACCGAACTTGCCGGCTTGCTCAGGGCAAAGCTGCAAACGTGACGAGCGTGGTAGAGACGGTCGATAAGGTCACCGGCAAGGTTGTCTTCACCAACCAGGGTACCGTGGTTCTCCGAGGTTGTGGTGGGTTCGGCGGGCAGAAGACTGGTGCCGGTATGTTTCACGTCCAACGAGCCATTGGGTCGAAGTGAGACTGATCTTGACCGGGTGGACAGATCGAGGACCCGCATCTGCTGCCAACAACCCACCCAAGCGAAAGCCGGATGCCGTCGTCGAGGAGAAGACAACCGACGAGCAGGCTGCCATCTACAGGTGAGGCGGGCCACGCATCTAGGATATGGAAGAGCGTAATCTGATGGGCGGTTCTTCGCAGGCTCTCTGGTGATCGCAACCCGCTGCATATCGACCCCGCCTTCTCCGCTATGGGCGGTTTCAAGAAGCCGAGTGAGTGGCAGAGCGCTAGTGAAGTCGAAGGAGAAGCGAAAGAGACTGATCACTTCGCTTTCGCAGTCCTGCACGGTCTCTGCTTCATGGGTATCGCAGGTAAACACGTCCTGCAAACCTTTGGCCCTTACTCGGACATCAAGGTTCGATTCGCCGGATCCGTCATCCCCGGCGAGACTCTGGTAACAGAGATGTGGAAAGAGGGTAACAAGGTCATCTTCAGTATGTCCTTTCTACAGCTCGGCCATGTCTATTTATCAGATTGGTTGCGCTGACATGCTACCTTTTCGTCCTTCTCAGCCACCAAGGTCAAGGAGACCGGTGCACCCGCTTTGAGCGCCGCCGCCGTGACGCTTGTCAACGAAGCTCCGCCTGTCAAGGCCAAACTCTGATCGATATATATCTCCGTACCGGGCTATATGATTATTACCTGAACTCCGAAACGTTGTACAGACTCAATCCTAGAACCTAAAACAAGGTCGTTGTTCTTGAAACCATGTTGTCGCTTGCATTCCTCCTGTTTCCGTCTGGTCGATTTGTTCCTCTCCGGCCGTTCTCGCCTAGTTTGTCTCAAACGTTGTAGACAGCTCGGTTGTCGGCTCGATACATGTGGCGTCCTGTTGGACATGATCGTATCGAGTTAGCGAAGCTGCTTGCCGTTCTTCTGCCTTTCGACCTACCTGTAAACCTCGGCCCACCGACGCATAGGCTGGTGGCACGAAACGGCATGTCAGCTCAATTCGATAAGCTCATTAGCTCTTTTACGGCTCACCTCAAGAACCCGACGATCATCGCGCTCAACAACATCCACTCCGCAGGACTATACGATTCCAAGACGAGACCGTCAAAACAGCATCAGTCCCTCGTCTCTGTACTACAAGCTGCCGGTAGACGCGCTCACCCGTAACTAGCGTCTATCCCGCGATTCTCAAACCGGATCCTCCCGTTGTGGAAGAGAACGGTAGCGAATACAAAGGCGATTATGGTCGTCAAGGTCGTCAGGCCCTGTTCAGATCAGGAATATGGGCGTGCATGTGACGCAGTTCAGCCAAAGGATCCTCGGAAACTGTTGTACCGTATGGAGAGGATCATGGGGTGGCTTACGGAGAACACCCTGAACCAGATCGGGTTGGTGAGTTGATATGAAGGTCGGCAAAAGATCTCCAGTAAGAGGGCGATGAGTGCGAGGAGGGAAAAAGCACACGCTACCAGAACACATGTCAACTTCCTGTAATTTCTTTACTGACCAATTCTTATAGACTAGCGGGACTGACCGATCCCGACCGTAATCAACCCTTTCGTCAACCAGTATATCAATTCCGGGTCCCACCGGTATCCCATGTTCGGACCGAAACATTCTCGGTCTCCTTGTCCTTCAGCGGGTTGATTGCACCAGCCATAGGCACCGAAGGTGACCTTACCGCCTCCGACGGGGGCTTGCAGGAAGTAGATGCTCTTGATGAACGGGACGGAGAAAGTGGTCTACCCAGGTGCCGTGCGTGAGATCGGGAGCAATGCTGATGATCAGTATCATACCGGCTCACCAAAAGTCTAGCAAATCTCTGTCAGTGAGATCTTTGTATAAATGCCAAAGGACCTTCGCGCGACTCACAACAACACGAACGTCGCCAACGACAAGATGACGCCTCCGATGAGATGCCTCTCGGCGTTTGTGAAGAAGCCTGCCATGCCGCTGATGTCCCGAGGTCGGAATGAAACTGCGTCCTTTTGATTTTCGTCAAGTTGTTGTGGTCAAAAGGTATATTCGAACGATGGACTGGATCGTCCAAGAGGGATCTGCGATCTGCGATCAGTTGGAGAAAGAAGATGTAAACAAACCCGCAAGGTCGGGCTGCGGCCGGAGGCTGCGCGCCAAATACGCGATCAAGGGGTGAAACATGAAACGCGAAGCAGAATGACGTAAACATCTGCATATCGCAGGCTCCATGGTGATCCACGGTTCGGCACCCTATCGACTGAAAAAATATCCTGATGCTCATATACAGAGCACGAACACTGTCTACAAGGCAGAAAGGGAAACGAGTCCCCTAGGAACGCCGGTGTTTGACCAGGCTTGCAGCTGAATACAAGGACCTGCGTCTGTCAAACGCAATCGTATACGGCCTCGAGATTGCTCTGATCGTAATGGTGAAAGCGGCCCTGAATGTTCGCATAGTTGATCTCAAGCCGATGTCATACGGCCAACGCGCGATTCCAGACGCGTAGCTGAAGCATGCTTGGCCAAAATTATACAATGCCACCCTCACAGCAAAAGATATCCGGCTACTGACTTGGCGTGAACAATTGATGCGGCTGGTTGGGAACAACGGCCGCCGGAGCGTGTGGAATCACCTATTCCACGCGCTGAATATTCCTCAGCCGGTCATCACGAACATTGTTGCGGCTTACTTTCGCCCATCTCGTCTTTCCGGGTTGGTGGGCTAAGCGTGAGATAAAGTCACAAACAGTGTCCTGGCGGGCCTGAGGATATTTCTTTCTTGCCCGCACGCGAAAGATTCCCACCGTGTGAGGCCAGGACCATTCCGACCGTTACATGATCGCATGGCGATTCTAGGCTCTCAAACACGTTGCAACCCGGTCGTACAACTACAGCCGGCCATTTCGACCCACCCTCTAGACCAAGAACCGGAAAGCTCCAAATCCAACATTCAAGACGGTACCGATCAATATCGCCATCTACATCGAGGTCACATCAGTACCTCCAGCTTTTCTCTCTCTGTGAAACCCGTATGGGAGCAAACCAAGGCTCACCTGAACACGTTGCCCGAAGACGACCCCGGTGATCCATTCCCCTCCAGCTCGTCCTCTCAACCCGAACAACCCCCTCTGGCCCGGGTTCCCCGGAGCCACCTCGCTAGCCCCCCTCGTGGTCCCCGTGCCACCATTCCCCGTCCCTGTAGTTCCTCCTCCCGTCGATCGGCCCCCAGCGCCGGGTATGATGCCCATGCTCCAATCCAGCGTCTCTTCCAATGCCTCGCTGTTTACCTCGCGAGTAGAAGCACCGTAAGAAGAACCGGAACTGGGTGGGAGTCGATCGGGTTCGACCTCGAGCGGGTCGAAGAAGTTGGGAGCGGGGATTTCTCGAAAGAAGAACCAGGGGAGGATGGGATAGAGGAACCCGACGAGGAGACCAGTGAGGATCGAGGTGTAAATGCCTTCCACGGCGGCTAGCGGGAGAGATGAAGTGGGAACAAGGTCAACTGATTGCTTTGGCCCATGTAAAAAGGGAAATGGAGGGAATTGCTCACTCTGCGCGGTCTCGTGCGTAAGATCACCCTCGATCCATTGTTCCTCCAGCGCTCTCGTATGTTCATCGTCTGTCACCGCCATGCCCAAGCCATCAACCACCTTCACGTCAGCTTCTTTTAAAGTTTCATTATGTAGATGAGGAGGGCTGGCGAGGCGCACCTTGATCCAACCCCTCGGGCACTTCTTCACCCCTTCCCGCATAGAACTGTCTCCTCATGTTCGCAACGTCTGCCGGAGAGAGCCCTGCGTCGAGGAGAGCATCGAAGCCTCGTCTACGGGGTTGCGTAGCCTATATCCGTGAACCATGTCATATTAGCGTTGTTATCAGTGCGCAGGTACAAGGTGGAGGGTAGGAGAAAGGAGAAGGTTGATGACAACACCAATACTCACATTGGCTTCACCTCCTTCCGCATCAGCATGCCCATCGACATCCACCCAAGCCCCATCTTGTCCATCCGGACCCTCCTGATCGTCATCGTCGACGACCTCGACCTTGGCCCCCACAACACAGTGTAACCAGACCTTTTCTTCCTCCTCCATACCCATACCCGTCTCCCTCGAACCCCGCTCCGAACCCGAGCTTCCGGGACCTCCGGTGTTACCATCAGCATCGACGGCTTGGTCGAGGAAAGCTCCAGCTACTTCGCTCAACCCTAAGCCTGAACGTGCTTGACGGTGTCGGCCTTCTAGTGTCCGGACGTAGGGTAAGAGGAGGATGCCGTCTGTCAGTAGACGACCCGAGTGGATGAACTTGAGCGGGTGGGAGTGGAGAGATGGGCGGAGGGATCTCATCTACGACAACGACTTGGGGATATCTCAGCTGAATATCATTGCAAATGCATGAGGAAATGCTACTGACCTTGTCTTTCACCCTCCCGACGCTCTCCCCGGCATCGACCCATACGTCAAGATCCCCTAAGTCTACCGTCTCTCCGGTGAACCTGAACGTTATGCTCCTCCCCCGTTCTTCCTCGACTGCCTTCTTCCTCAAACCCGAATTCGAAGCGTTATTGTTGCTACCATCTTCCTCGTCATTGTTGTCGTCTGGCAGGGCTCGCCGTTTGCCTTTCGCCTTGTCGCTCAAGTTGGGCAAGGGGAGATGTTGGTCGTCAGGACGGACCGAGGAGATGCGGCGTGCGCCTAGACGGGAGTTGCGGGGTGTCGTGGTCGGGAGGATAGGGTCTGGCATGGTTGAGGAGGAGAGGCAGCAGGTTAGTTGTAAGATACGAGTCGATGAATAGGTAATTGTCGATGGATATGATGAATATGATGATGAATGTCGCTGTAGGATGTTCCCCGCAATCACACACCCCCACACCCGCTTACGGCATGTGCGGCTTACGTTATCGCGAGAGGTAGTTCAGGGTAAGGAGCAGAGGGGGAAAATATATCTGCAACTTGCCATTCTCGATATTCGATCATTATCTCAATCTATCATCGGGTCAACAACAAGGGAGACACTACAGACAGGCTTGTCAGAAAACCATCCTCTCACTCCCTATAAGCCGCATCGCAGTCATGTCGACGGCCCCGACCTCGTCGACGCCGCTGTTGGTCACGCCATCGACATCGAGAGCCTCATCTCACGATCGCGCGACCCGAACAACACAGAAGAGTGTATCACAACATCAGCGACAAGGACGATCAACAGCAGAAACCAAAAAAGCAGAAAACGATCTCGACGTCAAGAACAAAGCATATAGCGCACCGAAAAAGTTTGTCTTGCGGATCAAGGACAAGATGTTGCCTTCCTCTCCCCGGAGAAGGTTCGTCACCGGCGTAGGACTGTTGTTGTGCGTGGTGGTACTGTGGACGACGTCGAATTTCATCACGTCGGACCTGTTAGAAGGGGGTTATAACAAGCCTTTCCTGTGAGTCCAGCTACCGAGTGGTACTTTCGGGAAGATCTTGTATACCTGTGACGTTGCTGTAGGATTATGGCTGATGGTCTCGTGAAATCGATAAAACATCGTGTGCGCCGCAGGATCACGTACCTGAATACGAGCGCCTTTTCGCTCTACCTCTTTCCCTTCCTCTTCAAACGATGGAACGCGGAACGACGGCAAGGAATCGCAGATCGGTGAGCCTCTTGTGCTCTGTGGACCGCCGAGTTTCGTACACGTCCTCTGAAGCTTTGAATCTCGATCGTGCTATTCCTGCGTGCAATAAAAGATCACACGAATACATCCCCGTGACTCAGGACGATCCTTTACAACCCCCTTCCTCCTCATCCTCTCGTCGGACCAGCACGAATACAAGCCATCAACACCCGGACAGACCTCCCTCGACGTTGACCACCCGGACCCTGGGAGTCAGACGGTCGAACAGCCTGATCAGGTCGTTATCGCCTTCCCCGGCGTTGATCACCCATTCGCAATTACACTCGTCGTTGTCCACCTTGCCAGCTCGCACGGAGGCCGAGTTCCATACCCATAACCAGCAATATCATCATTACCAATCGGGCTCTGAATCTGCTATCGCCGACCCCGACTTTGACGGGGAATATCATTCCGACAACGACAACCCCGAAGTCCAGCTCCAGCCTCTTCCTTCTCAACCAGACCTCGGTCTGACGGGTCAACCGAAACTCACTTCGGGGGAGACGGCACACCTGGCAGCTACGTTTTGTATCGTCTGGTTTGCGGCTAACTGGACGGTGAACGCTTCGTTGGGGTTGACGAGTGTGGGGAGTTCGACGGTCTTGGCGGGCATGAGCGGTGAGTCACGGGGTTTCTGGGGCAAAGTGCGAGAGGGAAGAATTCCGGAGGATACGGTGGTGTCGGTGGACGCAAACTCGCCGAGAGTCCAAGCTGACGAGGCTGTGGATGTCCTTCAGGATTCTTTACTTTGGCTTTGGGGCGGGTGTTTGGGGTGGAGAGTTTCACCAGGGCAAAAGTCTTGGCCGTGCTAGCCAGGTTAGTCCGATAGCCTACCATCTACTCTCTCCAGCTAGCTCTCGACTAATCTACGTCTCTTGACATCATTCGCAGCTTCATCGGTCTGGTCCTCGTCACCCATTCCGACTCGCTGCTCGCTTCCGTCTCGACGACCCTGCCAGGAGACCAACCCGACCCGACGGCACACGTCAAGAGGCCCATGTGGGGTGATGCGTTGGCGTTGTTGAGCGCGTTCTGTTATGCCATCTACGTTATCCTCTTGAAGGTCAGGATCGGGGACGAGGAACGGGTGGATATGCAGTTGTTTTTCGGGCAAGTCGGGGCGGGTATCGAGTACAGCCAGCTTAGACACTGATAAAGGTCATTTCGCCCTCCCACCTCTGTTTGCGACGCGCTCGCCCTCACAGCTTCGTGGGATTGTTCAATACCCTCTTCCTCCTGCCACTCATCCCGATCCTCTCGGCATTGGGGGTCGAGACGTTCGAGTTCCCGACGAGGAGACAGGATTTGATCGTCTGCGCCGTGAATATGGTCATCACGCTCAGTTCGGATTATCTCTACGTGTTGGCCATGTTGAAGACTACACCTCTAGGTAAGTTGTTGCCTACCGGCGCTTTGGATCCAAACTTGTCGCAGGAAGCTAACCGGTTGTTCCTCTCTGTGGATCCCGCTGACAGTCGTGACGATCGGACTATCGTTGACGATCCCGTTCGCCATGTTGGGCGACTTCTTACGCGGATCCACTGCGGCCCTGACGAGCCAGGCCATCCTCGGCGCTTGTCTGGTCATCGTCGGGTTCGGGCTGATGGGCCTCGAAGGCCTCGAACAGGATGAAGAGGCTCAGATCGTCGCTGTCGAGGTGCATCCTGGGGAGCATCGCCGGTACGACGAAGAGGATGTGGAGAGGGGGAGGAGGTCGGGCGTGAGGGCAGGGTCGGATTGAGGTCGTTCACTTGACGGGACACAACTATAGGATAGATGTGAGCATAATGAGAGATAGAGTTGCTAGACGAAGTTGTATATAGCCGATAGAGCGTTTGTATAAGCATTCAACATGATGAGTCGATGTGGCTGAGACTGCATCCTGAGTTCCAGAGGACAGCTTGGCATGTAATGCAATTCTCCAAGGATCTCCGTCTCTTTTCCGCTTCCTTGGGCGGAACTATCCGTCATTGATTGATCCTTCTCATCGACAACGTCCTTCACTGAAGCCAACTCTGCCTCTACATAGGAACGGAACAACCCCGCCTCCACCAATCAAGACGAAACACACACCTTTCAATGAGGCTGCGACTCAGGGAACAGCGTACATCAATCTCTACAGGTAAATTGTGTTCAAGCGCAACGCGCAGCCTAGTAACTGCCTACTGTAACGAGTTCGGAACGGGATCCTCAAACGGGAAAGTATCGTCTTTGTTGTTGTCATTTGGAGCTGGAATTGGATTGGAGTTGTCTGGAGGCCAGAAGCGGAAATCAGAACAGACCGATATGGTGAGTATGGTGCTTGCCCTCTTAGCTTTTTCGTCTCTCTTGTCCTCCGTCGGTTGTATAAGAAACCTCTCTCTACAACTACACAACCAGATATCTCAGTAATTTCCTCCCATCCCGTAACCGAAAAAAAGCTTACACATAGGTGGAACCCCATTTCCTATCTGGAAGATCCAAACTCCAGCGCAAAACCACTTAGCGAATGGACTCAGCAGCCACCAATCCCTCTACTCTCCTCAAAATCAGTCAGTTATGGACTAGTAAAAACATTGTGGTTGTGACTTACAGGTCGGTTCCCCTCGCGAGCGTTCTCGATAACGTCGGCACCCCTCTCATAATCACCTAACAGATCCTCGCTTCCCTCTGTGTATTCGAGCTGGTCCGCTAGTGCTCGGAGTCGCCTCACCACATGTGCCTTCCGTTCTTTAAAGGTCGAGGTGGTGGGGTTGAATGTGGAAGCCGGGAGAGAGGTGGTGTCGAATGCGGAAGCCGGGAGAGAGGTGGGGTCGAGGGCGGAAGCCGGGACAGAGGTGTTGTTTGGCTCGACTTCGAGACCGACGCTGATGGGACCGATGTGGGTGAGTGGTACCCTTGCCATGTGGTAGTATCTACACCCCGATTGGAAGGGCAAAGTTATGAATTTGGTTCGTAACAAGTTGCAAGTTGAACCGAATAACAAAGTCGGTCGATCTGAACTACTAGCTACTATATTGCTAGTGGAACGAATGACGACCTGATAGTATGCCGTTCCAGTCTCCGTCTCCTTCTTGTGCTCTCGTCAATCGTCATTGCTGTGCGTGTAGGGTCGATCGTAGGTTAATCACTCATTACAACATTTCTACATCAACTGGCTCGAGAGACCAGGTTTTGCCCAGTCGCGCCACCGAGTTGTACAAGAGGAGGTCGAGATGCAACCGTCATGAGTTCGAGCGTACCGGCTGCTTGTCAGCGATTTGCTAGGCCGCTCGATCCGTTCAAGCATGGACGTACCTGTAGGCCATTGATTGCAGGAGTACCGGCTGCACGATTTTCCTGTTGAAGCTGAAACGCCGCCTGTGTTCTTCCACGGCCATTGGCAGACCATTTAGGGACGACAGACGTGTTCAAATTCAGTAGCCATGAGCCTACACCTCATCGCTCACTTCCATCATGCAACTACTAAGAGCCTTTGGCTGGCTGCTCATTTAGTTCACGTTCTCTTTGATGTAGGTATCCTCGGGTCGTCACATCTTAGGTTGAGAGGAAGCATCGCGAATTTGAGCTGAACGAGGGTTTCGACCAGAGGAGAGACCGCCGGGATCTTTGCCACCCATACTCGACCACAGAAAGGTGTTTCATCATTCTCATCAAATTAGTGACTGAGGTCTGACCGAGGACGACGGGTTTCAGCTTTTACAAGACTGCTGAAACACGGGCTCAAAGTGCTGGATGCCGGGCTCCCGGAGCTGGCCGGCCGATAAAAACGTGTCAGGCTCAATGGAACTCCTTTGTGTTGATGTTGTTGATGGATGATGATGAATCAAGAAGAGCTATCATCGACATGTACGAGGACTTCATCTCTTCGATCGCACACTACCTATACTTTACTCTTTGCTCCTTGACACTTCCTGGCCATTTTCAGTACCTCTCCTCCAGACTATCCGTCCAACGACCCGCAAAATGGCTACTACCTCCATAGGAGCTTCGGTGAGCACCCGAATCTCAACTTCACAAACTCGACCCTTACGCTGATCAACGCTGATCACTGCCCTTCTGTCCCTCGCATCGATTGTTTTGATAGACCGGTATCTCTGGCGATGCCATCCCGTCGACGACCAACCAGATCCCCCAATCCGGCGCTCAGGGAGAGACGCCCAACCCCCCGAAGCCGTTTTACGATTTCGATGTCGTCATGACCTGCAACGGGTGTTCGGGTGCGATCGACAGGGTGTTGAAGAAGAACATCGTCGAACGTTAGTACTTTTTTAGCCTTTATATGCTACACTGAAGTGACCAGATGAACAATTTGTGGAGGCTGACTCGAGATATGATCTCGTTTACCGTGAATTCGGGTTTGACAGCCAACCAGTACGAGGTCTCGCTCGAAAGGCAGAATGTCAAGGTCTGGGGACCCAGCTTGCCTCCCTTCAGTACCGTCGAGGAGAAGATCAAGAAGACGGGAAAGACCGTGAGTCTGCTCTGAGTGCCTCGGCAGAGGGTCCGTTGCTTCGAAAAGGCCGCTGATATATGATTGCGGCTGTGCATCGTTTAGATCAAGAGCTCTCGGACGGTCGAGTGATGTGCTGGAGAGGCTGAAATTGGCTGGCTGGAACAGCTCTCTCCCTCCATTCTTAGATTGACTCTTACAAGGACGATGTACTATATCTTTTCTCTTGCGATATACCATCCCGGTTGTTGTGCACAAATGGAAAGGTGGTTGTACCATCCCGGTTGTTGTGCACAAATGGAAAGGTGGTTGCCGTCCGAGTCCCGAGCTGAGAGACCACTTTTTCGCATCACAAGCCACTTACTTCGTCCTCCTCATCCCTGACTCTTCTTTCCTAACCCTCAATATCCTAAGCCGATACATTGACGCTCCCTAGCATCAAGCGGTCTGCCACACAACGGCTCTCCTCCCACCCGGGTCATCCTTTGTCGGGGCTAGAATTGGTGATGACGTCAGCAAAGAGGCCATTCCGACAAGAGAGCACATTCCTCTCGCAGGAGGACGACTAACTCCCATCCCAGATCTATGAGCATAGTTCGACCTCCTAGCCTTTCGAACCGCTCAGCCATCTACCATAGGCCATAGACATATGTCACTCTTCAACTTGCGAAGACTCACGACAATGGCATCCGCAAACAAGAGTATCGTTCACTTCAAGGCGTAAGTAGGCAGACCGGACTTTCAGCCGGGAGCAGTACGCCGCGATGAGTTTGCTGAACCAGGTATGTCGAGCAGTATCGGGAAGGTCCAGGTGAGTTCGATCTTTGTCGAATCGCCTTCAACAGCTTGTATACGATTCTGATGCTGCGGGCGGCTCTTCACAGGGCGTATGCTTTCGAGCAGAGACCAAGGATCAAGCTACTGCCATGGGCCTGACTGGATGGTGTCACAACCACCCAGACTCTTCGGTCGAAGGTGTAGCTTACGGCCCAACAGAGAAGATCAAGGAATTGTGAGCCTTTTCCCACATAAAAGATGCTCTTCTGCTGTGCGTATGTGCTGAGGTATGAAAATGTCCGTACTCGTACAGTCGAAAATACCTAGCAGAGGGACCTTCCGCAGCGTCGGTAGAACGGGTGGAATATATCCGCGAGGTAGACGGTCCCGAGAAGCAGGTCGTCGACGAGCTCATCGATGGGAACAACAAGGGAGAGTTCGAGGTTCGGAGACATTAGATGTAGCAGTATAGGGGTAGATCGTATGCGTGATATAGTAATGTCGTCGATGTAGCCTGTGGAGCTGGGTATAGATCGGACCGATGTACAACTTTGATCATGACGTCCCTTTTGCGTTTTGTGTCATCAAGTCTACTTTTTCTTCTTCTTCTTCGCCTTGCTGCTCGCCCCTGGTCCTTCTTTTATGATGATATCCCCACCCTCCGCCTCAGTGCCCCGTGTCTTTTCCTGCATCTCCAAGGCAAACGTCACGTCCTTGACCATGTCCTCTAACTCGACGATCTGCTCCTTAGCCGCTTCTGTTTCTTTTCGAGAAGCTTCGAGCTTGGCTTCCGTAGCTTTGAGTTTGTCCATCAGACCTGAGCCCATGGCCCTCTCTGTACGTAAATCGTCCTGTAGTTTTCTCGCCAAGCCAGATATCTACGTCGGAAGCGGAGCAAGTCAGATTGAAACGACAAGATATTGAAGAGTCGCTTCTACTGACCTTTTCAAATTTGGATTCCGCCTGAGCCTTGGCCTGCTCCAGTCCGGGTAACATCTTGCTCTCCAGCGACTTCTGCGCATCCTCCGCTAGAATGTACTTTTTCCGCCACTGTTCCCCTTCGACAGCCTTCTGCTGAGCATCTTTAAGCTGTCTCGACAGGTTTCGCATCTCGGCATCGTGCAGCTGCTTTTGCTGTTCGAGCTGTTCCGATACGAGATAGGAGTATTCGAGAGTGATATCCTCCAGCTGAGCCATCTTCTTCTCGTCAGACGCTGTCGGACCAAAACCTTTGGCCAGGGCGGTCGCATTGAAGCGATCAAAATTGATGCCGCTTGGCACCCGGGTCGAGGTGGTCAATGATGTCGCAGAAGGTAATTCAACCAGTTTCCCGTCCGAGCGGTTCTGAATAAGCCGATGGACATAGCTGGAGGTCGCGCTGTCAGCATTTCAATCCGAACCTTGTATGAAGCGCAAAACTCACGTGTCCTCGAGATAATGCCATACGCGCTGAGTATCAATCTCCATCGAATACACGTGCCCCGATCGCAGGAAATGATCCCTCGCATGTCCCTGCTGGTATCGACTGCATCCGATATAACCGCAAACCACGCAGACCCAATTCGCCTTGGGATCGTTCTTCTCCTCGGTACACAGCATGCATTTGGAATAGGGAACATGCGCCTCGGACTCCCGCGTGCGATGAGATAGGTGACATGCTGGACAATCGGATTCTCCCCATTTCGATAGGCACTTGCAGTGAAAGACGTGCGAGCAAGGGGTAGTGACCAATCCCGTAACGACCGAGTCCATGCGTTCCAGGCAGACAGGACAGGTCGGCAGCTCGTGAATGCTCTTCGGAGGGATTCCGGTCAGAAGCGAGGGCAAGGGAGTTGCTTCCTCCTTTTGAGCATCCATCACCGTATGCAAGATCAGATGATGAATCCGCATAGGGTGGCATTGTTCCGTCCGATCTCGGTCGGTGGTAAAGGTCTTTCCCGTGTAAATCGACACAAAGTCGTTGGCTTCCTGAGTCTCACGGAATTTGAGCAGGACCAGGGTCTTGTTTGGAGAAGCATCGCTAAGCGGTGGGCAGGTGGCATTCTGATCAGTTAGGGAGCAATTGATTACACGTGAAGTAGGATCAGCTTACCGAATCATTCTGTAACCTTCCAAGCAAGTCGTCCAGGCTCCTAACCAGTAACCGAGGTTCGCAACATCCATCCATATCGGTACCGCAAGAATGGCTATCAGAGTTCCATCCTGACCTTCTGCGTCTGCTTGTACTTCCACCTTGCCTGCTACCTTGCTCTCAGAACTCGCCTTCCTCTCTTTGGTGTCGTCCGTCTTACTCCCGCCTGATGCCAAATCCGCCTCAAGCGCTTCCAACAGGCTCAAGGGCTGAGAATGCTTGAAGAGATGGATGATTCCCGGCCCGAGCTCGGTGGTTCCCTGTGTCTGCCTTTGTACCGGGTAAGGAATGCCTGGACCGTGCTCAGAGGCTGGGGAACGACACAGGGGACGGGCTCCCGGTTGATTCGAGACATCCGTGCCAACATCTACAGTAAGACTGGATGTTTGCTTCGAGGGCTTAGGCGACAATGTCGCTGATCCGGGCGGGCCTGTACTTAGAGACTCTAGTCCAGGGTCCTGATTACCGATGTCCTTTTCGGAATGGTAATCCACCCATTCGATACACAGATCTCCCGCTCTATAATCCCGATCGGCCGCGGCGTCGTCGCTCTCCCGACGAGAAATGACGATAGAATATAACGCTGGCTTCCTCGTCATGACGATATGAGTCCCAGATGTATCGGTGAATAGAATTATGTTGGGAGATGATTATGACCTATTCGTCATATGTAGCAGCTTTCCTGCATCGCCGCCTCGCCGTGAAGACCGTCGTAAACTGAGTCCAGCGGTAGGTTACGGCCGGCAAGCTGATACTGCTGAGAGCAAGATTGTGGTCAGATCTTTCCTAGGTTGAACTCCAAATTACAGATTACAAGGGGGGTTGCAAGGGAGTTGTACGATATACGAAGTCGACAAGGGCGTTGATACAATTTCGCGCTTAGCCGAACCTCGCCCGCTCTCTCCGAGTTTGCAACCACAAATGAAGCATACTCTCTCCCTCCAACATCCTCGGAATTTTCAACGTAGACATGGTATAGCATCAAGAATCACCCCGAGAGTATAAAGAGCTAGCTGGATTCTCGCTGCGACCATGTCGACCGAAGCCACCCGGCCTAGCGGTGTACCGAGCACTATCGAGATGCTGGAGATGCTCGACCAGGTCACACAGGTAGGTCACAATCACGGTCCGTCACCTTTACCTTACTAACGACTGAAAGCGCTACTTTGTAGGACATTCCGAGAATGCTAGAGTCTCTCGGGAATGCTATTGGTACGCTGGTAGACAGGAACACGGATCCGGCAAAGGTGGACGTGTGGGAGCGAAATCTCAAAGGTTTCAGTGGACAGTATTACGGCCGATTAGCGGTGAGACGAGGCTCCCGCTCGCAAATCGTCAGAATACCGGAGGACTGATCTCGTTGATTATATAGACATGTCAAAACGCTCTACGTACGGTGATCCGGCATCTCCATACCCTTGGGGTCGACCCGCATACTATACGACCTCCGATTACCGGTGTTCCTCCTCCAGCGTTCTCTCTCCCAGGTCCGGACAAGCCGTACGCTCCAGAGCCCTCAACAAGTCAACAGCCCGAGGGCCAAAAGGCAGAATCTTCAACGACGCCTGCTTCCGAGGCCGGATTGAGCCTGTATGCTGCCCGGCTGGAATTGAAAGCGCTGCAAAGCATGCAAAAGGCGTTGCACGATATGATGGAGGATAATACGGAAAGCGTCGAGGCTTCCCTGGCAGGAGACCATACACACACTGAAGACGCCAGCAATATACCGGAGCCGATGGAGACCAGTCCCGTTGTCGCGACAACAGCGATGTTGCCAACTTTACCTGTCGAGCCCGAGTCTGGGCTCGCAGCGGTTCCTCCTTCGGCCGCTCAACCAGCCTTCACACCATCTTCGGCGAGGTTGGACGGGAACGGAAGCATGAACGGTGCAACTAGTGCTACTGGAGGGCTAGGTGGATTGGTGGGATATGCGGACAGCGACGGTAGCGACGTCGAGATGAACAATTAGGGGGAAATCAAGCAAAGCTTCAAGAGACGACTCAGATTAACGAACCTCTAACGACCGACTCTGTAACGTAACGCGGGCTTATATCGATGTGCCAGATCGTTATGGTATGCATAAACTCTTCCTCGAGTCATGTCTGAGTGCGATAGTGACATCGCTAGTTGTCGTTACAAGTCGGTCTGGGGCATAAACTTCCACCCTATGTCTACTTCTTCATGTGGAATTTCAGAGTCTGTAGAGCGAAGAGGACGTCAGCTTGGTTCCATCTTCGGTCAGGTCGACTCGATTCGGACTGACCTTCTCCATCTCATCGAAATCTCCGGTAGCGACCTTGACGATATCTCGTCCGAGATCCGTCTTGAGATCCTGGATCGCCTGCCACGAATTCTCATCGCTGACAAAGTTGACCGCGATTCCTTGTCGTCCAAATCGACCCGTTCGACCTGAGCAGGACGCAGTAGTGTGGTTCAATCAGCGTCCGGGGACTCCGAGTTTCGCCCTAACAAAGACGTCGCTCTCGACTCACCAACTCGATGAAGATAAGTCTCGGTATCCACCCTATCCCTGCCCATTCCTCCCTGTCGAAGCGTAGGCAAGTCATAGTTGACGACCATTGTCACCTGACTGATATCGATACCTCGAGCGATGACGTTGGTGGTGATCAAGACCTTGGTGTTCCCATCTCGGAACCCATCGATCACGAGATCACGCTCGTTCGCGTCCTTGGCACCGTGTAGGGCGGCGACCGAGTGTCCTTCGGCGATCATACGGTTCGCAATGACATCCGCGGAATCTCGTCGCTATTCGCCAGACTCGGGTCAATAAATCCAATCCTCGCTTTTCAGCCGCTCCAGGCGCGACTCACTGCACAGAAGATGATCGACTGTCCAATCGTCAACAAGTTGTAAAGCTCCAACAGCACGTCATACTTGACCTCCTCGCTCTCGCAATCCATGTAAAATTGCTTGATCCCCTCGACGCTCAATTCTTCCGGCTTGAGCCTGATCTCGTTGGCATCCGGGGCGAAACGCTTGGCGAAAGCGTCGACCCGGTCAGGGAAGGTAGCAGAGAATAGCAAAGTTTGCGCAGCTGGCGGAATCATCCTAGAGTCAAGGAAGCATGTTCGTCAGCCCAGCCAAGGAGAGCCTCCCTTGCTCCTGGCGCGAGACTGACTTTTTGATCCTCAACGTGTGATCGCCCAAACCTTGGATATCCAACATATCATCCGCTTCGTCCAGTACCAAAACCTTGATCCCCTTGACGTCCAACACCCTCTTGCCGATCATGTCCATCACAGTTCCAGGGGTTCCAACGATCACCTGAGCGGTCACTTTTGTATTACGGTCCCAACCATCCTTGACGGCCAAGAAGGTTTGGAGAGGTAGGAATTTGCCCATGGACTGGATGACGATCTCGATTTGTCGAGCGAGTTCTCGGGAAGGTGCTAGACAGATCGCCTATTTTCACTCCTTTGTAAGCGATCCGAGCGGGCGAGTGTTTTTGAAAAGTGACCCACCTGAGGCAACTCCTGGCCATATGCGATCCTGCTCAACATTGTCAGACTGAAAGCCGCCGTCTTCCCTGTTCCCGATTGAGATTGGGCGATCATGTTTGATGGCCTATCTCGGAGCGGCGCTCAGTGTCCCGACCTCAATGATCATCATTGAAATCCAGGCTTACGGGTTTGCGAGCAGCAGAGGTAGAGCCTTCTCTTGGATCTTGGACGGTTTCTGGAACTTCATAGCATACAGTCCTTTGAGCAGTTGAGGGTGCCTATCATCGAATGCGATGAGCTACCGATGCCACCGCAACGACACAGTTGAAAGCAGCTCACAATCCCAGGTCTTCGAACGATTTGATGGAGAATAGTGGGGAATTGGGGTCGGCTTGCTGATCTCGAAGCGTTACCTATAGGAAAAGGCACGATAATCAGCTAAAGAAACCAGACGACGGCACAGCCAATCTGAACTCACCTTGACATCGTAACTCGACTGAAGAAGTTTGCTAGCTACAGTCCACATCGCAGCTTGTGAGCCCATTTTCGCGTACGGACTGTAACTTTATTACTGACCAGGACCAGGGGCGCTCGCCTCTTTCTGCTTCTCCTCTTCATCTCCAGCTTTTGCGGCATCGGGTGCCTCTTCGGCTGCTGCCGAAGAACCCTTGATGTCCATCGAGCTCACTTCGCTAGCATTGTCCTTGTCTTCCGTTGCCAAACCGCCTATTCTTGAGAGCAAGGATTGTACACCGGCATCTTCGAATGAAAGGGAGCTGATGTGAGACGTTGCTTCGTATGACCAAATAGTTTCGGTAGCGGCTAACCTGGCTTGGGGGTGGTGTCGACAAGGTGTTCTGATGGGGCAGTGTCTTCCATCTTGGGCACTGGACTGGACATTATGGGAGAGATTTTTGATGATTCCTGGTTGCCTTGAGATGAAGGAATGTAAGGTTTCGATATGTCGAGTACGCAAATAGCTCAGGGAATCAGGGAATCAGGGGTACGTATAGAACAAGTTCGATATCCTAATATCCTAACGTACGGAATGCTGCTTGGACCGATCTACGATGATGAATGGCTAAGAAAGGGGGAACGAGCAAATGACACGTCATACACGTCCACACCCTCGGCTTCCCCGCTCGGCCCGCTCCTTCCTAGCTCAGGTCATTTATAAATTTATTTTGATATTTTGATAAACCATGTACGCTCACCCGCGAGATTGTAAACAAACAACCCCGACTGCCGATCCACACAACCTCGAAATACTCGTTCAAAGTGTATACAGTCCAGCTTGGGACCCGCTAGCCATCGATCCTGGAGTTACGACTTGCATCGACACGTTATCAACATGAGGATCGAAGAGCTCATTCTTGACGGTAAGCTGGTCGCACCGATCTAGTCAACATCGAGCTGACGGAGCGACCATTGCGAAGGCTTCAAGTCGTATCCCGTACGGACAACAATAACAGGTGAATCATCTCGCATCATCATAAATCCGATGGCATCTCGCAGCAGAGCTGACCGCAGATCTCTATATGAACAGGATGGGATCCGTCATTCAATGCCATCACGGGTCTGAACGGTTCGGGAAAGTCGAACATCCTGGATGCGATCTGTTTCGTGTTGGGTATCACGAACATGACTCAGGTTCGAGGTATGTCTGGCAGGCAAGGCATGTCAACCTTGGAGGTTCTTGGCGCTCAAGTTTTTGCCTTTGGACTCGTTAGCTAATAACCTCATGGACCTGATCTACAAGCGGTACGTGAGAAATATATCTGATCATCAACCCGCGAATCAACCTCTGACACAAGCTCTTGCGGATCCTTCTTGCGTACAGTGGTCAAGCAGCAGTAACGAAAGCATCAGTGACGATCGTCTTTGACAACTCGGACAAGACACGGAGTCCCATCGGGTTCGAGGCGAGCAAGCAGATCACGGTAACACGGCAGGTCAGTCTAGCTATCATTCGCTTCTGGGAGCGTTGGGGATGAGAAGGCTCACTACGGTTGACCGGGTTTTGCTTATGGCAGATTGCTGTAGGAGGTGTTTCCAAGTACCTCCTGAACGGGCATAAATGTACTTTGCAAAAGCTACAAGAGACATTCCAGTCGGTACAACTGAACATCAACAACCCCAACTTCTTGATCATGCAAGGTCAGCCTACACATACCGACAAATCCGAACTCCACTAAGGCCTTTTGTTTGAATGTGAGATAGGTAAAATCACCAAGGTGCTGAACATGAAGCCTGCGGAGATCTTGGGCATGATCGAAGAGGCAAGCGGGACGAGGATGTTTGAGGAGCGAAAGGAAAAGGCCGTGAAGACGATGGCAAAGAAGGATAAGAAGGTCGAGGAGATTGCCTCTGTAAGTGATCCGCCTGACCCCGAATGCCCGATCGAGGACCACTTCGCTTATTACTTCTACTGCAGCTACTACGGGAAGAAGTAGATCCTCAGTTAGAGAAGCTGAGAGAAGAGAAACGTGCCTATCTTGCCTACCAGAAGACCATCTCGGAGCTAGAACGTCTCACCCGCTTGGTCAAAGCCTATGAATGGTCACTGGCCGTAGAAAAGGCGAAGAAGGCTGCCGAGGATGTCAAGCAGAGACAGAACCAGGAGGCGGAAGGGAAACGAGAAGTCGTCAAGTTCGGAGAAGAGTTGAAGGGGATGGAGAAGGATGTCAAGGAGATCGAGAAGAAGCGAGAAAAGGTCGGTCGAAACAACGCTGGATGTAACAGCTCGGTTCGCTCAACGTCGTTTCTTCGTCCCGACTTGGTTAGGAACTCGCTAAAGGAGGCAAGGTTCAAGCTCTTCAGGACAAGGTGAACGAGCTGGATAGGGAAGTGACAAAGCTCAAAGCTCAGCTCGAGATGGATGAAGGAAACTTGACGGACGAGCAGAAGAGGGCTGCTGCGACGCAGAAGAACGTGCAAGATGTGGGTAGTCTTGCATACCAGGATGGAAAGGAATCGTTTGGCTGACCGCACTTGCCCTACACAGCTCGAGCGGGGAGTCCGAGTCAAGCGGAAAGAGCATGACGAGGATGTTGCCGCATTCGCTGGCATCAAGCAGGAGTATGACACTTCGATCACCGAGATCGCCAAGGCCGAAGAGCTTTTGCAGACTCTGTTGACGGGTCTGAGTGCCAACTCTAACGGGGAAGGTGAAGATGCAGGTGGTTACATGGGACAGCTGGCCGAGGCGAAAGCTCGTGTGGCTGCAGCTGGTACAGAAGCGGAACAGGCCAAAGTCACGATCGGAATCACCGAGAAGGAGCTGAAGGAGAAGGAACCTAGGGCGAAGAAGGCTTCGAAGGATGGTGAAGGCGGATTGCAAAAGTTGGAGAGCGAAAAGAAAAAGCTAGAGCAGGTCAACGCGAAGCTGGCCAAGCTCGACTGGGACGAGGAGAAGGAACAGGGCTTAAGCCAGAGACGATCGGATCTGGAAGAAAAGATTGCCACCTTGAGCGAGAAACGAGATACGCTTCGGTCCCGACTAGCGGCGATCGACTTTTCGTATTCGGACCCCTACCCCAACTTCGACCGTTCCCAAGTCAAGGGACTCGTCGCCAACCTGATCGACTTGGATCCTGCCATGTACAAGAATGCGACAGCCCTGGAAATCTGCGCTGGAGGCAAGTTGTATAATGTAGTTGTGGAGGACGAGAAGGTCGGAAGCGCTTTGCTGGACAAGGGAAAGCTTCGGAAACGAGTTACCATCATTCCGTTGAACAAGATCAGCGCGTTCAAGATGTCTGCCGAGGTGAGTCCGCCACACTTTCTGCAGCTATACTCGGGCGACGAGTGGATATTGAGTGTGCCCTGCCGCAGAAACTTGCTACGGCAGAGAGCCTTGCTCCTGGCAAGGTCAACCTTGCCTTATCGCTCATTGGGTACGATGAGGACGTTTCGGCCGCTATGGCTTACGTCTTCGGCGACATGCTCGTCTGTCAAGACAAAGAGACTGCTCAGAAGGTCACGTTCAACAAGGCTGTTGGCGTGAAATCGGTAACTCTTGAGGGAGATGTCTATGATCCGTCAGGAACCCTTTCCGGAGGGGCGGCACCGAGTAGCAGCGGCATCATCATCAAGGTGCAAGAGGTCAACAAGCTGGAAAAGGAGATCCAGAGCGCCCAGGTTGAACTGGATGACGTCCTCAAGAACTTGAACCAAGCCAAGGCGTCGATAGAAGCCTACCGAAAGGTGAAGAAGGAAGCGGATCTGAAGCAGCACGAGATCTCTCTCTTAGAGCAGGAAGTGCAGAGCAGCAACGGAGCAAAGGTCAGTGCAACCTCAAATGACGTCAGTTGTGGTTTCTGGCCAAACTCATCGCCTCGCGTTTTTTGAGCAGCTCGTGCTAGAGGTAGACGGCTTGAAGACGGAGATCAGACGTCTCAAGGAGGTCATGTCCGAAGCTAAAACCAAAGAGAAGGCTGCTCAAGACGAATGCAAGCGCCTAGAGAAAGAGATTAAAGACTTCAAAAACAACAAGGACTCGAAGCTGAAAGAGATCAAGGTGGGTTTACAGCGCTTTTGAGCTGTATCTATGCATTTTGCCTGACCCGAATTCTTCCAGGCCGATATCGCCAACCGAAAAAGGGCGCTCAATAGAGACACGGCTCAGGTGAAATCCAGGCAAAAGGAACTGCAGACTGCGGAATTGGAGATCGGTTAGTCCTGTTCAGACTCATTGAGGCTCGGTTTTATGCTTATTGGCCGATTCTCCTCACGTAGAACAACTCGATACCGATTTGGAAGCTGCACGGGCCGAAGCTACCGAGGCCGAAGCGAGTTGCAGGAAGATGACGCAAGAGCTGGAGGGCGCCAAAGCGAACATAGGGCAGATGGAGGCTCAGTTCGCGAAAGCCGAGGCCAAGCTCAAATCGGAGCGAGCTGTTTTGACGGCATTTGACGACGAGTTGGCCGATCTCGAGCGCGACATCAAGTCGAAGAAGCAAGATATCAGTGATGCCGAATTGTCATTGCAAAAGCTTGGTCACGAAATCTCTACCTTGGCGAAGGAGGAGACCGCTGCAAACGGTCTTACCCGAGATCTCGAGAATCAATTCACTTGGATCAAGGACGAGAAGAAGTGAGCGCGCTGTCAAAGACGCCTTTGGTAGACCGTGGCTGATGACCAAATCAACTGCTTCCAGACTCTTCGGCAAAGCTGGATCACGATACGATTTCCAAGGTGTCAACTTGCCTCAGATCAGGAAGCAATGTGCAGAGTTGGAAACTCAGCAGAAATCAGCAAGCCGCAAGGTTAACAACAAGGTCATGAGCATGATCGACAGGTTCGTAATCGCTCGAAGAGCGATATAAACTACCGCCGAAACTGATACTTTTGGCTGCCGTCCCCAGTATCGAGAAGAAGGAAGCTGCTCTCAAGAAGAACATGGCTACAGTCCTGAAAGATAAGAGCAAGATTGAATCGACTATTCTCGAGCTCGACCGATACAAGTTGGAAGCGTTGACCAAGACATGGAAACAAGTCAACGAGTAAGTTCGCATAGACGCCCACGGGCTGCGACTCACGACTCACGACGCGCTGACACGCATTGTTTTTACCATTCTCTCAGAGACTTCGGCGCGATCTTCGCAGAATTGCTTCCAAGCAACTTTGCAAAGCTCGAACCCCCTGAAGGACAGACCGTTGACCAAGGTCTCGAAGTCAAGGTTCGAATCGGGTCGGTTTGGAAGCAGAGTCTGACAGAACTATCGGGAGGTCAAAGGTAAGCCATAACTGTAGTCCTTGCGAACTTTCGTCCGTCGCTGATCTGGAAATCGGGGCCTATCAGATCCTTGATTGCCTTGTCGCTTATGATGGCCATTCTGCAAACGCGTCCAAGCCCGCTCTACATCTTTGACGAGATTGATTCTGCCATGGATATGAGCCATACCAGCAAGATGTAAGCTCGCGAGACACCTTCAAAACAACCCCACCTACTCATCGCGAGATCCTTTGTACGCTTTAGGGGTCAGCTTTTCGGGAAACGGTTCAAAGGAGCACAATTCGTAAGCGTCGTCGTCAGGCCTGCAACCGAAGTTTAGCCGAGCTAAACACACGCGACGCCACTTTTCAGATCGTCGTCAGTCTAAAAGAAGGACTCTTCAGTGGAGCCAACGTTCTCTTCCAGGCCAAGTTCCGGGATGGTACCTCTATCGTTGAGGTAAGAGTCCACCAACAGCTCATGACATAGCGCCTTTGCTGACGTCTCCATTCTGACTCCCTCGTTTGGTAGCGGACCGCCGCTCGCTCGGTACAGTCTACACAGGCCGACAAGGAAACCGTCATTGCGAACCGTCGGGGGCGGCCGACATTGACAGCATGATACATGTCTCTCACAACCCCTTCCCTTTCGCTTTTCAGTTCTTCGACAGGCTTGCGTGCACACCACGGAACTCGTGTCGATCGTCAAATACAGTTGTAACGCCGTCGATCTAGAAGTTGTATCTACCAGCATAACCATCTAAGAGTAGTGCTCATGCCTTATATGTCGCAATACAGCAGCCGACACGAAATCTGTTCAACATCTGACTTGATCAGATCAACGGAGTCTAATCTTTCGTCCCTCGGTGAACCTCGGGCTGTAGGCGCAGGACCTAAAGACTGTCCTGGCCTATACAGCTTCGTAATGAATTCAAACTTGGCATCATCTTACTACCGGGAGGATGTGTCAGACTCAGACTTTTGAGTTGGTAGTAGCCTCAAAGGCTCAAAGGACAATTCAGGTTGTTCTGCTTCCTTTCTCCCTTCTGCAGCAGCAGAATGATCCTTTTCACAAATCCCTTTGGCTTTGCACTAGACCTGCAAACATGTCGAGCTTGTCAAGAGGCTCATCAGGACTATGATCTGTGACAATCTGAGCAAACTACTAGATTATCATATCGTGCTTTGATCACTGGATCAGCCGCCGGTATGTCATAACTGTCAGAAAGAATCTTGGTCAGATGATACTCATTGATGACTGAGCCTGTCATATCTTTGATTTGCCTCAATCAGATGGCCTAGAGTGAGTCAACCAGACAACCTAGAGTGCGGCAAGTGGACCATTACAATGTTTCAAAATACAAATCACACCACTGACCGCATGCATTTGCTGTGGTGTGACACTTGTGTGGCACTTTTGCCCTGATGTGTGACATCCATGTGACATGTGTGACATGTGTGACAATTGTGTGACAATTGTGTGACATGCGTGACATCTATGTGACAATCATGTGACATTTGTGACATCTTTGTGACTCAGACTAGGGAAGTTGCTCCCTGGTGTGGCAGTGCTGGAAGCCATTTCCAATGATTAGGATGATAAGAACTTTCCTATCAATTTGCAATTGTGATGATGCGATGGCTTGGCCCGTGCGAGAAAGTCTTGGCACGGCACGTGAATCCTGACTAAGCTAGTGGAACCATTTCCAATTTTAGCCCCTCCTTTGGGTGACCAGCTGATTTGATCCCATCTAGGCCAGCCAATCAGAGACCGGCTGGCTGATCCCAGAAAAGCATATAAGGGACAACAAGTCTCTTTCTTGATGCCCCTCAGCCTCCCTTTCCTTCCCCTTGCAACAATCAACAACCCCTCATCCCATATCCTCGCTGACATCTTGTTGATTCGGCCTGCATCGGAAGCAAATTTGCTTCCTAAACACAAACTGACCTCCCGAGCCCGACGACCGCGCTCGTCGTCGCAATTCGCAAACAACTTTCGACCTTTGACTTGTTAATTGTACATTCGAGCTATTCTCCCCTAAGCTTCGACCACCTCGCCCACGCTGTTTGTCAATAGTCGACTCTGCGAAGTCAGCCCACGTTTCCCGCATTCATTCTCTCCTTTCCGAGGAGGAGAGATGAACCAGCGAAACGATGTGGGCGGCTCATTGGGGAACAGTTCGACGAATGCGAATAGACCTCGACAAATTCGCCCTGCAGAGCAGCAGCTGCAACGACAGCAGCAGCAGCCACAGCAGCAGTATCAGCAACAGCACGTCGTCCTGGTCCACGACCAACAAATCCTGCAGCAAGAGCTGGCTCGAGTGGCAGCTGCCCGGGGACAACTACAACTGGAGGAAGAGCGTATCAGGGCTTATGAGCAAGGGCTTATGTTGTAAGCTGCTACGATGTCGACGTAGTGTTCATGGAGGCACCTTACTGAAAGGTGATCCTCTAGTGCTGCAAACTGGCACTACGCCAATCTGCAAAGGACCAATCAGCTCGTAACAGGCAGTCAGACGAACGGGAGCCAAGGCCAAATCGTCGAGCCTGTTCAACAGGCCAATGGTCAGGGTCGCCCGTCTGGAAGCGGCAGCCTAACCCAACGCCTGCTAGAACGATCCACACCGGGTCTGAGTCAGTACTCTGGGCAGGTACCCAGCAGCATACAGGCTCAGCCCATAGCGTCGACGTCAAACCAAGCTCGACCTATCACGTCCGTGGCCAACGGAGGACAACAACGCCGAGACTCGAACTCCTCCGGGACAACGAGCAGGAACACGGTCGACAGTGGCAGAGATGGAGGTTCGCTTGTCGATCGGACCAGACGATACCAGGATAATCTCGCTCAAGCTTGGATGGTCTCACAACCTGCTGGCCGCACGGCCAATACGACGACCTCGGGAGGCGTGAATGTAGGCAGCGGCTCTGGTGTCCAATTGCCAGCTCTGAACAACGCGGACATCGTGCAGCACACTCAGAATGCGGTAAATGCAAACGTAGCTTCCGAAGGATCGGAACTGGCTCAACGGGTACGAAACGCTATCAGCAGTGTTCAATCGTCGTTACCGCAAACGAGCTCCGCCTCACTCGTGACGGTCCGCGAGAATGCCTCACGGGATCTTGAGAACTGGACCAGGCAACGGCGCGCTGCTGAACGAGCTAGCAGGGAAGAAGCAGCCCCGTCACACACTATTGCTCGTGATGCCGGTCCCTCCCACGTCATTCAGGGCAATCCTCCCCGCACAGCGACCATGACCATGAGGCCTATTACCCAAACCGTTCCATCACCCCCGATTCCTACGGCTCGTATCGAGGTCATTAGTTCTCCCGAAAGTCAACCGGCATACGTACAACAACAGGAAACTCGGACGCAGCGGCGTATCCCGTCGGTAGTGAGCTGGGCAGACGTTGCACAGAATCTCGAGTTGCCGAAGATACCGGAGGGCAACAACTCGGTCTTGACGCCTCTTTTGCGACCGACTATGGAGCATCGGATAGTCTACACACAATACAGGATCGTCGAATTGATGCGGCGGTTCCCTCGTCCGCATTCGGAAGATCGTTTTCTCGAAATGCTTGGTATGTACCAGTCCCCGACTGTTCGTACGTCCAAGCAACACACTAAGATACACAACCTCATGTAGGCGAGTGGGCGAGAAAGACCAATTTCGTTCTGCCTCGGACCGCAGACTATGGGAGGCTATACTCGGCGGTGAACAAGCTGAAGCAGGATGAGGCGAAGTTTTCCTCGTCGATGGCTAGAGCGGTCGCTATCCCTCCAAAAGCGCTTCCGCCAGCCTTGATGGTCCATCAGCTATCAGCCCACTCGCCTCCGGCGGTAGTCACCTGGAGCGGACCTACCAATGATCACTCGAATGGACCAACGAACGGAGTATTCCGACATGCCGCCGTTCCAGGTGAAGGGCCTGTCGTTTCTGCTTCGGAAGTTACCGCTACGGCCGGCTCGATCGCTGCCACGAACAAGGTGTCGAGCCCTACTGTCGTTCCGAACGGAATGGCTCCCGCGACTGCGAACCAGCAGCAATCGTCGGAGAAAGCGCTCCCTCCTGCCCGAGCTCTGCTTGCCCTCCTGGCTCGGGAGAAGAAAGAGGTCCAGCCGGCACCTGCCCAGAGTCTATCAGGCCACGAAGTTGACTCGCCGATGAGTGCTCAGAGCTCGTCATTGTCAAATCAGGACCATCTCACGCCAACAAGTGCCCAGAGCTCGTCGACAACGAGTCAACACCTTTTGACACCAACATTTGGCCAAACCGCGTTCATATCCGTGCATAATCCAGTCACGGCGCCACGTGAAGGGGCTTGGGTCATATCGCCTCAGATCGTCGGTCCTGCCATCTCAGAACAGAAACTGTCGGACAGTGCTCCGACGCCCTCCGAATTCCCGGTTTCCATCCAGGAGCCGAGAATCGCGATCATCGCGTCTGAGACAGCAGCACCAGGGGATACTGTTGCATCGACTTCATCAACGCCATTGGCTGTCCACTCGATTCGGACCGAGGTTTTGCGACCGACTTCGGAAGTTCAGGCTTCTATTGAGGAAGTCATAACCGAAGAACCGGTACCGCCTGCCTCAGATAGCGGGATCGCATCGCCCTCTGCCCTTGGTCATGAGCCGTCCGTGCAAGAACAATCCGCGAGCGTCGTCGACGGGCAACCCGCTGTCTCGGACGACCGTCAGGATCCGGTCGAACCTTTCGCTCCAACGTCAGAACAAGTCGAAATACAGCTGGAAGAACAGGTTGAGAAAGAGCTTGAAGAGCCTATTATAATAAGGCGTGCTCAAACCCCGGATCAGGCTCAGCATCGGGCGCAAAGTCAGGCTGCTGATCAGGCCGATCAGATCGAGATCCCGATCGACGTCCAAGCTCAGGCTGACGCGATCGAGGTTTCCACCGGTATCCGAGCCCAGGCCGACCCTACCGAGGTCGACAAACCCCGGCAACCGAACAGGTCCAAGCCGGATGCGCTGCTAAAAGAGATCAAAGCGCTCAATGCCGGGTCTGCGTCCATCGTCGGGGTGAAACAGGAGACACCGAGCCCGTACGGAGTCGTCAACATGCGAGTGATCCGCACCATTCCCCCGAACAGGATGTGGGTTGACATCCCCGTCAAGAAGGTTTCTAAGCCCCGACCTGAACCTCGCCCTCGCAGTCCGTCTCCCCGTCACTTCAACTTTTGGTCGCCGGAATTCGCACTCGACCGTTTCAACAAGACGTGCTCTAGCAAGGTGCTGAGTCGGACCTTGCTGAAACGGGGTAACTTACGGCAATGTCGGTGGAACGGTTGCGATGCGGAACTCGCCTCGGAGTGGCACCTGCAACGTCATTTCGAGGCGATTCACCTTCCGCGGGCGAAGCTGACGAAACGCCATAGGGAGGAGGTCGACGCATGGGCTTGCGTGTGGAGGGATTGCTCGGGCTTCTATGCGTCTCAAGAGCATCTGCAACAGCACGTAGAGACTATTCACATTCACGAAGGCCTACGGTGCCCATATACGACCTGTCCGCGCCCCGACGAGCGATACACCAATGTCGGCTATCTGGAGAATCACATCGCTCGAACACCTCTTCTTCACGATAGACGCAACGTTCGGCCTCTGATGGATCTGAGTATACAACTCGACCACCGATTTGACGTCGAGGTACCACGCGAGATCCGCCGAGCCGATATACTACCCGTCAAGGCGTCTCGAGCTGTGTGGCAGAATAGTCGACAGAAACGGAACGCCATCAACCGGGTACAAGATCATTCCTTTATCGACCGCGAAGATAGACGAATGCATGCTGGCGAGAACCCTCCACCGATCGACATGCCGATGCCTGCACCGGTCGTTGACGAAGAGGAAGAGGAGGAAGAGGCCAACGTGGACAGCGACACGATCGTGGTCAAGCGCGAACCGTCGCTCCCTGCAATTGTCGCCAAGCGCGAGCAGTCGCTACCGTACTCCCTGCGCCAACAACAGGATCCCAGCAAACCCAAGAAGTCGGTGCTGGAGCTAGAGGTCGTCATCGAGATCAGTAGACCGAATGTCGAAGGGAATTGATCGAGCGGAGGGCAAGGGGATTCGGACCAAGAAGCAATAATAATATTGTAGCCTATATTATACGACGCGTAACGAATCCAATGATGACATACTTCCGCAGCATGAATTTAACTCGCCACGGCCGATGCGACCGCCGTCGCCACTCCTCGTCTCCTCCGCGTCTCCACTTGAGTCCCGCTGATGGCATGTTCAGCTTCGGCCCGTAATCGCATCGTCTCAACGTCTGCCTCCCCGTCCCCAACTTCCCCGTCGTTGGCGATGACAGCTCGCTCGCGAACGATCTGCCATACCTTGCGTCGAGCTCGCCCAACGTTGGCAAGCCTCTCCCGGATTTCCTCGAGCCTACGTACGTATTCCTGGCAGTCCGAAGCGAGCTCCTTGATCTTGTCCATCGCGCAGATGACCGACTGTTTTTGCGTTTCCGGTGTGAGCCGGACGCAAGTAGTATGCGGATAACCCGGATGGGTCAAGGGTAGATGAAGCCGAGGATCGTTCGGCGAAGGTCCGATGGTCGTCGTCAGCCCCGTCTGGGTGACAAAGAGCTTCTGCAGCGGACTGAGTTCGGTCTCGGGGTAGATGTCGAGGACGTCCGGGTCCTGTGTCTTTGGGTCGACGGGTTCGTACGTGACCATCGAGCCGGGCGGGACGAAGAACGGTTCGCCCGATCCGAAAAGGAAAGACGAGTCGAGAGCGGGCTTGGCCGAGATCAAGGAGGGTTGTCGTGAGGCGGGGTTCGACTTGGGTTTGACCTCGTCCTCGATTTCCATCTTGACATCAGTTACCGCCGCGGAGGTAGAGGCATCGACCGCCCCAGCTCCGTTTACAGCGGCGGTATCTTGACCTGTTGCCGAATCGACACCGATCGTACCAAGCTCGCCTTCTTGCACGTCGTTCGCCGCCTGAGCGCCATCCTTGATCTCATCCAGCACCTCTTTGTCCGGCGTCGACGTCCTCACATGCTTTTCCCTGTGCTGCTTCGTCTCGAACAACCGGCTCGGTTCCCTCCCTGCCACTTCGAGAGCCGATTGTAACCGACTAAGGACGCCCTTCAACCCGGTCTCCCCATCAATCAGGTCGTCCACGGTGCGCATCAACGCCCGTTCCTTGTTAGCCACTCCAAGCGTATATCTGACAGCCGGAGACGTGGCGAGATCGAGATAGGTCGTCCCGATGACGGTCTCTTCCTGATTGATCGCCTGTCCTCCCGCTTCGGGTCCAGTACCAAGCCGAGAGAGGGATTCGATAATCTCTTCTCGCTTAGGGACGGGAGACGGGCTACGGAGATGAGGCGGGACGTTGGTCTTTCGCTTCTTCTTCTTGTGCGAATCCTCATCCTCCAGTTTGAGTTCGTCACCTTTGAGCGGCTGGCCCGCCTCCATCGCAGCCGCAGGGAGTACAAAGTGCAAGGCCATCTTGAATCTCTTTTTCGCCTTGACTTCTTCTTCCCGTTCCTTGCTCCTCAGCTCGTCTCCGTACCCGTAAGGATTACCGTACAGGTCTTCGACGACCATGGGCGACCAGGCGTACATCCGACCACGTTTCTGTAGGACACCATCGGGTTCCAGCTTGATCCCCCGGTTGCCGCGGGGGAGAGTTCGAGTCGGACGCGGAAGACCACCAGGGCGAGGAGAGGATGGCCTGCCTCCGGATGGGCTGTGAGTGTTTGCACCGACATAGTGTGCGGCAATGTCGTTCGAAGGGAGTGACCTGGGTTGGCAAAGGAAGGGATGACCGAAGGACGATGATGAGCCTCGGGGTACAGACGCGCGGAAGCAAACGTGGACTTCGGGAAGAAAAAGCTTCCGGTCCTCTCTCTCGACTCACTCGATCTCGACCTGCTTTTGCGACCTCGGGTGCCAACGAGAGACGTCATAGTCGTTGGTCTGTTGCAGTTGTTGATGGTGATGTTGATGAGATGGAGGTCCACCGACGATAGACTGGGCCGACCTGTCTCGCCTGGAGCCCGGGTGCTGGCCCAGACCGACGACGGACGAAGAGCTGGCTGCCATGCCCAAATGGGCCGGGACTCCCGAGCTGGATGCGGTGGAACCGGCGACGACCGAGTTGGGCGGGATCGGAGCATAATGATGATGATGGTGGGGGGCGTTTGAAGTATGGTAGTGACCTAGAGTACCAGGATAAGCATACGAGCATGTAATTATAGCAAGGAGTAGGGGTTCAAAGCACTCACCTTGAGGACCCGGCGTGTTACCTGCACGTACGTGAGCGGGCGTCGAACCCGCATACGGATTGGCTGTGTGCGGTCCTGGTGAGGGCGAATGCTGAACAGCAGCACCTGCTACAGCAGGATGAAGGTGGTGATGGTGGTGGTGATGATGATGGTGATGGTGCGGGAGGGTCGAGCTCGGGTTGTTGACGTTTGAACCGACTCCGCTGGGTACCACTGCCGGTGTGGTCTGCCATGGCGACCTGGTGGTCATGTATGTCGAGGACGACATCTTTCACGCACGTGTCCAGAAGCTATCGATTATGAGATGTCTATGTAATTCTAGTCGATATGGTGTGATCTCGATATATGATGGTGGACAATTGAAAGGAGAAGAGATGGAGGATCGGAGTTCACGGGTCGAGGGTTAGCTGCCTCTCACTCTCGCGCGGTCGACGTCCAGTCTCACCCCTCTGATCGTCTAAGCTGCTCGTCATCCAGCATCCAGCTATCTATCTCTAACTTGTCGGGACATCCCAAGTTGCATCTATCACTTCTCATCGATTGTACACCCCATCTTGGTCGCTGTAGATTTTCCAGGTTGTACGTCAGACCAGGAAACCACAGCTGCTCACAATGTCGCAAGATCAACAACAGCAACCCTCGCAACTTCCCCCAAACCCGAAAGATGACAACGCTTCGGTCCAAGCCGCGTTGAACAAGCTACACACCCTGCGCAAGCTCTCCATGTCGGGGACGGGAGCCTTTACACCTCTTCACAGTCAACCGGGTACCGCTGCCGTCTCGAGAGCGTCTTCCGCCGCACCTTCACGAGCGGCTTCGAGGCCTTCGTCGCCGGGCGAGGCCGTACCCAATGTCACCATCGACGCCGGTACGCCGGGACCGTCGGGCAAGATGAACCTCGACTTTGGCATGACGGACAAGACGATGGGTGCAGATAACGGAGCGCTCTCACCGGGAGAGACGAGACCGTTCAGCGTGCCAGGAACACCTCATTTCGGCGCCCAGACGGACATGCTCAAGACGCTCGACGAATCTACCAAGGTCATCAAGCAATCCCAGTCGAACAAGATGTCCGGGACTCAGACCCCGAGCGTCAGTGGAATTGGGACCCTGTTGGACAGACCAGACTACTCGGAAGCCAAGATCGTAGTCGCCATGGTATGTCATTCACCTCTGTATTGTTACCCCTTGGCGGAGAGTAATTGGGTCGCTGACGTGATCGGACGTCCCCGTTGGTTGGCGGTTATAATCCCTGTGCTTCCTTTTAGGTCGGTCTTCCTGCTCGAGGCAAGAGTTACCTCAGTAATAGGTTGTTGAGGTATCTCAGGGTGAGTCATAACACGGCTGTTTAACCCGTTTGATCGCTTGACTGACTTTTTCGTTCCCCTTCGGCAGTGGCTCGAGTACAAGGTCGAGGTCAGTTAGACATCATGGAAGCTTACTTGTATACACCTTCAGGCGCTCAATGTTGATACCGCGTTCTAGGTCTTCAACGTCGGGCAGCTTAGGCGGAGAAAAGCTCGAGATCAGGTTCAGGCGTGAGTAATCGCGATACTGACCTCGGGTCCCAGCTGCACCTGTCTTACCCCTATCTCTTCTGGTCGAATCACAGTGGAGAAGGACCCCAGGATCACTCACATACCTACTTCTCGAGCACCAATGCCGAGGCTACGGCTCTCCGTGAACAGTTGGCGACCGAAAGTTTGGAAAGCTTGATCACTTGGCTGAAACAGGGTGGAAACGTCGGAATCCACGGTGAGACCGGGGTGCTGGGATAGGGAGGTCTTTCGGTGGATCACTCGCTGATTGTGGACCTGATTTGTTTATTGGACAGATGCCACCAACAGTACAAGGGCAAGGAGGTAAGCAAGATAGACGCTAGCGTCTAAGGATTTGCAGTCTGGGTCTAACTCGACCACAACTTGCATTTAAAGGGCGAAGATTCAAGAGCGAATCGACCGAGAACCCGGCCTTCAGTGCATCTTTCTTGAATCCTGGTGCGACGACCCGGAAATCATCGCTTCCAACGTCGCGCTCAAAGCCCGTTCGGGTGATCCCGACTACAAGGGCATGAGCAAGGAAGAGGCCGAGCGTGATTTCAGGAAACGGATCGAGCAGTACGAGAGCGTGTATGAGACCATTACGGAACCGGATATCTCTTGGTGCAAGATCTTGAACGTCGGTAGACAGGTGCAGATCAACCGGATAGCTGGTTACCTGCAGAGTCGGATCGCCTTTTACCTGATGAACCTGCATCTCAAGCCGAGACACATCTACCTTTCCAGGGTTAGTCAAATGTACAAAAGTTGCGCATTCCCTGATTTCGATGTCTTACAAATCTTGCTATGCAGCACGGAGAGAGTATGCACAATGTCGGTGGCATGATCGGCGGAGACTCGCCCCTGTCCCCACAAGGAGAAAAATACGCCGCTGCTCTGCCTGCGCTGGTGCTCGAGAACGTCGGAGATCACCCTCTCCAGGTGAGCTGAGTGAATCAAGCATGTACAGAGCGAAAGAAACTGATTCTCGAAAACGTTGGATACCAGGTCTGGACGAGTACGCTCCAAGTGAGTACCAAGCCCGAGAATCTCTCTTCAGTTGGAACCTTCTTCTAACTCGTTGCCCATTGTTCTGTAGAGAACCGTCGCTACCGCAAGGAACCTGCCATATCCCAAAAAGACCTGGAAGTCTCTGGATGAACTCGACGCCGGTGTCTGTGATGGAATGACCTATGAGGAGATTGCCGTAAATCAGTTTATGTTCTTGGTTACCTGTACGACCTCCTGCTGACGATCGCCCGTCCTACCAGGAAAAATACCCCGAAGATTACGCTGCACGTGATGAGAACAAGTTTGGCTACCGATGTAAGTCCGCTGCTCGGATAGTCGCCAGCGGGATTCTAACGTTGTCGTGCCCCATAGACCGTGGCGGTGAATCTTACCAAGATGTCGTGGTACGGCTCGAACCCGTTATCATGGAGCTGGAGAGGCAGGAGAACATCATCATCATCTGTCATCAGGTGAGTTGCATCGAGGTCCCAAGATCCACAGTGCAGGATCGACCAAACTCTGACATCGGCTTTGTTTCAGGCCATCATCCGATGTCTTTACGGATACTTCATGGGCTTGTCTCAGGAGGAATTGCCTTACATCAAGGTGAAAGAAACGACGAGCCACCGCTCGGCATGCTTGCTGACTGGGATGACGGATTGCAGGTACCTCTTCATACGCTCATCAAGCTGACACCGATGGCATACGGTTGTGAGGAGGAGCGTTTCCATGTGCCCATCGCTGCAGTCGACACGCATCGCCCCAAACCAGCACGACGCAACACTGGAGACGGTGCGGTGGCAGCTCCCACCGAAGAGAAGAAGTCCGGGGCTGCCCGAGACTACTTTGGTGATGCCGCTCCGACCGCTACCAGTCATGTGGCAGTTCCTACTCCGGATCCTGCTGATGCCAAGAGCCCGACATCAGAGGAGGAAGACGTCGAGAGAAAGACTACGACCAAGATCTCTACCGAAAAGGCTCGCCAGAATGTGCTCTTGCAGCACGCAGAAGAGCACGGCAAGAAGGCTTCCGAGGTCACCCAAGAGGAAGCTGGGATCTCCCAGGCCGACATCGCCCGAGCGCTTCACGCCCAGAGCATGATCGGAAACCGCGCACCTACGCACCTGATCAAGTACTACGATCTTCCTGAAGAGACGGCAGAGAACGCACTATGTGCACCCGTTGCTGCTGCGAGCACCAAGAAGTACAACAGGCACAAGATGTACTGTCCTCGGGACGGCTGCAACTCGCTCATACTGAGCACTGGGACGGCTGATTGGGTGGTCCGTGAGAGTGGAATGGTAAGACACCCTTTGATACCGAAACGTTGATACCCGTATTGTCAGCTGATATCGTCCTGCCTCGGATCACAGTTGCCAGACGATCCCGATGCTCCCTTCGAGAAGGATCCCAAGGCCGATGCCGCAGCCAACCCGGATGTCAAGGACCCGGCTCCTTTCTGGCATGTCGGCGGAGTGCCGATGGTCTTCGAAAACATAGGATTTACCCGGAATGTCAAGGTTGAGGATAAGGGCCAGCAGAAAGAAGGGCTCAAGTGGCTCATCTGTGCGGAATGCGATATCGGTGAGTCTAGCGACACAGACCTGCATTCCGACGATGGCTTGTTCTGACTATGAATTTTGTCTACAGGTCCTTTGGGCTGGTGTTACGAAGGCGAGACGGAAGCCTGGCTGTCACCTTCGCGATTGAAGTATGCGACGTGAGATTCGTTGTAGTAGATGCCTCACTGCACGCATGTTAAAGAGGATGTATAAACTTCACTCTGCATACGTGTGCGATTCGTAACTTCAAACTGTCCGCTCCTGTGCTCGATATTATGCTGATGCCACTGTACCGTTCCATCCTCGACATCCCTGAGGATATGAGGATCGAGGATGTCACCGATCATCGACGGACATGTCACACACACGTTGGCAGAGTCCTTTTTTGCATCCGCGTTTCAAACATCTTGACGTCATCTTTCAAGGTCGAATTCAGCATCCGCCCGCCTGCTTCTCTCTCCTTCCCTTGCCCTTGGCCTTGCGTGACCTCGTGACGATGGTTGCGCACACACCCACCCACGCACGACGCCGAGAAGTATATAACCAACGACACGAACCCATACGGATCCCCTCCCTGCTAATTCGACCGTCCTTTCCGATTGAATCCTCTCTTTTCGTAGCTTCCGATCTCCAGATTCTGCAACGACCAACAACACAACTCTAGTCATCATGGATTTCCTCAAAGCTTCGACTCTCACGATCCCTCATCCGACCCACTCGGGGACGTTGAGTATCCCTGCGCCGGTGACGAGCACCCACCACCACCACCATCACAAGCCTACTGCTTTGCCTCCCCCATACCCTGAGGGTCCCTCAGGTCCGCATTCACCTGGTACATCGTCTTTGGTTTTCGCTGCTTACGATGTTTATGCTTTGTTAACCTCGCCTTTCTTTTTGTAGCCCATATTGTACATGTCCACGACACGGGTTAGTCATTATCGAGCCTCCAGCTACTCGTACCCTGTGACTGACTGAGCCTTTACACACTCATATTTTGATGATATTAGGCAAGAAGGCGCTTTGGGTGTTTTGGGCAATCTTCACCGTCTCGTTCTTGGTCGTCCTTCTGATGGCCAAGCGGGTCGAACGCAAGTTGAGGCTTTTCCACTTGCTGACCGCGACCATCTTGGGTGTAAGTCCCCCGCTGATTCTGTAGCGATATGAAGGACGATGAGAACTGATTTTGACCACGCATATCGACGGACTTTCAGATGGCCATGATCAGGTAGGTCATACTCACGGACTGGCATCCCTGTCGGTTCAGTTCCGCTCACTTGGTGTGGTCTCGTAATGATCTTTCAGCTACCTCGCCATGGCCTCTGGCATGGGTGTCGCTCTCCAGCGTCAGTTCGAGAACGCCGCCGACGGATCCCGAGTCCTCAGGCAGGTCTTTTACGCTCGATACATTGATTGGTGTAAGTCAGATGCCATTGCGCCGGATCGTTCATCGCTGACCCGTTGCGTTCGACTACAGCCCTCACTACTCCCCTTCTCTTGTTGGGTAAGCGGCTCCGCTCGGCCGTCATGCCGAATCTCGTCCTCAACTCTTCCGCGTCATCCTCTCCCCGTAGACCTCGCTTTGCTCTCTGGCATGCCCTTGATCACCACCGCCGTCCTGATCCTCGCCGACATCGCCATGATCTTGACCGGTCTCTTTGCCGCCTTGAACAGCTCCAGCGAGAAGACTAGGTGGTTGATGTACGCCGTCAGCTGTGCCGTGAGTAGAATGAGCCCAAACTTTGCGTATCTTCCGAGTGCTCATGTTCGGCTTTGCCAATCTTCCAGTTCTACCTCTACGTCCTTTTCACCTTGATCTTCTCCGGAAGGAACGGTAAGTCGATACTATCCAGAGGGGGTTGTTTGGGCATTCAAGCTCATGTCGACCCGTTATTCCGCTCTTAGCCGCCAAGCTCCAGTCCGCCGGTGTTCAGAGGGTTTACAACGTCACCGCCTTGATGATCATTGTCCTCTGGACTGGTTACCCCATTGTCTTGTGAGTTTTCGCTCGGCACGATTGACACGTGGAGCGATCGCTTACAAGCATATACGCAATTTATTTAGCGGCTTGACTGAGGGCAAGGGCAGGCTCTCTGTTGACACTGAGATCATTCTCTACGGTATCCTCGACGTCGTGAGTTTCCGAACGGCTTGGGCCTGTAATGTGTGTTTTACTGAATCGTGACGCTTTTCATCATCAGTTGGCCAAGGTCGTCTTCGGATTCTACCTTCTCCTCGCCCACTCCCACACCGAGGGTGATTCGGTGAGTCATGTTGAACGCACCTTTTTTGTGTTTGGTGCCCGTACTGACTCTTGGGCCCCCTTCGTTGCAGGTCGTCCTCTCTGGATTCTTCACCGAGCCCCGCAACGCCGGTCAAGGATACGGTGCCATCAACCAGGATGACGACTAGACTTCCGTATCCAAACGAAATCTACTCAACTATCCATAAAGCCTCGTCACGTCATGTCTCTGGTCTCTCGGATTCGAGGACAGTTTTAATGAACGCACGATCTCTCGAAACCGATCCTGTTTGATCAATCCTTCTTACCCACTCATGAACGTCTGTTTACTTTTGTCGAAACTTGTTGTCGAAAACTTCCTGTATTCTTCGGAATCGAGATGTAACGCTCAGTATATACAATCATGTCTATCTTTCACTCTTCAACCAGCTGCAAGTGCAAGTTGCAAGTAGGATGAAGCCTGTTACGGTACGTCGGCGGAAGTCTCGCCGTGTCTGGCCGGGACGCGGATGCAAAGCCTCGAACCTTCTTTCGAGGCAACGGTAGAACCTCGATCAACCATTTGATGAAGCGATCTGAAAAGACGATCAAATAATGGAACTCCTGTCATGAATGTATACATAAGTCAGGAGCTTAGCGATAGTAATATGGTCTTCAGTCATCCCGCGGATCCGTTTAACCAGAAACTGGCTATGCTCCCGCTACCGTTTCAAGTGAGTTCCTCTTCGGCTTGGCTGCAAGGTCCGCATATCATCAGGGCTGATTCGAGCTGTTCTGCAGTCACTTCTTTGGCAAGCATTGTCAGGCACCTCACAGATGGAGATCATTCAATGGATCCAGCTGAAACAAAATATCCTATTTATCCTGCTGACCGGGTAAGCACGTCTCTGTAGTGCTATAGCACACCCAGCTGGTGCTCATTTCGATCTGCGCCATCAGCCATCCTGTTTCCGACTGGCTAGTCGATGTTCTGATGAATGCGATGTCTTCGGACTCGCGTAGCAAGGCAACCGTGAGTATGAGCATACATTCATCAATCTGACCCTGTCTCAATTCTGTAATCGGCACTAACCATGATATCAGGCTATCGCGCTTCTGCCTGATCATCAATGTCCTATCGCGTTTCACAATCTCCTTCGATCGATCGTTGCCACCCCGACCCCATCGGTAGCACCGAAAGGATCGATCGATTGGGACGATTGGTCTGGGAGGAGGGCTATGCAGTTATTGGGTATGACTGGTGCTTGGAAAGGATGGCAATCCACGAGGTCAGTTTCAGTTTCTGTCGGATCAACGTGTGACAGAATTGACTCGGTGTATTACCACAGGTCTCCTTACGTCGCGGCGCTACGTCCCTTCTGATTGTCGTCGTATCGATGACCCGAGCTTTTACAGACTGAGATCTGCCTTCATGTGTTGTGCTGGTACATCTTATCTTAAATCTGTATGTCAGTGATTTTATGCGGTGCGACTTACCAGGCATGTAGCGCCAGTTGTCAGGATGATGAGCGACTCCGATTAACAAAACAGTTCGTCAATGATTAGGATCACGCTCGTGCGGAAAGACTGCGGGATCTAGGAAAACAAAACGACGTGTTCCTTCTTGGCTTGACCGTCTGCATGATACCTCGAGTCGAGACGTACAAGCAGGAAGCGAACGATCAGAGGAGGCATAAGATGAGATGATGAAGGAGTTTTGGACTGTGTCCAGTCCTTCCGAGCCGGCCAGGCGAGTCCCATCCGCTAGCAAGCTGAGGGAATGGGCCAAATGGGAGTGTTGGGATTGGGGTGATGCTGATGATGATGAATGGGACTCCTACGATCCCAAGTTGTGGCAGTGACCTTGTACTGTACAATACATGTATGTATACACATACATGTGTCCCACCCTTGGTCAGGCTTGGCTTCTTAAATTCGATATAGTTGGCTGTGGGAAGCCGGTGGATTGAACTCAGCGCTCGTGAGATTTTCAGGGGTGGTCTGTGCAGCTGGGCGGGAAACAATCTAGGTAAGTAATATCAAGATGGGGAGTAGTAGCACTACTATCGGTATCCCTACGACCAAAGAGGAAAGGGTATGGGCGGCGATTGAATCTCTGTCTGTCAGGACAGATGGTATCCTTTTGAAAGAGCTACCTCTGCTCAAGAAGGATATCTATGACATCCTATTCAAAGAGCTACCTCTAATCAAGAACGCGGTCTAAAAGACTCTGAGAGAAGGCAGATACCACCAGGGAAAAGGTGAATCAGTTGGATTCAAGCCTGCAGGCTCTTCGGACCGTTGTATCTCTTCAAATCTGTTGTTCTGGAGGGAATTTTGAGCAGCAGGTAGACTAGGACGAGGAATGAGGTCACGGGTATTCTAATCAGGGAACAGATGTTATGGAAAAGCACCTGATCGACCTCTTGTATCGGTCAATAAAGCAGGCAACTACAACTGACTTTTGGTGCCTCGTCTGCGAAAACTGTTCTCGATGGCCCATGACCGAAAGGATCGATCAACACATTCTTGGGAACAGTCGACCTGACTCGATCGATTGCAAGGTCAATTCACTTATACCCAGCACCAGCATAAACATAGCCAGCCTTGCTAACGTTCAGCAGCAGCAGCAGTAACGACAACAACAGGATGACGACATCGATCCGAGCTTGTGAGGTGAAGTTCGAGATTGGCCAGATAGAGTTTCCGACGCCACACTAACTCAATTAAAGGTTCCTCTACGCAATATCCCCTAACATACAGCCCCGTGTCACTTCAGGAAGAAAAGACCGCCGCTGGATTGCTCAAGGATAAGTTTATGTACATCTTGTTCGTCACGACCGTCGAAGTCGAGATCGAAATAGTATTGTACAATTGATGGGGCGGATACATGGATATATGTGCGGTCGTTCAATGGTCCACGGGTTTGAAAAGAAGGGTCGAAATGTACTGGTAGGGATATCGATACCGTTAACACAGGTACGTTACCCTCTCGAAGCTCTCCGAACATATGCCTCACCTTGCGCTTGTATCGCGTGGTTGTTCCGACAGCGAGAGTACCATTCCTGATGGCGGCCGCCGTCAAATGATTCAGAACAACATGGTTCGGCACCGGGAGTATCGAGTTGTCGTCTCCAGCCGTACCCCCAATCGTCCCCTCGAGCTCCTTTGGGCTCGTATTGAGGATGGGATCCTTGAGGTGTCGGGGGACGGTGGGTGGGGCCGGAACGGTGGCCAACAATTGCTGCATGTTCTGCTGATATTTCTCGAAAGCGCCCGGATTCAAGCCGTCAGGCGATTCTTTCCCCCGTTCCTCGATCGAAATGAAGTTGACGAGTGCGGGAGGAATCACGGTGGTCCACAAAGACCCGTCATCTGCGGGGATTCACGAGCAAATCATATCAACTTCTCGGCGTCTTGTAGAGTCAATCCCACTTTCATTCGTGTTGTCGAACCTTGCTCCATCTCGGCTCCGCTGACTTTTTGGGCCCACTCCGCCATCGCCCAATCTTCGTGCGAGTCGATCTGTTTCTTTGGTGGATCGACCTATATCAATGGCATGAAGGGATATCAGCTGTCGATGGCTCATCTGACAGCTATCGCGATGTCTCACCTCTAGCCAGTTGACCAGGTTGCCGTCTCCATCTGTAGCGGTCTGTAATTCGCTACTACACCTCCAATGGTCGTCGACGATAAATTTGAGTCGATGCGTGCCCGGTGGCAGGTTGAGCAGTAATGAAAAGTCGTGCGTGCTGACAAGAGGCGCATGATCAGCTTCGACGTCCTCTCAAAGAACCTTGTGCTGAACATTTCGACAAACCTCTTGTTCATCTTCAGCCTCGCTTTCCATCCATTCTCGGCAAAGGTTCCTGTCACGTAGACGTTTTTCCCTCCCTCGTTCCAGGTCACCAGTGTTGGTATCGAGGCAGACTCCTCCTCCTCTTCGACAGGCCGAGCGGCATTTCCAACCGGTGGGGGCAGACCTAGCGGTGTTTGATCAGGGTCATATACGCGAGGAGTCTGAACAGACGCCAAGGGAGTCTCGAGTGCAGGCGGTAGCAGCGCATTCTGGTCGAGAATCGGGTTGTTCGCCATACCGTTCGGCAAGGCAGACACGATCACGTCCTGCGGAGCGACGACGTGATGATGCTCGGTCGTCACCACGGCCGGAGCTGGTCTCGCAGGCGAGGGCTGTCGAGGTCCGGTCGGGGGTACGTTCGTATTGACCGAGAGCCTATCTCGGCCGGAAAAGTCGAAATCGGCCTGTTCTGCGTGTTCGACGTGAGCGAGGCCGACACCCGATCCACCATCTCCGGTATGAGGACTGTGCGAGTAGTTGGGCAATCCGGGCGTCGTCGGTGGACGCTGCCTCGCGACAGGAGGAAAGTAAGGGTTGTCCGGCTCGTCTCCACCGAAAGGAGCACGACGAGCTGGTTTGGCCCCAGGGATCGGCATGCCTTCCCTCGTCCCTATGCTCGACAAGCTTCCGCTCCCGTCTCGACCCATCCCTTCTCCGAGCGACGTCGTGATCTGCACCGTCGCTGATTGAGGCGAGCGAGCTCGCGTGCCCGAAGTGAGACTGATGCGTTTGCTGTTGGCAGGAGTGTTTCCGAGCGAGCTTTCCTCGTCGTACGTATACGCAGATGGAGGTGGACCGGCCAAGGGAGAACGGACCCGGCCCGAACCTGTCGTCTGCGTGTCGAGAGCTTCGGCCTGAACCAGCTCCGAGGTGGCTCCTTGAGCGTTCGCATTGGTAAAAGTGAGCTTGTTATTGAGGTCTGGAAGTTCGAGCGACTTGCGTCGTCTTGGAGAGATGGGACGATGTGACGAAGGGGAAGACGAGGTCTGGTTGATGGATGATGGGGAACCCTGTGCAGCTTCGGATCTCTGCGAATGGCGCCCAGCGTGATGTCGGTGTGGGAGGACGCTAGGAGCTTGAGATCTAGAAGGCTGCGCAGGCGAAGATCTGAGGCCTTGACTGGTGGATCCTCGACGAGCGGGACTGGTGGTGTTACCGGATGGACCACCTTGTCCAGACTGATTCGACGGGGTGTTGCCCATGTCGGGCAGCTAGGTAAACGGTGTGTTACGACAGTCGAGATCGGGGTTCGTGATTATCCACTAGGGGTGGCGGAAGGCTGCTTGGTCTGTCTATAGATGTGGAAGATGAACGATGTAGGTGAATAGGCAGGAAAGAGGGAGTAGTAGAGCTTCTACTACTATAGGCTATAGGTAGCTAGGTAGAGGGTAGAGGTGGTTGACTAATACCGGTCAGAGCGCACACGCGCGCGTGACACATCGGGGGATCATGCATGTCCATGTCTGGGGGCTACAAATTCCAGGATACAACTTCAGTGATTTTCATGACAAGTAACAGGATTTACCCTCCAAGAACGATTGACAGAGTACAGAGTTGACGAGATGCAAGTTGGAAGCTCGTGATGTATGTTTGCAGCAATTCAGCAATGGAGATGTCCCCAATTGCCTATCGCGGCGCAGAGTATCCTCAGGCACCGCGCCGCTCACACGCGCGTGCCGCTCACCGAACAAGAGCAAGGAGAAGCGTCCGGACACTCTCATCCTCGCTCGGAGGGAGATCATCATCCATCTCATCCTTCAACTGCTTTTCTACACTCTCTTTTCTCTCTATCATTCTTTGTACATCACTCCATCTGGCATCTTGTATCTCGACGTAGGTATCCTGCTAGCGGGGTCCTCGGATCAGGACGCAACAACTCACTCTCGCATACCGCCATCTTAGACATCTTCAACTCGCAACTCGATACGTACAACATGGACGTCGTTACCAGAATTCCTGAATTGGCCAAGCAGTTCCGAGTACGTCTCGTGTCTAGCGAGGTACACTCCTGTATGTCCTGACACTGATCACTTTGTGCACATCGCAGGAGACCCGTCTCTCGGCTCTCCGACCCGTAAACGAGTTTGTAAGTAGATCCGCGAAAAACACAGCCCGAATCGCTTTCGTGGCCATTCCACATCCCAGTCGTGCTCATCCTCAACCTGAAATGCACTACAGTTCGATCACCAAAGGCTCTCTAGGCCTGCCGATATGAACGAAGCTACCTCGGTGAGCTCGACGACGACGATTGCTACGAATTCATCCCAGGTTACTGACTTTTATTTTTTACCTCCGAGGTGATCTTCAGAGGCTCTCTTATAACACCCGATACTTTTCCGGCAACTATGGTATCGTGATCGCCCTGCTTGCGGTTTACGCTCTGTAAGTCGACGCCGTTGTCACTAGAAAAGAAGGTACACAAGCTAACCGACCCCGTCTCTCGCTTTGCCTCTTGAACGCGTCGTTTGTTGCATAGCTTGACCAACTTGGCACTCCTGATCGCCCTCATCTTCCTCATCGGAGGTTTCGCCGCTATCAACCGGTTCGGTACGTCGTCGTCGGATGACCTTTTCCAGTCAATGGTATACTCACATCATGATTATGTGTACAGCTCCTGAGCCTATGCAAGTCGGAGACCACGTCATAACCCAAAAATCGCTCTACACCGGTCTCTTTGTTATCGGTAAGTGCAAGGGTTGCATGACACGAAATATAATATCGCGCGAATAGACAGTTGATCAGGTTTTCCGCATCAGGTATCCCTCTTCTCTGGATCGCCGCACCCCTGAGTACCCTCTTCTGGCTCGTCGGTTCCAGCTCGATCTTGATCATGGGACACGCCAGCCTGATGGAGCCCGGTCTCGAAAGGTAGGCTGATAGTCGTAAAACACCTCGAGTTGGTCTCACCATGCTGATGCCGTGCTTTTGCCGTTTCGCAGCGAGTATGGAAACGTCGAGACGGTCTAAGTCGGCTTGCAAGACAGCTTGCCTGCCATTGCGCCTCGCCATACCCCAAATAGATGTCGTCTTGTCGGTGGTCGATAATCAGTGTCCCTACCTTCCTTCACAACGCCAATGTAGTCTGCTAGGTTAGAATCAGAGTGATGCTTAGAGGGGTGTTATCTATCGTGCTTCGAACTCCCGTATCGACAGGAGTTGGGCTTTGATGATGCCGCCACGACGAGCGGCCGAACAGCTTTCAATGTGTGTCTTATTCGTTACGATTGATAGCGAATAGCATGGCGCAACCGAAGGTTACAAGGTGGTTCTCGGATCATCCTGATCCTCGATGACGAGATTCTTCCCATCTCTAAAAGGCGTCTTCATCCCTCGACTATTAACACGTGCCCCGTCCTCCTTCTTCGCTTAGAACTTGAGCTCGTGAACCTTGTCACCCCTGGAGAGGCTGAAGGTAGACTTCAAGTACTTGGAGAGGTTGTCGACCTTCTTGATGTTGGCAAGGAGAGCGGCATCAACGGTCTGGAAAGAGGATAAATTAGACGAAATTTAGTATTGTGCTATACGCCTCACAAAGACCCGCTTCTCCGACTCACCTTCTGCTCGCTCTTCCTGTCGTCCGACAAGAGCTTCTTCTCCTTGTTGTCTCCGAAGAACTGGTCCTCCTTGCCCTCCTTTCCGGCCTTCGACTTGGTGAAGTAGGCATCGTTGACGGTCTCCGGAACAGAGACGCCAGCGAGGTCGACCTTGGTCGAGGTGGCAATGACGTAGGCCTGGCCGACTCGTCGGAGGGGAACTCCGTTGAGCCTGAAAGGTCCGCTAACGAGCAACAGACCGCTGTCCAATTGCTTCAAGAAAACGACCCTCTTGCCCCTGAATCGTCCAGCCAACAAGATCAAGACGGTTCCGGGGGTGATGGAAGATCGGAGCTGGGTGGTGCCAGGGGTCTTTCGGGAAGCCTTGGGCTTTCGGACATCCTCGGCCTGAAAGATAATGCGATCGACTAGAGATCAGTCATCGAGCACTAGTCGTCGATGCGTTTGTATATGGCCGCTCACGGGGTAGTACTTCTGGGCCTTGTCGGTCGAGATGGTCCTCTTCTCGCCGTTTTTGGCACCTCCGATCGACTTCTCGACGGTGGTGGGCTTCTCCTCCTTGGCGGGAGCGGTACCGGTCTTCTTGCCTGAATTACACCGGGAGAGATCTTCAGCTACATTCGATCTCACAGGATGCATGTAATACGATGAAGCGTACCCTTGTAGAGACCCCTCTTGGCAGCGACCTGCGAACGAGACAGACGTCCGACGTTGGGAGCAATAGGAGAGGACCTGGCCATCTGAAGAAGAGCGAGTCAAGGCGGATACGAGTCAGTTCCGACTATTTGGAGATAGCACAGCCTCGACGCAGGACGACGGCGAAGAGAACAGCAGTAATAGGTAGAGCGAGATGGTTTGCCGGGCTGGTCGTCGTGTGTTCGTCACGTCGGTGGGCTGCGTGTGGGATGTCGCTTTGCGAGCCGAAGCAGCCAAGTTGCGTTCGCTCGGCTTGTATAGGAGACGTGGGCGGATCGTAAGGCCGCTTCCCGGACGTCTTTCATCGAGGGAACGTTCAAGTGTATGAACCTAGTCACGAGGTGCCACCCGTTCGCTCAAGGTAAGTCTTAACAACATTCAGGCTTATTGCCCTCACGCATCCGATCGGCCTGTGAAGTTCCCCTCCATGCGGCTAGCTTGACCGCTCGTGCGCTCATTCTCCATCCACCTTTGCCCTTCCAAACTGCCATCGAGAGCCCAAGTTGACGCTGCTGTTGTGCTGAATCCTCCCGTAAAGTCCATCTCGCTCTGACTGCTGTATCTCTCGCCGCCCAGTCCTCGTTCGTTGTGCTAAAAGTTGACGCTTACTTTGGTCGATTTCAAGGTTGTCGAAATGTCGTGGATTGGGGGGATTACCGAACAGTCGAACAGAAGAGTCTGGCTTCAATCAAGACGTTACCTTGTCAATACGGTACGAGGTTCGAATCGATGTCGGCGAGGTCCACACCCACACTCGCTCACTCCCGGGCTCTGGCCACTCGCTCGTCCAGCTGCCTGCCTGCCCTCTCCGCGCCTGGCGCCTTGCACTGACGCGGGCGAGGGGTTCGAATGCCCTCGAGCGTTTGGTTACGAGACGGAGAACGAAGAGTCCAAGGACAACTGATACGATGCGCGCCTTCGCGAAATGCGACACATAGAAGCGCGAATATCGACGCGCGCTCTCCAGTTTAAGGCCGATTCTCGTCCTGTTCGATCGATCAATAACGAGTCGACTGACGATGGAACAGGCACCCAAGTAGACCGGACCACCTTGGAATATCGAGGCAGGTTCTCCAAGGTTTGTTCGAAACATCTTGGATGACTATCAGTATCCTCCGTCTGCCGTCAGCGATCCGCCATAACACCCATCTACCGAATCTCTTATCAACCTGCAACCCTTTGTTTTGAATGTGGTATCCTTCTTCCCCGCACGTGGGGCTCGACAAGTCTCAACAATTTCATAGCTATCATCACGAATTTTGTATTATAGCTTTGCAAGTCGTCTACTAGATACATGTCTCACACCTCGAGCAGGCTATTCCGAGGTCTCGTCTGTCGTTTCCTGTACTGCAGGCGCACAAGTCCTAGCAGCAAGCCAATTCTCGCGGTTCCAAGGCTCTAATTTGATCGCCTTCTGTGCTATGCGCAACGCTTGCTCATCTCCCTTCATCTGCCTGGCCAGCGATTCCAAACGAAGAGTCGCCGCGGTATCTTCGACCGATAGGTCTTGTTTCAATTCGAGCAGACCTCTTGTTAGGCCGATCGCGGTTGATGAGTCTCCGAAGCTGAGACCGAAGTTTCCTAGTCGTAGCTTTGTCTTGACGTCGGTCGCATCCCTATGTACCGCTGAGGACAGAATTCTCTTTGCTCCCACGATATCATTCTGATGTAGCAGTAAACTATCAGTCCCGCATGTACGTTCTCGTAGACACTGACCGGACCCACCTTGGAAAGCTTGACGAGCGACCGCAGGTAAGCCAACGAGCCCTCCGGATCGGGCTGATCAATGCCCCGTTCATCGATTTCAGCAAGGACAGCTTCCACAATCCCGTCGTCCTTGGTCAAGACCCCAAGCGATGCTAGGGCCGTCATGGCTTCGATCGTATGGTTTTCTGACGAGAAACTGGAACGTTACAACGGAATTGTCAGTATAACACTTCTGTCCTGTTTGATGCTGATAGCAAGACTCACGCTTCGAGCAGATTGGTCTTCGCTGCTTCTTTCGCCTCGTCCACACCAAAGTGCCACAAGGTCCTAGCTAATAGCACCGAGATCTTTTCCTTGCACACCTCTCGCTTCGAGACGACCGACAGCTTTTCGGCCACTTCAAGACTCTTTTGGAACGACTCTAGCGCTTCGTCAGCTTGTTCCCGGTTGGATTGGGACAAGGCGGTCGCAAGATGACATTGAACCAGGATCGCCAATCCTTCATCGTCCGTGCGATCAGAGCATAAGCCCATGCAGTCGCCTAGAGTTGCGGCGGCGGCCTCGTTTTCGCCGTTGGCCAACTGAAGTCGACCGAGATTGACAAGCGCTACGACGTATTGTCGCTCCACCTCGGAGGACTCGTCGGTTTCATACCGAGACTCCAAAACCTTGACTGCTTGGCTGACCCGCCCGATAGCCGTTTCTACCAGTCCGAGGCGTTCCAAAATCAAAGCGTGCAGCAACAACGCGGACGTGTCATACGGCCTGTCTTCGCAGTAACGCGAAAGCGCAAAGGACGGTTCGTGTAATACTGCATTGTCCAAGGTCGTCGCGGTTGTGACAGAAGGGGCGAAGAGCAGAGCCGCATAGCCAAGTCCGCTAGGTAGCTACGGATTACGTTTGTCAGCATGCGTCAATCACGTATTCAAAGAACCAACCGTGCTCACCAAGTTGCCTGCCGACAGGGTGCTAGCTTGTTCGAACAAGGAGAGCGCCTCCTTGGTATCATTGTCACGATACGCCACTAGCGCTTGTCCGAGCCATGCCCAGGCGTTCTCAGGTTCGATGACCTGGGCTTTGCTGAATGCACGATTGGCTAGATCGTGATCGTTCTGGGTGAGGCAGAGATAACCGTAGTTGCACCAGACTTGCGCATTCTGGAAAAAATGGCACTAGGTCAGCCCGAAAAGTTCCCTTCAGCAAGTAACATGCATAATACCTTGGGTTCCAATTGCAGCGAAATGACGTAGGCATGTTGTGCGAGTTGCGCACTGGCAGATGCAGCGATTACCCCAAAGGCGTTCCAGAGGGTTGGGCTTGAAGCGTCGACATCAAGAGCGTTCCTGATCGCTATGATGGCAGCCTTTTGACAAGCCGCGATCTGACTGTGTTTCGGATCGATCGCGATCAGTTCGGTTGAGAACAGATGCAGAGCGCAGGCAAGATCGTATAACGGTAGTTCGGCAATCTTCGTGTCGTATTTGAGCAGATCGGCGCGATAGGCGAATGCCGCAATGGCGGCTTTCAGCATGTCCCGTCGGCCGAACGTCTGCGACTCCATTAAGGTTCCAACGTCTACGACGTCGGGTACGGTGGCGGTCTTTCCGGTATCTACCTCTTGAAGATGGTCTAGGACCGGTCGGATGGTAGCCAAGGCCTCGGACAAGTCATCCTCGTCGCTGACGCATGACACAACGTTCAAACAAGCGTCCGCAAAGATCTTCCAAGACGTTCGACGATAGAGATCGGTCGAAGGGATGATAGTAGCAACCCGCTCAAGCGAGTGAAGCGAAGAATGGTATGCCCGTTCCCTCAAGCCCATCGTGCTCTCCGATTTGCCCAAAGCGAGCCACGCTTCGCTACAAGCGAGGACGACTCCAGCTTCTTGCGGTCGGTGCTGAAGAATACGCTCGTATGACGAAATCGCCTGACCGTATGCCCCCAATTGCTGCTGCACGTTTCCGATATGGTAGTAGCACATCCACATGTCCGGTGCGATTTCGAGGGCTTGATACAGGGCCTTGAGACTGGCAACCTGCTTGCCGCCCTTGGCATACGCTTCTCCCAGACGGGCCCACAGAATCGGGTCCTCTGGTCCCGAGCGGAGAGCAACTTGGAAAGCTTGCGCAGCAAGATCGTACTTCTTGTACTCCTGCTCAAGGGAAAGGATTCAGCAAGCGATCTCTCACGCCCTGAGCATGAAACCAGCTCACCATCTGTACCGCTCCGGAAGCCTTCCAAGCCCAAGCGTTAGTGGGCAAAAACTTGCCAGCGGTTCCTGATGATCCGCCAGACAGCCCTCCCTCTAGCCCACCTTCGCCCTCCATAACTCGCTTAGAGATCACGTTGACCAGGGCCCATTCTGCTTCCTTAGCGTAACCTTCCGCCAGCCTCCTTGCAGCGTCTCCCTGGGTGGCATCGAGTTCGAACGCCTTTTGGAAGCACTTCGAAGCTCGATCTTCATCAGGAGGATCTGCGTGATCTAGATACCAGACTCCCATCGCCGTAAAAGACGAGGCGAAGCTGTCAAAGTGTCGTAATGATGTCACGAATGCCTCATAGGCATTATTGCGATGGTCACCTGTTGGAGAACGATGTCAAACCACATAAAACGCCTGGCGCTTTGGTGGTCTCAACTTACCGCCCATTTCCCAATCGGCAATACCCTTTCGCCACCAGACCCGAGCTGAGTCTTCGCCTCGAGTAGTATCGGCATCGAACATCTCAGACACTCCATCGAGGATAGCTTTGCCTTCTTCCAGTCGACCTTGCTTGACCAAACACCATCCTTGCTGCTCTTCGGCCTCTGTCTCAAGCGGCGACCAGACAGAACCGGCAGGTCTGCCCTCTTCTGCGAGCGAACCAGGCCCCCTCTTCTTTTCTTCCAGCTCGATGACCTTTTCGAATTCGACCGTCGCATCTGCCCAACGCTGCTCTCCTGCGAACACATAGCCCCGTCCGATGTAACAGGGTACTGAATCTGGGTATTGGTCTAATACTCCGTTGAGCAGCTTGAGCGCTCGTGGATGGTGTTTCGGAGCATAGTAATGTACTAAAGCGGTTCCCAATAGTATGTCCAAGAAGGTCGTCGAGCTATGATGCAGCAAGTGTTGAGCAGCATCGGGTTATTGAGCATCACAAATCCGGCTTACCCATGGAATTTGAGACCCGTCTCGATATCCAGTGCCTTGATCAAGCTCTTTCCCTTTTCGGCAGTAGCGATAACATTGGCATAGTCCGCCTCTCGAAGATACGCCTCCGACAAGATCTTGTGACCAAACAGAGACTTGGGCAGGCTTTCGATCCCGTTCTGTGAGCGAGGCCCTGATAAGCGAAGGCCGGCAGCAGCTTGTACAAAACCTACTCACGATCAAAACGGTATACGGTTCCTTTCGCTTATTTTCCTCCGTCTTCAAGGCATCCTCAGCGGAGACCTCGTCCTCTTTGCTCTCTACCTCAGATGCGGCATCCTTTTTCCCCTTCTTTCCGCTATCTTTCTTCGCCTTGCGACGTTCCCTCTTCTTGGCCCGGATCTTCTCTGTTACTTCGTCGTTCGGTCCGGGCAGGTCAAAGTATCGGAGGTATCCGGTGATCAGAGTGGTATAAGGTGAAGAAGGGAAGAGTAACGAGTATTCGTGCAAGAAACCGAGAGTGTACCCATCTAATTTGGTTAACGTGAGTTATGTTCAGCAAAATAATCAGAAACAGCTGTCGGGGGACCAGAGGCTGACCTAATGATGTCACATCCATCCACTCTAGCGTTGTCGCCCATGCGCTCTCGTCTTCGACCTTGAGCAGGATCATCCCCTGAATCAATTCCTCGATCTTGCTTCGGATGGACTCTTTGCTCGGCGGCGTGGTATCTCTGACTGGCGGATCGAAGAGGTTCTGAGGAAATTGTCTCGATTCCCCTTCATCAGCGATCTTTGCTTCTGGAGCGTTTCTATGATCTCTTATCAGTAAAGGGATGCTTGCCCAATAGATGTCGATTGGAGGCGTCTCACCTTGATAGACATGTCATCAACCGGTACCAATGCCGAAGCAACCGACTCTCCGCCGATCTTCGAACATCGTCTGGAGTCGCAGGATGTGACAAGATCTCCTCATAGTATTCCGGCATCTGTCATATTACTGTCTATCAGCTCGAGTCACATCCTTGCACAGATTGAGAAAACGGTCTACTCACCCTCGACTCGCATAAAAAGTCCCTAGCGACCGCTCGTCGAACCTGACTCTCGCTCCCCGCTCCCAACCTCTTCCTCCTGATCCCGACTTCCTTCTCCTCCCTCTCCCTTTCCCCATGTTCTTGCTCCAGCGTCAAAGTCAATAGCAAAGCCAAGCTGGTATCAGAATGGTGTATCATCTGGTTGATAGCCGGCATTGGCGAAGGAGGTTTAGGCGGAGCAGAGAAGGTCAAGGAGGAAGAAGGGAGCGGTTGCGAGAGGGGGAGGTCGTGGATCGTCGGAGGGGGTGGGAAAGAAGGGACCTGCCAGGGAGTGTAGGAGGATACTCCGGAGTCCGCTGTAGCGGAAGACGTGTCGGGTGGGTCGAGCTGGTTCAAGAGGTTGTATAAAGGGGATGAGGGCAGGAGAAGGTCTAATAGTCGATGGGTCTAACCATGGTTGTTTCTAGGTTAGCGATATACTTGCAATTTGTGAGTCTTTTATCTGACGTACCTCTTTTGGAAGTTCTTGCTTCTCCCGGACTTCGAGCAGCTTTTGCAGGTACTTGGCGACATCTCCAGCACTCTGACTATTATAACCGAGCTCGTAGGTCAGCTACCCCTCGCCCTAAACCCCTCGCATCGCTTCTGCAGAACTTGCCTGTCCACAGCCGTAACTGTCATTCCTTGGAGCATCTGTACCAACTTCTCCCATTCTTCCCTATCCGTATACAGTTTCTGGAGACCTTGTCGAGCGAGCGGCAAGTCCGGGAAGAGCTCGATAGCACGGGTGTAGACTTTTTCGGATTCGTCATAACGCTCAAGCTTGGAATATGCTACTCCGGCGAAAACCAAGCTGATTTCCACCATGATATCGCATCTTATCAGTTACCGACTTATAGATTGATTATACCTGTGAAGACATAAGTGAAACTAACGCATGGTAGACATTCTGAGTAGCTCCCTTTTCTTCCTTCAGGACCTGTTTGCCGAGCTCGATGACTTCGTCAAACTCTTCCGCCTTGAGGTGTTTCTGGATGTCCTTGAGCTTTGCTTTGACGCCGGACATCTCGGCAAGAAATACGATGCTACAAGAAGAGAGTTGAGTCTATCGGTTGGGGGTCGAGACCGAACAGGGATCATTATTATTGCAGCAAAGCCGTCTACATTTCGTTTCAAAGGTCGAAGGAAGCTCGATCGTGCGAGATCGGTGAGGGCGGGTATACGTAAGGGTCGATGGAGAGGCGACGCGCATCATAATGGCAAAGGTCCAGATAGAGAAGCTACACCTTTCAGACTTCAATTCGATTCATGTCGGCTTCTGGACTCATTTACAACCGTGACCGTCCGACTTCACTTGATTGCTACTTCTTCTCGTCCTTTTGGTTCTGACCCTGCATGATCCACTTGGAAGCCTCCTTGGCCTTGGCGTCCAACTCTTCCTGAGTAGCGTTCGGGTTGAAAGAGTTCTTGACGGGGATGTCGAGACCGGCCTTGACAGCCTCCCTAGAAGCATATTGTGCAAGTTAGATAATGATGTCTTGACTGAAAAATAGACGTTTGCATCTTGCGTTACTTGCCTAGCCTCGATCCTCTCCAACCAAGCCTTGATGTGGGTGAAACGCTCGAGCCCGGGAACACCGGCCCATGAGGCAAGACGGACCCAGGGGAAGGCTATAGAGAAGAAGATAGACAAGCAAAGAGTGTCAGCGAGTATATCATAGGTTGAAAAATCGAGCTAATGGAGGACCGTCGACGTACCGTTCATGTCGACGATACTGTATTTCCCCTTGCCAGCTCCGACAACATAGTCCCTAGGCTCTCCGGAGCTTCCGTTGCTCTCTCGCTTACCAGCAAGACGGTCCTCGAGGACACTACGACAGGTGCAAAAGATTCAGCTAAAACCCGAACCCTGATCTCCAAGCGGGTCGAGCCGATGGAGAAGTGTACATGCAACCGAGACTAACCTGTACAACCTCGCGGTCTCGTCCTGGTACCGCTTGATTCCGTAAGGGATCTTTTCCGGGGCGTATCGGAAAAAGTGGTTGGCTTGGCCTTGCATCGGGGCCAGCCCGCTCTGGAAGAACATGATCCAAGAGAAAGCGTCGCTGCGTTCTTTAGGGTCTTCGAACCAGAACTTGTTTTCCTGTGTCATAATAGTGGTCATGATTTCGCGCAAAGATCAGTCTTCCAGCCGATAGGATATCGAGCACACGCTTAGGACTTACCTTGTCGTACTTCTCCACGAGCCATTGGTTGATGGCACCGGATTCAAAGACGTTGTGGTCACCGTCGGTCAAAGCGGGAATCCTTCCTGACATACGTCAAGCGAATCAGGGTCAGCATACGCCAACCAAAGAGTACACAGCGTCCTGAAGCAATTGCAGCGACTGCACGTGCGCGACTTACCGTTAGGGTTGACCTTTAAGAACGACTCTTCCTTCTGTTCGTTCTTGGAGAAGCTGAGGCCTGCGAACTCGTATTCGATACCGTAAGCTCGTTTGAGCTCTTCGAGGAGGATGGAACACTGTGACGATGTTGCTGCCAGTCAGTCGGACGGTTTGCATTTTTGTAGGCCGGCGAGGTTCTGCTCGGTTCTGCTCACCTTGTGGCCTGATCATCGTGATGGGTTGACATATCAGATCAGTCAATTTGATATGAGAAACCATCTTAATAGGATGGTGAGCTTACCGTTAGGGGTCTCTATAATCAGGCAATGTGATATACGTGTCGAATGATTGAATGCCGGAGTAAACAAAAATCAACAAGGCCGGAGTACTTACCGGCAGTCCACAACTTGATCTTGTTGACGACAGACATGATTGCTGGTTCGTTCTGCGAGTTGTTCGGGTATGAGGTGGATATCGATCCCGAGAGGAAACGACAAGAGAGGGTAAAAGTGGTTATGCTGACGATATGTTGCGACGGGGATGCCTATATATATGCCATATATGGATGGCATGTGCTGCTTGCATCATCATCATCGATCACTTCGACGGGATGATTACTAATGAAAGCGGCGGATGCAAATACACATCGAATTCCCCGAGAGATGCTCCCGGCGTGATCGTTCCTCGTTTCTGTCGGGTGTTTCAGTTTCGCGTCTGTACCGGACATCCAGTGATTGCCGGAGATTGCTGGATTCACGAATCTACAGATTCATGTCTTTCTGAGGCTTCTTTCGCTTGAAGGTGAAAGTTCTTTGCTGGCTATATCTAACTAGACGACCTCTTCCCGAAATAATTGTTGAGAAATCCATTCATCTTAAAAGAATTTGGTGAACAGGTTGTTGTCGAAATCGTCAAAGATCTCATATCGACATCAGACCTTATACAGTATTAGATCGCGTCTCTTTAGGGAGTAAGACGACCTACCAGCTAAGTTCCGCGGCGGCGTACTGCGGGCATGTATCATGCTACCGGAAACAGGCTGACTTGTTCGATCCCGCCGGCCAGCTGAAGAGGCCGAGTTGCCTCTTCCATCGGTGCTTCAAGATTCGCTCCCCGTATGTCGTCAATGAATCAGAAAGTATCAACAGATCCTGCGGGGACGGTCTTCCTGTTTACCGTTGTTCAGACGTGAAGAGCCATGCCATCAGCATACGACCAGGACGAAACGCTAAGATCCCGTTCCGTCAACCCATCGTATCCAACCTATGCGACCGATACAGTATAGCCTGACCTCGCGGAGAACGAATACCTCAATTTCCACCGAGAAACACGATCGCGAAGACCTATTTGACAAGGATGCTGTGACATCCTGTAAAATGGAGTAACCTGACTGAACAGACAGCAGTGAGACGGGAACAATGTAAATCTCGAAACCGTAATGTAGCGCTCAGCGCGTTCACAGGGAGAGGTGCCCCCGGGAAGAACCGCCACTCTCGCTCTATACAGGGGAATGAGACTCTGCTTCCGGCCACACCTATGTCCGAGAACCCGACGTATCGCTCCACAGTCGATGATCAGCGAAGATCGTCGGTCAGAGAAACAAAGGTGAAAAAGGGGGTTCTCAAGTGCCGATCGTTCCGGGCTTCTTCGGACGTTCTTGGGGCGATATCGCCGGCTGGGGGTTCTGAGAAGGTATATATACGGTTGAATCCTGGACCGACCGAGAAGCTTCAGCTTACATTGTTCTCCCTGCGAACTAGCTACTACTGGACCCGCCTTCAGCCCGATAAAGGACTGATAGGTCAACACGTCACCACCTCCCTCCGTACACGTTCGTCAAGCCGACACAAGGATGTCCGCCTCGTCGCAAATCGCTATGGGTAACACTGCCGAGACCAGTATTGAAATCGACGATTCAGAGTCCGAGGCAGAGGAGTTTCACACGGCGTTGGATACCCAACAAGAGCTGAAGGAAAGCGCACGCGACACAGGTAAGTCTGGAGACGGGATCGCACTCATGGTAGATGGTTACTGATCGAAGTGCTGCGTATGCGACTCAATTGGCATTTATCCGGCCCATGAGAACAGCCTCCATCTGTACTTCCGGCCTGACTTCTCTGCCTTCCGAAACCTCGACTCAGCTGGCCATCATCGACAATCCATTCCTCATCCCTATCCCTCCCAAGAGAGTCTTTCTTTTGGAAGGACCTAAAAATTTGCTGATGATCGAAGCGCCACCGTCTCTAAAGGATTTGCCTAGAGTCGTTGACCGGATGGACGATATCGACGAAGAAGAACGAGATCGTATGGCCAAGACTAGCGATGTGGTCACGAGCGGATGCACCGATGGGGGCCTGGAGCTACAGCCCTGGATGAACATGGACATCGATGAAGAAGGTGAAGAAGGCAGAGAGGGGGAAGATCAAGTCGATGGCGAGCTACCGGAAAATCATCAAGAAGAGTCCGAGGATGAAGTCCAGTATACGGGCACTTCTAAACGGAAAGACTCGAATCAAGTCAAGCCTGAACCCCGAGAAGGCGACGATGACGGTGACAACGATCCGCTACTTCCTCATGCTACTCCCGTACCACCCAAAAAGACTAGACGAACTGTCAAGCCGAGGAAAGTAGGAGGTAGCAGGATCCCAGCTGTGCCAGAGTACAGGTAGGCGATCCCAATCAACGCGTCCCAACAGATCGCTAATATTGCGCCCTCTTTGTATGCGATCCTCACTTACCTGCACAGATACCCTGCGGTGAGTCCCCGACTCGACTCTCTCTCCAAGTGAAGCGACACTACCGCCTTCATGCGGAAACGATTATACTCATGCTCTCTCTTCCATCAATCGAATCGTTAGGGCAAGATGACAGCCGAAGAATTCATCGCCGCCGCAGACACTTTTCATCTAGTCATCGAACAAGAGGGAAGCGCAGGGAGGATCGGTAGAGCATTGATGGAATTCGATCTAAAACCTAGGAAGTTTAGTACTGGGTAAGTGTTCGGATGCAATTTTATTCCGAAGTCTCGTCAGACCGCGCAGGTCGGGGGAAAGCGCCATAATTATGCGAAACAAGACGAACTCCAGAAGCTGATAACGTCGAGACTTGCTGACTCTTGATTCGCACTGCACGTACGGAGCGCAGATCCTACGGATGGTGCGGCGCGCTCCAAGGCGCTTTACCCACGAACAAGGGGAACGTCCAGATCAGGGTGAGTGCATCAAGCCGACTCCTAATCGTAAGGCTAACTGACGATGGCCGGCTGGTCATTTGAGTTTTAGACAAGCGTCAATTTGATCGTCAAAGGATCTAAACCGATCGTCGTGGCGCCCAGAGTGCCTGCGGGGAGGAAATAGAGCTCGATATCGATGTCGGCATGAAATGTCAATAGTGGTAGACGTCACCGCAATTGACGTCAACACCTAAACAGGACATGGGGTGAATATGGAAATCGCTCGATATACAAACAAGGTCGAATATGTCTCGTTGTACTCCTTTAAGTTAAGGAAATGTCATCATATGGCTGCGGGGGTTCGAGTTCGTAGACGTGAAACGCCCAAGCCGCACACCGACAAGCAGCATGCGTCTCATGTCTGGTTTCGACTGAAGCTCAGACCAAACCCACTACCAAGATCACCAGCTTGACCGGCACGAGGTCCATTGCATGCCGTTGCGAAATGAAACGCAGAACCAGGCTTGTTCGGCGGGGGTAATCTTTGCCAGGGTGCAGGGTGAGCGCGCGTCTCGCTGACCTTGAAACGTGAAACGTTTTCTCACGCGTAAACTCTGCGCTGGTAGTGCGCTTGTGCGCTTCCATTTGGTGACACCAACGCGCGAGTGTCGACTTTTCCACCTCGGGACCGTTCTCCGGTTTGACCGTTCGAGATTGACGACCTGAATCGAGTTTTGATCTCGCAGACGTCTCCCGACCTCGTCCAATTCCCTTCTCTCTTCTCCAAGCAATCAAGCTCATTTCGACTAGTCTTTAAACATCCTTCTGATCTCCAACGGAGCATTTGGGAGACTCGTCACCTTAACCTAAAAAACCAAATCAACACCACCACAAAACTCGCTTCAAGATGCCTTCCAGGGACCAGAAGACTGCTTACTTCGCTCAGTTGAGGGAGCTCATCGAGTCTTACCGTGAGTAGTCGCTTGAGATTGGATAGCACTTTTCAACGAAAAGACACAACGTGCTAACGTCGCTCCGCTCCCACAGCCTCGATCTTTGTCGTCCAGATCGACAATGTCGGATCCAACCAGTTGCACCAGATCCGAGTTGCCCTCCGAGGCAAGGGTGTCGTCCTTATGGGCAAGAACACCATGGTCCGACGAGCTCTCCGAGGAATCATCGTCGACCACCCTCAGTTCGAGAAGCTCTTGCCTTTCGTCAAGGGTAACATCGGTTTCGTCTTCACCTCGGGTGACTTGAAGGACATTCGAGAGATCATCGTCGCCAACAAGGTCGCTGCCCCCGCCCGACCCGGTGCCGTCGCTCCCAACGACGTCTACGTCCCCGCCGGTAACACCGGTATGGAGCCCGGTAAGACCTCGTTCTTCCAGGCCCTGCAGATCCCCACCAAGATTGCCCGAGGAACCATCGAAATCGTCAACGACGTCAAGGTCCTCGAGAAGGGTGTCAAGGTCGGAACCTCCGAGGCCACCTTGTTGAACATGCTCAACATCTCGCCGTTCACCTACGGAATGGTCGTCGAGCAGATCTTCTCCGAGGGCAACGCCTTCTCCCCCGAGATCCTCGACGTCGAGGAGTCCGTCCTCCTCGACGGGTTCTTGGCCGGGATCAAGCAGATTGCTACCATCTCCCTCGCCACCGGATACCCTACCATCGCCTCGGTCGGTCACTCGTTGGTCAACTCGTACAAGAACTTGCTCAACATCTCGCTCGCCACCGAGTACGAGTTTGACGGGTCCAAGCAGATCAAGGAGTACCTCGCCAACCCCGAGGCTTTCGCCGCTGCCGCCCCCGCTGCTGCCGCTGCCACCGACGCTCCTGCTGCCGAGGAGGCCAAGGAGGACGCCAAGGCCGACGACGAGGAGGGTTCCGACGACGACATGGGGTGAGTCGCACCGGGTCTCTCAGTTGTTCGCCCTTGCGAACGCATACTGACCTTGTCATTCTCCCTTTTTCTTTCGCAGATTCGGACTCTTCGACTAAACACGTCGGTCGGTCGTTTCCTTGCAAAAACGGTGTCGGGCTGGATGATGGACGGACGAGCTCGTGGACGTCAGCTTTGTATGCCCGTACTTTCTCTCCCTTTCTCCGGGTTTAGTGCCTTTCATTAGGATTACGGACCGGGTTATATAGCAAGGAGGGTTGATTTGTATGCGGGTTGCGGGGTGGATTATATCAGAATTCGTGCCGTTTGACTATCATGATAAAGTTCACGGTTACAGAATTCAGATGCAGACTGCATGAAGTGTTGCCAGTGTGACCTTTGGGCTGTTTTGTCGTGGAGGTTTCTGCTCAGTAGTGAATTGGTGTTCTGCTTTTATTCATGAATGAAATGCGTGACTGGTCGCTCGCTGGCGCTGGACGGTGTTCATTAGGACCCCCGTCAAGACGGGTGAAGCATTTGACCAGTCGATAACACCAGATCGATGATGCTCAAGGATGCAGAGTGCAGTACCCAGATCCAAGCCATCAAGAATCAACGTGCAAACGGGACCAGACGATAACTTGAATCATCGTCAAAGGCGATACCAGGCCCCAATACTGGAGCTGAAGCCTCAGCTTTCGGAGGGCAGACTACAAGACAGGCAGATGTGTATGAATTCCATGTCTGTACTGTTCATTTTCCCTGCTTGGGTGATCTCAGCCATCTGCTTCTAAAGCTACCTCTGATGTGTATAGTCCATCTGTTCTGCATCTATGCTTCTATCTATGCACACGATCTATGCCCTGGTTTTTACCATTCTCATGCCCTTTCTATGGCGGGTGCCAGACCCAAAATCCATGCCGTATCTATGCCAGCATGACGGGCCACGTGGCTGCATCTCGGCATGAACCCCTTGCGACCCGACCCGTCCACTCACGGCCGTCGCCGACGCCACGAGCGACTCCGTCCACCTCTTGTGCTATAGCGCGGGAAGATCCTACTTTGGCTACTCTGATGAATCAGACGACGAGCGACGAGTATAAAGCTTGCAGCTTTTCTTGCAGAGTCTATTCAAGATGCTCGGCCGTGTTCCTCTTTGGCGGTCGGAACTTCTCGGAGAATTACCTCTGCCGCCATCAGTTTCCTCTCTTTCTCGCTCTCTCGAGTCCATCAACCGACCTAATCGCTCCCAGCTATGTCAGCCTCATCTGCCGCACTTAGATTTCCCAAAGACTTCCACTGGGGTTACGCAACGGCTTCCGCCCAGGTCGAAGGATCCGTGAGAGAAGATTGAGCGCCAATCCTGCAGACCGCGGTCTTGTATACTTACGACCGTGATCCGCTTGCCAGATTGACCAGGACGGTCGAGCTCCAAGTATTTGGGATACTTTCAGTAGACTCCCTAATAAGACGCTGGATGGGACCGATACGACAGTCACTACGGACACCTATGTTCAATGGCGAGGTGACATCGAGCTCATGAAGTCATACGGCGTCAACTCGCATCGACTCTCCCTCAGCTGGTCTCGAATCATCCCACTCGGTGGGAAAGACGATCCCGTCAACCAAGCTGGAATTGATTGGTACCGTGAATATCTCAAGGCGCTGGTGGACGCTGGTATTGTGAGTCATTTAGAGCCATGGGACAACCAGGCGGCCATTGAATTGATTATTCGCCTTCTGTCTCGTTGCAGACTCCCTTTGTGGTGATTTCTGAAGAAATGCTAAACATCCTCTTTCGTCACGATCACTAAATCAAATTTTGATTGCTCCTCGCAGACCCTATTCCACTGGGATCTTCCTCAAGCTCTCGAAGACAGATACAAGGGGTTCCTCAGCCGGGATATCGTAGCCGATTTCGAGCGTTATGCTCGGGTGTGTTTTGAATCTTTCGGTGACTTGGTCCGGGACTGGTTTACCATCAACGGTATGCGCACCCTCCTTGTTACCTCCTTGGCAGGTATGCACGACGATCTCCTCGGGCTGAAATCTCTTCCATTCCTCTCCCTCGCTATTTCAATGGCTACCAGAACCCAACGTATTTTCCATGATGGGATACCTTTTCGGATCTCACGCTCCCGGCCGGACCTCGAACCGAGAGAAATCCGCTGAGGGAGATTCGCAGCGAGAACCTTTTCTCGTTGGACACAATTTGTTGCTTTCTCACGCCTCGGCGGTGAAGTCTTATAGGGAAGAATTCAAGCAGAAACAAGGCGGTCAGATTGGCTTGGTGGTCAACATGCTTTGGGGGGGTGAGCGTGACTAGGATCTTCGAAATACGTCGAGGAGGGCTGACCTTGCGCTTCTATCTCCTCTTGAAGAGCCTCTCGATGACTCGGCCGAAAATCTCACTGCAGCCGACGAGTTTATGGCTCAATCGAGTGGATGGTCAGTTTCACTCGTCGGTTGATCATTCGTCTGATGGCTTCTCGCAAAGACAAAGTGAACAAAGATGCTGACCTCTCGTACGGGTGCTATCAGGTTCATCGAACCAGTAGTGTTCGGTGACTACCCTCCTTCGTCTAGGAAGATCTTCGAAGGTCATCTCCCCAAGTTTTCAGCAGAGGACAGCGCACTGGTCAAGGGCTCATGTGATTTCCTAGGGCAAGTCCGAATGAGCAGGAGGAGTATGGGAGACTAGGATGAATGAGCTAATAACATCTCTCATACGGCCATCTTCATACAGAATCAACCACTATAGCACCTTCTACATCAAGAGGCGTACCACTCCTGCCGAGCCTGGTGTGCCCTGGACAATCCTTCATCCCGCCGTCGAGCTTGGGATCCACGACAAGCACGGAAATGAGATCGGCCCTGTCGGCGGTGTCAACTTTGTGAGGATTGTACCTTGGGGATTTGGAAAGCTACTCGATTGGACTTGGAAGAAGTGAGTCCAGTCCGTACCGGGATGAAGAGGAGAGAAGGTATAAAACGAGACGATGACCTGATCGGTAACTGTTCTTGGGAATCGAATCCAGGTACCAGTTGCCTATTTACATGTGAGTCCGGAATGGCCTTCAGGCATGTGTGAGCGAAAGCGCGGCGATTGACACTGGTATCGATATGTCTCGCCTGATCATTGCATTTAGCACTGAAAACGGTGCTGTCTGCCCCAATGAGAACGACATCCCCTTCCCCGACGTCCTGGACGACCACTTTCGAATCGAATATCTCACCAAGTACGCCGATCAGGTCGCTATGGCCATACAGAGGGGTGTTCCTGTCAAGTCCCATCTCATGTGGGCTTTGACTGACAATTTTGAATGTGAGTCCGACTGTAATCCGTCAAACGCATCCTTCCCAGGCCTGGGCGCGCTGACATACCGGAAATTGATGCCGTTCTACTTGAACCTACACCTGGAATTTCAGGGCAAGAAGGTCATACGGCCAGATTCGGAGTGACCTATATAGATTACGAGGATGATTGCAAGCGGTATCCTAAAAAGTCCGCGGCCGTCATGAAGGAGTACTATCGATCTAGGATAGAATGAGAACCGGAAATGTATGCGACTACGGGATTTGGTAATCTGTCACGTGCAAGCGATTGAACAAAGAGCCAATTCAATCCTCCACCTCGTGTTCCTGATCGACGATATCGATACGATCTCGGCAATAGCGCTTCTTCGAGTCCTTACATTATTGCTCGAACGAGTCAAGTTCAGTCAACTTCGTTGTGCATGATCAGTTCTTCGGGTCCAGACTGAGAGCGAGATGACGCCAGGGAAGAAGATGCTGAGGACGGCGCCATGCTCTTTTGACGGCGATGATATCTCGACATAGACTAGAGCCCAATAACAGATATGGACCAGGAGGCGGTACAGTTGTATGAAAGCAAAGGAAGGAAAGTGCTGTCCGTGAAACAGATTGTTGGGAGTATAGCGGTCTACCACTGGCAGCCCAATAAGCTAGCCCCTTGGTCGGACCTTTCCAAAGTCCGCATAGCTCGGGCGTGCCAGCTGGAGTATACGACTTCAGCGCGATCTCATTCCGTCCGGCTTGCATGGCAGACTCACCCATCGGTACCAGCTCGAGCTGGGTTGACAGTCATTGAAGCATAGTCGTCATGGTCGCCGATAGTCGTGGAGTAAGCTGGGGCAGGCGACGCAAGCGTAACTTGGCGGTCGTTGGTCATGGGTGTAGTAGGAGTGCCCTTGTTGCCGAGGAAACGCTTCAGTCCGCCCGAGGTGGGAGAGTTAGGCGGGTGATTGGCGTCCAAGACGTATTCAGAGCGAGGACTGGTAACGATCCCCTTCTCCATCTCATCTTCATGGTAGTTGGCCGAGGTCAACGAGGCTGCGTTGGACCCGCGACGATTGCGATCCAGAAGACTAAGACCCGGCAAGGCTTTAGCACGTTGCGACCCGCCTTTCTTGTGATGAGGAAAGTTCGGATGTTCTATCAAGGTGGTGAGACGGTCTTGCAATCTCAGCGTAAGCGTCGAGCTCTAGTAGGTCGACGCATCGTCTACTCACTGCTGTTGGTGAAGGGATCAACCGCGTCGGGATTCTCTGCCTCGTCCAATTCCGCCAAAACATCGGTCGGGGCGGAACTGTAGAGTTTGGCTAACTGCGTAGTGACTTCCTTCCCCCAAGTGTGAGACGTTTTGCCTTGCAAGATCTGTGCCTGAGCGATGGAGAACAAGCAGTATGGGGTACTGAGGACAGAGAAAGGCGTCAGCAGACGGCGACGATGTTCTCTATGCAAAGTAACTGCTTACAAGACGAAAGGTTGAGGCGGCTTGTCGCTTATCTGAGGTCGAGCTTCTCCGCCCTTGTTGACAGAAGCTCGAGAGACACTTGGGGTCAACCCCTGCATCGGCGACGGAAGGACAGCTTCCAAGACGATCATCTGGGCAGGAGTAGTGCTGTCGTTGATAGAGCTGAGAGACAAGGTGGCGATTCAGCCTGAGATTCTGTTACGATGCCGACGGCTAAGCGCTACTCACGAAGGCATATCAAGGATTTCTGGCGATAATCTCGCGATACCGTACAGATTCGGCCAGGTTCGCATAGCTTGCCCGAGAGCCTGTAATGAGATTATATCAGAGATCAGAGAAGACCTTCATTACGAGGGCTCGAAAATTCACCTCGGCAGCGATGGCCAGGGCAGTCTGGAAGTCCAAGAGCTCTTCGGCCTCCGAGTTCTGAGACTCGCGATCCGAGTCTCGCTGTTCTTCCGCTTCGGCGCGAGCGATGGCGTTGTTAGCGTTCTGCAAGACTTCGAAGAGGGTCATGTTGGAGATCTCGCGGATCCAGCTCTTCATCATCGTGGAGACCGGGTACGACACTTCGGGAAGACGGTAGGCTGGTATCTATTGGCTTAGGAAGTTTAGCTGTATTACCAATGAGAAGTACGGTGTCCTACTTACCTGGTGACGCGCAAAGTTGTAGACCAACACGTCGACCCCGCCTTGACGAGACGAACTAGGTCGGACGCCATACACTGCGAAACTTTCCCGCGTCAGGCTTTGGTCCCGTGTCTGGTTTCAGCACTACTCACGTCCAAGGTAGACTCCTCCAGCTTGGACGACGGGCTTGCAGCCTATGAAGTGAGCAGTCTGTCGGTCAGCTCGTTCGACCGCCATGACAGGAATCATTCGAATTACCTCGCTTAGCATAAGTCTTCAAGGCGTTCAAGTAAACGTCCATCTCCGCTTTGCCCACTCCGATACGTTCGGCCATGATGCCGCTGAAAAACTTGACGTCGGCCATACGGTAACCCTTGCTAAGGTACTTTTCGATGTTGTCTTGATTGCTCTCAATAACAGGTCCCGTAGCGGATTGAGGCAGCTCGACCGCCGACATGCCCTTACCATCGGCGATCTCTCTGACCACGAATAGCATGACACCTAAAGGAGGAACCATCAGCGAGCGTTGCGATGTCCGGGCAGGAAGAAAGCTCACCCTCTGAATTGGGCAAGTTCAAGGTGATACCATGGATCGAGCTCTCATCGTCTCTCGAAGTCCTCTTCCCCAGGGCTAGATCCTTTTCGTGTTCCGCCTGAGCCTTCCTCGTCCCGGTCGTCAAGACACGATCGAACATGGTGCCAATCTTTTCCAAGGGTAACTCGAGCTCTTCAGCCAACTCGTAAGCTGCTTCGATGAATCTGGATCGGAATTGAACGAGTTCCTCCGCTTTTCCAGCTTTAGTTTGCGTTCCCTTCTTCTTGGTCCCGACGTGAGCGTGTCGACGGGCGATGGTGCTTCTAATTCGAGGGATGAATGGATTCAAGATCTTCCAGTTGAACGATAAAGAGTATAACCATTGGAAGGTCTGTTGGCGCGGGTCCAGCTCCTCCAAAACGTCCTGTTCCCCGAGCCATATCAGCGACGATTACCAACGACCTGAGTATTCCAGCGACCTACCTTCAGATCCGCCTGACTCTCGATGACGTGCATCGGCAGGTGTCCATCCGGCCTGACCAACAATCTGCCCTGCTTATCGAATGCCGCGCTGGCAATGACGATCTTTCTCGCCTTGGATCTGATGTCCCGTTCGGACAGGTAATCCCATACGGCGAATCCGATCGAGATGAGGACGATGACGCCGCACATGACCGACACCGCTGTGAAGAGGCGGAACACAGAGGATACGACAGTCAACTCACACCCAATTGTCATCATGAGTGGTGAGATTAGGAGAGGACTAACCGATGGTGATTCTGACAATCTTCCGTTTCCCGGCGGCCAAATCCATCGGGTCCGTATCAGACCTGACCGAGAACGACGTTCCCCACAGCCCAACATAGTGCATTCCTGCATAATCAAACCCCAGCATAATCATCGTCAGCTGTCTTGTCAAACATCATGTGCATACACTGTCTCCCGAACCTCCAAGGCCTCAAGATATACGATTGACACTCACCACAAACAGCGATCGCCAAGACCAGCGCACAAGCCGTCCGCTTGATGAAGTTATCTTCCCAATGCGCCCTCAGTCGGAAGAACGTAAAGAAGGCGACGGTGGTGGCGATCATGGCGATGAGGATGGCTAGGACGATGGTGTATGCCTGTAGATAGGTGACCAACAAACCGGAAGGCAGAGTAGTAAAGGATTCATTGAAGGCAAGAGGATCGATCTCAGCGCACATGGTCAAATATCGGAGAGCTAGATGATAGACTCGCCTTGTAGTCGACGTTGTACAGCGGCTGTTGAAACGACGCTGAATAGTGCATCAAACCGACTATCGATACCCATACCGAACTCTACAAGATCAGCTACCTGTCTCCCTATCATCCATGACAACCGATGCTGAACTCACTCATCCCCCCACACATAACCCCAGCCAAACAGATCCTCCAAACCTTCAACTCATCCTGATTTCCGAGGAAGTAGAACGCCGCCCAACACGCAACAAGGGGTACGAAAAGGGACATGGCGGTGAATCCGGGTGAGAATTCTAGGTACCATCGGAGGTCGGGAGCTGGTTGGAGGTTGAAGCCTTGGAAGGAGACCTGAGTGAGTTTTGAAGGCAGGGGTAGAGATAGACGTGTGTGAGAGATAAAGGTGGGCAGGGTTGTGGTAATATCGATCGAAGGTGTCAAAGGTGCGATTGGTTGGAATCAGCGAAACGTCTCTCAACCTTGCATCGAACCTAACAGGCAAAGACACCCACGAAATGCATTCCCCAGACAGCCACCGTCGCAAAACAGACTACGCTCAATCCCAAGATCACATGATTCCTCCACCCGTGCATGCCCGTCCTCCTTCCCAATAGCGTCAGGGTAGCATAAGAGCCTAGGAGGGAGACGATGATGCTCGCGACGACTACGCCTGGGTTGGCTTGAAGGGAGATTGGATGGAGGCGGTAGTACAGGGCGAGGGCGGTTTCGTCTGTATGATCGGAATGTGAGGGTGATACGAGAGAGGTATGGTGAAATGAATCAGTACTTGAAGGTGATATGGAGACGAAGGCGTGCAAACTTACCATGCCAGATCTCTGGTGAAGGATACATCTTTACCGTCTAGCTGTACTGTAATCCCACGTCGTTCTGCCTGGAGATCCTGCTCTTCCTTTTCTGTTGCGAGTATCGTCCGGTGATCGGTGATGTGTAGTAGTGGTCGATGTCGATGCTGAGTCAGGAATGATGGCGAATATTTGTAACCAAGTCTTCCGACTGACAGTCGACAGATGACAGACTTCTGGAGGTATAAGTACTGCAGTGCGCAGTGCAACCTCTCCGGTGTTTGAAACGATCCCCTCCTTGCCCCGTGCTATAGCTTCGAGTCCCCGAGAACGAGAGACGTGCACGAGGCGAGCTGTGTGCTAGTACGTGCTAGCAGTGATCAGAGTGACCAAATCGAGTGATCCCGTGTCTTCTGCTGCAGGTGCGCAGGCGAAAGCTTTTAAAATCGATCGATTACACGAGTCGAGATTTTTCTCAAGATTGTCGTGGTCGAGTGGGTGAGTGACTCCGAGTCTGGCCGAAGAGGTGAAAGTCTAATTGATGAAGCAGAGACGAGGTCCGTGCGACCGAGAATTTTGATACACTCGATACAGCAACAACTATCAACGACGAATGCTGTAAAGTTCTGACGACCGCTTGCTGTGATCGTCTGATCAGCGACGACAGGGACGACAACGAGATCAAGCGACAACCTTTCTCACCCAAGTCTCAAAACTTCGGGGGTTATCATTCCAGTCGTCGTCGTCGAAACACGTTGCACTGACGACAGCGCCCGTGCGACCTGCCTTTGGGGTTTTTGATCAGCTGTCGCGGATCACCCCCGAAACACGATCAAGACATTCCAGCAGAAGCGATAAGCGTCGACGCAGGGGGAACAGCAGCAAAGGGGCAGAAGTTCGATCAGGAACCCTGGCTGAGCAGGTTTCCCCTTGTTGCTGCCCGCGGCCGGCGGAACAAGTCGAAGAAAACGAAACGATCCACTCAAAGGAGGGTCTTAACATCCCATATGTCTCGCTTCGATCGGTCTTAGCCTTCTAACCGAGACCGGCGCTACAGCCAAGCGCGCCTCGGTGGATCTCTCGGCGAAAAGATGGAGCAAGGTGAAACGTCCTTTGGGTAGCACATCGGATCCGAGCGCGAGGTGGATCTCGGACATGAAAGCGCGTCCATCGGCCGGGGTTTCATCGAGACGCAAGACGACGCTTTCGGGTCGATTTCTTGTTGCAAGAAGCAAGAAGCAAGAAGTCTCCTTTCAAATCCGGGGCCCCGAGTGCTAACAGCTCGACGTACGACGTACCGAACGTGCCATCTGCGGATGCTGTGAATGCTGTGCGCTTTAAACTTTAGCGCTTTAGACAATTAACCTTGACGCCCAGCTTCCCACCTATATAGAACTGGTGGACTACCTCTGGTTGTTAGCACCTTGTCCCTTTCCATTTTTCTCGAATCAGTAATCAACACTTCAAGGCGATTACCCGGATTTGATTTTGGAAGTCCGTCAGTCCACATCAAAAGACCTGCTCGCTGCTGCTTCACGTTCGAGAGTCAGTCTGACATCCTCCCGTCAACTCTGTCAGTCTTCACCATGGTGAAAAACGGGAAATCCGAGAAAGCGCATGTCGCTAAGGAGTACGAGGAGGGAGAACAGGAGGATTTCCGCTTTATCTACGAGACCATGCTGATAACCTCTATCATGAGCAAGGAGGCTGAGAAACATGTCGAGCAGAAGAAGGTCGACCTTCCGCCCATCGAGAAATGGTTGGAACGGAGGGAAGAGATTCGCAAGATCGAGCAGCCGAAAGAGAGATCCTGTCTTATCGGTGAACAAAGGTTTCATTCGAAGTACGAGGTGTCCAAGCTCATCCCAGGTAAGTTTTCCAGAAAGGACCAGCTTCGTCCATTCGCGTCTCGTTCCAATTGGTCGCGCTGATACGAATCCGTGATTCAGTTTACTTGAAGGATATGCTCTCCTGGAAGAGGTATCACCAGAAATACCTTCTCGTTCGCATCGCTGCTGCTCCCGTCCTCTCGCTAGGCGCTTTGACGACCATCATGGATCCTCAAGGAAGTGTGATCTTTTTGGAGACTTACGAAGATCCGCTCTTCCCCCTCAGCGTCCGTAGCGAGGGAGGGTCAGTCGACCCAGAGTCCGAAGATTACGCTAGAGTATTTCGTAAAGGACGGTACCTCTTGATTAAAGAACCTCGTATTCACGATCAGCCACACGAGAAGAAGGGCTCTCACGGACTGCGTATCGACACGTGGACCGACTTAGTTTGGTTGGAAGCCAACGACCCGCTTGTCACCTCGGTACAGTGGGCCGATCCGAGCAAGGTCTTTGAGGCTCACGATATCGCTGAGAAGAATCGGGTCAAGAGTCAAACGCTCGAGGATGTAAGGCGCATGGGTGATGAGGTTGGTACTGTTTCAGGCTCGAAAAATCTGCTCTGAGATACTGAACAGGCGTCTGCCCTGCGGTCAGGCTCACAAACAGGGGCACTTTTTACTCGCCGAACAACACTACTCTACCGGTCTTGTCAACTTCCCAGAGGACCCAAACCTCGATCAGCTCTACTTGAGTCGCTGCGCAAACAACTTCATCCTGGAGCGCTACCCAACCGCTCTCGATGATGCTTCCAGGGCGCTCGATCTCGTTCAGAAGCGTCTCCAAGCCTCCGAGCTGGCTTCCCGCGACTACGCTGCTGCGGCCGGTTTGGACGAAAAAGCTCGTACCCTCCAAGCCAAGTGCTATTACAGCATGCGAGACTGGAAAAGGGCAAAGTCCGCCTACGACGATGTTATCGTACGATACTCCACCAACGTAGACGCTCTTGAAGGGTCTCTCGCCTCTGCTGCTCGCTTAAAAGAGGCATCCACCGGGTGCTACGATCTCCTCGACCTTTTCAATCAGACACGAGAAGGCAAATACCACCTCGACGCCGCCGATTATGTCGGACCGGTCGAGATCATGCAACTTCCCGATTCTCGCCTTGGTCTGAAGACGACCCGCGCGGTCAAGGCCGGCGAACTCTTGGTGGCGAACAAGGCTGTTGCCTCTGTCTTCCCCTCGGATTGGGCTGGAGACAAAAAGACGATGAACCGAAACATGATCATCATGGTTCACGAGGGTCCCAGCGCTTCGAGACTGCATGCACAGCTCAAGTACAAGTGGGAGCACCAACCGCAACTCCGTTCGTTGTTCGATAGGATGCCGTTGGGGCCGAACGCCAAGCCTCCGAAAGCATTCAGGGTGGCGGACATGTACACCTTGAAACCGAAAGACGAGCGAAACAAGCCGATGGATATGGCCGCTATCGATCGTATCGCGTCGTATGCGGCCATGCATTTCAGTCCTGTCACCCACTTGGGCGAGGTCGAAGGCGCGACTGAAAAGGACGGAGATCCGTAAGTGTGACAATCCTCGCCGAACGGCATCACTACGTGATTATCGGTCGAGACTGATCTTCCCCTTTTTTTCCACCTCAGACGTGGTCTCTTCCCTTACTCTACCTTTATTCACCATGCCTGTCTGGGCAACGCGACCTACAGATGCATCGGCGACATCCAGTTCGTTCGCGCTCAGGAAGACATCCCAGCCGGGACTCAAATCTTCATGTCATACCTCCCCGACAAGGAATACCTCCACCGTCGAAGGTTCCTCGTCGAGAGGCTGGGTGGCGAGATGCTCACCTGTCCCTGTCTCATGTGCAACGATGACGCCCTCGACGGAAGACCAGGGGTCGACGACCGGGGTACTTTATGGATGCACTTCGAAAAGATTTTGGAAGCGGGTGACGGTTTACTCTTGGGCAGTCTGCCCTATGCCGAGAACCATTTGCGGGTTTGTAAGAACCACGTCAAAGCCAGGAGCGATTTCTACGATAACAGGCGTGTTAGCGGGATCAAGTTCGAGCTCTTCCAACTGTATTCTCGTATGGTCCTCTCTTGGATCGCTATCGGTAACCTCATGGGCGAGTTCCTTCAATCGTACAACCATTTCCTCTTGTCTTTGCTTCTGTCTGACCGTTTCTCAACATGTGCATAGGCAAACCTACCTACACCCAGGTCATCGAGGCAAGCAAGGACGGCCTTCGTTGCGTTGGCGTCATCCTCGCCAACGATCGCAGGGACCCCTCCCGTCGTCCTATTCAGGATCTTCCCATCAATTCTCCCATCCTTTCCTTGCCTCGTATGTATCACGCCAAAGCGATCTGGCTTATGGCGGTCATCGCTGGCTCGTACCATCAGCTCGCGGATCCCGACGAGGCCAAGCGATGGGCGCAGGCGATGGTCTGGGCGGATCAGATAGTCTGCGGTTCCTCTTTGGATCTGTTCAAGGAGATGCACAAGAGCCATATCGACGCTTTCAAGATTGAGCAGTATCTCTAATCGCTCATTCAACGACGACCGAGATCGCCATCATCGAGACTTCCTTCGGGTGAAATCCCTTGTAGACCTGCAAGCCAGGCCTTCTCCTCATCTTACGACACTCAACTCTACCTCTCAACGTATCTTCCCCCTACAATCTACGATCACGACGCACGACTTCTCTAGGCTGCCAGGATGCCTGAATATTACGCACAATCACTGCTAAACTATCATATGAAACAAAATACGTTTTATGCTTCCGCTCTTTGTTACCGCGTTGTTGCTTAGAATCGTCGTGTCACACCCCAGGTCCTGATCCGATCATGCCAGATGATCCACCGTCAAAGCACAGCCCCAGCCGTCCGATCCACTTGGTACTCCCGAGAACCAAAAAATTCTCGGTCGTCCGTTGCTCCGTTGCTACGTCGTCTGTTGTCGGTCGTCGTCTGATCTTTTAAGCGACATCAGTGGGTCGGCGCTAAATCTCGTCGTCGCCGTCTTTCTGAGACACGCTCGGTTGGGTCAACCCTCCTTTGGAAGCCTTACACCCTTCTTTTCCTTCTGAGTTGATCGAGTGACGGTTGGAGAAAACCGACCGAGCCTCTTGTAAGCACAGCACAGCACAGCACAGCGAGAGAACGCTTTTCCTCGATCCATCGCTGGATCGCTGTACGCTGTACGCTGTACGCTTACGGCTTGCGGCGTGGTACTGTTTCGTCACTCCTTTCAACTTCTTCAAGACGCACAACAACTTAACAACACGTTTGTTGATTTGAAAATATATCGTTATCGAGAGTCCTTGATCCTTGATATTATCGCCAGACATAAGTCAAAACGCTCACCGAATCCGCAAGATCATACGCTGTGCAACAATCTACCTGACTCACCCCGCTTCGTACTGTGACGCAATCCACCATTCGTGATCTTGCCGGGGCGAAAGCAGACTCAGCCGAATCAACAGCAGGTGAATGAGACAGTGTCAGGAGTTCTGAGAGACTTGCGTTTACTGAGAATCCCTTGCTATATACATACCTTCTTTATCGGCACATCCCTATACGAAAAATTTCGACTTGGCACAATCAGAATCTCCGTTTCCTTCATCTCTTCAAGACGAAGTCTGGAGGTCAAAGCCATCTAACCGAATCGTAAGGCTACCACACCACAATCCATCTACTTTTGATATAGAAGACAGGTCGATTGACGGTCTGTTGCTCTGCTATGTCATATTACTGCCAAATCTAGACGTCGTCGCAGCTTCCATTTCTCATCCACTCGACCTTCTTATTGCTTCGACATGCCACCACCTGTGCCCTTCCCCCCTTTCCCCCCTGTCAAGCCTGAGACCGCAAGGGATCGACAATCGAAAAACGACTCCGAGGCCGATTCGAAGGCCGATACTCGAACCGCAACCGTAGAACTCCTCTCAGACGATGATACCGGAAACGACCCAGAGACCGGCAAGGAAACCGTGACTCTCGCCCCTGTACGCGAGAACACGTTCGGTAACGTCACTGAGGAAGCCCTTAGGCAAAACGGTCGTCCCATGTTCGAGTTGATGGTGTCCTTTTTGCATCAAGCGTTGGAGCACGACCATCCTCTCTTCGATACCCTACCTAGGGAATTCGGCGGTCGAGGTACCAGCTTGACCAGCGCCAAGATCGATCTCTACTGCGCCCTGGCTCCGGAACCTCCTACGCCCGAGGAATATCGCCGCATTCGAGTCGAACTCAACTCCAATGCCGAGTACGACAAACAGGTCGCGGACTATCTAGCCGAACACGATGGGCAGGAGTTGTATCACCCTGGTTGCGAGCTGTACTGGCGTCACATCCGATCGAAGCGGTTCCAATTCCTCGGACCCGGCTGGGGTCCCGCTCCTGGGACCACGGACGATCAGTTTTCCACTTTGAATCGAGGCCATACAGGTCACGTATCCGGCAGCATCTTCAGTCCCCTCTTTGATGCCTCCGAATATGGTGACGATTTGACGATGAAGAATGGAAAGATCGTCGAGCTGACCAATAACGGAAAGTCGGCCCAAGGACCGCTCGTCCCCAACGGAGCGCCGATCATCAACGGTATGCAGAGCCTGATCAAGTTGGACTGCTGGTCGACCGAGTATCCGGTGACGAGGAACAGCGGCTGGCAAGGAAATAGCGAAAAGGCTATCCAAGATTTGCAACCTAGTGAGTACCCTGTTACAGACTGTGGTACAGCAGCGTACCTCGTTCGTAGACCATCGCTCACTTTGTTCCTTAATGTGTGGTTCATCCGGCAGTACTCATCCAAGACATGAAGCCCAATGTCCAGCAGGAAGGGAAATACCTTCTCTGCCGGGTCGTCAGCGCCCCAATCGTTCTCCTTGACATGTCCGTCTGGGTCGCGGATGAGGAAGGCAAGACGATGCGGCTGTCCATTCATAACACGCCGATTCAGCCTGTGCATCTCGGCTATCCGGGGATCAGCGAGTACGAAGCTATGTTTCCCCTCGATACCATCTTGCTCATCAAGGAGCCGTACCTGGACGACGAATTGGAGTCGCCTAACATCCCAGTCACTTCGCCCACTGATATCAAGATCATCAGCCTCAAGGACCCTCTTGTCGCCAATGTTACCTGGAAGAAATTTCGAAGTGCCGTCCCCGGCGCGATTCATGAGATGGGACAAGAGCGCCCTGAACCCTTCGACAAGATGAAGCAGGACGCGGAGGCGGTAGGTTCCCTTTAAACGCGACTACGAAGAAACCTGATCATTAATGCGTGGCTCTGTCGAATTTGTTAGCTTTTCGCGGAAGGGTCGTTCTTCCTTGCGGAGCGGAAGACTACCAAAGCGATCGAGGAATATCATGATCATCCCGACGTCACATCGCTACGAGCTCTTCGCGCGGAGATTGACATGAAACTCGAACGATGGTATCAGGCGGAAGCGGATGCTGAGTTCGTGGTCGAGTCCACCATGCATCAGATCGACAAGGGCGATGCGGGCAAGAAGAAGAGGAAGAGCCTTGGTGCCATGCTGCGTAAAGCCATGCTCATCGCCGCATTGTCTCTCTACAAAGTTCGAGCGTGGAAGGCCGCCGAGGTTGCGTTCGAACGGGGTCTACAAAGATACACCGATTCCGATCCATTTCGCTATGGTCTGAGCCAGACGAGAGACAGGATCAAGGAGACCGAGACCGGGGTTTACGACTGGTTGGCCATAGCTCAAGCCGCTTACAAGGGTGATTTAACACATCAGATCGGAGACTACGTCGGCTCCATCGAGGAGAGGGATTTCTCCGGGATGGGTAAAGGCATGGTTGCTAGCAAGGATCTCAAGGCCGGCGAACTGCTCGTCGCGACGAATGCTCTGCACATCAGCAACGCGAAGGAGGCAGAGGACATGATCGACGCGGGATCCGAGAGAGGCTACCACATGATGCGCTCCGGTTACAAGCCTGTCTTTTGGAGTGGGATGCAGGCGCTTGTGTACAAGGCTTATTGGCAGCCCGAACTAAACAAGCAGTTGAAATCCCTGTATCATGGTGCTGAATTCCCGCCTAGGCCGAACTACCCTTTCACCGACAACACAGACTATCGTGGAGTCGACCCGGATCCTATCAACGCGATGGCCATGGACTGTGTCCTGGCTTTGAACATGTTCGGGATAGCCTCTGGAGGTGGAAGTCTCGATCACGGCGTAGTATTCGATTCGTGAGCACTCCCCCTTTCGTCCTGTCTCTTCTTCGTCTATGATCCTGATCGCCTGTATCGGCTAGGAACGGATTGTTCCCTTCGCTTTCTCTGTTCAATAACTCGTGCAAGCCGAATTGCAGCCTTCAGAAGATCGGGAACTTCATGAGCGTACGAGCAAACGAAGACATACCCGCTGGTACGGAGCTCTGCGTCACGTACAATTGCGCTGAAGAATATGTGCACCGCTGCGTCAAGCTCGAAAGACTTATGGGTGTCCCATGTTCGTGCGAACACTGCAAAGACGACCAAAAAGACGGCATGGACGCTCATGCAAAGAGGATCGAGATGCGAAAATCGGTTCAGGACAGAATTGACACCGAGGATTGGCCGGATTGGCGACACCCTCCTGCTGCCCACGTGGCCTACTTCAAGAAGCGAGAAAAGCAAACCTTGGGAGATATAGAAGAGATGATGGAGACTTATGGTAGTCACAGGGACGATTACCGACCCGATCTTACCGTATTCTACAGAGATCTCTGCGGAATAGCCAGTATGGCGGTCCATCATAATCGTGGTCCGGATCAGATTCAGCTCTTCATCGACGCCTCGATCGGAAGCTTGAGGTGTTCGGGCATCGAACTCGCCGACGATCCCAAGCCCAAGGGGAAGGACAGAAGCATTCGGCAATTTAGCGGTCTACCAATTCGCACCTTGCCTTATACGGGCATCGAAGCAGCCATCCAGACGATGATTCACCTCAGCATTTGGTACAGCCGTAAAAAGAGGGATCAACGTACCAGTCTCGCTTGGTCGAAAGCTGCCGAGACCGTCGCGTTCCTGACGATTGCGCCGTGTCCCAAACTCTACAAGTTTCAGTTCGATCTGGTAAGCTGATGAAGATCGAAACAGCCAGTACGTATGACGAAAGAGTTGAGACCATTTCTTCATCCGTCCCCATAGTTCCGCCAGACCGCGGAAATTGGACTCATGAACTGAGTGCCCTCGATCAGCATGCACCTTCATCACTGGATCGACTCCCGTCAACACGCCTGAACAACCCTTCTCACAACGATCTCCTTCCTCAGATCAACTACGTTCAAACAACGACACTCGTTTTACGCCATTGCTTTCTCGGTATCAAATCGGTCCGATCGCCCCATTCCGGCCCTGGCAGCCGTTTCTTCTCCGAGCCTGTTCGCCACTTGATCGCGGGGAGCTCGCAGACGCCAATCTTTACGTGTGTCCTATGGACACGATCTTTTTTTATATCTCACTCATCTGTAATAATCATGTAGTCGATACGGATGACTTAGATACAGCCAAAGCAGTATTCGCGCTTAGAGCATAAGCCCGATCCCTTCATTATCGCTATCGCTATAGGTCCGGCTGATGCGTCTGCAGCTGTACCGCTCTATCGCATTTGCGCTGTCTCGTACTATGATGGCTGTGATGCATCGCCATTTACGAAGTGTATACCGACTCTTTCTATTCTGCGTACACAGCTTGTTTCGCCTCTGAGACTGTATTGACTATAGCACTGAAACGCACTTCGCGATCAATGACGGCTGGAACACTAACGGGAGTTTATACGGAAGTAAAACCTTATTTCGATGGCGATCCCCACGGCCGAGCTAGTCCGTGCTGGTCTCGTATATCCATATCCCCGTTGTCTGGCCCCTCCGATCTCGTTGCGACATGATCTAGCACCTGAAAGGTTCGGAAAGAGGGTGGTTTGTGTAGCGCTTCATGGTCCAGTCCGTCATCCGGTCGATGTCAAAGAAGCTACAATCGCACAATCGTCATTCCCCGAATCCCGTCCCGCCATTCCCGAGGTGGAGGTCGCATCATATTTGGCAGGGAATTAATTGGTAACCATGACTGACGACCCTGGCCATTTCGTGACAAAGCAGAGACATCCCTTTCTAGAACGAGGTTGCTGTTCTCCGCCCAGCAGCCGAACAAAGGGGGTGATGCTGGACGACTGAAATTGCGGGCTTGTTGTTCGATGATCGTTCTGTTTGTTGCCGTCGAGATGACGCCAGCGAACGAAATCTCTGACCTCCACCTCGGCCTCTGCGTTTCCGTGACGTGTCGAGAGAACATGGACTCTTATATAAGGACAGCTACTCGTTGTACTTTGTTATTCTTTCTATCCAAGTACATATCATCCATACTTTTTACCCAACCAAAAATTTGATATACAGTCTCAAGCACAGACATGTCCACTACGCAATCTCGAATCCCCACGGCCAAGCTCGGCTCGAACGGTCCTGCGATCCCCAGGCTCGGATTCGGTCTGATGGGTCTCTCTGCCTTTTACGGCGGATACGAGAGCGACGAGAAACGGTTCGAGGTCCTCGATCGGGCCATCGAGTTGGGGGAGACTTTCTGGGACAGTGAGTACCCTCGCAGCGGTCGAAGTGAAAGCTGCTTAGTGACACCGGACGACGATCTTTTGTACCTCTCACAGCCTCGGACATTTACGGTGACAACGAAGACCTCCTAGGCAAATACTTCAAGCACAACCCTTCTGCCCGGTCCAAAATCTTCCTCGCGACCAAGTTCGCCGGTCAATTCGACGGGCAGACGATGACCGTGGACTCTTCCCCCGAGTACGCAAAGAAGGCTCTGGAAAAGAGTCTTCAGAGGTTGGGATTGGACTCGGTCGATCTGTATTACGTGCACCGGATTGATGGCAAGACGCCTATTGAGAAGACGATGGAGTTCTTGAAAGAGGCTCAACAGTCAGTTCTGCCCGTTCCTCTTGCTTTATCCAGCTTGACCGCTTACCGCCACCCATCTTCTTTGCCGTATCTACCGTGACTCGCCCCGCTCTCCCACCAACGCCCGCAGACAAGGAAAGATCAAATACATCGGTCTTTCCGAAGCATCCGCCCGGACCCTCCGCCGAGCGTCCAAGATCGTCCACATCGACGCTGTCCAGCTCGAATACTCCCCCTTTGCCCTGGAGTGTGAAGCCGATGACGACAGGTACGGGGTCTTGAAGGCTTGCAGGGAGTTGGGGACGGCTATCGTCGCTTATAGCCCGTTGGGTGAGTTTCTGAGTTCGAATAGACGGAGACGGGGTCGAGGCTGCCTGGTATCATTCGGATGGTCAGGGTTCGGCTAGCTGATCATCTCGATGTGGGGCGACATAGGACGAGGACTCTTGACTGGACAGTTCAGGTCGCCGGATGATTTCGAAGATGGCGACTTCCGTAAATACACTCCTAGGTTTTCCAAAGAGGTCAGTCTCCATCATCGAGGTTCTTCTTGCTTCTACTTCATTGTTGCACTCGTGCTCATTCGACTGTCTAATTTCTCTTTGACCGTGCTATCATAGAACTTCCCCAAGAACCTCGAGATCGTCGACAAGATCGAACAGCTCGCCAAGAAGAAGAACGTTACTCCTGGCCAACTTACCCTCGCTTGGCTCTTGGCTCAGGGAGATGACATCTTCCCCATCCCCGGGTGAGTCGGTTACCCTGTCAGATAGAATATGCTGCAAATTCGAGAGCTCGGTCCGCTGACCTATGTTTGGTCGTGTCGATGTAACAGTACCAAGAAAATCAAGTACCTCGAAGAGAACGTCGGCGGTGCCGATGTCAAACTGTCCAAAGAAGAGGTTGACGAGATCAGGCAGGTCGTCGAGGCCGCCGAGGTCGCCGGAGGAAGGTACCCTGACGGATACGAAGATGGGCTTTACGCCGATACTCCCGAATTGTAGTTTCGTTCTCGGCCAAGGCTGGCCTGGAATTTCTACGAGAATGGAGAATGGGTATTTGAGGTCAAAGATTGTACAATATAGTCTTGCAGTATGAGATACCATTCCGGGACATGACCGCCGGCCTCATCGCACAGCACTGTGACCCGCTCCCTTCTTCTCTGCCAGCTGTTCGACCGGAGCGTCTGCACCTTGAGCAGCGGGTACTGCGGGCGTGTTGGTCTCGGCCGCTCGAGGGTTTCGGGATTCACCCTATATGATAGATACTGAAATTAGCGAAGTCACGAGATCGGTCATATCGACGGGGACCTACCTTGAAACCGATGTAGAACAGGCGTGACTTGTCGCCACCTTCCGAGTCGGACTGACGAACGCACAATCAAATCAGAAAAGAATCATGGAAGTCAGGCAGACGAAACGATCCTGCACTCACGATCATCAAGGTCACACTCCAGACACTAGCCATCTTCTGTACCTTCAACGGCCATTCCTCTACCTCCCTCCTTCCTCCTTCGGCCCTGCCTTCGCTGTCTACTCCAGCTTGCCACAGACTAGGACTCTGTGACAGGTTCAAATCTTGTATCGGGGTCAAGCCGTCCTCGATATCGCTAAAGGAAGGGGGTTGGGCGAGGTTGGTATACAGGCGTATCCGGGTCGGGCGGTACGAGTTGGTCACCGGTGGCGGGAGGAGAAGGAGCGATCTTAAGCGAAGTGAATGTATGAATGGGATATGAATGATCATCTAAGAATTGAGATATCAGCGTCAAGTTAGCCGAAATAACGGTTGCGATAAAGCATATGACTGACCTGATCATCGACGCCACTATCGCAAAAGATCTCCATATTGTGCCTCTCATCCCAGGTCTTGACGATCTTCTGAGCCTTTTCCGGGTCTTCCAGGTTAGTGCCAGTGATACTACGCAATAGCCATAGCCATCAGTTATCCGGCTGATAAGGCGTAGCAGGATTCGAGGCTCACTTGTTGATGTCGATAAACGACCATAGGTTCTCGTCCCTCCCTGATCCAGCCGAGACTCGTTCGAGCACGTCGACCGCCACGCCCGAGGAGAGGTCCACTGCCGTGATATCGTCTTGGCACGACATGATGAGATGCTGGAATGAGAGACAAAGCGATGTGGCAGGGGTGAAGTGTATGTTTCCATCGAGATGGACAAGAGCATATGAGAGAGGATCGCTCATCATCGAGCCTCGGAGATTGCCAGCTCTCCTTGCTTAGTCATCACGTTCAATCAAGGTCGACCGACATCGATCGTGAACGCCCTTCTGGTTTCTGCGACACGGGTCCACGTCTCGTCCCATTGCCATTAACTTGTGGAATTGTCGTAACCCAGCAGCTGTGCTGGATATCACGTAGGTCCTCCATTTGGAATCTGATTGTGATGGTAAAGCATGTGCTGTTATGTGCTGTCATGTGTAAGATCAGATGCTGCTCAAGGCTGGCTGTTGTCTCCAGTCGCAGCGCGATGAGCCATTCTAGGTCGCATTAAAGGCATAGAGGATACGAATATTCGAAACAATGAGCTGATGCGGGAAAGACGGATATACATGCAACAACGGTGAAGGAAGCGAGCTGAAAAAGATATATTACCGAAACACAAAACGACACAGAAAGAGGTCCCCCGTCCATTATCTTGCGCGACATTATCAGATCATCGCCATATCTCTCAACTGGCTTCGTAGAATTGTGCTGAGGTTGCGTTAATCATATAGTCAGCATTGAAGACGCATAATACAAGCCAATCTTGGCACTCACTCTTGTACCGCTGCCATGACCACCTTGAGCATCGCCGTATCCGTTGCGGTTGTGCAGCTGCATGGGTCGCACAACGCCCGTCAACGATCGACGAGCCACACATATTGACACAGCCGTACTCACTGCGTATAGACCTCTTTAGTCGACGACCTGTTCAGCCTCGTAAACTGTTTCCGGAAAAACTCTCGCCCGCCCTCGTAATCCAGTGGCTGGCCGTCAAAGTTGGGGAAATATTGCGCGATCTGGGATTTAGGGTTCATGATCTTTTGACGGAAGATGTCGTCCTTGTTCAGGAACAGGATCTGTGAGGCGAAGGACGCAGATTTCATGGATCTTGTCAGCTAGAAGACCGGATTTGTTAATCAGAGAAGTTCTGCTCACAATGCTCGTCTTGGTAAACCACTGCGAATTGCAGATCGAATCAAATAGCATCAAGGCCTCTTGCATTTGGTTCTGCGGCGCCGAGCCCAAAGCCACCTATGTCAGCGCCAGGTAGTGACCTCGAGTGAGACCTAGGCGATGCTCACCGAATCCTTGTCTTCGACCAAACACTCGTCGTACCCGCTCAGGGCTACCAAGAACAAGATGGCCGTGACATTCTCGAAACATGATACCCACTGCAGTTGCAAAGCGTTATCATCAGCTGACCTGGGCGGTAAAGGCATTTCAAGATTGATAAGCGCACCTTCCGTCGTTCGGATCGTTGACCACCGACATCAAACATCCTACAGACAAATACGTCAGACTCCGTTTTGATGGTATGGTAATATTAGCTATTACGGGATGAACTCACGAGTACGTCAACTCTCCCACCACAAACTTGGTCTCCGAGATACCCGTCGTCTTCACCCGGACCCTCAGAATGTCCTAGTCAATCAAGAGTCGGTTTATCAGCGGTCAGATCACACTCAAACAGATTGAGAGGGACGGTCGCGCTTACTTGCTGGTCCGGCATAAAGTCTGGACGCCAGAACCGGTCTAGATCCGCAAAGAAACTTCATTCCCAGCACGTAGCGTATCAGCCACCGTACACAAAAGGTGTCCACAGTACACGCCGCGAGGACGCTTACTAGGGCAAGTTTTCTGGCAGAGCGCTCTCGTTCCCCCTGGCAAACGCCTCTTGTACGCCCCGGTCCTTCCAGAGGGATTCCAGCGGTTCTCGGTATTGCATAGGAAACGTCTCGCCGTCCTTAATATCCGGGGGGTTGTCCACTAATGCGATGTATTTCTGGTGTGGCAGATGTCGCATTTCGTCCAGTCAGCTTCTCAGATAGCGACTTGGGGTGAAAGGGAAGGAGCTCACCCGGTTGTGCGACTCGACGCTCATCTCCCATTCGTCCATCGCGTCGATGATCAACTTCATTCCATTGACAACGTTGCTAAAGACCAGTTGACGGTAGTCTGACGGGCGAAACAAGCGCAGAAACTCGGGTCAGCTCACTGTCGCTGTATTTTCTCGGCTAGATTCATCTTCCTTCTTCTCGGATCGAGCGGACAGAAATAGGAATCAGACAAGTGATAACCGAGACTCACATTCCAACTCGGCCGGGGTGAAAGACACGTTATGGATGAGCCTCATCTGCTTGAGCACCGTACTCTTCCCCGAAGCGCCTGCTCCGAGCAGTAAGAGCTGTGTTAGAGGATTTGAGATCAATCAGACGGTAAAGTAGTATGTTAAGTAACGTCAAGATGAAGATAAGGATGTGTGTTATCAGCTTGTCGTTCGGGAAAGTCGAATACGATATTCGATGAAAGGCGTACCTTGACATGCTGCCGCATCTTCCTCTCATCCTACGATCCCATTCAAAACCAGAAACCGACATCAGCATCACATCAGCACCGAACAAAAACCGCCCTTCAGACATCACTCCGACCATAAAAAGCAATAACACGTCGAACCGACCCTCGAACTCACCTCCTTGATCATCTTCTCCAAATCCCTGTTCGTCCTCGCCTCGATGGTATCCCCACCTCCGGATGACATGCACGCGCCCATCGTTGCTCTTTATTCTTTCTTTGGATTGGTGTTCTGATATGTGGTTCGGGATGATTGTGGGGTGATAGTCGGATCACTGATGTAGTAAGGACTTGGTCGCACAGGAGGTCGGTTTGTGTTCGAGCAAGAACTAGTTCGAGGTGTTGCGTATCGACTAGGTACGAGGTGGAGACGAAGGAAAGATGATGTACTACTGGCGATCGGCCGGTAATGTTGTAGCTCCGCAAGTGGCAGTGTGACCAGAGATGGCTGATGGTCGATCTTTATTCCCGATCGGTAGGTATCCTCTACGAAAGATGTCCTACCGCCTATCGCTATCGGTATGGGATATGCTCAGAGCTTGAAGAAGAGCAAGAAAACTCCCTTCGTCTGATCGAGGAAGAGTCGAAATCCGATCCGTGCTGTGCTTTTTCCGATCGAGCTGACAAGAGCAAGAAGAAGAAGAGAGCCTCCGTGCGACGTGGGTCGTAGTCCGCAAACGCAAAAGAAGGGTTCCTCTCGGTTAGGTAAGTTGAGGGGATCGAGGAAAGTGTAACTGTATGTTTATTCCCCGGAGGTAGTTGTCCGCCCTGTTGCTTGTCGTCGAGTTGTGGGTTGTTGCTTGTTAATTGTTGCCTGTTGCGTTGCGGTGTGATCGTGATGTGATCACTACTTGTTGTACGTCGCCGTTTCTTCCGTGATCGATCGAACGAATGATCCAGGTTGGCTAGTAGCTGTTGAACTGGTAGGCTGTCTGTCGCCGTGTCGTTGATTCGAATCAAGGGTCCTCCTTTCAATCCCCTCAGGCCTCACGCTATCGATTTGACGACGGTGACAGAATGCCTTTGGACTTCGAGGTTCAGATATATGATCACGGGGAGAGATCCTTTAGGCTTCGAGGAGCTAGGAGAGCAAAGACGGATCAAGCGGGTCATCAGCTCATCAGCTCTTCAGATCATCAGATCGCATCAAATCAGTCCCGGCTACAAGGGAGATGCCGCGATCATCCAGCATCATTCGAGTTTCCGGAAGCTAGATCACTCCTCGGCCTGGCTGCTCCCTTACTACCCTATGGAACCACAATCTCACTAGCTACTCACGATCACCGCGATGGATGTTAAGCTGTGTACTACGTGCTACCAGCTTGCTGCTTGCTACTTGATGCCTTTCACCCTCGTAATACGTCAACGCTGATCAAATGATCGAATGATGATCGCACTCGGTTCCCCACGTTGCCGTGCCCGCTGTCGTCCTGTCCTCTGTCGTAACGCCGTCGAAGCAGAAAAGAGGGTTTCGGAGTGGATCCGGATCGATCGTAAAGGAGGGCAGAGGACGAGAAGGTAGGGAAATGGTTTATGAAACGATCAAGGGGTTGATACGTCAAAGTTCACGCGTCCCGTTTTCTGTAAGCTTTCGGTGCAGTGCCGAGGTGCCGAAGTGATTATCGACGAGCCGGGAGATATCGTAGCCTGTCGAGTATGATCTGATTACACCCGCTTTGAAGCTGCTCAGAGTTGAAATTGCGAGCCAGAATCGTTGAGCTAGAGTCTGGCTAGTCTGGCTTGGTCCGAGCTTCGAACGATTGGTCGTTGGTAGATGATGCCGGCAAGGTCGAGCTCGAGCGTTGCAGCAATCGCGAAGGCCGACGGCATTCCCTCGATGATCCGGAATGTCCATGTCCATGTCTCACCAAGATCCACCCATCAATCCTAGCCATGCGATTCGAAGCGGAGGCCGAACAGCAACAGAAGCAAGACGGATGCACGGATGATCGATCGAATACGGCGAACAAAAAGAAAACAAGTACGAAGTGGGTCGGATCTGCCCGAGCCGAAGACCGGGGGATGGCTGTAACCGAGATTGAGGCTGAGGTGCCGGCATGGGTGGCTTGAGGGATTATCTTGATAAGCGAGGTCACTACTTGCTCACTTGGAAATATGGTGTGACGTGTTATATCTGGCGCTGCCTGAGCTGACGAACCCCGAAGTCGGGAAGGGTTGGTCAAGGCTCGCTCCGTGCATTAGCTATCACTAGGACGCTTGTAGCCTTGTACTCCTACTTTTCTCTTCAGTCATCGTCAGCCCTACGTCTACTTCTCTCGAACAGCTTTCAGCACGGAATACACCTTCTGACTTCCTTTTGAGCAGCGAAGTCGGAGTTGAAGATGGTGATGAACAGCCGTTCTCAAGAATAAGCGAAACCTTGAATCTCAGTCGCTGGGCGGGTCAGGACAGGCTGTCACACATGGACAGGATGGGTCCAGATCAGGATCAGGGCCATGATCAGGCCTTACAAGACTTTCTGCGTCGAGCTGTCGCCAGCTCGTCGTCATCGTCGACAGCTGTATCTGTATCCGGAATATATGGATATCACGATCAAGGTCTGGATCAGAATCGAGGTGGAGGTCAGCTCACATTCGGGTCAGAGCCGAACTATGGGTACGGAGTTGGAACTAAAGCAGGAGGAGGAGGACATGATGGGATGAAAGTAGGATCTGGGACCGGACATCAGATGGGCGACGGGGACGGAATGGCCACGAGCACCAGCAGGATCAGGACAAATGGGGGTCGAAACTTTTCAGGAATATCTACTTCTACGGCCGCTTCAGCCTCAGCCTTAGGTTCGGCGCATAAAAGAAAAAGGAGACGAGCCGATGAGACTCGTCATGCACTCGATCGGCCTGTGGACCACCAGTACCATCGGCTACATAATCAGTCCAACCCAATCTTGGATCCCGATCTGAACAGCAATATGAACATGGAACGGGGGTCCGAGGCTGGGGAGACTCCTCGGTCCCGATATTCAGATGATGATGAGGATGAGGATAGTCTGGAGGATCAGGGGACTTATGAACCGACGGCTCCGACGCCTTTGCCGTTATCGCTACCTGAACCTTCTGATCAGGGGTATCGCCGCTTTTCTCGGCCCACACACTCAACACAACTATATCATCTCGATGTCGATCCGCAATCTGATTCCAATTCTCACTCGCACCGCAAATCCACCACCACCGCTTCGAACCCTGATGGTACCGTAATAACGACAGCCAAACGCCGAGGTCGACCCGCACTCCCTCCCGAGGAACGCGACGAACGACGTCGAGAACGAGCCCGTCAGAGCGCTGCCGAGACGAGACGCAAGAAACGGGACGTCGAAGGGGAACGCGAGTGGTGGAAAGAGGTCGAGATCGAAAAGGCGGTCTTGGAGGAGAAATATCGGACATTGGTCAGAGAGTAAGTTCGGGCTTTATCAGGTTCGAATGGTCTTTGGTGGGATGTGTGGACTGATGGCCCTTATTTCTCGTTCGATTTTCGCTTTTCGTTGCTTGCATCAGTCACACCGCCCTGAAATCACAAGTCGCCTCCATCCCCTGCCTCTCTCTTCTCAACCCCCACCTAGCTCAGCTCGTCAACGCTCCTGCGTACCCGCTCGCAGGTCCTGACGGACCGATGCTCCAGCTCGTCCTTCCCTTGTTGCTTCAGACGATTGGGAGAGGCGAGAACGGGATCGACGTGAATGCTCTGATCGGCTTGATTCAGGGTCAGAGTCGAAATCAGACTCGGAATGAGCAGATGGGAGCAGCGTCGATGACGGGCTCGACGCCTGTTCCAGGCCCAAGCAGAATGCAAAAACAGACGATTGACCGATCTGGTTTGACCAGTAACGGCAGTACCGAAACCCACTCAGCTACAGCGGTCAAACGCAAATCAACCGAAAGAAGGCGATCAGAACGGGAAGTCTCCCGCCAAGACGATCGTCTAGATGACGGGAGTACAAGCACGGACTCGGCACAATCGACACCGAGGGCTGCCAGAAGACGTGTCAAGCGGGTTAGAATGGAATTGGAGAAAGAGGATGACAACGCGGATCCCCATCTCGATTTCGATCGCCGCTCGCCAGCTGGGCATGACGATGCATTCGACGATGGTGGCGATGCCCTCCAGTATGATACCGGGGGGTTGAACGAAAACATGGGCATGCCAGAAAGTCCTGCCAACCTGAACACTACTCCTACCCGCTCACCGAACGCGCCACGAACATCGATTCTCATGTCGCTACGAAAGCGAACTCAACCCAGCATCCTTCCTGAACCCATTCCCGCCACCCCAATCGACTCGGATGAGGACGATGGAGATTTCGTTCCCGAGTCCGAGTTGGATGATAATGGTCCTACGCCGCGAAACGAGCGTGGAGGCGATGATCTAGGAAGCAGCCCGGGGACGTACAACGAGACCCCTCGGACTGGGATGGAGGGCGAGGAAGAAGACGAGGATGATGACGGGTTCGAATTCGATCCGGCCGACGAGGACTTTAGTCAACCGATCGTCGATGTCGCTGTGCCCGCCGGGTTCGGGGCAGCGTGGGCGCAGAGTACGTCAGCAGAGCTGCGCGAGGTGATGAAGGAACCTACGATCGGACACGAGGAGAGGGACGAGTTGGTGGCCAGGATCAGAGCCGAGATGGATAAGACACCTCGAGGAGAATAGCCCTGCTCAGTCCTGATCGAAAGACACGTGACACGATTGTTGACAAAGTACAATCAGCTCATGGACGGGAGCGAAAAGTCCAATCAGCGTGTCCTGGTTGCGACCGTCAGAAACATATAAGCAGGATGGCAAGATCGGACTTTGTAAACGTGACAACCTATGCGCATACCATCTACCGCTCGCACCGACCTGTACGCCTAACAACATGACCGTCGAGATGTCGGAACGTGCACAATCCTTGCTCACCGAGCTCATGAACGTCGGCATCATCCGGGATATGGTCTTCGCCCACGTCAAGGACAAGAAACAACTCAAGGAACTCGCTGCGCTCAGCAAGACTTATATGCCTTCGGTCGTCAAGTCGTTATGGTTGAATGCCAGAGAGGAGAACTTCGTCGGATTGAGGAAAATGTGCGCTTCCGTGAGTAATCTTGAGTAAACTTTGACGAGACGCTGCATCGCGAGATCCTAACCTTCAGTCTGGCATTCGCGTCAATAGGAGCGCCTTGAACTGTATCAGAACTCGATCGAGAGCCTGACGGCCGTCCAGCAGAAGGATCTCCGCCGCGTCATGAGGCTCAAAGCGATATTCCCAAATTTGCGCATCGTGAAGACTTCTTGCAATGGCAGCGATGCCACGATCCTATTTGGCAAGGGATCCTCTAAGCCACGGCTTTGCCTTAAGCTTAAGGCGGGAGAATATCTGAACAACGAGAATTATGGTTTGTGGCCAGTAGAGTCGGCCACCTACCGGCTCATAAAACTGCGGACCGAGAAAGGTCGAGGTTGGGTTGAAGATTGGTACGGATACACTGTTGATCCTGACGAGGATTACGGAAGGGAATACCTTGTCAACTTTGACGATTTGAAAGTTGATGGGGACGCATTTTTCCGATCCCTTTTCAAGGACGTCGTGGAGCTTTCTTTGCTCTACTCCGTGACCAAATTCTCACACTTTCGAGCCATCATCGATGTCGCCTCTCGATTGGAGACATTGATTGTCATCGTTGCTGCAGGACCAAAGCAGTCACGCGAAGAGACAAAGCAGCCGTTCGAGGACACTATGGTCAAACTCGGGCATCTCGAGCACCTGAAACATATTCAGCTCTTCGTCACGGATGCACAACTGGCATGCTTGCCTCCTCTGCAAACCTTACCTTGGAAGAGTTTGGAATCCCTCGAATGCAACGTCTCTCCTGGCATAGCTCTTCACCAACTATATGGAGACTCGGGCGTACCTGGCCAGCTAACGAAGCTGCCTCAACCTCCTCCGATGGGGACGCTCAAGAAGGTCGTCCTCCACTTAGAAGGAGAGAGCAACGATCTTCCCAACCCCATGTGGTTCGTGTATGCCTTGTTGTCCATGTGTCCTATCGACACGAAGATCAGCTTCGAAGTGGGTGAGCAACATAGCTTCGAAGAAAGCGGCCTCAAATGTTGGGACTACCAATGGGGTTTCGAAACTCTGGCTTTCGCCAAATGGGTCGAGGAAGCGCTGAAGGCGATAACCACCGAGATGGCCGCAACCTCTGATGCCGCGCACAGCTCCGACTCTGGCTGCAGCTAAATGAAGGCTTGATGAGTTGGGGCTCGGCTTTGATCGTAATCGTGCTCTATCGCGACCAGGTTGTCATTCGCTTAAGCAGGATACAACGGCCACGGAATTGCCACTGCGGCCACGTCGGGGAAGACCAGCTGTACCTATGTTCCGTCTATATGTTTTTCGCCATCTTCGCGCCAAGAGCCCCGTCTTCTAGCAAGATCTTGGCTTCTTCCACCTTTCGCTTGAGTTCGGGGTCAACCATTTTGCTATCGCCAACTGTAGACATGTCAAAGCATTCTCTTCAGCCGCAGTGACTGGTACAGCTGTCAAAATCCCGCGAGTTTGCTTACGTTGATTGCCTATTGTCAGCCATCTAGTAAAGGGGCAAGAGCTACAGTGTTCAGTTCACTATCTTGAAGAGGAAGAGGATTTGGTGGTATAAGGCTCACTTCGGCCGTGTATTGTGTTTCCTCCCAAAGATCTCTGCGAAAAGTATCGATGAAGCATCATGAGCAAGACGAGTTGCTGAACAGGCGAGGGCTCCACTTACCTAGCTTTCGACCGGACGGTACCATCCTAGCCAAACAATGCCGACTAGATCAGTCCCCTCATCTTTCATAAGCCTATCTCGATTTACCTCTCTAACAATCCATACACCTCGTCCGGCTTCCTACTGGTCTCTCTGACTTCGCTTACGACCACGTCCCCGTCAATCCCACGTTTCAGATGAGCCAGCGCTGGATCTCCCCAAGATATCGGGGCGTTTCGGTCGGGAAACTCTGAGACCGGAGGGAGTTTGACGGCGAGTAATAGGTGTTCACATGTGTGACTGTAAGAAGAACCACGATTTACGAAGTCAATACGATCAGTATCCATAAGACGCGCGAAGAAAATACTGGAGATGAACAAAGACTTACTTGAGCCAATGTCCCGTCCTTCCGGTTCGCACCAACCCGCCCAACTGCCCCGTCTTTACCCAGACGACCTCGTCCACCCGTCTATACCCCCATAGCGCGAATAGCTCTCTGGCGAGTTCCATGGCGCGGCCGGTCACCCAGAGTGCTAGGAGGCCCCAGGTGGGTTGCAATGAAGGGATGGGAAGGCGACGGAGGTCATCGTCCGTCAAAAGCAGATATGGAAGCTGTAGAGCGGGAAAGTCAGGAAGAGCGAGATCGATAAGAGTTTGGGCAAAAAGGAACATACATTCATATGGATGTCCCAAGGCGGATCTGCCAGGATCAGTTCGAACCTAAACAAAAAAGCGATGATCAGACTACCTTTCTATTCCATCATCCTGAATATCGACTTGCTCGAAGAACAGACAACACCGCGAGGACTCACTTTCCTAATACCTTCTCGTCCAACTGCCTGACATCCATATTCAACCACTGACTCTCCGAACAAACTCCCTTCCTCTCTTTCGTACCATCCTGGTCATCGTAGCCCGCTCCTGAAGCCGCGTTTGCGATCGTGGTTGAGAACAATCGCGGTCCAAGCAACTTCTCCCTCAACGCTTTCGAAATCTTCGGTACCCTCCTCTCCCTTTCATTCTCTCTTCTCCTCGACCGATCTTCTATGTGCTCATGGTTGGCAACGAGCGAAGGAGGAGGTATAAGCCGATAATGCTGATACCTGCACTGTTTCCCTCCTGCGCCTGATGTCCCAGGTCCGGGTCCTTGTCCGCCCGAGTTTATCAGGGATGGGTTGGAATGGAATAACGGCTGGGATGAGAACGTTTGTTCGCCGGATTAAGAGATAGGGTGATTATCAGCGATCCTCGTCTCGTCAATTTACACTACTTGAGAAGATCTCGAAGGCCGCGTACAGGATAGACAGGAAAGAAAGGATGTGCGAAGAACGATAAAGGTGACTCACATCCCCATAACACATGTTCAGGTACGAACATTGTCCTAGTCTCGGTTCCGTCCACGGCCTGATGATCGGTTCATAGTGCGGCTATCGAGTTTCAAATCGTTATCGATCAGCCACTATACATATCTCACCATCTTATGCGCAGGCAACAAGACAGGGATATAGCCTCAGAGGATTGGGCTTACGTATGGACAAGTGATAGAGCTCTCCGGACAAGCCGTCGTAGTCGTCTGAGGACAGACGGGTTCGAAAGCGGGCAGAGGGTCTGGGAGGCTCTATTGAGTGTTGGAGTGTTCCCATCACGCAGGTCAGGCCAGGTGGTAGGACGGATGATCAAGATCAGACCAAAGTAGAAGAAGAGAAAGGTAAGGTTCAGCCTTCTCAAATCTGGAGTATACGCAATTGCAATGACTGGGAGACTGGATCGGCTTACGGCAAGAGCGATGAGCTTGTCCAACCCTGTAGGTCTCTTCAAGAGAGCCAGGATCTCTTGCTGGACCTCACCATCCGTCTCGACTTCAGCTTTGGCTTCTTTCAAGTCCGATCCGGGTGAGCTAGTAGGCGAAACCTGTCCTACTCGGGCGAGACCATCATCAAGGTCGGGATCATAGAGTTCTTCGGTATCCTGTATTGCTTCTTCTAGCTTAACCTTTTTGGCGGTATGGTTGGGACCCGAGGCTGAAGGGATCGGAGATGCGGGACGTTTGAGGATGGACGACATTAGGTCCCCCGGGTGCTGCGTCTTGTCTTCCAGATCCTAGGTTTCGACGGTTATCAGGACAGAGAAATACACTACTCCTGCTTCGTCTCGTCCTCCAAGACAGTATCCTGCACAGAATCCTCGACTTGCTTAACGGAAGACGGAACTGAATTTCAGCATGATGTATAAGTTAGGTCGGCAAGAAAGACGTCGATATCTCGATCGATACGCACTCGATAGAGCCCGTTCTTTTCCCGAAATGACGGTATCGGATCGGGAAGCCTCTCGAAGTCGCCCCGAGTGTGAAGCCTGTTGGCTACAATGTTCGTAGAGTTCACAGTGGATGGTGATATGATGACCATACTCCCTGACGAAGCATCCCCCTGTCTGATGTGTTGTTTACGATGTGACGGAGCCGTAACGAACGCCCGACCTGGTCGAGATCAACAACACAAACATCCATCATACGTCCTACTAGCTACTTGAACTTGCTGCATTGGGCATTCTTTTGGCATTCTCACAAGGTAGTCCGTCTTATTATCGCTATCTCGTAGACGTACCCGAGACGGCCGTCGAAACGCGCTCAAAAGCTCGTCAAACCATCGCCGGACGACCTCTTCATCAGACGAAGGCACAACAAGGAGTACGAACATTAGCGATCCGGACCAACGATTCTCCTGGTCAACCACTACGTTCTTGCTCAACGGGGTCAATAGCAGGAAGAATCACCCAGTAGGAAAGTTGAAGGAGTGCTCTAAGAGATGAGTTCCATGAAATGTAAGCTCTCAGCCCGAGTCGGCCTGTTTTCTCCTCGAGCTGATCATCGTAACCCGTAACCCTCCTTTTTTCGTCCATTCTCATTCTCTCCATCGTGATTGTCCTACACCGCCAAATTTTGTACGGAAATGAAATCTATCCTTCCTCGCACGGATCGGACACAAAACAGCAACCCCAACCGAAAACTGGGACGACGATTTCCTCTTCCAACTCACCCCCTCGAAATCTAGATCTAAACCTCGGTCGAGTTCCAAATCTAGACCGGTACCTCCTAGGAGGTTTACCGAACAGCCTAATGGGTCACCTTCTAGGCTATATGACAAGGGGCAAGATGAAGAGGGTCTTGATGGGCTGTTCTCCAGCCGGGGTCGGGACGAGAAAAGGGGTACGGAGCGACATTCCGACCACGATGGCCAGGGCGAGGAGGAAGAGGAAGAGGAGGATTGGGATGTGGAACTAGAAATCGATTCTCCCTCACCCGCTCCGGAATTCGAAACAGCTCCGGTGTATCAGAATGCTGGTTCGACGTGGGGGTCTACTCTTCTGCCTCCCCTTCCGACAGCAGCAGCACAGATAGGGATGAGGAAGAACGTTTCGCAGTCCGACCTCCCTTCTAATCTCGCTGCGGGACCAAATCCACTTCAAGAGGAATACGAAAACGGCAAGACTTCAACTTCGCCGAACAAGGATAAGAAGAAGGAATACCGGAAGAGTTATCACGGACAAGCTTCTTCGAGAGTCGTCCCCCCGGTTGACAGTCTACCGGTCCCTTCGGCTGTCCGGAATTCGCATACTCAACTACATCCTCAATCTCAGCAACAGCAACACCAACAACATCATCCTCCTAGTGCCTTCAACCGTCCGAAATCTAATTCCACCTCATACCCCACCTTACCTTCCCCCTCACCCGAAACTCCTACGGGCACCTCATCGAAAACCGGGAACGGGGACTTCAAAAAGGGTACGGTTGTACCGGGAAAGGGGAAGAGTAAAGGGATGATGGAGCGGGTGGCGAATCTGCATAGGAGGTTTAGTTCGACTTCCACGCCACCGTCTGCAGCGGTTGGGTCTGGGGCGGGGTCGGGGAGGCCGGGATTGAGAGTGCAGACAAGTTCGAATTCGAACACGGGTACGGGTATGGGGAGGTCGAACGGGCCGATCAGCCCGCCTTTACCTGTCCCTCCACCTCAGAGGACCAGTTCGAGAACTAGTAACGGGAATGGCAATGGAAATGCCGGTCGACCGGATATGCCGATGAGGATCGTAACCTCTCAAAGCGCACAATCGATCCACTCCGTCATCTCCGGTTCTACTTCCGCCTCTTCCCACCTAGGCCTCGGAATGGGAGTGGGAGTGGGAGTTGGCGCTGGAACGGTGGTAGTGGATGGACTGCCTGGATCTAGGCGTCCGTCAGGCGCTTCTATCACTTCCTCTACAGTGGCGGGAACAAGAAACAGAAGTCCTCATCTCGATGTCGGGTCAGGAGGACAGACTTCGCCGAGCCTGGTCAGCGTTGGGTTTCACTTGCCTAGTCCTAGCCCCGCTTCGCCTTATTATCAACAACAACGACAATTCCTTCAGGAGAGGAATGGGGAGATGGAAGAGGTTATTTCAGAGGATGCACAGAAGACGCCTAAGGGCGCAACATCCACCAGAGGGATCAACGGGACTGATGGCAGGAAAGCTTCGGGCGGAGAGGAGGAGAGGCATGTCTCTGGTGCTAGTCAGAGTAGCCGAGGGACCACGGGCACGATTGGGACTGCACAAACGGTGTTTATGATGGATCACATGGAGCAGGAGGTCGATAGGCTCGACGCGGACCGGATGAGAGGATTCAAGATGGGAGGCGCTCGGGTCGAACCAGATCGACCTTCAATTGAACGAGGTCATTCCGGTGATAAGACGCTTCCACCCGCCGTCCTCCCGCTTCCTCTGGACAAGAAACGCAAGTCAACGCTGAAACGCCTTAGTAGTTTGAGTAAGCGGCACGGGAGAAAGGTCTCGGATGGATGGAGGTTCGTCAGCGGGTCATCTAATTCGAGTGTCGAACGCAAGTCGTTTGAGGGGCAGCAAGTGGTCACGCCGAGGACGGCACCGGTATCGTTTGCCATGCAACAACAACAGCAACATGTAGCCTCGCCCCCTTTGCCGCCATTAGGGTCGGCCTTTCGATTGGCATCGCCGGTGGATCTGGGGAATCCGCCCTCTTCGGTACGGAGCATGAAACAGACCCCATCAACCACCAGCTCTCGCGTGTCGAGTGACCCACAAGTCCTTCGATCGGCACAAGATGCCGACAAGTACGACGGAAGGCAGAGGAGCCCGTCTTCGGCCGGAAGGCGAGTGTCATTGAGCGATCTCAAGATTCCGAGTCGAGTGGCGAGCGCGCAAAAGGGTGTCAAGGAGGACGGTACGAAGATCCGACAGTTTTCGGCTGCTGTAAAAGGTAGGTTCAGGTTCAGGTCCGCTTGAAAGTGAGATGCGGTCGAAATGCTGATTTCGGATATATCGCGAACAGATCTTAAAGCGCTCGTAGCGCAACGTGCTGTCCTAGAAGCCAGATTGACCCGAACACAATCGCAAGACCGGTCAGAGACCCGGCTGAGCATTGACCAGGACTCTGAGTTCTGGTGGACAAAGGCTCATTTGCTGATCACACTCGGGGAGACGGGTAACGCGTCTGAACCCGCGACGCCTGCGATCGACGATGATGACGCTCTGAAGCGGGAGAGACGGATCACGCTCGCTTCCGATCATACCCCTTCGCCCACGTTGGCCCAGATCGACATTCCCATCCGGCGATCCCAGACGGAACTACGACCGTTGGACTCGAACGTGCCACGATCGGACTCTATGCGAAGGCTCGAGCCGATCAAGACGGTAGACTCTGGCGGGTCTATGGGTCGGCAAGAGTTCTCGCAGCAACAGGTAGAAATGCTGCGCAGCATCTTGCACTCTCCGGCGGGAACGCTCGAACCGGAACAGCGATCGGATCGCAGGGACTATGGGTCCACCCTGAACAAGCGATCATCGCGACCGCCAGCTCTGACTTCCAGGTCGACAGCCAAGGAGAATCGACCTCTGCCTCTCGACATCCCGTTACCTCCAACTCCCACTGGCTTGGAAAATCCCGCGGCGCATGGTCACGCACACCCTGGAGCTAAACTCACAAAACGGCGAGCCAGTCGATCTGGGATTTTCAATCTGCGAGATATGTGGCGAACCACTTCAAATTCGAATTCCAACATCAACTCTGATATGGAGATGCCTAGGACTCCCGTGTCGCCCGTCGGGTTAGATTACGATCGCTCAATGCGCGCCAAGTTGGGCTTGGGACTGCAAGCATCTTCGGCCCGATCGCCTAAATCACCGGCCCGACCTGGACTTGCGGGAATGTTCAGACGGAGTTCACAATCCAGCGCCTTGCTGCTCGATCCTGTACCTCCTAATGCAAAAAGTGCTAGTCCGACCTCGACCGCTTTTCCGGCCGTGACAAGTGGCGAAAAGAAAGAAGGAGGCGTATCAGGCAAGATGAAGGCTCTGAGACGAAAGTCCAGCCGGGCAGTTTCCCGTCTATCGCCCTCGCCTGGTATGAACCCAGACGTTCCCAGCCCGAAGCTGGGCATGTCGGACAGGTCCAGCACATCCTCCAGCTTGAGCGATTGGGACAAAGCGACGGGAATCGTCTCGCCCGTCAGCCCTCGTAAAGATTTCCTTCCTTCACCCTTCTCTCCTCCGACAAGACACAGCCCTTCGGCATTGGAGACGGAAGATAGAGACCGGACGATAGGGCGATCGGACTCCAGGAGGATGCTAGCCAATCTGGGAGTCAAGCCTGGAACAAGTTCTCCTAGACCTTACAATCAGAATCGCAATCACGGATCGGATGAGCCTGCCCGGCTGGCGCTGACCCCCGAGAACCTTGGGCCGCTGTTGCAGGACGCGCGGCTGACGCTGGCCAAATGCGAGCAGAGTTTGAGGGAGATCGGGATGGAAGCTGGTCGATCTAAGTAGATTGCGACAGATCTGTGCCGAGTACTGTGCCGAGTAACGTATGACGCCGGTATGCATATGTGTGATGACGCCCGTACAACTTCGATGCGGCATCACTGTACGTTATGTCTGATAGGCCTGCTACGGCTGCGCAAGCTTCTGGACTGCGCTAAAGTGAAGGTCTTGATCAAAATGGGTTTGTTTCAAAGTCAGTGGAACACTTGAGAGATACGAAACATTGCTTTCTTCGGATAGGTAAATCGTAGGATCGCATTTGCAGCATAATCAGGAACAGAGAGACTGCGAGCGTTTTCTATCAGGTTGATGCAAAGGCTCGTATAGTGTGCGTAGGGAGAGGCCGTGAGAATTGGTCTAGCTGAGGTGTCTCATAGGCTTAGACACCTTTTAACCTGAGTATCGTTTGCGAAAAGGCTTTTCCTGGGACATGCCAGTGTACAGGCTACTATTGGTCCACATTGACGGGTCTACCTTGCATCCAAGTTCGTATACGAGCTTCGATTGCCTCCCATACTGCCCAAACAAAGCTCTTATCAGCGTTATTCAGACAGTATGGATGCATAGTACAGTCAAACCTACTGCCGGTCAAGTCTCCCATACCACAATTGCATGGGGATTGAAATTCGATAGGCGAGTGGTGATAATCAGCTTCTTTAACTGCTTGTGGCTTCTGCGTAGGAAAGCAGAAGCGATGTCCTCCGTTACCCAGGTAGGGGCTGAATACGATTGGCTTGTCCAAGACGCCGAACCTATCCAGTTGCTCAAGGGCCTGTTGGGCGGTCCGTGCACACCCTTCTTTGCTGAGAAGAGGTTCCGTATGATGAGGTTCGTGCCAACCTATCGCGATGTTGATTTTCAAGCTAGCATGACGTGGAACGTTCAGTCCTCTGTTGCGGAATTGGGTCCAGCGAGAGTTGGGGTGGATGTTCAGGGTGACGGATTGGCAGTATTCGATACCTAGGTTGGCCGGAAAGAAATGACGGTAATCCCAGCCGTCAAATGAAATCCCCTCCACATGAAACCTGTGGAAGCGTGGTATGCAGTGTCGGTTACGTGTTCCTCACGGAAACTTTCAAAGATCGAAACTCACAATGGTAGCAACGACCCCACCAGAGTGTTATATCGGCCAGATGCCTTGATCGTCTTGAGATGAGGATAACCTTCGTGCCTCCAGTTACGCCCGAGGATTGAGGCTGAGCTTTCTAATTGAGCGACACGTTTGGCTATCAGAAATGGAAGTCTGTCGACCAGTGTTGCCCAACCTTTCAGATGTCGAAGATCCAGTATCCGCATGTACTGGAAGCACCTCAGTTGAGATAGCTCCACCAACTTCACGAGTGTCGGTGTACTTTCGAGTAGTATGACTTCTCGGTAGAGAGCCCTCAAGCCGACCTCGCAGACGTATTTGCAAGTCTGCAGCAGTGGTACAGCGAGCCAGGTAGCTTCGATGATGACTAAGCGACATCCCAATATCGAATCGATTCAGCTGACGATTGTCTTGCGTGGTCTCCGGGACGTACGGTTCGTAGGGCTCAAAGAACTTGGTTCTTGCTGTTTGATGGCAGAACATAGATTCTTCAACTCGGTGTTACGAAAAGCGAAATAGTCCTCGACGACCTGGATGATGATCTCCTTCGGTAGAGATATTGCGGTTTCCGTGGTAGAAGCGGTTTCGGACGAGGGCGGCACTGGTTCCATCTTTTTTTCAAGGGCTGAAATCGAAAGACTCAGTCCGGAATCTAGTTCGTTCTTGCCTGACCTCGGATGAGCGTTATGTAACCCACCTTGAATTTCAACCATTTCAAGGTAAATCGAGTCTGGCGATGATAATGGTACGTGCACAATCTGCTAGATTTATCCTGGGTCCTTGATTCGATCGCGGGTGAGTCAGCTGCGTTCCGATTGAAGTGGAAAATCATCTGAGATGACGGAACCTACTTTTGAGCACTTAGGCCCAGGTCAGCTGGTAGATCGATGTAGATGATCGCGATTAACTAGCACGCTGGTAACCCGTTGGTTGGTAAGCTGGCGGGCTCGTCGAGATCGTTCGTTATACGATTTAAGAGCATAAAAGATGGGGGTATAATCACTACTTGCTACTCACATGTTCGCTAGATCGTCATTGATTTCCTGAAAAGGGACTCTAGTACGCTAGTACGCTAGTGTTCTGGTAATCTAGCTGTGTTTGCTCAAACTCAGCTTCTCAGACTCACTCTTGAATTCTCGACGATTTGTGCTTACCTGATGTGCTTCGTGCTTAGATTTTCGTACCACGTCAAAAAAAGGAACCCCGAAACGCTGGTGCTACGACACTGACGGATGACGATGAAGATCTGACGATGAGAGCGCATGAGAGACAACGATCAAGGTGCAAGTGGATCGAAGTTCCCGTCGACAGTCCTGTACTAGCTCGTACGGAACAGCAACGACAAAGACGACGAAAACGAAAGGAAGGGTCCTTTGAACTTTAAATCTTTAAGGTTTCGTTAGCGCGGGTTCCAAAAAAGCCGCCAAAGGTAGATCGTCGAACAACAACGTTCATATGACTACTCTCTCGGCACATTGCATCTGGTAGCGATGCTCGTACTCCTCTTCAGGCCTTGACAAGTATATATCAAGAAGCCTCCCGGCCCGACCGCCGCTCTCACTTACCTCCCACTTCCCACACCGGCGTTCGAAGCTTCTCACCACATCGTTCACCTGCGTCACCCGATTACCCATGGCCGACATGAAACAAGAACTCAACCCGACCGCTCCCGCCTCGAAGAAACGCAAGACCTCCTCTTCTTCTGCTCCAGACCTCAAGCCCCAATCACCCTCGAAAGCCAAGAAGACAGACCACAGACACACCTTCTTCGGACCCGTTCAAAAGTCCGGAGCGTGGACTCAAGAGGAGGATAAGAAGCTGTTTCAACACATGTATCCCAGGGCGACGGGGTTGAATTGGGAGGTCATCGCGAGGGATATCGAAGGGAGGAGTTTGCATGTGAGTTGGTTCATTTCGGACCTTTTCCTGTCTCTGTAATCATATCCGATGGACATGCGGGGCGCTGATGATAACGGAAACTGGCATTATCTCGTATTTTAGAGCTGTATGAACAGGTCCGTCTCCCTTGTCACCCGTTTCGACTCCTCCCAACTTCGTAATGACACAGTCTTGGCTGATCGATCAAAGTTCTTGTTATAATGTGGTAGGTCTAACACGATGCGCAAGATGGTCGCCGAATGGATGGAACAAGGACAAGGATCTCCGATCAAGAAGGGGCCGTAGGATTGAGTACGAATAGGATGGAACTTTCGATTTATAAGTGGCGATAAGAGGATGTATACGAGTACGAGATTGAGGAGAGTTGTAAAGAAACCGATGATACAGAGATGAAGACCCGAAAATACGTCTTTGGTACTCTCAATGCAAGTGACAGAATTGTGAGCTTCGAATCATGTTGATACCATGTCGCTGTCAAGTTTATGAAACTGTACCACAATCCCGTTCGGCGGCGCTGAGAAGCCAGACCGACCAGATCATTTGCTTCCTCCGTAAATCACCTACATTTCAAAACCCGCCTCGTCATTCGGTTGACGAGCGGCGCTTACTTGCAGCCCGAGTACTTCGGCAAGGCGGCTTTTAACTTGATACAGATCGGTCATGGACCTGTCCGAAGCTTGAGGCTCTGCCAATGTGGTAGAACGACGATCCGATGGACGATAGAATATCCCACGATCGGTTCCTGCAGTGGGAAAGGATGATCGGCGATTCTTGTCGTCATGACCCCCTTTTTTTGCCGATAAGAAGCCTGAAGCGAGAACAAAGAAAAGGAAAGGTGGTCAAGGGATCGTCGTAGCGGATCCTGATATCGCTTACTTGGGCTTCTTGATCCAGACAAAACTGACTGAAGGTAGCTCGCTCTTGCATTGACTTCCTACATGCGATATATATTAGACCAGCGCGACTGTTTCTTACATGCAATAGATATCGGACGGCTCGGGCTGATCAGAAACAGGAAGATAGCTGCTCGCTCACCAGGTCTCAGGTAAGCTGGTCGCGCTTTTCGTCTCTGGGTTGGATATAAGCTGACGCTTAAGCGTCAGGCTTACATTGCAGATTTCCACCTCTCAAGTTGTCAGTAAGGAAGAGCGGGCGACAGCGAAATAGCTGGTGAAGAAGGGGTCCCATGGAGTCTCGCTGCCCAACTGTTGATCTTGGTGAGCAAGAATGAGGCTTTCAAGAAACGAGATCGAATTTAACACTAACAACCCGCGCGAACCTCGAGACTAGAAGACACACGTCCGATGACGGATTCCGAAGACAATACCTCTCAGCCACAACTTGTGCTACCTATCGAACTCATGACTCAGATATTTCAGGATTATTTCGCCTTCAGAACGGCGGAGATTCAGAAGGTCAATGCTCGGCGACTCCGTGAGTCATTCTCGGGGAACAGCCGACTTCGTCCATTTGCTCACCAGCAGATAATCGCTGCTTTCATACTCTAGAACCGGGGGGACACGACCTCGTGCTTGCACCTCGATGGAAAGCGGTGCCGTTGTTACGCACCTGTAAAATTCTATTCACCATCGCCGTGCAAGAACTTTATCGCGACATTGTCGTCCTTAACGGACCAAATGCCATCTACAATCTGATGAATGGCCCTACTTTGCATTCTCATCAGCATATCAGGACGCTGGACTTGCTGAATAATACGGACGACTACTCGCAGGCCGAGCTCGATGAGTGTATCGAACGGCGGGTGTTTCAATCGCAAATCTTGGCGGGAAGGGAATACAGCCAGAACTTGACATCTTCGGCCGATGAAGTTGAGCCTTTCAGACGCGATTGGGAAACAAGGTGTAAGCCTCGGCTGAGAAGTCTCGCGATCAAAGGTCAATACTACCGCTTGGTCACTTGTCTTTTGAGGTTGTAAGTTCCTGTGACTCGATATGATCTTATCGATCAGCAACTGATCGAGGGTTTCGACCAATAGCTTTAATATCGATCTGCTCACCCTACATGGTTGGGCTCCGTGTGTACCGTTCTACAAGTTACCCTCAGGGTGCACGGGTGATCATGTCACACATCTCGTACTGCATCTCTTTGATCCTTACGATAATGGGTTCTGCGGAGAAGATGTTGCGGACGATATCTTTGATTGGCTCGAGACTATCACTATCAGTTTGGGCGAAATAGGAAGAGAACACGAGGAATCATGGTTGCCGGTGATGGGACCAGATGAACTGGCAGAGAAATGCGACCATCGAATCAGCACGGCTCTGTCGACGCTTTATAGCCCTGCCGATCTCATCTTCACGCCATACCTCGACACCGGAGATCATCGCTTCTGCTTTCCGAAGGAGAAGCCACAGGACATAATGATGGGCAAGATGGGGCGGGATTTTGAAGGCTTTGGATCCATTGAATTTCGCTCCGGGTGCGATTGTGGTCAGGGAGATGCGACCAGGTGTAAGTGCGATAACGTGCTGATGAATTTTATCAGGATGCTAACGCTACCGATATTCCGTTCGATCGCCTCAGTATGGGAGGCAATTGAAGCTAGTATCTACAGATGGCTACGAGAGCAGGAAAACAGATGGCTGCAAAAGCAGGAAAACAGAAGGCTGCGAGAGCAGGGAACGTCAGCTGCTGCCCAGTAGCCTCTACTACGATAGTATCATAGCATAAAATGTATGCATGTACCGCTTCGCGAGTATTCGGATATGTTATTTACGAGAACTAGTATGCGCATGACACCTAGATCCCCGGCTCCGCGCTGATATAGTTGCAGACTGAAATACCACTATTCGTATCGTATCTCCCGGCTTTGACTCAATTCTCGACTGAATCACGTCGAAAGCGATATGCGTTGCATCGTGTCTATACACCATGCAAGCAGCATAGAAAGTCACTGCCAACAAGAAAATGTGTTCACCAAACGGAATCCACAAAGCAATGAGACAGAATGACCGCAGACGAGCGCTCGGTAGCCATCTTGATGGCGAAGCGAAGTCTCCGCCGACCGACTGTACCCGAGCTCGTCATGCGAGGGATCGATGTACATAAGCTATCACTCGCTTCGATCGATTCGACTGCCTATTCATCAAGGAATCATGACATCAGTTTTCGCCGACCGGCAAGAACAAAAGAGGAAAAGGTGGTCAAGGTGGACATGGATCATCGCCGCGTATCTTGAGGCGTCTTGGCTTCTCGAGTTCGGCCTGCGAAATGTATAAGACTTTCGGTACGATCTGTACACAGAAGCATGATAAATGCACTCTGATGAGGCGGCCTAACCTTCAAGACATTTACGCAATCCTTCCCATAAGAGCGCCCAAATTCGTGGTGAGTTTGCGCGTCATCGCGACAAGAGATTCTATCCGAGTACTGATAGTGATTTATCATGAGGATTGCAGGAACGTCAGAATGGGCACCGACGAGAACACTTCCGGTCCGAAGACCGCGCTTCCGCTCGAGCTCGTCACTCAAATCTTGCAAGACTACTTCGCCTTCAGGCTGCGAGAACTCCATCAACCCCGCGTCCGTCATCAAAACGATGATGGGAATGATGGTATGTGATGTCTTAGCCTGGGTGAGATCTGTCATTATTGGTCATGCCAACTAACCATCGCTGTGATACGGTGACTTGTATCGGAAACAGTACCTCAAGAAGCCGAATGGAACGCTTTGCCACTTTTACTTACCTGTAAACGGCTCTCAGACATTGCAATGAAGGAACTCTACAGGAACGTCTACCTGACCAGCAGCGAAGACACGCTGGTCAGACTCATAAGTCGGCCTCCAGCGTATATCTACCAATACATCGAGACTTTGAACATGATGGAAGTGCATCATTTCTGCTGGGACACCTTGAACGAGTCCATCGCCTACCGGGTAGTACAATCGCAAGGTACAGCCTTGGCTCAATTCGGGATAGGATCCCGTTGGACTTCTTTGTTGGAGGACGCCGAGCGCTTCACCAAATATTGGTCCTCCGAATTCAAACCTCGACTCAAGACCCTGATTTGCGCTCGGGGAGCAGCATATTGGCTGAGTTGTCTATTGAAATTGTGAGTGTGTACTACGTATATTTGACAGCCTGAACCGCACTCAACTACTCACGACTCTTTCCGTAGCTTCAACATCGATCAAATCTCCGTGCACTATTGGCAGCCGTATGATCCCTATCCCTATTTACCAGGCGGTTACGCCAAAGATTCTGTCAAGCACCTCGTTCTGTATCTTGACGAGGCAAGCGAACTTCAGCCTGGCAGCGAGCAAGAAAAAAACGACCTCTTTCGAACCCTTGAAACTGTCACCATCGTTCTTGGAAACCACAAGCAGCGGTCTCCCTTCACCCCGCCTGGGCTCCCCGTCGGACCCGATTTATTGGCGGCGAGAAGTGAACACCTCATCGGCAGCATTCTCAATGAAGTGGATCCTCTTCCAATTGGCAACTTTGAGATCATCTTTTCTCCGTACGTGGAGACAGGGTATCACGAGTACTGCTTGCCGAAGAAGAAGCCCCAAGGAGTGAAGAGAGGCGAAGGCGTCTTTGCTTCGGTCACTTCGATCGAGTTTCGCTCCGAATGCAATTGTGGTCAGGGAGACAAGAACGATTGTAAGTTCGATTGATCCATATAAGTCATCATCGCGACGACAATCATGACTTTTTTCTTCTCTGGGACTCGCAGTATGGAAGGCGGTTGAAGCCACTGCACAGAGCTGGATGAAAGGGCGACATCTTCCGGAGGCAGCAGATACGGAGTAGAAAACGTAGATATATGACTGGCGGGAAAACTTGGAGCATCTGTACATCTCTTTATCGTGATAGTTGTCGCAGCTGCTCGTACGCTGTTACATGCTCATGCGTCAAGTCAGAATCCTATGCTAAAGGAGGTAGGACACGACCCCGCTGCTGCGGGAGGTTTCCAAAGGCCTCGCTGCGCCCATATGAGTGAATTCTTCTGTCACCGCAGAGGCGAGCAGAAACTCCGTTGGACAAGATCACTCACCATCGCTACTCAAGATGTCGGCAATTCGATGCTGATGCAATTGATTCAATCGGTTGGTATACCTGTTCCGCCAGCGCGCTCGATTCTATCACGCATCATAAGGTACATGCGACAAGAACAAAAGAACCAAAGTGATCTCGGTAAGCGCGGATCGTCATGGCCGTTTTTGTCATAGTTCGGCTTCTTCGCTAGGGTGATACATTAATATATACAGAGATGATAGCTCTGTAGAACTATGGAATCATCAAGAAACAGTGAGTTGAACCGATACTACTTCTCGATTTGCATTCGTTCCGCGGCGTTTCAGCAGCTTCAGGCGAGTCCGCGTGCCGTGATCTACCATAGTCGAGATCCACCCTTTGTGCGGGCGAAGAAAGGGCATGTGTCAGGTGCTTGCTTACAGAGGCTTTTCGTGAGTGGATAAGTACCTCAACCGAGATCAAGCACTAAGACTGCTCGCATGATCTAGTTGACGTTGAGCAATCTCCACCACCATGAGCGCCGTCGATGCTTCTCAGCTTACCTTGCCAGTCGAAATCCTGACTGAAGTTTTTCAGCAATACTTCGCCTTCCGGAACGAAGAGATGAAGGCAGTTCATGACCTGGATCTAAAAATCGCTCATGGCAGTGGAAGTAGCGAAGAACAGCAGAAAGTCAAGCAGTTTAGTAGGTGTCACTCGCAATAGATGTGTGCGATGACGCAGTTGCATTTGAGCTCATTGCTTTCTCGCATAGTCGCTCCGGAATGGGAGGCTCTACCGTTATTGCTCAGCTGCAAGCATTTGTGCGGAATAGCTATCCCGGAGCTCTACAAGGATATATCCATCGGCCGGCGAACCTATTTACGCAGACTGATGAGATGTCCTCACCCGGACTCTTACCATCTTATCAAGACGCTTGACATCACCCATTATAAAGACGAACACTTCGAAGAGCTGGAAGACGATGTCGATGACAGGATCTTCCAGTCCATAGGTTTAGCATATGCAGATCACGGAAGGAATACGAACTGGACGTCATCGCTTGACGCAGTGTGCGGATTCAGGGAGGGCTGGGTGTCCAACCGCAAACCCCAGCTCAAAATCCTGAAAGGGTCGGGGGTTCACGGACATGTAGTAGCCTGTCTGCTGAAATTGTAAGTTGAAACCTCGCGGTGACCGGTCACTGATCTGATGCGATCGTTTGACAGTTTCAATGCGGAACAGGTCGCGCTGTATGGTTTCGCGATGGGAAGGACTTTGTCTCCTCGAAACCATCGTGCAAACAAACATCTTCCCGAACCGTTCATCTTCAACAGCCCAGCGCATCTAATTTTACACGTTGATGGCAACTTCGACTTTGAGGTTCCGGAGCTATTGTCATTGGCCGAGGGGCACTGCTGGCAGGTCAACGCCATTACCATCACGCTAGGTTGGCGCAACCACTATGATGAACACCCTCTCTCCATTGAGGTACAGCGTAAGGCGGTCTGCACCATACTCAGATACCTTCGCTGTTGCGGTTTATACAGTCTGGACATCACGATCAGCCCATTCTTAGAATTGGGCGATCACTCTTACTGCTTTCCGACAACCAAGCCATGGAATATACACGGAGGACCGGAGGTCATCAACTGCATCACCTTCAAGTCATCCTGTACTTGTGGTCGAGGTGATTCTACCGGCTGTGAGTACGACTCGAGACGATTGATGTCTTAACCTCACTGAGCGAAACACGTCCGCACGACACTTCACAGTATGGCAGGCGATAGAGGAGGGGATCTACCAATGGAAGCTGGACTGTGGTTACTGGTAGGGGACTCTAAACGCCGAACACCCCCGTGAGATTGCAGAAAAAGGAGGTGCCCTTTCTAGTTATGACAGTACGGATATAGATATGCGAACACAATACAACTCCGAACCCGTCTTACTCTCGGCGCGTCGAATGTGGATGATTGATGTAGAACATCTCGTGAACCTGATTTGTATGTACGAGGACGCGAGATCTCATCCAAAACGGCTGTAATGCAACCTTGGTGATCGTCAGCTGTAGAAGTGCTTGCTGCGATACTTCCCGCGGGACACGAAGAACGTGCACTTGATGACCTGAAACGCCATCATCAACGGTGTCTAAACCTTAATTGTCTGGGCTGTGACCCGACGACGCGTCGCCGAATCGGGCGAACAAAAGAATTTCGGCCAATCTGTATCACTTTTATTTCTTACGACGGATTGATCAGATGATCAGATCGCACCGATCACAGGTCCTATTAACATCGGACCACACTCTCGATGGCCTCACAGACACTTGGACATTTATACTTGTATATAAACATTCTCCAGATTTCCAGGCTCCTAGCACTTAGCATCTAGCTCCCGGTGTCAAAGCCTAGAACCAGATCCACAGCCAGTATACTTGAGACCAGGAAGCCGATATCTACGGTTGTCTCGTCAAGACGGGCCTTCTTGGCAGCTGCGTATGCATACATACACGTTACGGAGACTCGTAGTAAGCCCGTCGATCATTCACCTGTCAAGTGATCGATCGATCTTTTGCAGCTGATGCACATCTCGTTCATCAAAATCCCTTTGCTCTGCAATCAGGCAGTTCATTATCGCAAACCGCTAGGCTATCCGTCACGCTCATACCAAGAGAAGTTCTTTTCGGGAATAAGCTGTCCTTAGTGTGGCCAGTACTTTCGAAGACGTTGTGAGTTGTTCTGAGGCAAGCGACTCAACGGTACCGTCGCAAAGGTCTGACCACGAACATTCGATCAACCCTGATCAGTTTTCGCAGCAGTAACAGAGTCACGGCGGTTGTTTCAAGGCGGATAGCGACATCCTGCTGGCCATCGAAAGAGACAGTCATCATACCGATACAGGCAGCCAAACTATGTGAGAGAAGACGGATCTTAGCAACGACAACCTGATACTAATACAGGTTGTTTGTATCGTAGCGCAAAGCAGGGACACGTTGCGATGGACAGCGACATCATTCTTCCTTCGCCAAATGGCATATTACCGGCGGAAATCATGACGCAGATTATTCGGGACTACTTCGCTTTCCGCAACGCGGAAGTTAACACATACTGCGATGATGAGCTCAAACGAAGGTTCAAGTTTTACAATGAAACCTCTGCACTGCTATGGCGTCCTGTACCTCGTGAGTTTCGTATTCGCTTCGACTACGTTATATGGTTTGAATAAGGACAGCTTACTTCGAACACCCCCCCCCCCTCGCCCCGTACATAGCGGCAGCTGAATGGCGATCTGTACCTCTCCTGGTCAGCTGTAAACGCCTGTCGGCAATCGCTCTAGTAGAGCTCTACCGAAACGTTCGCCTTCCGACTCACGGCACCAAGAGCTCGCCACTTATGGACTTTATGACCTATCCTCGCCTAAGCAATTATCAATTGATCGAGACGCTGAACATAAAAAACGGCCTGAACGATTTTCTGCCCGGCCTCGAAGAAAAAGTGTGGCGCCGAGTGCACCAATCGCAAGTCTCGGCCTTGAAGCAGGATGCATTCGACCCCGGGTGGGATCATTCAGCCACAGCAGTGTATGATCTATTGGTACGGTGGTCAGTGCACCACAAACCCAATCTCAAAACACTGAAGGTATCGAGTAACGAGAACGATACGCTATCATGTGTGTTGCAATTGTAAGTGTCGGTCACGGCGAATTTGAGCCTGCATTAGCCCATCATCTCGTTGTTCTCTCAGTTTCAACGCCGAAAACGTTTACATGTACGGTTGGACCCGCTTCTCACGTGTTCCTAAGCTACCGACTGGATCAACCAAGCATACCGCCCCTCATTTCGTTCTGTATCTCGATTCCGCCGCTAATTTTAACGGTGAATCACACGATGATTGGTGGCCCGATTGGCGTTCAAACATTCAAGTCGTCACCATCGTGCTGGGTTGGCGGGAATCCTGGAGACCCAAATATGAAATCACGCCTACAGGATATGCTCAGGCTATCCGGTGCGTGCTGGCCAAGCTTAGAAACTGGAACATGAATGTCGAGGTCATCCTTAGCCCGTACATTGAGGCCGGCGGTCACCTTTTCTGCTTCCCCAAGAGAAGGCCACAAGGACCCTCTGGACATTCAAGATCTTTCGAAGGTATCACATTCCAGTCGAACTGCAGTTGCGAGCGAGGTGACACCACAGGCAGTAAGTCTGGCAACGGCAAACGGATTCTTCTGATTACTGCTGATTGTCGTCCTCTGGATCCGGAACTTGCATAGTCTGGGAAGCAATCGAGGCCGAAGTTCATGATGTCAGATGGGGATTCAAATGAGTTGCTCTTATCAAGCTTTTCACGAGCATCCTTGTACGAGTATAGCTCAATATCATATTCTCGATCTTTGGCATGATCCAAATTTACACCGAGTTACCAATTCCAAAAACCGCACCGTTATCTGCTTTGAGAGCAACGTAAAAATCTACAAAGCGCATTTTGATCGAAGGTTATTTCCGCCGGTTTGCTGTCACCACATCCTTTGAAATCATCGTAACATCGGGATAAGCGCCGCGATCGGATCCACCAAGAAGGTACCATTACACAATCCAAAGGACCCTATTGCAACAGAAGCGAAGGGTCGGAACCCCATTTTGACCGATAGCCGCGGTCTGATCGGTCTGATAGAATAACAAGAAACAAAAGGGAAACAGTAGTGGATCGATGTCTCATGCGCTTTCGTCCGATGAACACGGAAGATCTGCAAAGGTGAAAGTCGAGCTTCCTGCTGCGAATCTTGTTTTGCGGATGGTGTATATGTATGTAACGAAGGCGAACCCTCATTCGAGCTACTGACTTACTCCTCTGATCAGCGTCTGACGAAGTTCAAGTAGCTACAGTCGGGTATCGTCATCGGTCAGAAAGAAGCGCGTTGCATTTCAAGGTTTCGAGGTGAGTTTGTTAAGTGTATCTGAGCCTGTTTCACGATTTTGCCTGACAGCTGTCATATCCCACAGCGCTGCGTATGGATCACTGAGGAATCACATCAAGACAGATCCAGCTACCCACTAAGCTTCGTCTTCGACTTTGCCTCTGCTCCGGAGGAAACCATCTTGTAGGTATAATTTATGCTCTGTAGCGAGAACAGACGTTAACGAAAACGGATTGCACGGTGTTTCAAGTTCACTCACGGCAATGGAGGTGAATCTCAGCGCGACGCAGCCTAAATCCGGTCTTCCGGACGAAATCCTCCTCCAGATCTTCCAGGATTATCTCGCGTTCCGGCTGGAAGAGTTGGAGATCCGCTGCGACATCACATTGGCTTGCAGAGGCTTTATACGCGATATGCGGGATCGCTCCTCTACCCCTGTCCGGCTCGGTGAGGTGCGTCTCGTCGGCTTTTCGGGACACCATCTAACGAAAAGGTACGGTATGGTTCAAAATGATACAGATGATGCGCAGTGGAAAGTTCTCCCTTTGTTATTGACCTGCAAGCGGTTTTCTGGAATGGTAACCGTTGAACTATACAAGGATATCTTCCTGTATAAAGACGATACGCTATACCAGCTCCTGACCAACTCCCGGTTGAGCTCTCTGGGAAAGATCGAAACCATGGATATTCAACACATCGAAATGACAAACGAACGTCGCATCCGCGAGTCTATTAGAAGCCGAATCGTCCAGTCGCAGATCTCCTCGATGGCTCGGTATAAATCTGAGGGAGATTGGGACTCCTCGGTAGATGAGGCCGACCGCTTCATTGCAATCTGGTCATCCACGATTAGACCGCGTCTGAACCACTTGAAAGCCTCGAGTGCGCAGAGACAGAGAGATACTCTAGCTAGCCTTTCACAATTGTGAGTTCATGTCGAGCGATCAAGATAGCCTATTCTCATCTCGCCTATCCTCACTACGCACGATATCTCCGGCTGCTTCCAGCTTCAATGTAGATACTTTGGATCTGTCCGACTGGCGCCCCGGCAGCGGTCTTCCCATCTTACCTTCTGGGTCGGACTCCGTTACCATTAAACATTTGGTTCTTCACGTCGACGGTAGTCGCACAATTATCGACCGCGAGCACGTTGATCTTCCCGGCTGTGAGCCGCTGTGGGACATTCGTGCTGTGACAATCCTCCTGCACGCGAACGGACCGAAGGTCGACATCAACAGAGCTAGGAGAACTGTCATAGAAGCCCTCGGAAGTCTCTTCGATGCCCTCTCCGATATCTCAACAATCCAAATCACTATCAGTCCTCACTTCGCGGGTAGGAACCACCTCTGTTGTTTCCCGAAGAGTCTGTCCGACATCCAGCCTTCAGAGTCGTCCCCCGGAATCGCCTTCCGCACTGGATGCACCTGCGGCTACGGCAACACCACAGGCCGTACGTTCGTTCAATCTCAGCCAGGTTTTCATCTGATCTCTGATATGGATGAAATTTTGCTTCTGAACAGTATGGGACGAAATCAGGTCAAAGACGTTAGAATGGCTAGGCGACTCAGTGGATGAGTCGCTCTGAGATAGTTCCCTATCAACACCATCCCCCTCTCGCATATACATAGACTATATACGCTTCCGGTTGTGTTATTAGCCATAGGACTGCTTGTTCTTCTGGTAACCTTATGCAGACAGATTCACATGATTTGACTTTGGTGATCGCGCAGAAACAGGCCTTGGGTTTTCCACTGCGGTCTCAGGTGATCTCGAATTGAAGCGAGATTGGATAATCAAAACTGCTGCCACTGCCCATTATATTAGGCAAGGATTTGGAGAGCTTTTCAAAGAACCGTCCGCTCCAGTGATTTAGTGATAATGGTTTCAAGGTCGCAATACTTATCGAACCATCTATCACAATCTCTCTGCTGTTCTGCTCTACATACTGCCTGTAGACCATTTCACCAGCCCCCGACGAAGGATACTGCACGGAAGCAAGGCTTACAGACGCCGTCATTTCTGAAACGCTACCCGCAAATGGGTCCGCATTGAGACACGCAAAATGGGAGACTTGGGAACGCGCGAACATTTTTGCAATCTCAGCCTTGAAACCCGTCTGGACACAGAGCTCCGAACAATGAGGGAGACACCTCATCTTCATATACAGCAAGCGTTCTGCATTGCAAGTTGCAACTCGCTTAAGAGACCTCGAAAATCCGCAGTCAGCTTGATGGGCGGTTCCACAGTGATATGCTCCTGTAATGTGCCTTATTGTCTGGACTGTGAACGGAGAACCGCATCATGCGGGGTAGTCGTCGACGGGAAACTCTATCGCCCTACTTGATGCGCCTATAGCTCGGTCTAAGTAAGGCCCAAAATGTCAGACGGAAACCGACAGGCCACGCATCGAAATGACATTCAATCCCATGGAGGCCGACATGACGAAGGGGATCGCGAACGGCCACTCTGCCCGAGTGGAGTCAGACTTTGTTCTGAGCTTCGGCCTCTCTGTCGTTCAGATGCTGCCACTCGGACTACCTGTGATTATGTTGCCAAGCGTCCGCTACAAGACTAGCAGGTATGAATCAGCTATTGTATTCCAAGGTGAAATCTTTGATTGATAAAATCATGATGACCGAAATCCGTAGCTAGTAAAGGTAGTTTGTCGTACACATTGTGCTTGTTCGTAGATTGTAAGTTCGTCAAGAGAAAGAAGTGTGGGTCATGGTCGTCAAGTGAAAGGTCGGAAAGGAGGGTAATTTATGTCGTGATCGAGCGGCTTTGTTGATGAAGAATCAGAGTAACTATATCGGATCAGTTCAGGTCATATATAACTAGCTGTACGAACCACAAAGCATACCATTCTACTCACCTCGGATGTATCTCATTCCATCACGTCTTCCCGATCGACCCCAACACATCAGCGACCAACCCGCCCGCCTCTTCCCCGCTCTCCTGTTGCTTAGCCCGCTCTTCTTCCTCCCTAGCTTTCCTGACCTCGTCCAACTTGGCAGCAGCGTCAGCCTTTTCCTTTTCCAGCGCTGCGAGCTGGTCGTAAAGGTCTTGTTCTTGTTGTTTGAGCTCGGCTACTTCGGCTTTGAGTTGTTCTCGCGAGAGAGGGGGACCGCCGGGGACGGACTGGGGAGGTAGGGGAATGGTGTACCGTGGATTGAGTATCGAACACAGGTTGATAGCCGATTGTGTCGAGAACTAGAGACTTACCAAGTTGGCCTGAGAGCTCATCGTTCAAGATCGTCCACGTCGAGAAATCGAGGTTCTCCTCGATCTACCTTTGGTCGTGCAGCATCTGATCAGTCGGTGCTGCTCGGATCACCGATCGCCCAAGCTCGACTCACAGTATCAGATATGCACACAGCCTTTCAAAGAGGGAGCGTAGGTCTTGTGTGATCGTCTTGTGAGATTCAGCTTAGTTGACGGATGGTTATGGTTGAGATTAATGAGGAAACGACCTCGATCTGATCAAATTTCGACACATTCCCCTTGATCAAAAGTTGCGCAACTTTCGCTTTTTGTCCCAAATTCAAAACAATCGAAGAGTATTACGTCATCAAGCCTCCCTAGTCCACGTCATGCATGCATCATGCTATGCACCCTTCAGGCCCAAGAGGTATATCCATTCCATCACCCCTTGTAGCTTGTAGGAACCTCTGATGCTAGTCCCATACATCCACATCCCACGTCACAAGTCAAGTCTATCTAGAAGCCCTCTCTTCCCCCAACGCAGCATCGCCCTTCGTCCAGATGGTCTCGCATTAGTGTTACAATGTGCCAGGTCGTTTTTTCGGATTACGGGTCTGCCAGATCCCGTCGTGTCAAGCAGAGCCGTTTGATGCAGGACTTTTGCTCTTAGGCCATGGCGCTCGACTGGTAGTCTTGCGATTTGATAAGAGATTCTACGATTTCATCGAACGTCGGTCATCAGCACTCGTCGCATCGCCAGTCGCCCGAGGAAAATAGCACTCACTGAAGAACTCGTAACTCGCCCAACTGATCGCGGTAGACGGAGCGAAGGTGACCACCCTCGCGCTCATCCCTCGTCGAAGACCCTTCCATCCGTCCCTGGCGACGATGATCTTGAGCGCCTCGGCCATCCCTCGGGCATTACGTATCCGTGCGTCATTGGACGTTCCTCGGGTTTGCAAGAGGGTCTGTGAGTAAAAAGAAATTGGCGGACAGGTCAGCGAAACAGCGATTTACTTTCACAGTCCAGGCAAGAGCACCCACCTTGGCAACGTCCAACGGGGTCGTCAAAGCAGCCGCCACACCTCCAGCCACCCCACCCGCAGCGATATGGGTCGAAGGCGAATACTCTCCCGTAGGGTTCAAGAACGATTTCAAGATCTCGTATACGGAGAACTGGACGGCTTGTAAGGGAATGTTCATCAAGAGGGTCGTAGGGTAAGAGATGTAGAACGCTCGGAGTCCTTCGGTCGCGTGGACGTGTTTGGCGCAGGCGATGACCGAGCGGTAGGTCGAGCTTTGGAGTTGCATACGTTGTTTGATGACTGCGGAGGGAGGTCGACCAGAGTCGCGGTCAGCTTGCTTTTCGCATGGCCGGACTAGTCCGCCCGGACTCACCATCGAACGGGTTCATGAACGCATCACTGGCTGTCGTAGCCATGGCACCTGCCAACGCCGTTCCTCCGACACCTCGAAGCCCCTCCCGATCCCCACCGGCGACCTCCTTGACAAACTCGTACGTCCCGAAATGCATGGCGTGTGCGGGTCCGGCACCCATGATCACGCTAGCCACTCCCCGCCAGAGCGTCCGGAGGGATTGGGTGGTCGATGCGTGTCGCAGGTGGGAGAGGAGGGATGAGGAGGCGGTCAGGGTCGATGATGAGTTGGCACCCGAGGTCTGGGCGAGAAGGGCCGAGGGGGATAACGAGGGGAGGACCTGCATTCGGGTCTGTGAGCAGATAGATGGGGTCAGCTTGTCTGGTTGTTTTGGTTCATCAATACACGCTTGACACTCACCTTGATGGCGTCTACGGGGTAAATAACGGTGTGTTCCGAGATACCTGCCAAGGCTCCTGCCAGCATGTGCGTGCCCCATCCTACAAACGAGCACGAGCCGCACATGTCAGTTCGCTGTCTTACGAAGCTTGTATGCTTTCAGAGTCTGGAAACCAGATTTCGACCGAAAAACACGCCCGACTGCTCATCCTGTGACAGATGACCTGAAGTTTGCCGGTTGCCGGGCTTTTTCGCCCGTATTCGTCGGTTTAACCGTTTCAATTGTCGTATCCATCAACTCGATTCTGGCTCTCCCTGTCTCTTCTCATCCACGGCCCTTGAATCCCTCGTCTCATTCCGACCACCAACTTCCCACATCCTAAGCTCTTAACTCCGCGCCGTATTGCGACCTCCTTCATTCTACGAGCTCGATCTCTGCCCCGACCCATACAACATCGGCCCAAGCGATTTCCCATTTAGATCCTGCTTTTTCGCAGATCCGGTCGAAATGTCTTCAGGTCGATTTCCTCCTCGTCTCCGAGCGCCACGAGCGAATCGGCTAGACTTTCTTGAGCTTTCTGGTGTTCCTCGGTTCACGGGGTCCGAGTCTGGTCTGAGGAAACCCCCCCGCCCCCCCCCCCCCCCCCCCCCCCCCGCGTTTTAGGGTTTGAAGCAGTTCCTGATCGACCGATCTGGACTGGATTGTTCTTCTATTCATTGACTCTTGGGTATCGTCTCCTAAAGTCGCAGGATGTGCGAATTCATAGGGTATCTCGACCTCAACCCGCCCCGCTCGACCCGTAAGACCTTCCTTCGATCTTGTTGACACGTATATTCCCGCTCATCATCTAATTCTGCACGTTTTCTAAGTGCGAGCGTCAAAGCGGATGAAGGATAGAGATGAAGAGTTGATCATCGGAGCTTGGTCGGAATTGCAGGATCGGTCCGAATGGGTGGTGAAAGTCGATTTCCCGCGTGTACGTGCTTAGAGGTTCTGCGGATAGGCGATGATGATAGACGTGAATGTCGTAGTGAAGATCCAGATCCAGTTCCAGATCCAGAATCGCAGGTCGAGGTTCAGAGCAGGATGCCGAGAGTCCGTCGGCCGGAGAGTTGTTACCTCGTTTCTTCCTGATTTTACTTCTCGCCAAGGCCTCACCCAGCAACATCCGTCCCAGTCCTCTCCAGTACCAACCACGCACACCAAGAAGATACTCAAACAGAAAGAGGAATAAAGAAAAGTAGGTACTAACCTGCACCGATCGGCAACGACTCGTAATCGATATCGACCTCCGAGTTGTGTGACATCTTGTCCTTTCTTAAGCCTGCTTTTTTTCGCTCTTTACTGCCTGTGTGTGGCTTTCTTTTCCTCTCCTATTCGAGGCTTCTGCTGCGTTCGTTCCGAGGTCCTGAGGTATAAGCTAGTCCGACTCGGTCTAGTCTTGATTGAAATAGACTTGCGTTTGGCGGGAAAGCAGAAGGAGAGGTGTAGGCGAGATCGGGTCGGATAAGAAATTCGTAAACCTTCCTTGTGTACGTATACGTCAAATGAACCGGGGCGATCGAGGCGATGTGAGGGAGGAGATTAGCAGATTCGCTGCAGAGAGTGTACGGCCAAGCTGTTGCAGAAGACGACGTGGCTAGAGGCTATTCGATTGTAGCGATCTCGATATCAGTAGTTGTAGCAGTTGTACGAGATCTGATTAGCCCCGGGGTAAAAGTCGTTCATTGACGTCGCCCAGGAATCGAGAAAAGGGCGAGTGCGAGCGAGTGCGGGAGCAAAAAGTCAAAAAGCCCATGCACATACAATCGATACGGGTATACCGAGGACGGCCGAAAGCGATACAGCATATTCCATGGCCTCTCATACATGCAACAGCATCATCACCATACCACACAGACAAGAATTAAATCTACCTTGTCCTGACGCAGTCTAGCCTGTCTGCGTGCACCGTCGGAAGAGCTGCAAGTGGTCGATCGCGAGCTGTTAGAATGACGAGGCTGACAGAGAGTAAGAAAAGTCTATCGCTCTCGCGCGCCGATATCGGGATTTTTTAGGGTTTCTCGGCAGATCCGATGATCGTAAACAGCAAACGGCGAGATGGCGTTTCATATATTCGTATCGATGGTTTTATGCTGTTCCGTTTCAGCCTTGATATCTGCTTGCTGCTTGAAACGTTCAGAGAGGAGAGATCGCGGTTTACAGAAGGACAACAACCAAATTGACCGAGTTTGGATGGTCGTCAGTTGACACGCTAGCGAGGTGTCCGATCGTGAAAGTTACACGGGTCGTTGTGGGATTGGACCAATAAAGCGTTACGTCGAACTGTACATCATCATAGTTTATTACTGAGTTCTCAAAGAGCAAGCTAGATCGCTCCTAGATCGATCGAAGCTCTGTTCCCAATGGCGTTTGACAAGCTCGAATGACTTTTCGCCGCCGAATGCTGGCTCGGCTCGGGGTGTGTAAATAGGAACCTCGAGCGTGTCCAGTACAGATTGGCTGAGGCCTCCAACTCAGGTCTGAAGAAAGCGCGTCACCTCTCTGTGAACCGAGCTTGGAGAGCGCACTGACGTTCCGACGTTCCCAAAGTGTCAGACTTGGTCAGCCCCGCCCCCCAGACTTTTCGTAGTCTGTCAGGACGAGGCCATGGTGTCGAAGCCGACTTCGTTCAAAGAAGAAAACACGGTGTACAATGTTTTTTTTTTTCACGATCCATCGGGCAGAGCTATTATCGAGGCCGGATATGCCGGGCGGTGCTGCAAGGTACGACAAGGTGTCAAGATCAACCCCATGATCTCGTAACAACCAACAACATACCCACAGTCGTATGGACATGTTGACGCTCCTGCCTATTTGCATGTAGAACGGAGCGATGTCCTCATTGTCAATCTGCAGTCCATAAATACCGCACGGATGGATCATCTTGCCCGATCGGAGGCAGGATACAATGGTTCCGGCCGGTATGACGAAGTTGAACGTACATCGGGTTGTAGATGCATTGCATTTCCCTTTGGTGGGATCGCCGAATCAAGGACCCAGATGCAGCATAATCAGCCTTAGCCTGAATTGATCTGGCTAAAAGGGTGGAGATAAAGTGAGCTGAGAGGATGACGACCGAGAGCGAGAGGGCGTAAATCGGAAGGACGGAGACGTCTGTACGGCGTAAGGAGGTAAATTGATCAAGTGACTTTTAATACAACCATCCCGCTTAGTCTTAGCATCGTCAGGGGAATAATCTCTTCGGAACTTCGAGCGTCTCGTCCCGGAACATCTTGCTCGACTATAGGCCCGATTCTCAGAGCTCCGATATCGAGTGGAATTTCAGTTACTGGAAGAACCTGTCTATGATAAGACCTGCCGTCTCATCGAATCCCAGCTCTATGTCTACTGGAACGATGCCCGTAAACTTGACCTGGTAATACCAGGTCTTCTTCTCGTTCCCTGGATTGAGCACGGCCATTTTACTCTCATTGTCGCGCATATCTTCGCTATGACTGTCGACTGCTACCGTATAAACACACTATGTCTACCTCCCTCGAGCGATTATCCAACGAGCTCCCTGCAGGGTCTAGAGGGTAGTGGTCTACAGGTCAGAATCGCGAAGGTGTGTTTGAGGGTTTCATGACATTCAAACTCGATGTTGCTGCCATTATCGAGGAGGAGGAACATGATAGCATCTGGTCTAGTCCAGGGACCGCCTCTACTGAGATTTGTATCCCCCAACACTCGCTCCTTGTTTCGCTTCCTTAGACGGTTCAGGGGCCTGAGCCAACCTTATGTAATCCTTTGGACAACAAACGACGTCGACGTGGACGTCTCCGACTTGCCCGAAATCCACAAACCTGGGCAGATCAACGATCCCAAGCACAAACGGTACCCGAGTATCCGCCCGTAAGCTTCACAGACAGGGGCCCGATCGGTGTGACAGCACCTTGATTGCCGTCGCTGACAATAGTATGAGCTTGCTGGGTACTTGTTGTACGCTTCTCCCTGAAAAGCCCTGCGGATCCGCTCTCTGGCTTGAAAGACGAGCAGGTTGCCGGTGAATCAGAAGATGCGCTCGTCAGCGATGAGAGGATCGGTCGGTAGTAATCGCCGTAGCAAAAGAGTTGCAGAATACGTCGTGAGGTTGTACCGTTATAATGAGAGCGACAAGAAGGATGAAGCGCGGGATCAAAACCGAGACAGATGGCTCGACGCGATATGGCTTGGTAAACGATAGGGGGTGTAGGTCATAGGTGGGAGTTCGACAGCTTCATCGAATAGAACATCAGCTCAATCGCCTCGCAAAGTCGTATCAGTCGTACGTGAAGAAGGGCTATGCGTGAACCATCTGCATGGCAAGTGAAAGTCGCAAGGTGAAACGCAACAATCACACAGGCTCATCCGCGGTGCACAGGCAAAGACGAGCGCGTGAGTGAGGGATGGAGTGACTGACCCCGATGACGTCAAAGCTCGAGGGACCCCGGAAGAGGGAGAGCAGGGAGAGATCAACACAGTGAGTGAACGTATCGACCTCCTCGACCTTGTGATATCTCGGCAAGCTCCAGTCAAACTCGTTCAACAATTCTAATCTAAACTAGATCAATCTAAACTAGATCAGCTTCACCGCCTCATTTAACATCGCAAACATGTGTAAGAGCCAACTCCGCCGCTGGACGTCGCGTCCACACCCTTATCTTGAGCTAACGACCCCGCGTTCGCACCTCCCTCTCCTATATAGCCTTCCTCGACCAAGCCAAGAACCTCGCCAACCAGGCCGTCAACACCGCCTCTCAGACGATCAACACCATCGCTGCCCACCCGACCGTACAGCAGGCGGGGAACACCATCTCCCTCGCCGCTTCCACTGCTGCGGAACGAGCTGGGCCCGTCCTCAGGGACGCTGCGCAGACTACGGGGGCTGCTGCGCAGAAGGGATTCCAACAGGCCCAAGCTGCCGCTCATAACCTCGCCCCGGGTGTTATCCCCGCCGGTGCCCCGAAGGGAAACGTCCTAGGATCCGGATCTGTTGACAAGTCGCACGACCTGAAACCTTCTCACCCGTCTTCGGCCACGTCCGACCTGGAATCACACATCTCCTCCCGCCCCTCTCCCGGTGAACTGCAGGACAAGCATATTCTGCTAGGACAGCCTGGGGACGCTTTGGCGGGTAAGAAGCAGGATTTGGAGACGGCGCAGAAGAAGGACAAGTTGGATGGGTTTTTGCAAGGACGGGAGGGGCCGGAGGGGTTGGTCAAGAAGGGGATCTTGAACGGTGCGTGTTTGTGACCTTCTTGATTTTCTAATTTTGCGGATGTGGCGGGTGCGTTATGAGTACGAGGCTGATCTTACGTTTCCTGTCTTTTCCCGATTATTATCAACCGTATCATCTGCACCTACACGCGCTGTCGATACGATACCAAACCATACCGCTCTCACACACAGCCAACGAAGTCCCTCCCAAGGCATAAATCAAGATACCCCCTCAATCGCTTCGCTTTTCCCACCTATTTCCGACACTGCCTCTCGAGACTTTTAACCTTGAACCTTTGAACCTGGATCTGGACCTGGACCTGGATCTGGACCTGGATCTGGATTCGACACTTGTGGACCGGAACTTATAACGCTGTTTGTAGGATACTGAACATTATATGATATGAATTGACCTTACATGTCGATTTAAGTTGAAGGCGGATACGATGGGGATGGATAAATCGACGAGTGGAGGAGCGTTCTTTCTCGGCTCTTGTGAGGTGGTCTTGTCGGGTCGTCTTGTCGTTTTCCGCCTGGACGCTTCCTGGGGCGGCTCTGGTTTTGCGAAGATCGTCTGGACTGCCAAACTCGGGACGATGCGGCAACGTTCTTTGTGAAAAAGAAAACATCTTCTTCCGTGCGTCGTCTCGCCGTCGAGGATTACCCGCCCTCTCTTGGTCGAGTCCACTGGAATTGAAAGAAATGACCCCCGTTTTTGCTTTCCGTTGGGCGTCCAATACCGTTGTCGCTCGTCTCTGCGTATAGAACCCCCCCCCCCCCCCCCCCCCAAATCGTTGGCACCGAAGTTGCTACTATCTCTCAACATACAGCATCTCGGGAAGAATAGGGTCGCAACCGAGCTGATCTTGTGCGATATCGTTGACCCGGACGCCAACGTTTAGGAGGGTGCTGACGCATCAGTGATACGCTACGGGTCGGAACGGGCGATCGGTTCGTGGTCTCCCGGTCTTTCAAGTGCCAACCATCAGAAAACGAACAGAGTCTTGCCAATCAGGACGAGAGGGCTTGTACGATGCGCCTTGCTGCCGCCAGCGGATCGTGCTCGATTGCTCGAGCCGTCCGACACGGTCCGCGCCAAGACTCTGTTCGTTTTGTTGAGTGAGTCCGTTCTTTGGGGCTCAAAGACAGAGTTGGCCGTTGCAGATGGTGATATCGTTCCGAAACCTTGATCGCCTCGGCTCGTTTCGAGATATGAGAACGGAGAGAGGCCAGATCCGCGCTTCCATCTTCTGCGACTACCCGCGACCTCGGGTCCGACAGAGTTATTCCTTGGTGGCGCAACAAGCGAAGCGAGGGATGGGATCTGAGAAGAGGCGCATATCTCTATTCACCTGGCACTGTGGGCAATCTGTAGGCGATCGTCCAGATGACTCCGTGTTGGAAGAGGTCTGGTGACCACTCTCATGGTTTCTGCCAAAGCGATGTTGGTATCTATGGGGTATTCGAGATAAGGACATGAAGCGCAGAACGAGCGATGGCCCGAAGCGAAACGAGTGTCTCGAGAAGCACAACAAGGCGAAAGATATATAAAGCCCCCCCTGCAGAATTTCTCTCCAGACCATTGATGGCAGAAAATCCATCTCTGTCGGTAGCGAACATGTTTATCACTCGCGCTATAATCTGGTCGCTTGCCGCAGCGACATCTCTGCAACATGTCACCGCACAATCGCTTGGTCAAACATGTCCTGGAGGATCTTGCCAAGACGGCTCTCAATGTGCGAGTGGTTACTGTGGAGGATTGGACGCCTATTGTACAGCAGATCAGGTAGCCACCCAATGTCGACCCGGATGTAAGCGCTTCAGACCCGTCCGTCGACCTGTGAGCTGAAGGCTTACTTCTTTTCATGCCAGTGAAATGCTTGCAGAACCGATGCAGTGATCTCGTACCATCTCAGCTTGGTGGCTCGTGCTATACCGACGTTCAGTGTCCGGACTCGTCCAGGTGCTCCCCGAGTGACCTTATCTGTGGCGGGGAATCCACTTACTGTAGAACCGAAGACGGTACCGGTTATGGTGCTTCAGTTGACTGTGCGGATGGGTGTAAGTTACCCTCGTGTTGGAGGTCTTGTTTCTCAAGCTCACCGAAACTGCTGCCACAAATTTCCTGTCACGATAGATCAATGCGTTGAAAGCTACTGTACCGATCGGAACGTCCAGCAATTAGGAGGTCCCTGCTCTCCTATCGATTTTTATACCCGAAGCCTTTGCGGTAGCAACATCGGTTGCAGCTACACCGATTACACCTGTGGAGGACTGGATACTTATTGTACTGCCGACGACGGGACATCAACTGGACCGTCTGCTAATTGTAGACCGGGACGTGAGTTGCGCGAGATATGTCGTATTCTGTCTTCGCTCGCGCTAACATTCCGCGAATATTTGACAGTGACTTGCTTGAAGAACAACTGCAACTCGCTGAATGCAGTGGCTCTTGGAGGTCAATGCACCTCGGGCGTTCAATGCGAGGGTTCGCCTTACTGTACGAACTTCATCTGCGGTGGCGCTGGCTCCTATTGCGATGACGACATTCAGGGCTATCAGTGCGCTCCGAATCGTGAGTCTCGCTACCGTCCAGTCTGAAGATCCATTCATGCTGATCCTGTCCGGATGAGGCAGTCAACTGTTTGGACAACGCATGTACGGCCTTTTCCGAAGTACAAATCGGGGAAGCCTGCTCCGACAGTCGACAATGTCCCGGCTCAGTACAATGCTCGGACAGCGGTATCTGCGGGGGCCCAGGGGCCTATTGCGCAGACGGCTCACCTGAAGGATCTTCGGCCCTGTGCGCTGATGGAAGTGCGTGGTCCGGGCAATGATAATCGCGGAGATCAATTCGGTTGACAGTGATCGATCCACTTTCGTATAGGCTCTTGCTTGAGGTCGAGTTGCAGCGTTCTCAGTCCTGTTGAAAAGGGTGGCTTTTGCGTCTCCAGTACTCAATGTCTCGGAGGCCTCGATTGCTCCCCTAGTGGTATATGCGGCGGCGATGGCGCGTATTGTTTCGACACGAATATGTGTCAAAGTGGCTGTAAGCTGTACCCAGCCGCCTTATTCTCGCAGAAAAAGTGCGCTGACCATTTCGACGACATCACTCAAGCTCAATGCGTAAGGTCTCGATGCGCGGCGCGAGAGAGCGCCCTCGGGTCTCCATGCACGGCGGACAATCAATGCGCAGCGGATCCCAACACGGGAGTCACACCGTCTTGCTCCTTCTCGGCTGACAGTATCTGTGGTGGGGAGGGGGCATACTGCTATGTTGGACAAGAGGGCTATTGCGCTGACGGATACACATGCCAAGGCGGGAGTTGCACCAAGAAAACTGTTGGATATCGAGTTGATCACCGTTGTATAGTTTGCATGAAGATAAAATATACAAGAGGGGATCAGGAAATCAGACCAGGATGGCCTGCTATATATATTAATCTGGGAAGGCCTACTTGCGACCAGAGTCGCAAGTTGTGACTGAACATGCGACCACAGTAGTCGCAACTTTGCGACTGTAGTCGCAACTTGCGACTGTGGTCGCAGATTGCTAAGCGGGAACAAAAGGAAAGGTGTGAAGAGTGGATGTGCTTTATTGTTCCATGCGGGCTATTGTTCTGAGAACAATAGACGTGTTGGAGAACAATAGGATTCGACACTCCCCCTCACTCAAGCGTCCTTTGTGAAGGTTACCGGTTTGCTGCTGAGACCCATCCCGGTGACAAGGTGATGGAATTGGTGATGAGCGAGACCTTTGGTGAGAGCATCGGCAAGGTTATCCTGAGTAGGGATATGGGAGAGTTCAACGGTGTTGTCGAGCACTTTCTCCCTGAGATAGTGGTGTCGCATGTCGATGTGTTTGGTGCGATCATGAGCAACAGGATTCTTAGAGAGCTGAATGGCGGCATTGTTGTCATTGAGAATGGCGAGGGGACCAGAGATCAGATGACCGAGAGATTCGAGAAGAGTGCGGAGCCAGACTGCCTGCCGGGTGGCATCAGCGGAAGCCATGTATTCAGCTTCCGCAGTAGAGAGAGCTGTGGTTGGTTGTCGTCGGGATTTCCAGGCTACCGGTCCTCCAAAAGCACGGAAGAGGTATCCGGTAGTAGATCGGCGAGTATCCAGGCATCCACCCCAGTCAGCATCGGCGTAGCCCAGGATGATCCTTTGACCTGAGGTAGCATCGTAGGTGAGGCAGAGTTCAATGGTGCCTTGGAGGTATCGAAGAAGGTGTCGAGCAGCATGGACATGTTGCTTGTTCCACTTGCTGACGGTCCGAGCTAAGACTCCGGCAGCATGAGCGATGTCGGGTCTGGTGATGGTGGCCGCATACATGATTGATCCGACCATTGCGGGATATTCTTCATGAGCGGCTTCCTGATGTTCAGCATCGGTAGCGGGAAGAGATCGGAAGCCGGAAGGAAGGGGAGTCTTTGCCGGTTTGGAGTCGAGCATGCCGAACCTTTCCAAGACCGCCTGTACGTAGTGTTCTTGAGAGATGTAGAGTTTCCGGTTGGGCCTGTCTCGGAAGACGTTGAACCCGAGAAAGTAAGAGACCGCTCCTCCATCGGAGCACTCAAATCGGCCGTTGAGTTTGGTCTTGAAGTCGTCCAGTTCCTGGCGATTGTTGCAGGCAATGAGTTGATCATCAACATGGACGGAGAGGATGAGAAGGGTATCCTTGGTTGATCGGATGTAGAGACAGGAGTCGGCTGGAGAAGGAATGAGACCGAGAGATCGAAGGAATTTGTCAAGAGCCTGGTTGAAGCAGCGGGGTGATTGTTTGAGACCGTAAAGTGATTTCTGAAGTCGGAGAACCTTGTTGGCAGGGATGTTGCTGCCCTCAGGAGGTTCGAGATGGACGAGTTCCTCTAGTTCTCCGTTGAGGAAGGCGGCCTTGATGTCGACCTGATCACAGTCCATGTCGAGGTAGTTGACCAGAGCGAGGAAGACTCGGATGGTATCCTTGTGAGCGACTCCCGCATAGAGTTCGTTGTAGTCAACTCCTTCCTTCTGCAGAAATCCTTTCGCTACCCATCGAGCCTTGTAGGCGGATGGCTTCCCGGTCTCTCCGTCGATCTTCCGGGTGAAGACCCACTTGGCTCGAAGAGGTTTGGATGTAGCTTCTTGCCTATCGATGACAGACCAGACCTTGTACTGATCCATCTTGTCGAGTTCAGCCTTGATGGCCTCCTGCCATTTGTCCCATTCTGGAGATCGGTGGGCTTCCTGAAAAGTTTGAGGAATGGCCGTAGAGATGAGTGCATGGCCACAGATGACGGCTGTAGCGAAGTTTGCTGAGTATCCAAATTTGGCAGGTGGCTTGCGGACTCGTCGGGAGCCATCAGGTAAGACTGGGTTTTCCAGTTCCGGTACCGGTGCTATGTCCCATCCTTTGCTCCAAATGCCGGATGACTTCTGTTTGGCCTGTGTAGCCTGATCACTTGGGATGGTCGTGTCATCACCGGGTTGATCAGGCAAGTTGAGAGTATCGGTGTTGTCTTCAGCCGATTGATCCTCTTCGGTTTCAGAGTCTGAGTCCGATGTTGGTTCAGGGACTATGTCGATGTCGACCTGAGTGGACTGGATCTTGGTGCCCGATGTTTCGGTCCTGGTGGAAATCTTTGGCTGTTTACCAAAGACCACATCACGAGAAATGGTGACCTTTTCGGTGTGGAGATCCCAGATCCTGTAGTTGTCGGTCCCCTCTACGTAAGAGAGTAGTTGCCCTTCTTGGTAGCGAGGGTGAAGTTTGTCGGTGTTGTTATGGTCACGGAACCAGAGCTGACAGCCAAAAGGTTGAAGGTGCCGGGCGTTGACTTCACGTTGCCTCCAGAGATCCTCCGGGATATGTTTGTCAGATCCTGTGGGAGCCCGGTTCCTGGTATAGATGGCGTAGTTTGCCGCTTCGGCCCAGAACTTGTCATCGAGTCCGCTATCAATCAGGAGCGTCCTTACCTGATTGAGAATGGTAAGGTGCGCCCTTTCAACTCTACCGTTCTGAGCATGAGCGGCAGTTGGAACGAAGTGATGCTCAATACCCTTCGCTTTGAGGTAGTCACGAAGAGCATGTGACTCGAATTCTCCTCCTTGATCCGATCGGATGGTCTTGACCGTGCAGTCCAATTGATTCTCAACTAGGTTGATATAGTCAATCAATGCCTGCCGGGTCTCAGACTTCTTCTTGAGAAAGCTGAGGTTGACCTTCCGAGTGTGATCGTCGTAACAGGTAAGGAAGTAGAGGGATCCTCCGATGGAAGGGGTTCGAGCTGGTCCCCAGAGATCGACATGAATAGACTGGAGTGGTTTGCTGGCTCGGATGTTGGAAGCAGGAGCGGGAAGACGAGATCCTTTGCCTTGGATGCAGGCTGAACATTGGAAACCGTAGATGTCTTTTCCGGCTTTGGCCCAATCCACAGTCTTGTCGAGTCTTCCTTCCTTGCCGAGCTGAACCACCGAGCGAACATTGAGATGACCAAGTCTGCGGTGCCAGTGGTAAAGGATGTTGTCCTCTGTGACGGTATTGGTGGCCGTGATGAGTGCGGCCTTGTGTCGGATAGGAGTGCTTGCCGGATCGAGGACAAACAAACCATCTTGTCGTGTTGCTGTGATGACCGGTTTGCTGGGTCCATCTTCAATAGTGTTGAGGATCGCTTTGTCTTTTGCAAAGGTCCAAGAGTGTCCGTCGGTGCTCTGTGCGGCACCAACACTCAGAAGGTTCCGTCCCAGTTCGGGTACGTGAAGAACATCATGTAGTGTGATGTTTGGTAATTTGAGTTGACCGCATTCTCTGGCGGTGATGTTGGCGCCGTTGCCTATGGTGATGTTTGCCTGGATCGGTAGTTGTCTGATTCCAGTGAGTAGGTTCCTGTCGTGGACCATGTGATGAGTGGCTCCAGAGTCTATAACGATGTCGAGTGCAGACGAGTGGGCCAGAAGGGCATTGTGATCGATGGTGATGCTTGCCATGAAAGCAGAGCCGGCGTTGATGCCATGATGTTGACTCCTGTTGCTTACGAGTGCGGCGATGTTGGCACTGTTGTTTGTGTACCTGTTGGCGTTGTTGCCGGTACTGAAGTTGGCGGGCTTGGTGAAACAGTTTGCTGTTGAGTGTCCATTCTTCTGATGGAACTCGCAGAAGGCATTCTCGTCAAAGGGAGATCGAGGAATGAACTTCTTCTTGTTTCCGGTGCCGCCGATGTTGTTGTTGTTGTTCCGTGCTTGTTGACGGGCAGCGATGAGAGCTGTAGTCTCAATTCCTTCTTCCTGAACAATTCTCCTCCTGTACTCGGCTCGGACGGCGTCGATGACGTCCTGTGAGTGAAAGTCCTCCTTGAGATAATAGGTCTGAACGAGGGTTTCATAGGAAGAAGGAAGCGACATGAGGATGGCGAAGGCAAAGTCCTTGTCGTCCATCCGGGATCGGCCAGAGACGGTGATAGCAGAGTAAGCCGACTTGAGCTTTCCGGTATGGATAGTCGGATCTTCTCCTTCCGCGAGTTGGGATCGCCAGATGATTGCAAGAAGTTCAGCCCGCCTGGATCCCCTTGCGGCCGAGTAGGTTTCCTGAAGATGTTTAAGTAATCTTTCAGAAGCAGAAGGAAGCGTCGCTCTGTACTCATCGGTGTGAGTGGAGTCCCTTTGGACCAGAGCGTGCCAGGTTGAGAGGTGAGACGGGAGGTTGTGATGGACAAGCTGACTGAGACTTCCGTCGATGATTCCGAAGGCCTTCTTGTCTTTCTTGATCCATTTCGCAAGTTCCTCGGCTGTAGCTGGAGTAGTTACCGTAGTAGTGGTAGTAGTTGGAGCGTTGTCCGTGCCGGCGGTGGCAGCCAAGGTAGAGATAGGTAGGATATTAGGTCGAGGAATAGTTCCATCAACAATGTCGTCCAGATCCTTATCGATCAAAGTGTTCTGAATCGAGCGGGACCATTCCGCATAATTGTCGGGACCCTCAAGGTAGGTACGCTTGGTAACCTTGAGAGTGTCGAGGTCGAGACTGTCGGCCATGATGAAACTAAGTCGATGTTGAAGAGGGTTGGTTGATGTAAACTAAGGTAATAGCCCGTTGAGCTCCGTTGGTAGAGCAGCCGACTCTTAATCTGTTGGATATCGAGTTGATCACCGTTGTATAGTTTGCATGAAGATAAAATATACAAGAGGGGATCAGGAAATCAGACCAGGATGGCCTGCTATATATATTAATCTGGGAAGGCCTACTTGCGACCAGAGTCGCAAGTTGTGACTGAACATGCGACCACAGTAGTCGCAACTTTGCGACTGTAGTCGCAACTTGCGACTGTGGTCGCAGATTGCTAAGCGGGAACAAAAGGAAAGGTGTGAAGAGTGGATGTGCTTTATTGTTCCATGCGGGCTATTGTTCTGAGAACAATAGACGTGTTGGAGAACAATAGGATTCGACAAAAACGACCAACCTATGTGCCTCGAATAATGACTGTGGCCCAAGTCGTACTTGCTCTTACGGAGTTTGCGGCGGGCTGAATGCTCCCTGCACCCCTCGAATCGAGTCCTCGACGTCAGCAAATTGCGCCACGGATTGTCAGTCTCCCCTTGGAACGATCGTCTGGCAGACAGACAAATAGGCTGACCACATTCCTTTCGTAGATCTTTGCCTCCAAGGATCGTGTACTCCCAAAACAGCCGCACCTATTGGCGGAGCTTGTGGCGCGGACAACCAGTGCCCAGCGGGCGTCGCCTGCAAATCGAACATTTGTGGCGGGGCTGACGCTTATTGTACCGGGAATGAGCAATGCGCCTCGGGCTGTAAGCTGATCGATACCCCCCACACGACTTTTATACTAGTTGAGCATTCGTATCGCCTCCCTCAGATGCTTGCCTACGGAATCGGTGCAGCTCTCGGCCTTCTCGAGAACTCGGCGAAACTTGCGGAGATAGCACGCAGTGTCCCAGCTCTGTGACATGCGCCTCAGGGATCTGTGGAGGCCAATACGCATACTGTAACAATGACGCCTCACTGTGTGCTCCAGGATGTGAGCCGATCTACAAATCGAAGAAGTCGCGACCTCAAGATCTGATTCGCGTTTGTCACCTCTCTAGTCACCTGCAATAGGGATCAGCAGTGTAGCGCTCGGCCTGACGTACAGCTAGGGGGTATATGCAGCTCGAGCGGTCAATGTCCCGTGGGAGTTAGCTGCTCCAACTTCGTTTGTGGCGGAGAGCAAGCCTATTGCGGGAGCGATTCCTCCTTGTGCGCTCAGGGATGTAAGAATTCCAGCTTGTCAAATCTAGTAGGAAACGTACGCTTCGCTCACATATCACTCTGCCGGGACGATTTCGCATACAGTCACCTGTCTCGTCGATGGGCGGTGTTCAGCACAAGCACCCGCTGCAGTGGACGAACCTTGTATCACCGATCCTCAATGCGCCGGTGATAGCCGCTGTACTCGGTCGATCTGCGGAGGGCTAGGAGGATACTGTCCGGACGATCAGGCTTGCGCTAGCGGTCGTAAGTATATTCACCTGTGGAGCTGACTCGTTGCGTGCCAACTGACTGCTTTGACGTCCGCTTGAGGTTTTCAGTGACATGCTTGCGCAACATCTGTTCAAGTCTTACGGCCGTCAATATCGGTGATGCTTGCAACGCTGACAGTCAATGCCCTACCGCGTCGACTGGTTCTGTATACTGCAGAAGCTTTGAATGCGGAGGTTACGGAGCATATTGCTCGACTCCTGACGGGATTTACCCTGGACCATCGCCTCAATGTCGATCCGATTGTGAGCTCATTCCGGACGAGATATATGGCCAGTGACCAACGAATGATTTGCTCGGAACAGATACGTGTCTGGCTGGTATCTGCTCACCCAGAGCGGCATCCTCCCTCGGCGAAGCTTGTGGAGTATCAGAACAGTGTCCATCTGGGGTCAGCTGCTCTCAATACCGATGCGGCGGTCCCGGAAGTTACTGCACCGTCCGAGACGGTTCCACAAGTGGACCGTCCGATCAATGTGCCTCGTCTCGTGAGTACCGGTCTGAGGGGCTGGGTCAGCAGGATTATTCTAAGATACCGTTGCAATGCCAGTCAATTGCGTAAATAACGTCTGCGTGGAACTGGAAGTCGACGTTCCACTTGGGCAACTATGCACCTCTGACACGCAGTGTGCCGACGGCGTCAGCTGCTCCGAGACGGACAAGAAATGCGGCGGTATAGACGCCAGTTGCGAATCAGCTGGTGTTTGCTATTCCAGTAAGTACCAAGTACACCACGACAGATTGCTCGACTCTGACATGGGCGTACAACATGGGCGTACACGTCTACGTAGACAATTGCAACTTCGATTCATTCACCTGCGTTTCGGGCGCAAGCCCCGTCCCAGGAGGCTCGCGAAAGCGGGATATGGTTCATCAAGCTCGCATGAAAGCTAGTCTCTGTCCGCCTTCCCAAATCGCATGTCCAGTCTTCCCGAAGGGTTACGAGGTGCGCTACTCGGTCCCGAAACTTGCAAAACAGCACTAATCTGACGATCCCGGTCGTTACAGTGCATCGATCCGATGACCAACTTGGAAGGATGCGGCGGTTGCGTATCGGGGGCATCCACGGGTATCGATTGTACGGCACTACCGAACGTCGAGGAGGTGGCATGTTCTGCAGGGAAATGCGTCATCAGTGAGTGCACAGGAACGCCTCTCATCAGTGCAAGATCATTAACCTATTTATGGCCCTCGCAGAATCCTGCGTCGAAGGGTATTCCTATCGCGGAGCGAACCGAACCTGCGTTTATGATATGTGAACGGCATCGTAGCGCTCTAATGGGATTGTGGTCCCTGAAATTCCTATGAATAGGCTTACCCAAGTGGACATTGATACGGTATTATTTCTCGTCTATTTGTCAAATAGTCAAGTAATTTCTGGAATTTTTCTTCGTGTTCATTTGTAACAAGTGTCTCATCGTTCTTTTGACAACTGGTTACCAGCACAATTCATCGATTTGGTGAGCAGGGAGTGTACAGAGAGCGCTGGATCAGACATATGCCACTTCTCCGGCCATGTGCCATCGCCGGTCTTTTTATCGCCCTGCGATTCGACACCGGCACCTGGTCTCGTTCATATCGTATGGGATACGAATTCATCTACTCATACTTTGGTATAGCCCCAATCTACAATCGAATGCATCCACCTTGAGCTCACCCCCTCAAAAAGAGTCTACTTTAGGGTATATAATTCCGCTTTCATCCCGCGACCGGAGCCTACTCTTCGCCTACCCACCTCTCGGCGAGATCCCCGATGATGGGCAGGTAAAACCTCGGTAGGTACCCCGTCGACAGGCCCATCCCGGCGGACTGAGTCGACGAGGTCGGATCACGGAATGCACGGTAGGCGGTGTATAAGACAACGGCGAGTGAGGCAAACAGGTAAAGTCGGCTGCGGTCGGTCGGAAAGTCGAGTCAGTCGATTGGTTGCGGGAGGGTTTTTGGGACGAGGAGACTGACCGAAGCCATCTCCAGAATCCGATGAGGGTCATCACCAGCCAGAGCAGGATGATCGGGGTGGTCAATAGACCCGATTGGTAGGCTGCGTAAGACGATCGGCCCGACCAGAATCGGGATCGTTAGCTTGTGATGTGGGAGCAGGAGGAATTTCCCGGCACGAGGACTTGCCATGGAACCGGACGTAATCGTTGGTCGTCTCGAAGATCAGCAGCAACAAGGCTGGAATGCGTGGACAACGAGGGACGATCAGCGAACTGTATTACGATCTCGCAATGGCGTTGCCTGCGTAGCAGAAGGATATCCTGGTTGAGCCCAATTGTCCGTCTTTCCTTCACCGAGACGGCGGCCTCGTGATCAATTTCACTCGACCTCATTCCGGATGCAACCACTCGATTTTTTTCTCTCTTTGGGAGTCTCGCTCGAAGTCCTGCGTCCGTTGTTTAGAGTTCCCCATCCTCATCCGGTTGGTACCCCTCGCATTCGTTTCAGTGCGATCTCGACTTCGATGTCCTGGGTCCACTAGGCACTTAAGCGTAGCGCGCGCTGAAACCCCTTATCTCGTCAAGTATCGAGCGCGGAGAGATCCACCTCATGCACTCTTTCCCCCTTCCGAGAACCCCTCAACTCTCAAACTCGAACACGACCACCACCACCTCCTTCCATACCAAACGGATGAAGCAAGAATCACGTCGCTCGACTCACCCGTAATAGGTCCCCCCAGATAGCCCAACCCAGCAAGCACGTCCACCCGTAAGAACCCTATCGAAGCTTCCCAGACGTTGTTAGGGTTCCCTCCTGGCCCGTTGTTTCCCGAGGTGGAAGGTAGGTTTTGGTTATTGTTATCAGTATAGTTGTAAGAAGAAGGGCCGGCTTGGTTATTGTTGTGGTTGTTGTCGAGGGAAGAAGGATCGTAGGCGTAGGCGTCGGTGTATGATTTACTCGGGTCTGGATGTTGCGGAGTTGGGTTCAAGGCGGGTTCAAGGCGAATGGGAAGGAGGGAGTGTCAGCAGGAAGAGATGGAGACGGGGAGAAGGGGAGACTCACCCCCTCCGGATTGGTATGACCCTTGGAACGACGAAGCATCGCTATTGCATTGTCGTGTCCCACAATTCCCGCAAAGAAACAAAAGCAGAACCAGACGACGTATCGGAATCAGCCATCCTTCCCCCCAAGTCCCGATTCCCGATCGATCACCAGCTCGACAGCAAAATCCCGAAGACGAAGACGAGACGCGGGCTTACCGAGAGAACCAAGGTCTCTTCTGCTTCCCACCCCCTGAACTCCCACTTCCACCTCCTACCCTCGCTTTCCCCTTTCCGCCTCCCGATGAGGAAGAGGGGGAGAGGAGAGACTGTTCACGTTGAGCGTCTGGAGGAGGTTGGTCTACCGACAAGTCGTCCCGGGGGATAATATCAGCCGATCTTCTCTCTACTCGCAAGGTGCAAGTCCGAGTATGGCAAAGGCGAAAGGGGGGCTTACAGGGTGAAAAGTTCATGGTCGTCTAGCTTGGGGATTTTGAGTTGACTGTGCGAGTGGTACGAGCTACCTGGACCACGTCGGACTCTTGAACAACGTCCAAGCCTGTTGACCATATCGTATCATCGATTGTCCGCTGTGCAGAGTGCATGCTGCTTGCTGATGCTGATGCTGTACGGCGGCACGGCCCCCCTCCTGATTAGCTTCCGAGAGGCCCGGATGAGGTAATTCGAGCACGATATTGATTATGTAATCCTTGTCGGAAGTAAATATCCCCGTTTCTGTTGTTCCGGATCCGACGGGGAGGACGAGAGTGAGAGTGACGTACACAGCAAGCAGCATCGACGCAAGGGCTCGACCTCTCTCTATTCATGCTATCCATTCGACACTCTGTACTCTATAAGCTATATACCTGATATACTTGTCAGTCGGACATCATAACTATACAGACGTCTACAAAGAACAAGTTCGAGCCGCCACGATGCAGGCGGCATTGTTACAACAGATCCAGCGTAAGCTCTATCGGATCGTTCTGGCGAAAAGGGGAGGACTTGCAACCTGCTAAAGACGTACACTGACCTTGCCCTTGCCCTTGCGTTTGCCTTGACTTGCCTTCCTCGATCTACTACTTTCTCTGCTCCCTATTGATTCTACTCTGAAACCGCGTACCGGGAACCCGGAACCCGAAACTTATCCTACCTGACCTTGCCTCATCTCAACGGACCGCACCGAAAAAACAGAGGGCAAAGGCCTGAAAAAGGTCCAAACTGTGGACAAATCCAAACCCGCCATCGCAGGCACCGTCGCCGGGTCCTCTTCCTCTGGTGGTGGTGGTGGTGGTGGCGGCTCGTCTGGCGGTGGTATGGGAGGTATGATGGGAGGTGGTGGAGGAGGGGGAGGACTAGGAGGTCTAGCAGGAGCCATCGCAGCCGCCCAAGCAGCCCGGAACGCTGGGAATTCAGTACATTCCGCTTTGGGGATGTCCAAGTCCCAACCCGGCAACAACAGTTCTTCCAAGCCTTCTACACCCGGTGCTGGAGGGGGAGGAGGAGGGATGACAGCAAGGGAAATGCTAGGACACGCCAATAAAGCCCGGATGGCGGGTAACCAGATCCATTCTGCTCTCGGTTTACGGGACCCCCCTAGTGCCGCTTCTAACACTTCTTCTTCCTCCGGAGCACCTCCACCACCTCCTTCCCCACCTCCTGGTGTAGGAGGGAATGGGGGTGGTGGAGTGGACTTTGCCGAGCTCAAGAGGGGTGTCGGGGGGATGCTTGGGGTGGGGAAGAGCGTAGGGACGCCGATGTTGAGGAACGCGGGGGAGAGGGCTGGAGGTGAGTCTAGTTCGCCTTTTTCGAGTTTCGGAGCTGGTTTTCGGACCGAGCGATCATCGTTAGACCGGATGGAGAGGAGATCATGCTCTAGCTTAGTTCGGAGCTGGAGCTGGAGCTGGGGTGTTCGTGGGAGATTTGAAGGATGAGAGCTGATTCGACTTGACCTCTTTTTTTCGCTTGCTGCTTGGTTCATCTTTTGGATGATCCTCTTCTTCGGCTAAACGTACTGGAATCCGTATCGACATTCGCGGGTTCGACTCATATCCTGGAATTGACTCTCGTTGACTCTCGTGATCATCATCTCATCGTAAAAATCTACCTCGGACTTCGGATTTTGACACTCGATCCTCATTTATCGATCGAACTTCCGGTCTGATCGCGATCCTCCCAACTCGGCTCTTTTGCCTATGAACCCCCGCACCCATCCTCCCCAAAATCGGAAAAATCCACAACCCGAACAACTGATCGGGGACCCGCAGTGGACATGGGCAACTTTGGAAGGAAACCACCTCCAGCGCCATCAGGCGCTCCACCTGCGCCGCCCGCACCTCCACCACCACCACCCCCTCCTTCTGCGGGAAGTAGACGGACGGGAGGTGCGCCTCCTCCACCGCCACCACCACCGCCACCTCCATCTGGTGGAATGGGCGCGACAAGGGGTCCTGGTCGAGCAGTGTGAGCTCTGATTCTCGAGAAAGTACGAGGTCCGACGATAGTGAAGCTGACACGATTGCACACGCAAACTCTATTGATGTGTTCTTTTGCGGGCTGAACAGTCCTCCGCCCCCACCTCCTCCTCCTTCAGCAGGATCCCGAGTCCCGCCTCCTCCGCCTGGTCGACCGTAAGCACCATTTCCACCTCTGATTGCATAGTTGCGCCGCATTTTGGGCGACGTAGGACGCTGATCCGTACGCTTGGCGATTCTGCAGCGCTCCACCGCCTCTACCGGGTTCGGCTAGAAAGGCGCCTCCTTTGCCTTCGAGATCGGGAGCTAGTTCGGTGAGTGCCTTGTAAACGAGGAAAAGAATGGGCGAGAATGGTGAAAGCTGATCGCCAAAACACCTCAACGCGTACGCAGAGGATTCCACCGCCTCCTCCTCCACCCGGAGTGTCGACATCGAAAAGACCGATTCCTCCCCCTCCTGCGCTTCCTTCTCGGAACGGGAGTGTCAGGCAGCCACCGCCTCCCGCACGACCCGTCCCAGCCTCATCCAGGTATGACCAGGAGTCCGAGGAAGAGGACGCTCCGCCTCCACCGCCTCTGCCGGGTGCTTCGCCGGCTAGGAGATTACCGCCGCCTAGCAGGGAGTCGAGCTCGTTTGGTGCACCACCGCCACCACCTCCGCCACCTCCACCTCCACCGATGATGATGGGATCAAGAGGTGGGAATGCAGGTGATGATGAGGCCCCGCCTCCTCTGCCTACGGGGAGGAGTCCGGCGGCGATGGCCATGATGGCCGCTGGCCGGGCTGTAAGTTTGGCGTATACGAGAGTCGTCTCGATAATGTGAAGATCTAGGACAACTAGCTGACTGTGTTGCGCCATATCCGTGCGATCATCCTGTCGCGACAACCCGTAGCGCGCAAGCTCGAACGCTTCGATAGGTTCGGGTCCTCCTCCTCCGCCCGCACCCCCACCACCACCGCCCATGAACCATGTGAGCGCGGATTCGAGGCCGGGTTTGATGGCCTATACAATGCTGAAAATCTCTTTGAATGTCTTGAAAATGCAGGCGCCTCCTCCACCCCGAGCTTTGCCGCCACCTGCGCCTGCTGCCGATGCATATGAAGAGGAAGAGGACGACGCGCCGCCTCCTCTGCCTACCGGTCGAAGTCCCGCTGCTGTAGGTTTGCCGCTGGAACACCACCCATGACCAGCGATTGATCCTGCTCCCCTACTTGTCTCACGCGTGATAGTCTCGGGCTCTCGCTCCCCCGCTACCGCCGACCAACCGAGCGAGCATGCCACCGCCAGCTCCCAGTTTCAGGCCCGCCCCAGCGGACACGACGTTTGCTCCCCCCACTTTGGCAAGTCAACAGTCGGTCGCACCGCCTTCCCCAGCTTTGCACAGCCCGTCGCCGAGACCTGTTTCGATGATGACGCCGACAGCAGGTGGCATGGATGGGAACAGAGGTGAGTCTTTGGAAAACAAGTAGCGATATTACGTAAGACGGCGTCGAAGCTGATCTGCGTACTTCGGTCCGTGATAGCCGCAAGCCCCCCTGCGCAGAGCGGACTGCTGGTCTTCCCTACGAGCGCGATGTTCCCGCCGGTTAGGCCGTTCCAACGAGGCACAAAGTGAGTAGGCACAGTCAGCTCACGAAAAGGATACTTATACTGAAATGTGACGGGATGAACCAGGACGTACGCCAGCGGAAACACTCAAGGTGGCGGGATCGGGTTCACAGGTTGAACGTTTGCGAAGTAGAGGGTGGTATTTCGTTCAAGACCTTCTGTTTCGCTCTTTCTCCTTTGTTCGTGCTTTAGGCAGTTGAATGTGTCATAGCATGCATCTATGTGGTTTGTAGAGACCCGAGTTTTACGAAATTCGTTTCTTGACGACGCTGGTCTGCGATTTCTGCGATCCGATAGTTTCCTCCAGGCTCACCGTCTCATTTGTTGCAAGCCGGATTTCGTCTTCGTCGTAACGGCAGATAGGGACTGGACGTTCCGGACCTCTTTAGTCTCTCTGTCCCGGCTGCAATTGCATCATCCCATTGTTTCTTGATGCTGAAGATCTTCTATTTGAATGCGGGATGTTCCTTCCTTTGGCGGTAACATCCTGCTTATCTGAACCTTTTCCTTCTTGGCTACCAAACCCATTCTGCGCAATATCTCTAAAGACCCATCTCTGTCGATCTCAGTGAAAGGCCATGATTTGCCAGCCATGCATAATTTTTCCTGCCTGGTCGATCACTACCTTTCAAATCTTGAAGGCCAGATTCACACAGCAATGTAATGAGCTTCTTTTTTCCCAAGGCAGATGCTGTGGGAGAAGTGGTCTTGCGAATAGCAGTCACCTGCCAACCTTAAACACCAGTACGTGCTAAAGAGGAAGATCGATGATGCACGTTCGATGCCTCCGGAAGTAAATTTGGTTCCGGCTGGGGATTGGGCAGTCGTCAGAGCACTACTAGTTGATGGATGATGGGCATTTCTCACTGTTTCTTGTGGACAGTCTTCTACGATACGCCTTAACACGTACAGACCTTTCGGCGAGTCCTGGGAAAAGGATGAGGTCCATCTGTATTCAAGCCTTGCTGGCGGCCAGCTCGGTTGTCGCTGTTGCTCAGCAGCAAAGGAATGAAGAGCACGAAGAGAACGTCTTGTCCGCCCGACAAGCTTTCAGGGAGATCCATGATCATCTCCTGGGGTTGCAATTGCCTGGCGAGGTCTCGCAGCTGGAACTTGGTGGAAATGATCAAGGATTGTTACAAGCCAGCTCGAGGGTGAATACAACGGGTTGGGACGAGCTTGTTCGGGAGGAGGATGAGTTGACCGGGAGCAAGAAGGGGAATGTAAAGGAAGATCCAGAAGATCGACCTCGAGGTAAGTCCCAATCCCCCCGGCTTTGTCGAACTCCCTTATCTTCTCGTTTAGATGCCCTAAGAATACTAAGTAACTCAAATACGACATTCCTTCTCATCCTCCCGCTCTCATCTTCCTTCCTCGATAACGCGAACGAACAACCAAACAGCCCTAACAGGCAGGTTCCTCCACATAACCGACTTCCACCCCGACCCTTTCTATACAGCAGGGTCGACCTTCGAATCGGGTTGTCACAGAAAACCTGAAAAGAAGAAGAAGAAAAAGGGGAAAAAGGGAGGGAAAAATGAGGTGGATGGGTTGAAGAAGGATAAAGATGATGATGAGGATGAGGATGAGGAGTTGGCGGGGAGGTGGGGGACTAGTTCTTCGTGAGTCCTTGTTCTTAGTCTGCTCTAGCGGGTTCTGGAGCTGGGTAACTGATCAGAGATGTTCTGGTATCCTCCTCGTTGCGGTTGATGGTTCTCTGTCGCTGTTTGTTTCTTTATATCGACGGCGATGATGGGATCATCTAGGGACTGCGATGCCCCCATGTCGCTGGTGAACATGACGTTCGACTGGTTGAAGCAAGAATGGGCGGATAAAGTGGACTTTGTCGTCTGTAAGCCCCCCACACATCTCCGTCTCCACCGCCTAGCTTCTCCTTGCCCCCAGCTTTTCTCGCTGACAATAATATCCCCGCTTGTTCTCCCTCTCTATGACGTACATAACATACGAAATGCTTTGCAGGGACGGGCGACAACGCCAGACACGATATCGACTCTTCCATCCCCCGAACTCCGAGTGAGATCAACGATCTGAACCGGATGATGGTCAGGCGGATGCGAGAGACGTTTGGGGAAGATGTCGTCGTGGTGCCTTCTTTGGGGAATAACGATATTTACCGTGAGTCTGCAGTCTCAATGTAAGACGTCGGGGTTGATCCGGGAAGTGCTGATGTTGAGCTTTGATATGCTGGGTAGCACACAATATTTTGGTCGCGGGGCCGAATGCGGTGACGAACAGTTTTACCGAGTGAGTCCTTATCCTCACAATCCTCATTAACCTCTCAATTTTTCCTGCTCCAGGATTAATCCTAATTATACTTCGTTTTGCATTGCGGTTACAGCATCTGGAGCGACTATATCCCCGCAGAGGATTACCACGTCTTTCAACGAGGAGCTTATTTCGCCATCGACGTCATTCCGGACAAGTTGGCGGTGATCAGCTTGAATACTTTGTATTGGTACGACGCCAACAAGGGTAAGTTCTTGTGCTTTTGAGGGAGCGAATCAAATGCGGGGCACTAATGGAGGGACATTGTGCTTGCATCGTGTTCGGGGGCGCTGTAGTGGTCGATGGATGTAAGGACGGGTCGAATGAGCCAGGAGCGCTCGAGTTTGATTGGCTCGAGGTGCAGCTGGATAGTTTCAGGGAGAGGGGTATGCAGGTGAGTCAATCCATACTCATAATCCGGAAAAGGTAAAAACGCTCAGGAAGCTGACCGGAGTATTCCGATTCGATGTAATCAGGTATGGCTGACGGGTCATGTGCCGCCGAAGATGGGGAGGTACTTTGACAACTGCGTGAGTTTCGCGAGACTACAACCTCGAGGTCGGGCAATTCGCTGACCATAAAAGACCATTTCTAGTACCTGCGATATGGAGAGCTCGCTTTGCGGTACCAGGACACTATCGTCGGTCACCTCTATGGGCATATGTGAGCTGCACAGGGTTGTGTTGATGATGAAGAGAAACTCAGCTAAGACACTCCGAGATACTAGGAACGTCGACCACTTCTTTTTCCTCGACGTCGACGAGCTCGAAGCAACGACCCCGCTCCGACTACAATCACAAGCTCAGGGCCTGGCCGACCGCGTACATGCTATGGGTCGGATCGCCGACACGAACCTTCAGCAGGAACTCCACAAGGACTTCAATGATATGCCAAAACTCAGCAAGATCAAGATGGAGGATTACGCGGTGGTGCACGTTTCGCCTAGCGTTATTCCGACGTATCTACCAGGGATTCGGGTCTTCAGGTGGGCAATCTGTCATCTGTTCGAGGTCGGACTAGTCGCTCAAAACTCTCTGCACGCAGCTACAACGTCACGGGTCTCGAACTGGATGACGACGACTACGAGAGTGGTGTCGATGGTTTGAAGAAGAAGGGAAAAAAGAGAAAAGGTGGCGGTCATCGACATGGCAAGAAGCCCAAGAACAACTGCCACGAACCGGAACATGAGGACCAGCCGCATTGCAAGTTCCGAAGCAAACCCCGTTTCTACTCGCCAGAGTCGCCGAGCCGTTCGAACCAGATGTTTACCCCACTAGGATACGCTCAATTTTACGTACCTGATCTGGATAAACAAACGGTGGAACCGCCTAAATGGGAGCTCGAGTATGCTACGTACGACGTGGACGGACTGCTGCGAGGAGGGTACAACGGAACCGACGGGGATGCTACCGGTCGTCAACCTGTACCATGGCATCTCTTGCCCGGATTTGATGAGGTTAACACCGAGGTTCTGGCTCGGGCGCAGAAAGACGGCGAGAAGGACCCAAAGAATGATGGCGGGATGAGCAAGTTCCGCAAGGGGCTCAAAAAGTTGACTCCGTTCCGTATGAGCGACTTGACCATCCCGACCTATGTCGCGTTGGCCAAGCAATTGTCGGAGGAAACCCCGCTGTGGAACAAGTTTGCGCGGTTCATGTGAGTCTGATGTGAGGCCGTCGTTCATGTCGCTGTAGCTGAGGTGACTGTTTTGACAGGTATGTATCGACCAAGACTGACAGTTAACGTTTTGTACAAACACCCGACCGTTTATTTAGTCATCCTAATCTATCATATCAAGGTTTACCCTACTGAGATTCCACCACAAGAGAGCGAAATTGTCATAGTCCTTTTCTGACATACTTAAACCACCTTACGTATTCGAAGTCGGGTTCAAAGCGAGATCGCTCCGGCGATCGCTCCATTGTCATCTGATTAAACGACGGTATGCACCTCGACATATCTTCACGCTCGTCCGGGAACAACGTGAATGGTTCTGGCCACTTTACCTCGAAAAATGCCTTTTGCAGCTCACTTAGGCCCGTCGGCACGTCTATCGCGACCTCCCAGTTTCCGCTGAGGGCGTCGCCAAGTGCCATCTGCACATTCACCCGACATTGTCGAAGATTGTTCTTCAGTAAAGGTGTGCTGACTACCAGGACCAGCTCATTGTCTGACCACAATGCTGCCTGTAGCCGCGATAGGCATGAGCGATCTCTCAATACGACCGGATCATAGTGCGCTTACCTCTTTGGCCTTTTCGAAGGTGCCCCATTGAGCTGGAAGGCAAGATTCTGGTATGACTTCGTCTGGACGTCTTTGTGGGACTTCGTACGGACAGTATCCCTTCCAGGTGTTCTTCATCAATTCGATAACTGTTTCGGCGAAGTCTACCGGTAGCAAACGCTCCGTCACCTCATGCGAGACATCGGTCTTCGTCTTTACCGAGATTCCCGTGATACTGCTGGCATTCTGATAGCTAACAAGAAAGTGTTCTAGGAAACTTCTCCTGCTATCCGACAGTGTAGCGGTCTGCCTGCTGCCTGTCGACCTAGTGATCCCGGATTGACTGCCGAGTGTCGAGTCGGATCTGCTGGCAACTCGGATACTTGAGGGGCGGGCGCGTCGCGGAAACATTTCGGCTGGACTTTTCGAGTTTCAGGACGATGTATGGGAAGTACCGATTGATAGTAAGGATACAGAGAGTTTGAGTCAGTTGGTGAATTGGCGATAGTGTCAGCATATGGCTGTACATAAATCTTCCAGGCGACTAGACAATGAAGCAGCGATGAGGACCTCCTTTCATCTCCTGAAACCGAGAAGCTGTTCATCGCTGTCCATCACGTGCCCACAACATCATGTTAAGGCGCCCCCGAATCGCATTCGTACTAGCTATAACTTTTACTCTTTACAGTAGCCGACGATCAACTGTGAATGTTTTGGAAGAGTTGGTTGACGAGATAGTCTCGCATTGGAAACCTATGAAGACCTCGGAAGAAGGGAATCGACGTCTTGCTAATGTAAACAGGTGAGGGCTGATCAGATATACAGCGATATGTGATACCCCTGTCATTGCCGCTCTCATACGCGGAGAAAGTCATATGTACAAGGCCAAGAATAGACGCAAGGCCTTGAGCCGGAGCAGTTCGGCGCTGGATGAAACTGAGTGAGGCAGGAAGATCGACAGGGCAAATCAATCGCTTTGTCTAGCAAGAAATACACCTCGAGTGACATAAGTCCCCGTTTCTCTATATACTTGGCGATTCATTTTCTTTTATGCTCCAAGACCTTCTACACTCCAGGCTCATTGAAGTGGTATGCGATTGCTGCAACCGAATTCTCTTTCGTTCTTGGGAAATACAGACCGGTGCATCGTCCCATCATGTCTTGCAAGGCAGCCTTCACGTTGCGCTCCCGATGAGGTCTGAGGAAAGGCTGCCATATTGGCATGTCGTATTTGCGAGGGAGTTCTTCCAGCCAAGAGACCCGCGGAATCGTGGCATCCAGAGTGAACTCGTCGTAGCGATGGGATGACTGTACCGAAACCGTGAGGTGGCCATGAAATTCCCGCTGTTCCTGTTGAGCCGGGAGCTCGATCCTCACACACACGTGTTTCTTGCCTTCAAGGACTCTCCCAAGCAGTTCCTATTTTTTGATGCGAACAAAGCGATCAAGTCGATTCACCTTGTCCATTTCTATGCTTGGTGAGGACTTACCTTTTTCGTATTTGACCAGCTATCGGATCCGCCATACCCACGAAAAGCTCCTTCCCAGGCACATTCTATCAGATCCAGGGAGATCTCGTATATTTGATCCCATTGTGCACTGTTCAACTCTCGGGTTTTGGAAGGCCAACCGGGCGGTCCTGGTCTGCAAGAAGCGTCCGGCTCCATGAGGGTGGATGATATAGTCCTCATCAATTGCGGAGACCCATGAGGGGTTGATATATCGCTCTGACTCTGAGAAGTGTCACTGCCGATGGAGAAATTCGAGTTTCGTCGTCGCTTTGAGGGAGATCGAAGGTTCCACCAGGATCGTCCCCGAGACAGACCTTTCGAAGAGGATAACGGAGTGGGACTGTGTCCGTAGTTCTTTTTGGAGGTCGATGGCGGGTCGGATGAGGGGGAGAAAGAACTTGAAAGAGTATTCCAGGGACCGAGACCTCTGATAGTTTTTCGTTCTTCTTCATATGCGTTCGTCGAGGCACAGGAGTCTATACTACTGCTACGTGGGGAGAATCCTGTGCGAAAGCGATTAAGGTTGGGCATGGTGAGTGATCAGAGGGTTTAGTCATCGCCGTCTCAGACTAGAATGAATCAGAAAAAGGACCTCTCCGAATACTCGGCCGATCGAGTTCGATTGGCTTTTGATGTGAGGTTTATATGGTGTGTTCGCGATGGCAAGATTATCGAGGCTCAGCTTTCTCTCCTTTGATTCTCTGAAGCGTGCTGTCAGGCAAGCCCATCGAGACCCCAGACTTGAAAGCATGTCAGTAACGTCACACCGATTGAGTCCGACAGATGTACTTTATGTATATGAACCATGTGGCAATGAAACCCAAAGGGCTGACGAGCCCGCCTGACGAGGCGGCAGAAAAGGGCGAGATCCTTTGTCCTTTCCATCATGCTGTGTTTCTGTCCTCTTGCTTCTAGTGTACTGGGTTCGCGGCCAGGACGGCAGACTGCTCGGAAGGACCTCTGGATCCAGTTGGCATGACTTCCATCATTCGCTGATGGTGTGGCATTGGGTCCTCCGCTACCTACTTTGCTACGCTGATTCAACAGGATCTGATAGTCCAGAAACACGTCGGTCGCGAGAGTCAAATCGTCCTCAAATTGACCTGCGCCGTTGCGTAGAGAGGAAGTAAAAGAATTTTGGTTGAGGTTGAAGCTGTCATTGTCGATCACTCAATGACAACTTTCGTAATGTACTGGAATATATCCTTTACCAGTCGAGCCTTGCACCAGTTTCGCGCGAAGATGAGCGTTAGCTGCGAAACAGCCGCAAGAGGCTTCGACGCTATGTAGTCAGAGGGGGACAGGAACTCTGGAGCTTAGTGAAGGATATAACTTGCGGTGTTCAGAAGTAAATCTGTACAATAGGGTAGGCGGCATCATGCTTACTCAGTACCTGACACGACTCCGCAGATGCAACAACGCTACCCTCCTATTTTGCCGTTCAAGGTTTCGAGAATTAAGCGGCTCCTCCGCAGCACGATCACATCTATTGTTTCCCGACAGGTAGCTATGCGAGTTCATTCGCTGTGCCGGATCTTTGCCTGACCATGTTGCCACTACGACAGATACTGCGGCCTCATTGTTTCTGAACTCGATCGACAGTCCAACAAACGGGGCACCGATAGATACAAGATGTGCGCTGCCCAAACACGTATTCGCGCTTGGTGACGGCTTGAGTAACACCTCGAGGATCTCCTGGAGAAGCATTCAGTTACTCCTGTCGGATGCGTTGCAAGCTCGTCAGAAAGTTCAGTTCCGACTGCTCGGTATGTCACAAGCTCTTATAGGCGTCACGTGACGCGACACCTACGCCTTCTGTGATAATGGTTGAACGACGTTGTCGTTTGAATGAATGGGTGATGAAGTAAGCTGTTACAATGAACTACCGTTTACGGTCTGCGGACTGCACTTGGCGTACTACGTCTTGCCATTTGTGATTCGTGGTTTATGGCTTGTGAGTCGTGGCTGTCTGCGTGACCTGTGGTTGAGCGTGTTCTTTCGCAGCCTCGCGCCGGCTATATCGTCCTGCATCTTTTGACATCCATCGCAGAAACCATGTCTGGTGAGCGTCGTCCCCATCTTCCTCACCAGCGAGCATCTGGGACACCGATAAACGCGAAACGTCTGGGTTCCCCATTGGTAATCGCGAGAGGCACCAGCTTGTCCATTTTCCAGCAAATCGAGCTGAACGTCACGCAAACCCTGCAGAAATTGTAGCTTTACCTCTGGAGTATGGCAGTTCGACAGAGTGTGGTTGATCTTCGTCAAACTACGTCCGTCGAAGTTTTCGAAGTCTTCTAGCATCTTCTTATCCATCTTTGAGCTGGTATCAGTGGGGACTGATGGGCTCAAGTCTCGGGGTTGGTCAACAGATTCTTTGTCTAGGATTTTGTAGATCGCAATGGTCAATCTTCTTACCGGATGAAACAGTTTGAATGCACTTACCATCGTCTGCCAGCATGCTCGTGGTTCGGTCGATGAATACATCGGCCTCGGAGACGCGATGACAAGAGTCTAGGATCCTAGGATCTATGGGAACTTGATCGGAACTATCTTCACTTCGGGTGACAGGTAGCAGGCTACAAACGTATGACGCCCAGGCCGAGGCGCATCGATCTCGTATGGGGTCCACCGACCTTTGGACGGCATCCGATGAGTACCGAACGGTCTCGGCTGTCGTCTGTTCTGGGATGCCAGGACTCTCGCCATCCGCAGATCGAACGGTGTGCACAGACGCTTCAAGGGCATTCTCTTCATACGGACCGGTCCTTACTACCATCTGCTCTGGGATGCTATCACTCTCGCTACCCGCGCATCCTGGAATCGAAATTGACGAATCAATCAAGAGGCGAGCGTGGACCCAAAACCGGTGACGTTCGAGCACTGACCTAGATAGCTGTCAAAATCGAAGAAGGACTCATCCATATCTCTGTCCGAGTTCAAGCGAAGATGCAAAAGAGGGTGATTTCCAAACTCGTCAACTGAAGAGGCGAAGGGCCTATTATTTACCCTCTCAGCGACTTTCCCCTACACCCGAATCTATCATATACAGGTCCCCTTTGTCTATAGGCAAGGCGCCGCCGCCGAGCTTCTCAGTTGCGCTCCTTTCAGCCTTTTTCACGCAACCGACGCCTCGTCCTCGACCTGATCGCCTGATCTGCTTTCGCGCTTCTCGACATCCAGTTTCTTCTCCTATCTCTTCTTGACGCTGGTCGTCAGTCATCTGTCCGCCGTCGGCAATCACCGTCTTACTTTGGAACTTACGAAAGTTTCTGTCCGCTTGTCGAGAGCGATTCATGATGTCAGTGAAAGGGCAGTGCGTCGGATCTGCAAGATCATGTGCGAGCTTGTTGGCCAATCCCAGGGTAAAACAGGAATCCTGCTCAACTGCACGTTGGTGGCGTATCTCGAGCAGGTAACTGTCGTCTTTCTCAGGCGATCGAAAGGCCAAAGGGGATAGGTCCGACCCAGAAAGGCCGGTATATCACCGCTGGAAAGATGATGGCAAACAGGACCAAATCTATCAGACCCAAGACCTGTAAGATTCAGACTATCGCAACCCATCCGCACATGATTCATGCACGTCAAAGTACAAGTACGCGGTGCGCAATAAAACTTGCCATTATCACATTCGGAAATCGAAAAGACTCAGAACAGCCGAGTGTGGCCAGAACCTTTCCTCACACTCCATTATTGTTCATCCCCTGCCGGTTTCATTTGAGTAGGTCCGGCCCCCGCCAAACAACTGGTTCATTGTGCCAGCCGCTCTAGGATCTGGCATCGCAAGGTCGTAATCAGTGTTTGAGAACAAGAATAGGATTCCCAAGCTGGGTTTCCAAATCGTTTCTTCAACCGTTCCGGGCTCTTCAGGGTCAATCCCGGCGTTCATGTTGGTAATCGATCGGATCAAAGAGGTCGCTCAAGCTCCCAAAAACGTGAGGAATCAGATTTCGACGGGAAGGACGCCACAGAGTACAGAACCGCCCAGAAACCTGAGGAACTGGTCAACTTGATGATGGCTTGGACCATCAACTTCTGCTTGGTAAGAGATTTTGACCTAGTTCTGAAGCGGTATTGTAAGGCTTCTCATGACTAACCCTGCTTGTCGAGGTTCAAGACCGGCGCGATAATTGGGCATGCTCATGGGTAGAGCGGCCTTACGTCGTAATGTATCGTATTGCCCAAGATCATCAACCACTTGTAGACTTTGACGTGAAATGAGACCTCATAGAGGTACAGTAATAGAGGTCAAATCGTCAAATCATCATTGTTGTTATTGTATTCGATTGTGGCATCCGTCCGGGCTGGACTGGGCTGAGAGGTGGGATGGGATCGATCAGCACTCTTCCTCTTCCTTTCACCCGGGACCCCACAGGTTCCCAAATTGGAGGTGAGGATGCGAAAGGCCTTTCAAATAGAGGTACCAGAGGCAGCCAGAGACAAGACGATAGCTCTCTTTACGCAGACAAGGTGAGTAGCTTACGCCTGGCTCAACCGACCAACTGTCAATGGCTCGTGACTCTCGATCGCTCAAAACCACGGCGTTCGTTTTATACAGGTACAAGCCCAAGAGCCTCAAGGCCATCTCCAATCTTATCAGGCTGGCTCAGGATTTCTGCGACATAAGTCTCGATTCGCCTGGATGACGGTCTTCGAAGACTGTCGAAGTGGCACTGCATGACATAGAATAGTTCCTCAAGGCGTGTTGGTTAACGGCAATACGGCTGTGACAGTGAGGACGGTTATATAGTTCTCTCAGGTTGTGGAACTGTATCCCCTGCCCGATGTACAAGTAAGATAGTCACGGATTCATCCCGCCTCCAAGGATCTGTTTGCGCCGTCAAGCTTGACAACGCCTGCCCGCCCGACCTTTGACGATTCTGAAAACCCCTTCGCATAGCCCACCTGCTAGTATAACAGCCTCAAAACCCGGAAATACAAGCCCAAAGCCATCATACATACTCTTAGCAAACAGGTCGTCGCAATCGTGTTTCACCTATCCATCCATTCAGTTTCTAAACGTGAAACGATCAATCAACGACCCTTCGCTACGGGTAAGCGAGCGAGCCCACGCGACGATGACGATCACGCCACTTACTTGCTCTCGGCATCTGTTCGTCGCCCGGACCGTGATCACGAATCGTCCGTCCAGACGTTCGCGAGGGGCCAAGAATTCCAAGAAAAGGTGTCAGGTTCCGGGTAACTCGGTCGGTCCTCCCATGGTAGGAGGAAGGTAGTGATTCGAATATCGTTCTAAGCTGTCGTCGTTTGGCGACTTTCCAACTGAGCAGATGGGTTGTAAATTGTACTATAGCGTGGGAGTACTGACGGTGGTGGACGTGACCATCCCCTTTCTCACCGTCGTTCATATCTTTGTATGACGTGACCAACCCGAATCCGAATCTCGATGTGTGCGAGCGAGAAATGGCCCGCGTTTCCTCCACTTTGCACCTCTCGGGCCGCGCACACGTGGGGTCAACGTCGAGTCTCGGGTCAGATACTTCGTTTGGCTGGCAAGCAGTGGGTGCAGTGGTGGGGGGGTGACGAATGACCAATACACCTACGAAGGGGGAGATCTTGTCTTGTACAACATCGCTCCAGTCATACAACCATCTGTATATCCTACCATAGATCCATAGATCCATAGACTACCTTCCCAAATAACACAGACTATAGACAAGAAACAAAACAGGATGCCCGAACAGACCCCCCGCCAGAGATCAGACTCGAAATCCCTCGAATCGTTCCTCGACACCGGAGCCGGCAAGATCCCGAGCATGGAACAGAGCGGGGTCGAGTGGAAGGGAGAGACTACGGTTGTTGGTGAGTGTTCCCGGGCGAAGCGAAGAGCAAGCGAGCGTGGTGTGAAGAGCGTGCGAGTGAAGTGTGAAGAGCGAGGCAGAGAAGAGAGAATCGTATGGAGTGTGGTGCGACGACGACAATGGCAATCGGCGGATCTTGAAGGGTTTCGGGGTGGTCAAGTCTTAAAGAGTACGAAAGCGGAGACGTCAGCAAGTCAAATCAAACCAAGTCAAACGTCTTCTTCCCGATCCAAACAAGACTAGGACCTTCCCGGTGTTCTCACATTACACCGAAACTACTACGACCAGTACCTCCCGCGGTCGGATTCGCGATCGACAATGTTATCGACATCGATCGTCATCCTTGTCGTCTCGCCCGATACCCAAACCGGTCCCGAGACAGAGATCGCATAATCCGTCAGACGTAAAATCGTCCGAGGATCAACCAAACACCAGGGCGGAAACCGTACACGACCTTGACGGTGGTGCAGTCAGACCAGGCACCCGCCGTGTTATAGAAGAAGGTGGATGTGGGTGGTGGATACGATGACGGGCTTTCATGTCGAATGGATGGCAGACCGGGAACTCGTAATAAAGACAAAACACGGTGTGCTATACCAAAAAGAAAGAGGAGACGACGTAGATGGGTCACGAGCACACTCCTCGATCGTCACAGTGTTAAAAGCTCAACCTCGGAGGACGATCATCAACACGACAGATAGTATCGTGTGAAACTCGGGGACAAGGTTTACGGGATCATCTCGGTCTCAAATCCGAAATCGATATCGACGATATTACCGCGTCCGGCTGCGAATGGGCCGAGGGAGAATGAGAAAGAGGGAATAAAGAGTTCTGGGAGCGAAGGGAGAGGTGTTGGTGGCATCTATTCGTGGATCTCGATTCTGGCCGTCGTGATCCCCGGTTCCTGCGGCGATGTGGCGATTCGATCTCGAAAAAGCGTGGGATAGAAGGCTGATCCCGTATATCATCTACTTTTGTTGCTTTCTTTCTTTCTCCCGGTTTCTTTTCTTTTGCTTCTTCCCGGCGATCATCGTATATTACTGCTATACACCTCACCACGCCCTACCGGTACACGATCGGCTTTCTTTCCAAACCCGATGGATCCGATGGGAATCGATCATCGACTGACCTCGATGGACGATGATGGCGATGGCGTTGGCGATGGTGATGACAACCGCAATTTCGGCAACGCTCACGGATATCGACATCTTTCGCTGGTCTTTTGTTGGATCCGGGTTCGACATGTCTTGCGGATGGCGTGTCTGCTATACTTTTATGGCTTCGGAATTCGGATCGATCGTCGCAATCGGGCGAATTCGCCATGGATCTGTCCGATGGGATTGGCGAACTTGGCGATCCTCTTGATGAAACGTCACAGTCCTCGGAGCTTCCGGTGATCTGGCCAAGAAAAAGGTGAGCCAGAGCGTTCTACTCGGAGCGGATTGTTATGGTCTGCTTACTCACGCGCTCTTGCTATCGTGACAGACCTTCCCGGCCCTCTTCAACCTCTTCAAGGAGGGTCACTTGCCGGAGGACTTGCACATCATCGGGTATGCCAGGACGAGTGAGTGCAGCATGGCATAATGGGCAAGACGACCCGAAGTCGGCGCTGAACAAAACCCTTGTCGGACCTCGGAACCTCCCCGCAGAGATGAGCGACGACGACTTCCACTCGCGACAGATTGGCAACATCAAGGGACCCGGTGACGACGCTTCGCAGTCGGACAAGGACGCCCATAAGAAAAAGCTCGACAAGTTTACCAGCATCTCGTCCTACGTTGCCGGACAGTACGACGAGGACTCTGGTTTCCAGGCCCTATTGAAGGAGCTCGAAAAGGTCGAATCCGAGCGAGGCGTCGAGAAGCCGAACCGACTGTTCTACATGGCCCTGCCCCCGAGCGTGTTCACGATCGTCGCCGAGGGGTTGAAGAAGAACTGTTACTCTACCAAGGGTGCCAACAGGATCATCATCGAAAAGCCTTTTGGCAAGGACACCGACTCGTGTCGCGAGATGATGTCGGCGTTGAAGGAACAGTGGTCCGAGGACGAGACGTACAGGATCGACCATTACCTCGGAAAGGAGATGGTCAAGAACGTCTTGTTGTTGAGGTTCGGAAACGTCTGGTTGGAGAGCAGTTTCAACAAGAACTTTATCAGCAACGTGCAGATCACGTTCAAGGAGCCGTTCGGGACCGAGGGACGAGGAGGTTACTTTGACGAGTTTGGTATCATTCGTGACGTCTGCCAGAACCGTGAGTAGGGTGTTGCTCTCCTACGCGTTGGATCCTGCCTCGCTGATGCCGTCGTTTCTTGCCATCCATAGACTTGCTGCAGACCCTCTCGCTGTTGACGATGGAGCGACCCGTCTCGTTCTCGTCCGAAGATGTCCGAGACGAAAAGGTCAAGGTCCTCCGATGCATCCCTTCGATCGCGAGGGAGGACACTTTGCTCGGACAGTACGTCGGTGCTGATGGCAAGCCCGGGTACCTCGAGGACGACACCGTCCCCAAGGGCTCGGTCTGCCCGACATTTGCCGCGTTGACCTTGTGGATCAACAACCCGAGGTGGGAGGGAGTTCCGTTCATTATGAAGGCCGGGAAGGGTGAGCGTCGCTTTGTGGGATGTATTGGAGACTCCGATTGAAATGCTGATCCTGTTTGCCTACTTCGACGCGTAGCCCTCAACGAAGCCAAGGTAGAGATCCGAATTCAGTACAAGGACGTCACCGCCGGTATCTTTGACGACATTGCTCGTAACGAGCTCGTCATCCGAATCCAGCCGTCCGAGGCCATCTACATGAAGTTCAACACCAAGACGCCCGGCTTGATCACAAGGGCGATCCCTACCGAGTTGGACCTGACCTACAAGAGCAGGTTCGCCGAGGCAAAGATCCCCGAGGCTTACGAGGCCTTGATCTTGGACGCCTTCAAGGGGGACCACTCGAACTTTGTGCGAGATGACGAGTTGGACGTCGCATGGAAGGTGTGTCGCGTGGTCCAGGCAGCCGATCTTTTTCCCATCCATTGCACGATATTGATGCCACTCCGATTTCGTCTCTCATACAGATCTTCACCCCGCTCCTCCACTGGATCGACGGTAAAGACGGCGAGGCGCCCAAGCCCGAGGAGTACCCTTACGGATCTCGTGGACCCAAGCAGATTGACGAGTTTACGAGCAAGTACGGTTTCAAGCGGTCGAACGAGGGATAGTGAGTTTCCTCGAACTTCTTCACGTCTCATTTGCTCGCGGACGTGGAGGCAGAGCTGACTTGATCTCGATCCTTGCTCATCACAGCGCCTGGCCCAAGACTCCTATGACCAGCAACCTCTGAACGAGCAGTGTGATGTGATTATACAATAGCATTGTTTGTAAAGGAGCGACAGAAGGAAATAGGATGCTTGTGATGTGACTTGCTTGTTATGTGAATGAATGAATTGGTCGAATCGGTCGGCTTGTGTTTCAACATAGGAGGGGCATTCGTCAAGTGGAACGGGACGTCGAAGCTGGTGATGCTGACCACGGGCAAAAGACTGTCGCGGTGGGCTAGGGTGAACCAGAGATGAGGCCGATAGAAAAGCTTGACGGGAATGACCGCGCACGATGAAGTAGCCGATACTCATCTGCTTTTTTTTGCATGATGACGTACAGTATGTTGATAGCTGCTTATTGCCCGACCCGTGCGTTTTCCTCAAGATGGAAACAGTCTAAATTTCCAGTCTTGCTTATATTCTTCCTTTTCACCAACCATCGTCCCAAAGAATTCCTATCTACTCTCCTTTGCTTTTCAACGCATTTCTCTCTAGACTCAAGGATGAGGAGACAAGGGGGTAAAAATCCCTATCCCAAAAAGAAGAAACAGAGTATCGAGTCAAGCCTTGCATGCATTGCAGGACTCACTTTTCAAATGGCTCAAGCACCGGAGGAGGCCTCATGTGCTCTTTCCCATTGTGAACTTGGACTGAGATGAACTCTTTAGACATCAACAAAGCCATGGGCCTGCCTTGGCTATTGAGAAGCTGATAGTCAAGAAGTACCTTACAAGGAGGTTTGGGGAGTGATTCCCCAGACTATTGGTTGGGAATGCAAGTACCTGAAGGTTTCCTGGTCATACTTCCGAGTTCATACTCCTCAAGAAGCCGAATCCCCCAGTCAAGTTGAGAGTACTAAGATATAACTTTTAACACCTTCTATGAAGCTATGAACTATGAACAAGTGCGACGAAACGGCGGGGACGTACATTTACTTCCGGGAACACCTAGACCTTCGGAAGTAAATCGGTGGCCGATCGGAATATGGGAGCCATGCGGCCGTTGATGACGATATCATCGATCATCGATGGAGGATCGCATTTGGACAACGACATTCTCTGCATCGAGAGAGGTTATTGTGCAGTGTGACATGCAACCTGCCTCCATCGCAAGAGGCCACCTAAGGACACTACCTGCTACATCGTCCCGACATCTGGCTCAGACTCGTCACCTGCGAATCCCACCTCGTTCGGCTTATCAATATCGGAGCGTTACGATTCGACCATCAGCATCAGCGTATACAGGCTTCATGGGTGATAACATCGTCAAGTCAGTTTCTACCCTATCCGCCTTGTCGAAAGTATAATTTGCTACGTAAGAAGAAGCTGACTCGAGGAGGGCAATGTCGGGTCGGGTGATAATGTAGTTTCTATTCGGGTCAACCGCCCTTGAACAGGTTGTCGTTTCATCGGTAAGCTACAGTGATCACAATCTCCAGCAACGAGAAACAGTAAGCAAATCGACCAGGTGTACTGATTCGCAATCCCGTATTGTATTCTTCTGGCTAGAAATGAGACTACCAAGATGGACAAGCACCTAAACGCCTCGGAAGCCAAGTTCCTCCTCTTCAAAGACGGAAAACCGCTCATGTCCATGCAAACCTCCGGGGAAACCAAAGACAAGACACCTACCGGTCTTCTCTACCTCTCCCAATCAAGCATCACCCCGTACCTCCCCTCGAAGTCCTTTGCTGAGTGTCCCAATCCTGAAGATAAGGATGTGGCTAAACAATACCAATCCGCCCGACTCCCCACGACACTTCCAGCGTTGGTATTCTTGGGGATCGACGATAGGACAGAAGCTAAAGAAGGAGCTGTACCGGCCGAGGTGAACCCGAAGGATCCCAAGGGGGTGCCTTACTTCGCTCTCGATGTGAGCGGAGCGAACGTGGGCGGGGGGAACGTCGATCTCGGTGAGCTTGGGGCTGGGGAGGCGGAATTCGTCGAGCCTAGGTTGGCGGGGAGTAGTCTAGGAGGGTGGGAGGCGAATTTATTTGCCCAGGCGAGGGCTTTGATGGGTGAGTCCGAGTCTTCCAAAGTCTCTCGTGCTCAGCAATTCGATCTTGCGGTTGATTTCGAGTTCGACTGCGAGACGAGACGTTCTTCCGCCCTCATCTCAGCTATCAACCTACTGACACCTACCAAAACCTCCCTCTCACCCTACATCTCTATTTCTATTCTCCTTGACGTTGGCGATGTACAGACTGGAACACCCGGTACAAGTTCTGCCCTGGTTGCGGATCCCCAACCTATTCACTTTGGTGCGGCTGGAAACGAGGCTGCGGGTCCGTCGTCGGTGAAGGTCGGGACGGTTACGGAGGAGAAGGGGGGAAGGTCTGTCCCTCTACGTAAGTTCCCGGGGCCTTGTGCTTTTCGTCTGAAGCTTCTTCAGCCGTAAGAACGATACTGGTGACTCGGAATTGGAGAGCTGAATTTATCGACCGTTTTGGAAAATGTAGGAAGGGGCTGCATAATTATGCTTATCCCCGGACGGACCCGGTCATTATCATGGGTATCCTAGACCCGACGGGCAAGAAGATGTTGATGGGTCGACAGGTGAGGATCACCCGCTCCAAATCTCTTCCCCTTTATTCAGTGTCTTCATGTTTTAAATGTAGCTGATAACGATCTTTTTGTTTGCTTTGATTTCACAGAAAGCTTGGCCGAAGGGGATGGTAAGTACAATCTGGATGACCGGATGGGCGAAGAAAGTGTTTGAGCTGATAAGCGTGTTTCTTCGATTACGGTACCGCAGTACTCGTGTCTGGCCGGGTTCATCGAGCCAGGAGGTAAGTCGCAGGAACGGTGTGGCGCCATCAGAACCACCTCGCTGATGAATGAGTGTGTAGAATCGATCGAGGATGCTGTTCGACGCGAGGTCATGGAGGAGGCCGGCGTCAAGGTCGGGCAGGTCCGGTAGTGAGTACCCGGCGCCCAAAGACAGATGACACTGTCGCTGACGTTCCGGAATGTTTGTAATGGACAGCTCGTCTTGTCAGCCTTGGTGAGTCCAACTTGAGATTCACGAGCCATCGTCGATAAGGTATGGCTGACCCGGTGCATTGCTTGAACGTCCAGGCCCTTCCCTGCAAACTTAATGATCGGATGTTACGGTCTCGTTGCTTCGGACGCCGGCTCAATCGATCTCGAGCTGGATAATGAGCTCGAGGACGCTCGATGGTTCACGCAAGATTCTGTGCTGGATATCCTGTGAGTACTGCGACTACATCGTTAAATCAAATTTTAGAGTCGGTATCTGAGCCAACTGCTCTTTCTTCTTTAGTAACCACCCGGAAGGTACCAACATCACCCGCTCAGAGCATAAAAAGTTCGAACCCAAGCAGGTCAACACCGCGTCAGGAGTACAGGAGGGAGCGGCACTGGCTCCGGCCGAAGGTCAGACGGAGGAGTCGGCACTCGAGAACGCTCGAACGGAGGGACCTCCGCCCTCGTTCAGGTTCCCGCCCAAGACCGCTATCGCAGGGGTGTTGATCGATAGATGGGCGAGGGGGCAGATGGACGAGGTTGCTATCGAGAGCGTCAAGAACAAGTTGTGAAACAAAAACGTCGTGCTTGGAAACGATGATGTATCGATTCTGCATGCGTGTTCGTTCGAGATCGCATCACTCGGTCGTCATTTTGAAAGGAAGGCATGGCAGCTGCCTCGCATAAGCGTTGTGCTCCAATTCGCGAGCGATCAGCCGGTCGAGCGATTGTCAGTGTACGAATAATGACAACAGGAAGGAACATAGACCACGAGCCACGGATGAACAGGCGCTGGATGCTCTGATGTTCGAACTTTCGATAGTCCTTGCCCATTGATTTGCGGTGCGACGGCTGAATCCTCCGCTGTCAATGAGCATATGGCATACTGGATCAAGAACGCCGATAGTGAACTTGATTAAAACTCCTTCGCCTGTACCATAGGCATAAGGTAGCAAGACGAATGTGTGAAAGGAGCACACAGTCATCGGAAGCATCTTTGAGCAGTGCGCCGTGACGGAACGTTCGACGAAACACCGCATATATGGCCAGCGTGGACGGCCTCTCAGGTTGTACCAAGTCCTCTTACTTTAGTAGTTCGTTTGCCAGATCAATCAATATCGATAAGGGACGAGCGTCGTACACGATGGATTGGTGGCTGACCGATCCAAGCTTTTCTGGTGAAGTTGGCGCCTTCCCTGCTACAGCCTCGTCTTCACTGGCCTTCCACTATTCACAGCCGACTGCTTTCCCGGTGGGTAGTGGCAATTTGCATAGAGGAGAATTGCCAGTGACTGAAACTTGTGAAACGGAACTGTACAATTGTGAGGACATTAACCCTGTTCAAGCCCTCATGACAATGTCCAACTCACGACAAGATATCTCTCAATCTCTGTTCATGCTGCAGGGATACCACTAGATCTCAGTCACTGGGTCACTGAAACCTCGCTGGGCATCCCCATCGATGGATCTTTAGCGTCTACTCTGAACAGCGCTCCTGAACCGCATCAATCACACCAGACTGTTCAAGGGGCCAGCCATCTGATGATACCAAGAGAGTCTGACAAACCCACAACCTCGGTCAAATTGAGCAAGTTGGGATTGGAAATCCCTGCTGGTATCTCTGATGACATCCTAGTCAGACTCAAACGCTTAGATGGCGGTCTTGATGGTCGAAGTGTGAGAAGAATAAAAGAGGTCCTGCTGCTTTGTGATTTCTGGGAGGAGAAACTAGAATTCTTGGAGCGTTTGGGAAGGGTCTGGTACGGGCTGTTACAAAGCCCTAAGAATCGTGACTCAAACGGCGAGTGCATATGGAGATCAGGCTTCAGTTGGGGGGGAAACGCGTGGTGGGTCCATAGGTGCACTCACTGTCGGAGAGTCGCCAATGTCCAGAAGAAGATAGGACGCCAACTGTGTCTCACTTGCAACAAGCGTCGAAAGGACAGGGCCAAGCAAGAAACCATGAGCTTACTCCGCGCAAATACTGCTAGTCACAAACCAAGAGAGCCCTTTGATTCGTGACCACAGGTAATGCCATGTAAAACCGTATATTACGAAAATATTGTGATCATAATTCCCAGCTGGTTACTTACGTGTAACTCGTAACTGTCATAAGATCCCACAAAGCAAGTCAATACAGATGTCTTCAAGTCGAGTAGATATTCCTTCCAAAGATTTATCTGTGCCGCTAATTGCTTAGTTCAGTCTCAACGAAAGTGTCGGCACGGTCATCATGTATCATAGGTCGTAGCCATGCCATATGTCGATCGCAGCATAGGTAGGGCTGCTAGGGTAGACTTACTTATTCCATTGCAATACCCCAGCGAAGCTTTTCTCAAGGCAGCTGTTCACATTCAAACGTGAAAAGGCATCACGCTAGCGCGGACCGCATCTCTGTTTCAGGCATGAAACTCGCGTGACGATCCAGCTCTTTTCCAGTGTGCAACTCACTCTCGCTCTCCACGCCTCTGGCCACCACCGGGGGGGAGGGGGGGGGGGGGGGTTCGAGAGTATGGAGAGGACAAAGGATCCCACTCGTTGATCACAGCCACGCAACATATATGATTACGTTTTAAGTCGTCATCATTATTATTGAAAGCAACGATGATGAGCTGCCCTGCAGCAACGGTGTCCCCTAGTCCGTGGGCGATGCGATTATCATTTTCGTGCGTAATGTGCATATACAACTAGTGCAGCACTACACAAGAGTGCGGATCTGCGTCAGCGCTGGATCTTCCCCAATCCAGCATCTTGATAAGCCATGCCAGCAATCACCCTGCCCAATGGTCGACCGTCCTTTCATGGTGGCCTGCGTGACAGGTTCAAGTCTATACATCGATTGCATTGCGTTATTTTTTTATCAGGCAGGACAGCAGGGAGAGGACTATCAAACAGCGTGAAAGGAACACAACGGAGGCCCTTCTCATGACGTGCTTCATGACCAGGTGTATCGGCAGACCGACACATATATAGCGACGTGAATCGCTTGAGAACGATGGAGGCGAAGTATATTCATCTCATTCGCTCGAAACATCCAAACGGATTTCGAAGAGATCTCACCTTCTCAACAGGCACCGCGACAAAGAAACAATGGACCCATATCAACCCGATGGAAGCTATTATCGTGAGGGCAAGGTGTATCCTTCAGAATCTCGTTCGAGCCTATTTCTGACCTGCAAGAGTTGATTTTAGTTCCCCCGAGCGGGAACAACCCATACGACCAACAGGAGGCAACAACTGGATCTGCGTATGGCAATGCAAAGACTGGTGGTCAGTTCTACCGTAAGGATGTTTCCATCTTCAGTGTGTGATCACGATGGCTCAGCTTACGACATCCTTTCGCTCGGATAAACATGCTTTCTTCGTTCCCATTCCATAGCCGCGGCGCCTGACGCCTCCGAATTCACGTTTGGAAGTGGCCCCAATACCGTTCCTCCCGCAAGTTACTCCTCTCAATGGGTTCCTTCGGACAACCAAGCGTTCAACCCCAATGATGCAGAAGCCTTGGCCCCAGTCACGCCTTTGATTGAGTTCAAAGGCTTGGGGTTCGTAATCTCGGCTGATTACCCCGATAGCATACGGATGCTCGGGGAAATGGAAAACGACCTTGACAAGCCAAGCTTGGAACTGATTCGAGGGATACTGCCCCAATGCGACGGAATGGCGTGGAAGTATGGCAGTACCTGGCACGCACGGCTAGCATTCTTGACCGGCTTGCTAGAAGTCCGCAAGGCGTTGACAGACGAAGGTAGTGCCAAGGCAGAGTACGCTTTTTGCGTAGGGGTGAAGTATTGGGTGTACCGGTGCGAGATTTGTTCGAGAGTTAGGAGAATCCTAACCAGAAATACCGGAAGCAAACGTTGCGTTACTTGTAACCAACCGAAAGAAGCAAGGAGGAAAAGGAACTAGAGGAGGACGGCATGAATATAGGCAGATTCCGTCTTGTATCATGGAAACTTGCGATATTAGGAAACCAGATTGTTATACGTACAAGGCGAGGCGATGTAGGGATCAAAAAGTTGTATGGATTCTAGCCAGATTCATGCTCTCAATTTATGGAGCCGACGTACGACGCTGTCCACTGAGAGGATAAGGAATACCAAATATGATGCGGCCGAGGCTTGTCTTGTCTGCCTGGCTCATCTTGTCGATTTGTGCAGTTCTGAGGTTATACTAAGAACATAGAAGCGAGTTTGGTTGAAAGCGAAAAATTTCCTTAGCCTAGTTGATCGGAGCGTTTCTTGCGATCTGAAGGTACTTTGCTAATTCGCGGTTCGTGCCGCATATTGTCACTGTGAATTCACGAGGAATCGGTTATAAGGCTCGCCATGCAAATGAATCATATCCTGATACGACTTTGCCCCTCTTGTGCGCGACCTTTTCAATAAATTTTCTATTACGCTGGGTAGCGATTGGAGAGGTTGCGTTACATGGCGCGCGGCGGTATCAACATGAAACGCGGGCTTCTCATCACCCGAACGAAGGCTGAGATAGAGGTGATGGACCACACAGGGAATCGAGTCTTTGGCTGACTTTCAAAGGAGCGCGACCGCAAAGTCCTCCCATAATGTTTGCACAACACGTTGATGACTAGCAAAGATTATGTATATATGAGAACTCGGATCGCTCAGCAGCAAGAACTCGAGGCACCGTTTCTCTGCGAGGTGTCCAATCTCGATTATCAAAATGACGACTTCAAACGTGCGCGGACCCAGTGACACCGAACTGACTCAGCGGAAACTCATTCCTCTAAACAGGCCTTTTGTGTATACGCCACTTATGATTGATGTCCTATTCCAGTTCTCGATAGCGATTGTTCTGTGGGGGCCTCAGTAACCGATACGACGCTTCTAGACTCGGCGTATGATCCGTCTTTAGTTTTGCCGGTAGGCCTCTCCGAGCTTCACTGGCCATCACAGATAGGCAATTCGCTGCAGAACTCGGCTGCACCAAGTCACGGCCGTAAGTTTGACTCTGTTTGAGTATGTTTGATAGGAGGCGTTCCCGATCGAATGAACAACCCCTTGGCCTGGTCAGTCGCAGAACCCAGCAGGAAGACCACGCGCCTCGTTCCACTTCGAAGATTGGACTTCAGTCTTCCTGTCGGAACGTCCGAACACGTGAGGATAGCACTGCAAGGGCTCGAGGACGCCAATCTTGATCCTCAAAGCTTACGTGTGATCGCCGAAGAGCGGAAACACTATGCGTCTCTCGACACTTACATACAAATGTTGGTAGAATTGCAGGCTATTCGCCTGCGGCTTTCGGCAGGCTCTCAGAAGGGCGCAAAACACGAATACGTGTGTGAAGGGAGGAGGCTCTGGGTATATCGATGCCCTATGCCCAATTGTCATTTAGTCAGGAAGATTCGGAAAAGGGAGGGTCATGCGTATTGCGAGTGGTGCAATAAGCGCAGACTCTGCGAAAAGGTCGCCTTGGAGCTGTCTAGTACTCGAGATGAGGAGAGCGCCTGTTCAACCGGGAGCGTTTCTCGTTCTATATCCAATCCGTAAGTCATGGATAGGTTCTTGAATTCTTGATTGACATTATTTGACTGATCTTCGTTGAGCTCATACTTCTTCACGGAAAACTCCCTGCCGGAACCAAGGGCCCAGGGCAAGAAAAGGGAAGGGCTTACTTGCGACCGTGATAGTCGGGCGTGGCTGAAGGAGAACAACTTGAATCGCAACGACAGCGGCCTGATCGAACAAGTGAACAGCGCTTTGCACGATGGGCTAAACAGGTTCACGTACGGCGACGCCAGTGGGTACTGCCTACCCTGTCCAAACGGAAAGGCACATATTTTGCTACGGATGGAGCTCGGAGAGGCAAATCAGTCCTGCGTCTCTTGCGCCTACAACGACAGTCGACGCACCAGATCCAAGGTCGACCATTCCTAGCGGACAAATGAGTAATGCCGCAGATAAGAGACCGATCGCATGTATAAGGCATCCTCATCCATATCCTATACAGCATAGCTCTTCTTCATACGAGCGCATTGTTTCATCTCGAGCGGAGTAGAATTGTATGGGCACAATTATCGAGTAATCTTAAGCTTACAGGTGCTGTAAGTTCGGGAACACTCGGGATCACCCACACAGACTCACGTTCCACAACGCCACCTATGGTGACCGTCAGCGGCTCCCGTAAGTCACGGGACATGTCTTTTAGAGCTTGATCTCATCATGTTTTCAGATCGATTTCATGTGCTGCTGTGAAACAAGTTGCCGCTAGGCCGAGCTGAAGTCGCAGCGAGATGTAGCTGATTCGATATGCTCTGACCACAGCGACATCAGGGCTATGAACAGGATTCGTCAAGCGAATCTGAAGATCGTTACATATGCGGTCGAACGGGACCCTGATGGGTTCATGGACAAGATGGCCGAGCACTGTCTAGGTGATGACGTCTAACGGCTCTGTCTTTTCGATCATATTCCGCGCCGCAAGGCCTGGCTCGGTTTTCATGATGTCTCCCCTACTGTCTCTACCTCTATCTTTTCGTTTGTTTAGCTGTATTCTGGCTCTGCATCATGATGTCTGCAGTTGGGTTTTATGCTTTTGTAATAGCTTCATCATATCCATAGTGTCTTTATATGTGTATCGCAATGTCTACCGCACTTTCTTTTTGTCGTTGTTTATCGTATTCTAGGTCGTAATTTCTGTGGGTTGGAAAAAATCGATCCGTCCGCTACCCCCGCTTCCAACGCCCGTGGCATCCGGAACCAAGAACAAACCGTTCAAGATCATTTACTGTACGACGCGTTGCACAACGTGCTTTTGACAGTCATTTATATTTATTGCCAGCGGCGCAAAAGCACAATCGCCTCTTCGTGTGATGTCTCACGTCATACGGGTCTACTGTATGCTATTATAATATCGAAGTCCCGTCAAGGGACCCGTCCTCGTACACTCGCGCCTATGCTCGCCCGCTACAATACTTGGTCGTGAACTGAAGACTACTTGTTCCCGCACATATCCGGTGCTCGCTCGGTCTGATCCTCCTTTTTGGGCAAGAGTTCGGCTTCGAGCGCTCCTAAGCAGGGTGCGATGAATCTGTTCAATAGAAAGCGAGTTCACATCAGGACCACAAAAGCAAAGCCGACCTTCCAACCCGGTACCGAGACTCACATGACCCCCGTCCAAGCTTTTATCAACGTCATCCCCCCTACGTACATCCAGAGCGCGACCACCGTACAGCTCAGTACCGTACCTATCACTTTAAAAGCCATGGAATCCAGTTCGGTGCCGAATTGGGTGGTGCAGACGGCAAAGACGCCGATGGGGAAGGTGAACCCCCACCAGCCCATGTTGAAGCCGACTTTTTCTCTGCGCATCAGGTCCAGGACGGAGGAGGTGGCAAGGATTAGCCAGACTAGGCCGAACCCCCAGATCACCAAGGCCAGGCTGCGGCGTAAGCGCAAACACCATTTTAGCAGCGGGTTTTGCGAATGGTCACTGGGATGGACTCTGAAGCTTACGGGATGGAACAAGCGTAGATGGCACTCCCGAACAGCCTGACCTCTTCCGCGGAATAGAGGCTCGTACCTTCCGACTGCATACACAGGGACCGTACGACCGAGCTGAGTCGAAGGATGGCGAATCCGCCTTGCCCACAAGGACCCAGGGGGAGGTAGGTGGACACGATCAGGGCGTTGGGAGGGATCTGGAGTCAAGCACGGGCAGAAATGGGTCGGATGGAAGATATGTCAGCTTTCGAGTTACTGCTTGTCTTGGTCGCAGGAAAATATCTTGAGAGGCAGGAAACACACCTTGTAAACAGCCAACCGATGGAAATACATCCCCATAATCAAAACCGCCGGCATAAACCCCATCCCCAACAAGATATAGGACACGACCACCGTCAACCTCGCGTGCCCAGCAGAGAGGTATGGGGCGACGATGGCTCCTGAGGCAGAGGCGACGATGGTAGAGACGGAAGGTTGAAGCCAGACGCCTGTTACTGAGGAGACGGAGTGGTCGTGCCGGGTGAACCTGTAGGGCGATTCCAAATTCCGGGGAAGGGGAGGGGAAGAGAGGGGGATTGTGGTGAGGATTTAGTTGAGGCTTAATTCGTTTCCAGATTGCCGGGTATTGTGGCCCGGGGGACTCACATAACAAACGGAACCCCAACCCCAATAACCGCCGCAACCACCCCATCAACCCACCAAAGCACCCAAGCTAGCGTCACCCACTTTGCACCGAAAGCGGGTATGCAGGCGAAGACGACCATGTTGACGATAGTAGCGAAGCCCATAGGGAGGGTCCCGAGGAAGAGCGATTGGGTAGGGTGGAGGAGCATGCGGGGGAAGACTATTGGGTAGAGTATGTACCGAAGGCTGTGGGGTTGTTTTGAGCGGGTTGGGGTGCGAGTTTGATGGCGTAAAGCGTATGAGCGGGTCAGTACAGGAACTCGGCGGGATGTTTAGGGACACCAAGAAGAAAAAGTATTGGTTCGCAAAGGCTCACCAAGAGATCCCAAAGAAGACCACGAACAACAAGACGTTCAAGCAGAAGATGACCACCCCGATAATCTTCAACCCGGGGAACTGGAAGGGCAGGTTATAGAGGAGGATGGAGACGATCCCTGTGCCCATGTTGACGGAGAACCAAGAAGGGGTGAAGTTGAGGATCCGGCGACGCCATTCTCTGGAGAATATCTTGGATGGTGGGGCGGGGGCTGGGACTGGGTTGGGAGGTGGGGTTGGGGCTGGATTAGGAGGTGGGCTTGTAGGTGTTGCTGTGGAGGACATCTTGAATGGGACGTCGAATATCGACTTCAAACCGGGAATTGATAGATCTCCTTCAACAGATTGATCGATGACCGCCGCGCAAGGATTATCGATCGACTCCTATTTCTATTAAACGTTGATCGCTGTTATTTTCTCTTTCCAAGTCGCCGTTCAGGACCATAATGAACATCCCGATAAATCTTGCTATGCTTTATATTGCCGGACCGATCTCGCCGCCCACAATTCTTGAACATCATCGCCACCCTTGGTAATTTCGTTCGGAATAGTTTGTCGAGGTTCAAGTCCCGATGATGCGATCGACCATGTTTTCGGTTCCGAATTCTCGCTCTCAGCGCGGGGGGCCCCGAGCGCGAGAAAGAAGCCGAGATGACGGGATGAAGCCGGATTCCGAATATGCTCGAGGGTGTTGGACCGGTAAGGTCTGAATGCAAGATCGCCATCGAGACTGGGAGATGTACGAGCCGTATCGGGTAGAGCTTGATCGAGTAAACCACAGTGTGTCCTTGTGGATAGTCAATGCAACGCGCCTATATCGAGCGATTTCGATGGTCGCGCTCAACGTCGATCCGCAACGCTATTTGATGGCCGCGATAGAATGTACTTATACAAAGATCGACCCTAATGATTGCCTTGAGGGCGCCTCAGTCAGACTGAGAAAATATTCCATCTGCTGAGATGATACATCGAGCGAACGGCTATATGGACTCGATCGGGTTTCAAAGTCTCAGAAAGAGCGACGCGTCTCAGCAAATCTCCACCTGGACCTCCACTCGTTCCTCCAGTACTATTTCTCTTTCTCTCCGCCGTATTCAAACCAGCCTTCTCCGAACCGTCGTCACCTGTTGCACTGTTCAGACCGGCTGCAAGGACGTTGCTCTTGGTTCTTCCGATCTGGGTGGACACTTGAAAGAGCTGAAGTGGGGTAGACGAAGTCGAGATGGGGTCGGTTCGAAGTGCTGAATCCTGAGACAGACTTTTGAGGTTACGCATTGTAGCGGTATATCTGATGCAGTAAGGTCTGCGTGAGGGCGGAAGACCTCAACGTTCTATCTTGACTTGCCAGCACAATCTCACCTGCGCTAACCCTCTATGGATTTCTTCGTACGCAACCTCGCATTGAGCTGTACTCCAGCTGAACCTCACGAACTCTTCGAGCTACCCTGCAATCCCGCCGACCGCCATCGCGATCAAAGTTCTCTCGATCAGGGTTGGAGAAGTCGTCAACAAGCCGCATCTTCGTTGGGATTGAGAACACTCACCATAGCTCGTGACTCCCGGCGGGCCGCTATAGGGATAAGCGTAGCCCAGAGCGCATTGTCGCGTGTCGCGCCAACATCCAGGTCTTGAACGACGCTTCTGTAGCACACCTCACTCAAGGTAGTCTTGTAGCCGCCTGTGTGAACATCTCAGCCGAGCTCTTGCTCCACTCGGTCTGGACAGGAAAGACGACATTGATCGAGGCCGAAGTGGAAGGCGCACGTTGAACAGAATCGAGATCGAACAAGACTCCACTCCTGCTTCAACAGATTGAAAGCGCAGTCATTTACCCAGCTCCTTGCGTTTTCCTTCTGGCGTTCGAGCCTGAAAAAAAGGCGCCGGAATCGACATTAGTATGCTTGACGCCATTCAAAGTTAGCTACAACCGATAGGACCTACTAGTTTTCAGTGACCTGAAATCGTTGAGCACTCAATTCGTGGACTGCGAAGGTCGATATTAGATAGACGGGCGATACTGTAGAGGTCACGATACAGTGCAGACGCGCGTTTCAGGTCGTCATCGCGCCCGGCCTTACGCACATCATTATCGATTTGGTACTGTAGGGCTTGTCTCACTCGCATTGAAAACCCAAGAGAGCTGAATCTTTGACTATGCATCTGTTGGATATCGAGTTGATCACCGCTGTATAGTTTGCATGAAGATGTAATTACAAGGTGATCTATCAAAAGGGGATTGAAAAGGGCCAGTATATATATTGTTCAGGACAATAGGAGTTGGCGGCGAAGCAAGCGAGCGAGCGAGATGAAACACAGGGGTCAAAGGCGAGAAGAGTGGATCCGCTGTTGCTCCGCGTGACTATTGTTGTGGAACAATAGGCGCGCAAGAGACAATGGATTTTGACAGCATCATCATCACATGGATTTCTTCTAGCTCGGAAACACAAGCCTACAAGATCAATTCTCAGGCTTCTTTTCATCCAGACCTTCTTTCTTGTTTACCGCAGGAAAGTCAGGCTCACGCTCTTTTGCGTGCATAGGTCGCATGACCTTCTCGCCGAGTTCTCGAAATCCCTTGATGATGGCTTTGGCCTCAGGATCTTGTGAGACGGTTCGATTGGAAGTGCCGTCTTCACCGGTAGAAGAGGTAGACTGGGGGATCTCATTGCTGCCGATGGAATCGGGTCGAGTGGATTGAGTGGATCTGGTGATTGAGGACATGGTGAAAGCTTTCAAGACGAGACAGTGTTCGGATAGGTTCGCGTTGTTTTGAGCCTGGCCGTCTTTGCGAGACTAGAACATACGCTGTTACGGATAGATTGTCGGGCTGCTTTTATGCACGATCAGGTCGTCGAGGAAGCAGGAACAAGGAGCACCAAGAAGACACTGTTCTGGCAGAGTCAACGCCGCAAATCTCAGCGCTTGAAAGGAGGCCGAAGAAGCTCGGCTTTGACGGTCCTGGAGCAGGGTCTCCTTTGTTAGATAATCAAGCTAGATCGGTATGACCCACTCGAATGATCCGGCTCGATTCCAGTAAAGTCTGTCTAAAGAAAGGAAGGATTGCGTCTCGCGCTTGGTCTTTAGCGAAACGTGGTGAGGGTAGCGGGGCGACGTAAGCGATATCGTCCTGCGACTGAATGCACCTCGAGAAAGAGGAATACGACTTGCAGGAGATAGCACCAGGATCTCTAGGAATGTAGAGCGGAGTCTAGTCCATCGGATCGAGAAGCGCACGCCATACAGGATCGCCGCCGGCGAGAGAAACTCAACGATCTCGAAGAAGCGAACACGCTGACTTTCAATAATGTGAGTCTTTCGACAACGCGAACCCTTGGTACTCCCGGCCGAGGAGGTTCTCGGTCCGAAAGTATGCCATGTGGAATGTAACGGTTACAAGATGAAGAAATCAAAATCGAGATAAAAGATGAAAACGCAAGGACTTTTGAGAATACGACGTCCACCTTGTCAAGTCGGTGTGGAAGCCGAGGTCGATCGCCTGCCAACGACAACTGCGAGCAAGACTTCCCAACTCCAACTCCACTCCGGTTTCTTCAATGACGGTGACGACCCGGCTAGGTCGCAGTCAAGGTCTGGACCATCCATAGATGTCCTCCTTCCAGCTTTGATGGCGGAAGCACAGAGCCAGTCATTGGTTCAACAAAGGGAAGATATTAGACGAAGATTCATGTTATGTTCGCGGGAGGAGAATGTTCGTCGTCCAGAGCTCGAAATTGAAGGGTTTCGAAATCGTAGACCCTGTTAATCGTCGGCCGGGGTCGTGTGGCTGGGGCCGCCCTCGATTCTGGCAGATCATTTCATGTCGTTGTTTGGCAATGTCGTCGTCGTCGTCGTCGTCGTCGGACTCGAACCCGAAAATCAGTCCGGCCTCCATGGTGACCGTCGAGGTTTCGAGCTGTTTGGTTGCGTTTGGTTGCGTTGGGTGAGGTAGAGCTGGTGGTGACTCGGAGGACGAGGAGCTTGCTTGGGATCGTGTAAGAATGCTCATGTAATGAGATGGGGAGGTCAAGTCCACAAGTCCAGGAGGTGTACTGTAGCGACATACAGTACAATATGTCAATCCGACTGTAAGGCAAAACCGGATTGAGCACATTGCACACCACCAGATCAGATCCCACGAGATGAGATGCTTTGTATGTAAGTGTTTAACAACGTATACAGTATACAGTGAGGCCCAGCGATCGGCTTGCGCTTGCGGGGCTTCGAGGTAATACTGTAAGGTCGTCGAAGGAGCTTGAAGAGGGCGTTTGAGAATGAGGGGAGGGGGGGTTCTTGATTGAGAGAGTCTTGCATATAGGAGGCGAAATTCTTTATGTAGAGCTATGGTTCCCTTCCCTCTAACCGTACCTCTGGATGCTTTATCACTTCGGGAAGAGATATAGAGTATGCTAGGCGGCGCGTCTGGACCTTCTGGCGCGTTTCTGCTTACGATTACTGTTTTAACTGGATTCCACGAGAATGAATGCAGAACAAGACGTTGGCACTGCGCCTGGAATATGCTGGCGCTTTGGCCGTGCTACTACGATCTGGGAGTCGTCTTAACCCACTTCTTTTGCCTCGGTCACTGATCGTTCTCGTCCTTGATGATGGTACGCTTCCCGGCCGTGTACCGCAATCGGACCCGCCCAGGCATGACACCTAAGGAATCTCTCAGTCCGCTAACTCGGTCTCAAACAAGCCAACTTTGATTCCCAAGTATATCGTGGTAATCGTGATTCTTGCCTGGATGCATCTGGCAACATGCAACACGAACTACCAAACACCAAACCTTCAACCTTTTTGCCCCAGGGCCGGTCGAAGCTTTACGCGCGTGCGCGTGTTGGTCGACTGCTTTCGGAAGGAAATCGCTCTCTCGGACCGATGACGTCGATGACGACGGACCTTCCAGCTTGTAACCAGGCCATCAGCTAAAGCTATACGTCTTGCACACCAGCTTTGACTGCTAGTATACCCTCTCTTGTAGCTCTTGATGTCTGTGCATTTACCAGTCTTACAAATCCCTGGGAAAGTCTAGCAGGAGGCACCTAATAGAATCGCCGGCCCAATCCGCCCGTACGCAAGCACGCACGTCGCTCTCCTCCGCTTCGCTCGTGGCTGGTCGATAGACCGAAAGCTCACCCTCTCGACCTAACAACCTCTGACTCTTGCTACTACTACCGTTTGAACGATAAACACCTCGACCTCGACCTTGGCCCTTTTGATCAACTCTAGTCGCTAGTCGTACTCCTCAGACGGAACCTATAATCATAAAGTAACAGCATCAACAAGCAACGAGAACGAGTGGAACCCCAGGATCAGGATGTCGTTCGACAAGACCGTCAAGAACGCGTGTAAACCCAAGAAGGATGTCCCGAAAGCCAAGGTCCGTTCCGTTCACCCCTACTCCTATCTACCTCTTCGGTTCTTCTTCTTGTATTGTTATATGCTTATCTCGTTCTTGCTCTCATTCTTCATCCTGGTTCTGGTCTTCCTCTATCTTGTCGGGATGTTCTCCTCGTCACCCTCCCCGTCGTCGTCCTTCGCATCGGACTACTCAAACCACTCCATCATCCACCACACTCCACATCACCTCACACCACACTACACTCCACAAACCACACAACCACGCCACACTGTGCACTATACACGGAAAATGGAATGAGGATACAGTACCTAGACCCGATCATCCAAGCGACCCATACGACGGACGGGGCGATGATCGATATCTGCAAGAGCTTGGGGAGTTGTTTGAGGGAGCCTAAGAATATCGTCAGTCCCGACCCGATTTTTCTTGTTCGAAGTGGATTACCCTTTTGGATCGCTGTACTCGACTTGATACGGCTGGACGGGACGGTTGTTGGGCGGGACGAGATGATGAGATTGAGACGAGATGAGACGATAAGAGAGATGGGTATCGCTGACATCCAAACTACCTCTCTTTCTTTCTCTGTCCTTTCTCACCTCTTTCCTCTCCTTCGTCCTCTCCTCTCCTCTCCTCTCTCCCCCTATTCTCTTCTCCTCTCTGCCTCTCGCTCCAACACGACAAAAACAGGTGATCCTAAAAGCCCTCATAGTCCTCCACTCGATGATCCGCCAAGGAGCGACCGATAACGTCCTAGGTTTCCTCTCAGGGCCTTCAGGGCAGGATATTTTGAGGATAAAAGATAGTGTGGGGGGAGGGAGTTGGGAAGGATACTCGGCGACAAAGACTCTTCAGACGTACGCCATCTACCTCGAAGCGCGGATTGTGGCCTATAAGAACTTGAGGCATGATCCGATCAGGGTTCAGAGTGAGAATAATAGTAATCGGATCAGCATGGCCGGAGGCACAGGAGGCGGAGGTGGTGGAGGTGGAAGTGCGGGAGGCAAGGCGAGGAAGTTGAACAGCTTGACGGTGGATAAAGGGCTTTTGAGGGAGGTGAGGGAGGTACAGAAGATCGTCGGGTGTTTGATCCAGTGTAGGGTGAGTTTCGGGGGCGCGTCTTTCTATTGTGCTTAGGTGATGGTGTGACGGGCATACCGAGCTGACAACTTGCAATCCGGCGGCTTTTTCCCTGGCTTTTTCAGTTCTTCGATGATGACCTGGAAGACCCGTGCAGCAACTTGGCTTGTAGGATGATCGTCAAGGATCTGCTCGTACTCACCCAGGCGGTCAACGAGGGCGTGGTCAACCTGCTCGGTAAGCCCCCCCCCTGCTCATCTCCCCATCTCTCCGCCCGGACAAGAACAAAGGTCTATAGCAAACGTTGTGCTGACCTTCATTCTGGCTGTACGCGCGTAGAACATTACTTTGAGATGGTCAAGACGGACGCTCAGGAAGCGTTGTCGATCTACAAGGCGTTTGTCAAGCAGAACGACAAGGTGGTCGATTACCTCAATACGGCACGGCGGTTGAAGAACGTTTTGGATATCCCGGTTCCGAACCTCAAACACGTGAGTGTCAGCTTTTGACGTCTCACTTGATACGGCTTGCAAAAGGGGATTTGGCGTGTGGCGTTGGAAACGCTAAATGAATGGCATTTTGTTTGTTTGCGGTGTGTTCGAGCAGGCCCCGGTCTCCTTGGTCCGAGCGCTGGAGGAATATCTGCATGACCCGGATTTCGAGCAGAACAGGTTGGAGTATAGGCAAAATATGGGGGCGGCCGATGTCCCGACTACAACGAGGGCTCGTAAGTCGGCTGCATTCGATTTTGTCATTCTATCTCTTCGTTGACATGTGTCCGCTCGGCTATAGCCTCGGTATCGCCAGCACCCCCAGCATCAAAACCGGCACAATCGTCATCGCAACCCGCTGCTTCGTCTTCATCGACTCTCGCCCCGCCCGTCTCGACGTCCTCGACCTCGACCTCGGCACCCGCACCGACCGCTCAGCGTCAGGTGAACAGGACGATACAAGACTTTTTGAGCAGTATCGAGGAGGAGCAAAAGCAGCAGCAGCAGCAGCAAGGACCCGGGGGAATGGGCGGGATGGGTGGTAACAAGTGAGTCATAAGGAACTCGGAATGCAGACTAAGACTAGAGAGACTGACTTCGAGGTCTCGATAGCTTTATGACTCAGATGGGGATGGGTAACCCGTACGGACAGCCACAGCAACCGATGGCGAACCCGTTCCGGCAGTCCATGTTCCCGCAGGCGACCGGTTTCAATCCGATGCAAGCACAGGCGACAGGGTTTCCCGGTCAACAACCTTTCCAGCAGCCCAACATGCAGATGATGCCTCAGCAGACCGGGTTCATTCAGCCTCAAACGATGGAGGTCTTGCAGCCACCTCAACAGAACGCTTTCATTCAACCGCAGCAGACCGGATTCGGACAGGCGTCGCCTTTTGCACAACCTCAACAGACTGGGTTCGGCCAGGCGCCCTTCGCACAGCCTGCACCGCTGCAACCGCAGGCTACCGGCTTCAACCCGTTCAGGCAATCGATGATTATGCCCCAAAATACTGGATTGCCCTTCCGAAGTCCGTCGTCGGAGAACGCCTTTACCTCGCTTCCCCGGTCGACGTCAGCGCCATTGAATTCCGTTTCATCGCCCGACCCTAAACCTCTGACGGCACAGGCAACGGGTACCAACAACCCCTTTGCCTTGCCTTCGGACCGTTTGCCCAAGAAGCAGGCCCCGGCAGGACCTTCGCTCTTCGAACTCGCTATGCACAAGTCGATGTCGAACAACATGCAGCAACAGCAGACGGGTCAACCATCAGGCCAGGCCAGCGGAGCGCCGGCACCCATGGTGCCCCAAGCGACTGGGTTTGCTGGAAGCTCGATCGTGCCGTTCTCGAGCAGGATGGATAACTCGTCACTGGGACAGTCGGCCGAAACGAATGCGCAGTCTTCCGGCGCCACCCCTGGCGCGAACAACGCGGCCTCGACGGGTGGAAACGGCAACAGCTTCATGTCGGATCTCGCTTCTGCTTTCGCCTTGACAAGCACCAACGACACGTCCAAGCCATCGGGCGATAACAACAGCACCTTCCCCGGTGCTTTCGGCTCGAGCGGATTGATGAACCAGCCAACGGGGGCGACCAATTCGTCGAGCAACAACCTGTTTGGACAGACGACGGGGACGACTGCGATCAGCTCGCCTCCACCGGCGACACCGACATCGACAGCCGGGTTCCTTCAACCGCAAGCGACCGGTTTCGCGGGCAGCTCGATCAAGCCGTTCAAGCCGTCGTCCAACTTTGGATCGACACTGGTCACCGACATGCCCTCGTCGACGAATCAGACCGGGTTGGGAGGTCTGCCAAGCCAGTCGACGGGGGCTAGTCCTAGCTCGCCGTTTGGAGCTGGCTTTGGGTCGGGGATGGGCCAGAACCAGACGGGTAATACGAATGCCGGCGGTATGAAACCGCAAGCGACGGGGTACAACCCGTTCGGCGCGTCCACCAACACGGGCAATGCGGGGATGAACAGCAACAGCAACAATAACGACCTGATGTCAATCTTTGGCGGCGGGTCAAGTCAACCGCAACAATCACAACAACATCAAGCGGGATCACCCTTCGGCCAACCGTTCGGTAATGCCAACGGGCAGACTGGCGCTCAGACCAACAATACCAATTGGATGACGTCCTTCTGATCGATCCACATGGGATCAACCCCTCCGCGCGTCTCATACCTCAGCAACGTTGTAACCCTCGACACCCTCTTCGCACCTTCGATCTCGTCCTCATGTCCACCCTCACCCTCGTCTCGTTCCGTTTCGCCTGTTTGTTGTCTCGGTAAATGTCATCGCCCGTGGTAGAGGAAAAAAGAAGACGGACCTGGACTGATCAGGTCTTTGTCGTTTTGTTCGTCATTGTGCTCGTCTTGTATGCCTGGAAGGAGATCAAAATCTGGAGGATGGAATTATAATGATATATGCCTTGCTCGCTTGCTACAGAAGTTCAAGATTTAATTACAATGTATCTTACATGTGCACTGGGGAGTGCGGTACAGTACTATGTTGCGAGGTTCGCCTCCTTCCCCCCTCCGACAGCCTCCTACATGCACCAGCTAGCTGGTAAGTTTCTTCAAAAGTCATTCGCTGAATGAACGATCCGCTCGTCAATTTCTCAGTGCTTGATGACGTTGCCCTGCGTGACGGCCTAAAGTCTATCGAGCGGGATCGTCCGGATAATAAGAACGCCGGAGGTGCCGGAATTTCTTCAGTGATATCAGCGTTAGGACCTCTGTGGATATTGTGACGCCATGACCACATCCAGGTATCGATCAGCTTCAGCTTCACAGAGAAGGAAGGGATTGTGGTGGAAGAAGAACGACGGACAAGACCAGAAGGAGAAGGAATAGGAGAGATGAGGGGGCGGTTGAAGGGACTGACCTTTCTTGACGTGTTCCCCCAAGGCGAGTTGTTTCTCGATCGCCGTTGGATCAGTTAGGCTTGCGTTCTCTGTCGACGTGATCCCAGACGTATTGATGGCCCATCATACAACATCAGCTCCGTAGTTCTTTATATAGATATGCTGTAGACGGAAGGAGAGAGGGAAGGGCTCACTCTCGTACGCCCCGCGAAGACGTTTGGCGAACCATTGTGGATCGGGACTGACGTGATGAGACTATGAGCTTGAGCTGGAGGCTGAAACTTGCTGTCTGGCACTGTGGAGAAGAAAATTTCACTGACTAGTCTCTACCTAGACGATGCAGCTATAATGGTTTTTGAAAGAGGAAGAGAGTATCAGCGATCGCGATATAATGCCAAGCTGATTCCCAGTACGCGATTGACCTCTTTGTATAGCTTGATGGCTCGGAGCCGTTGACTGAGCTGGACTGGGGCCGTCATCTCACGTCGATGGTTTGTATAGCTGTAGTCAATGTCTAGCAACGAGAAGGTGGCTTTGTGTGGTGAGGACGATCGATATCGAGATAGGCAGATATGGTCGAGGATTGAACAAGGAGATCGCACAACCACGTTCGGCTAAGGCCGAGGGTAACCTTATACTGAAGTACAGCCCGTCCAGAACACAAACCCTGCACTCGCCAGTATCCATTGAAATTAGGGCTCTGAAGGTGCAATACAGGACACCGGAGAGATATGAACGATGACATGATCTGGGATCACTGGCTTATGATTGAGTCATGCTGAAAAACTGAGGGACACAGTGCTTAAGTACAAAGCATATGGATGGCTTGAGGTGCTTCTGCCAGGACAAACACTTGTGCTCACAGCAATCCCGTCAGGATTGTTGATGCCTGCTTACCAAGAGTTTTAGGTACTGGCTGTAAGTTTATGGTACTGTTTTCTGGATGGCCCTCAGCTCATCATGTCCTTATCGTGTTTCACCTACCGTATTGCTATGGACAGCAGCAAACGAGTAAGACAGAATGTGTTACCCGGTCTTCGGCAAGATCAGGCTGGAAGACTTCTGCAACTGGGAGCATCCAGCCGACGAGGCTGTCAGCTGGGTCAAACTCCGAGCCACGATGCTATATCAGATTTTGCAACGGAAATTGGGAAACACCGTCGAACAATTACCGATGACTAACCGAGGAAGACATCCACTGAGAGGTAGTGTCGGACATATCATTCACCACAAGAACATGTCGGTAGGCTGGACGACGTCTAACGGCTCCGGTACTGTGATTATGTCGTGCAAAATTTTCTGATAGAGCATGGTGCTTATAATTATCGAGACGAATGCATCTGCATACAACTCTGGACTGACTTGATACAACCGATATCAACTATATACAACTGATTTGTTTGCCGTAATATTCTTAAAACCCATGATGACCGCAATCCGATGACAGTAATTCCCTCAATGCATAGTTCAAATTCAGCCCGCCCGATCTTCGCGAGAGTCTTCCCTGTCGATACTTCTCACATCGCACGCCGTCGTCCCGGCTGACCATCTTGTACCCCTGCTAGTAGTCGTCTCGAGCTTTTCCTCCTGGCGTTGCTGGGCCTCCGAGCTGTTTTCTTCGTTGTCTCCCCTCGAACGGTCGGAACCTCCTCGTTAGCGCAAGCAAGAGCATCCTCGAAATCCGAGACCTCTTCCACATCCTCTTCCTCCTCTTGCCACTGTCCTAGCGTCTCACCGTACGCCTTCAATCGGTATTGTCTCTCCAAACCCTCATAGTACCCATCCATAGTCGGCAGCCTGGCGTCGAAATCGACTGGCCAACCTGCGACTCCCCGAAAGGCTGATCCTAAGAAGGTCCTGTACGCAGAGTACAGCCCATCTACCTCGAGGCAGACGGATTTCTCGTCCCAATATTGTCTCTCCATCACGCAAAGCCGGACGTAGGATTGCATCATGGCGGTGTAGGCGACATGGACGTGTTCGATTTCGGGGACGAACCGCCATCCGCCCAGACCCGTGGCGTGTGGTAACGGATATTGATATGGTGGCGTTTCGTGCATGGCGCGGTACATCCGAGCGAATTGCGTGTAGGCCGTGTCGTAAGCCTGTACAGCGTCAGCCAACTCCAGACGATGTCTCGGAGTCAACATTGCTCGAGATCGTTGGCCCGCTGTCCAGTCGATCTCCGCGGAACATCGTCGACGAGGGACCCGACTCTGGTCTTGTTTTCCTGGCTTCCTTCCCGCCGACGTTTGCTTCGACCCCTCAGCGCCGGTATCGGTCTTCTCCAATCGCCCGTACAAAGCTATGTACACCTGAGACTCTTCCCCTTCTTCCTGTAGATTTGAGCTCCGCATGAAGTCTACCCCTCGATCGTCCTCGTAAGACATCCTCGAGCGTACTTCAACATCATTGGGTTCGTCATCGGACCATCCGGACTTGAACATCCTCAAGCTCGTTTGTGTTCATTGAGCGATGGACGCCAAGGGTAGCACTGGCGGAAAGGCGATTGAAGGGGATGAACCGGGTTCGCTGTTCGCCGGTGCGGCGCGATCAACTTTCGGGTGAATTGGAGGGGATAAGCGGCGTGGGAGGGCTGGACTATATAGGCAGCACTACGACACACGCTGTGACGTGTCGATGGACGTTGATGACAGCGAATGATGCGATATGAGCAAAGAAGAAATGTTGCGACCAATAGCGAGCACCCCCTCGACTCACAGGAAGCCCCTGATTTCTCTTCCCCCGAAACCCTTTGTACCAATGAATGTCGCTGGATTACACAGCAATGAGACGATTTTTGACGCTCAGAGCGGCGTGCTTGCGCGCCATCGCTCGTGTTGAAACGGAGAATCACACAAAGGAGGCGATGGTCGAGAGGGGCGGGATCCCTCGGGTCGTTCGGACCGGATCGATGGTATAGGACACACCTTGAGAAGGCTGTCAATGTTGGGAAGCTCGTCGAACTGGAAGCGATGGGCGGTTGGAAGGTAGTGCCATCTCACCAGAACTTCCGGGATCCCGTTGATGGCGAGATAGGCGTTAAACGTCTACAGCCGTGATGATGCGGACTCCGAGAAAAGGAGGAGGCCCATCTGCATTGCACATGCTGGCGTTGCGTCACATTTTCTCGCTTGACGAATTCGGCTGCAGCGTGTATTGATTCAAGAACGTTCGAATACCGTATTCGATGACATGCCGAACGAAGTGCTTCATCACTGCGATCGCTTCGGCTAGCACAATCCCGGCCGCGGTATTCATAGTGAGAAGCAGAATGCTGTCTGGTGATGTTACATGATAGCGGGGTTCCGAGTACAGCGTCCTGTGAAATTCCATTCCTGGTGCTTATGCCTGCCCTGACCAAGAGTGGCCGTTGATAGGCGGGCCAGACGCGCTTGATCTTCCGTTCTGAGATCTAGAGCCTGACGATTGTGAAAATTCCGGGCCCATGGGAGACGATGTGACAGCTGCAGGGGGTTTCTTCTTGCGCGGTTTCTGTCGACCTTCACGTTTCGCTTGTAGTCTTGCGAGCTTCAAACCGCATCTTTTGTGATTGAAGTGAGTTGATCAGCGACGCCGTGATGTGGACAAAGAAACCGTTGACTCACGCATTGCATAGATTCTTGATCCCGTTTTCCGATTTGCGCCACTCCGGGCTGCGGGGGAATCAGAGTAAGCATCAATGTCTGACAGCCATAAATATGCTTTTGCCTACCTTTCCTTCGTTGCGCACTGTATACAGCACTCGATACCATCGGGAGGTGGAACGGCGGGCCTAAGCGGTTCCTTTTCTACCGCCGCCACTGCGGCCGCCTTTTTCCTGTTATCATTCTCTTGCTGCTCGCTCAGCGTCGCGTTGCCACGCATCAGAACTGGCTGGGGATATTCGATCCCGATCGAAGAAGCAGTCTGGTCTCCAGGGTAAGGCGGCTTGCCGATCGTACTCATGGGCATGATGGGCTGCGGATACGGCATATACTGCTCATCGAAATCGACACCGTTGATCATATTTCCATCTTCCATTTCGTATGGTTTACGTTTGATACCGCGCGGATCAATCGGATATTGATCATGCGTTGGTAACGTCTCGACCCGGGGCGAAGGCGGTCGAATAAGAGGTATGGGCTGTGGCGCCCAATCGGACAGGTCTGCAGGGTAGACAGGCTGCTTGGACCCAATACTCGGCAGCTCCATTTGCTGCAAAGTGTTGGACTGACTGTAGCCAATGGGTATGGACCCTGAATACGGTTGGGAAGGGTAAAAGTTTTGGTCTGGATAGCCGTAACCCGTGATGGGCTGACCTGTGTAGCTGTCCGGAGCGAAAGAAACTGGAGGAAGCGTGGGCGGCGGTGGCGAACGAGCCGATGGAGGCTTGACGGTTTGCGTGGTCGAGGGCGACAAGATAGGTAAGCCCAGATTGTCACTTGGTCCCAAGATGGATGGGGTCGATGCGATTCGGTCCAGGGGATCGACCGGTAACTGGTGAGACGGCATCGGCGAAGGACCGCTCGCAAAGGTTGCCAACTGGGGCGGTCCTTGGACGAGAGGCATAGGGAGAGGCACACTGCCGTCTGGCGGCCAAACATTAGGAATCCATGGAATCTGGTCCTGTGGTCGGCTACCGGGTGCAACGATCTGGGGTGCGGCTCCGACAGGTGCCTCACCTAGAGGCGAGATCGAGACCGTCTGAAAACACGCAAACGTGATCTTGCCATAAGGTATGAAAACGCTCTCGATCTTACGCCAGACACCTTCGTTGGTGAGCAGATGACCACCTTGGAACCGCTGCGTGCAGCTCGTCTTGCCAAAGGTTCCCCAAGCGTCCGGTTGACCCGTCTTGTTCTCGAGCTCGACGTGCTTCATAAGTTCGGCATAGTCTTGAGCCCAGTAGCGGCCGTCCATCCGAGGCACCAACTCGCTCCGCCTCCTGCCGAACATGTCGAGTTCGTCTTCGTCCACCTCGTCATCGTCAGCAGGTGATGCCCATGCTTCGCCACCGAGCAGCTTGATGACCTTGTCGTCCATCTCGACCTCGAATTTCTTTCGTATCCGCGGCGGAGGCCAGGCAAAGATGACCGTGTCTGGCCTCACGTTTGACTCTTCGGTTGCGTGAATTAGGAAGACGCGCTCGGGCGGTGGGGCCGGAGCGACGATCGGCTTGACAGGCAAAGCCTTGCTAACGTCGTTCCACATGTATTCGACGTCCTGGAACGCGGCCGATATGTTGAGCTACACTGTTTCGACGATCGAGAAGACTACCCGTACTCACCTCGTCTGTGAAGCCGGGCGTCCCGCAGTAGTTCGACCACTCTTGATGCCGCAATTTGGGATCGTTGTCCATCTCCTTGTCCTTGTCCTTGATGGCGTGGAAGAAGGCCAGGATAAGTCCATCACATGCCTGCGAGCCGTCGTCGAGCAGATATCAGTATTGCAAGATCGAGTCCATATGGGGCGTCGAGGTGATATACTAACCCAATGTAAACTTAGGTCCAAGATCAGGTACTCGTCGTCCTCGACAAACTTGTAAGCGTCCGAAGGGATATCTTCGTCTTCTGGTGGACAGCCGAGGATCGTCCTGATTCTTGACAATCTTGCGAAACGAACCCTGAGCCCGCGAACGTAGCGTCAGCGTGTGGGTGCCTCTAACCAGAGAGGAGATATCACTGAAACCCACCTTGTAACGCTTCCTTCCAGGTTATTCACTCGGGTTGACGAATACAAATCTCTCCGAGCCTCTGTACATCCAAGTTCCCAGGTCCAGAAAAATCATATTTCAGATCAGCAAACCCGCCCAATCCTCCCATCGAGCGAAACCTCGAATCAAGACGTACGTTCCCTCTCCTCCGGATGTATAAACTCTATAACCCCCCTGCCTAACATGCTCATACTCTGCATCCTCATATGCACGCTCAACACCGGATCTAGGTGTACGAAATCTAGTTCGAAACGTTTCCTCTTCCTCCCAACCGGGTTCGTTGTGGTCGTCGTCGTTGTTGTTGCTCCATGCCCATGCCCGTGTGTGTTTCCGTTGGAGGTAGAGTTTGGAATGGGGTTGGAGTTGGAATTCGGAGTGAGTTCGTGTGAAGGTAACCCCGAGCGGGTAGAGGTATACGGGGAAGAAGCGGAAGAAGGTGTAGAGCCCGAGGCGGTTTGGGGGATCTCGCACTCCGATAAAGGGTAACGTGGTTTCAACATCGCCCAGTCTAACGAAGGTCCCGAAGGTTCCGAAGGTGAAAAGAAAATGCGATGCAAGGAGAGATTTGGGTTGGAGTCAATTTGAGGCAATTAGCAAGAGGAAAAGACGAGAAAAGACGTACAACACCTCACACCCCCCACTCTCGGCACGTCCACCCCAGCTCCTAATCCGCTCCCACGGCTACCCGAGCTGGCCACGCTGACGACGCTCCCACCTCGACTCTGAACCCGACCGCGTTTCTGACCACCTCCGGAGGAGGATTGTGGAAGATCTTGGCTTTGCGCAGGGACGTAGACTTGAGGGGAGATCGACGTTTGAGCAGGGTTTTGGGCTTGAGAAGACTGAGGAGGCTGGGGGTAGGGATGAGCCTGGGAATGTGGGTGGGGGTGTGATCGAGCTCGAGGAGCTAGCCCGGTTCCATTCGACGTATTCAGTCCAGGACCAGGAACATGACCGGGACCGGGGCCAGAGAGGGGGACGCCGGACGGTTCTAGCGGTACGTAATTCGACGTGGACGACGAGCTGCCATGGGTGTTGCCGTTGAGGTTCGGGTCTACTGGGTAGGACGACCTTGAACTCGGCCCTGATACCAGATCTGACTGGGATTGAACTTGAAATTGAGGGTTGATGGTAGACCCGGGAAAAGGAATCGTGTTCCGCCCATCCAAATACTCCGAACCTGTACCCCTACTCGAGTTCCCTTGAACCTGAGATCCTAGTCCCGGTCCCGGTCCCGGTCCTAGTCCGGAACTCGGTATGCCGGAGCCAGGATATCCCTGTACACCGTATTGTTGCTGCTGTTGTTGAACTCCTGAGTATTGAGACTGAGACGGGTAAGGATACTGGTCGTACTCGTACCCCGGTTGATAGTTCGCGTTCGCGTTCGGGTTGACAGGGTAGGACATCGGTATCGACGAAGGTCCTGGAGGTGGGGGTGGGGGTGATCGAGAGGAAGATAAAGGTAGACCTGATACTCCCAAGGTCGAGTTGTTGTTCGAGCCCATCATTTCTGGAAGTGGGAGGAGAGATGTTGCTCCTGGTGCGCCGTGCGTTTGATCTTGAGGTTGAACGTGACCGATCGGATTTGTTGCTGGTACGCCAAGAGATAGAGGTAAACCTGTGGGTCTCATCCTGCTCCAGATGTGTAGACTGCTTCTAGATCTCGGACGTGTGATGGTCTGGCGACGTTAACGTCCTGAGAGCTGGAGCACGTCGAGGTCGACCCAGGGATCGAGGTGCCTTTGGGTGTTGTCGCTCCTGCACGTCAACTGCCGTCGATCCTCCTCAACCGGATGTAGAACAAAAAAACGTCGTGACTAGTGGGATTGATCCAGAACAGATTCCACTTGAGGCATGCGAGACCTAGGTTATCAACGAGCTATCACAGAGTAGCCAGGGTGCTTGCAGTAGCAGTACATCGGATGTCGGTGGTCGGTCGGTCTCTTGGTCTCGTGCGCGATCGAGCTTCGGCTCCGAGAGACTCGGCTACCATACAACTACCGATTTCACTTCGTCCACGACGACGACGTCATACACGATTGCTACGACTTTCACGGCCTACCTGTGTTGCATGTGTTGACAAACAGCCGAGGCCAAGTGAGCTTGTATAAGCCTCTTACAAAGTTACAACGAATCAAAATGATACGAAATCGACGGTCGATCTGAAATCCTGCGCGACCCCTTGATCTGACTGTAATCCAGGAACAAACGGTCGAGTAGTGTCCCCCGATCACATCACGGGTGATTTCGAGCTGACCATATCCCAACCTCTTGCGTATTTACAACGTCTTGTAGCTCCTGTTAGCAGCTACTCCGGGATGTTTCTTCTCCTGGAAGAACGAGTGTGTATCGGTTCGGAAGGGTATCAGGATCGACACGTTACACACAGCAAGCAGCAACAACAAGGATGCCGGCGCGTTCTGACGTCCTCGTGCAAGGACCACATATAAAACCTCTTTTTTCACACCTGTTGATAAATTCGGGCACCCGTACACCCTTGATGATGATTGTATGTAGTTGAAGATACCTTCCGGTTGAATTCACACTGAAGCGAAGTGAGAAGAAAAGGTAAGATGGACATCGATCCTGATCGATTCGACACCTATCCCTGGCGCGCGTGAAAGATTGACAATCGCTCGGGTTCACAATTTTTCTCTGCCTTACTAAGCTAAGAGACGCGCCCACGCCCGTTCGCGCGAATGTTTGAGCGAATGTTTGAGCGATCGAGCAGAAGGTACTCTGTTCTTAACTCGGTCACACATCACATCACACGCATTACTAATTGATAATTAGCCGTCTAGTGTATAGTATTAATCAATTGAGTAAGTGATTAGTACCTTACTAACTCATTACTTTGTTTAGTAAGTAATTACTAGCTTATTAACCTTATATCACATTCGACTTGCTCCCTCCCTCTCTCTCTCTCTCTCTCAATGATCAAGTCGCCAGTTGCCAATATCATAGTCTCTTAGCCTGACCTCCTCTCGTTCTCATCAATCACATATACTAACAGAATCATGGTCTTTCCACACCCATGTCAGTTCACATGATCAACCTCCCTTATCCAATCAGTACAACTCTCCTAGACACCATCTTGTTGTAAGGCGAACATGTCCCCGCGAACAATTCCGGCGACCGCGAACGTCCTGGTCGCCCGCGAACACTTAGTGTTCGCCGTTCGCGAGTATCCTTTACCATGTTTTCAAGTCAGCCCAGTCATCCCTTGTGCTGCAATATTTTGACTGTGCCATTCGAGAGAGAATCATACATGCATAATTTCGGCATATTGGACATCAAGCTACACGATACAGGACCTCTTTAAACAATTCAAACGCATTATAATACTCCGTATCAATACTCTCGATCTCCCTTACTCTTCGTCGTTGAACCCCTCTTCCTTCTCCCGGATCCTCCTAGCCCAGTCGGCCGAAATCTCACTCGTGTAGTCGAAGAACTCGTAAGCCAAACGCTTCCACTCCGCTTCTTGGGGATCAAGGTTTGGCGTTATCGCCATCTCTACACCCATCCTACCCGGATACACCTGCATGTAGAGACCGACGGTACCGGTTGTCCTTGCTGCGTCGATCAACTTGTCGTGAATGGCGTCGCGAATATCTCCCGCTTTCTTCGACCGGGCGTCCGAGGCCTGTTTCTTCGTGGCACAGGACTTCTTATCACTCGCTTTTGAAGGCAAGATCAAGGTTGGGTCTACCCAATCGTCGTCCTGGCCCCACTCCAGCGCGACCTTGCTCTTGCTGGACGAGCGGTATTGGTCGTTCGACTTGACGAAGAAATTGACGTCTTGAGCCGGCCCGATCTGGTGAGTCCAAGCGACTCCCGCTCCTGGCCTTCCCGCGGTCTTCTTGTCCCCAAGCTTCTTCACGCAGGATCCGCCTTCTTCCCAGGCGTCCGCATCGTCAGAATCGCCCGAGTCGCCGTTATCGCCTTTTTCAGAGTCGGCGTAGTCAGAGTCATCGGACTCTTCCCTATCCTTGGGCAACCCGGCCGAAAGCACGCCCGCACTGTTCTTGCTCGTACGGGGTTTTGCCGGGCTGCTCTCCTTCGATCCGGGAGTCCTTGATTTGGACTTCGCAGCGACCTCCTCGTCCACGTTCTTCTCGGGGGGCTCGTCAGCTCCTCCTCCGTTGTTGTTGTTGTTGGACTCGTCAGTCCCTTCTCCCCCTCGTCCGGTATTCCCGTCGTCCCCGGCGTCTTCTCCTGTAGCAGCGTCCGCGTCAGGCCCAGGACCATCCCCAATATCGAGATCCATGTCCGCAACATCCACTGCCGGGTCGGGTATCTCGAAAAGATCTACTACCTCGCGAACAGCACGCTCTTCGCTTAGACTCCTCTCGGTGAAACCTGCGGGCCGCGAATAGGCAAATGGCACATTCCGCGGTACCAATGCTGCTCCACCGGGTAGATCGAGATGAAGACCGAAGATCAACCCACGCATTCGCAACATCTTGTCCGTCCCGGGCTTGGTCCACTCGTTCAACCACGAAAGAGCGAAATTCCTACGCAACGTAAATCGCCTTTCCCATGTTTGACGAGTGATCATTTGTCGCTCGAGTAGGTCCATGTCGGCAAAGAACCCTATAAGATGTGTATTCGTAAGTCAGTAATCTGTTAATCATGGAAGTTATCGAAGACGCTTTTACTTACCAGACCAAACGGGCCTACTGAAAGACCCCAAACGTTCGCGTACGAGTTGCTCCTTGACCGACCGAGGCATGTACAGTACGACACCTTCGGAGAGCTCCCGCAACACATCGCTGGCATGACCAAGAGGCGTTCCCAACCACTCGAGGTTCACAACGGGGATGATTTCTGGCTGAACCCCAGGCTCAGACGCCCACATCTCCGCCGCACTCTGAACGAGGTCCTTCCACCGCGAACGAGCCTCCGGCAGTAAGACACAGTCCCGCAACTTTCTCAAAGCAGTCTGAACAGTCATCAGACTTGTTCGACGCAGCAGTTGGAGGATGGGTATCCACTCCCGAGTCGAAAACGCCGCCGGTCCGATCAGTTCCCGCAAGAACTCGAGTTCCCCCATCAGCGAAGAGTCCGATCGCCAGTCGTCACGGGAGACAAACACTTCAAGAATCACGCCCGCGATCGTTGCGATCATAGCCACAGACGCTCCTTCCATCCAGTTTTCTCCCATGAAAACCATACGTCGCCAACCGACAGCCCGGACCATGATTCCCAGTTCCTTCCGTTCGCGAGCTTCGGCATCCCCGTCATCCCTGTTCCCGGTCGCGGGGGAAATGTCGCCCTGGATCCTCTCTCGCTGTCGATCTCGTCTTGCCGAGATCTCTCGTCTCTCGATGCCTTTCAGACGCTCAAGTACCGTTGACACCGTATTCTGCAGCTCTTCATCGTCTTCGTCGTCCAAGCCTGCTCCTCGGAGGATATTCATCAGGTCCAGCGACGACATTCCTCCCCACCATTCATCCCCCTCGCGCTGCTCACATCCTTTGACCAGGACGTGGAAGGC